GTCTTTGTTGACAAGTATTCATGGCATTTAATTGCCACCAGTGCGGGCCGTTATCACGCATCTAACCAGGAGGTTGGCCGAGTCGTTGATCCTGGCGTGTAGGATCCGAGATTCCTTCTCATCACTCAAATGAAAGATCTTGTTGTCCCCTTTAATTTGACACCACATTTGATGTTGTGATCCTTGTAGTTTGGAAGATATAATTTTCTATTTTCCAGCCATGTCTACTTTTCCATGGAATCGCCCATTAGCCATTTTGCTATTAACGTATAATTTGCCATCAGTCAGTTACTTTCCTCCAAAAAGGATAATCAGAGGATAATAGATAAAAAGCTGTGTCACTTAAAGCTATAGTCCATCATTTGCAGCCATCCGAAAAGTAACTGGCGTAATTACTGTTGAAAAACAAACTTGGTTGAAAGATAGTAAGGGAACTAAACTCCCTGTGAAATTATTCTTTCTGGGAAGCTGTCATTTTGAAGTAATCAACGTAAGAAGGCATTTCCAACGGTGATTCTTAAGAAGCACCATAGGAAAATTTAAAGTAGTACATGTAGTTCGTTTTGTTATTCAGCGCAGCGCGCACAAGTATTGGAACGATCAACGCGCGCGCGGTTGTTATAATTCGTCGGATCAGTGCGCGACGCCGCGTATAGCTGCAATTCAAAACAATTCAAAACATGATTCAGTAACTTTTGATTTGAAATTGAGATCTTAGAATGCTGCTTTTCTCGGAATGTACAGCTGAACCTTAGCTGAAACTTCATCAGGTTAGTTGTTCAGTATCCTTCATTAAACACTTTTGTTGCTTCAAACGAACAAAATGCACTAATTACAAATGATGGACTATAGTTTTAATTGGAGGAAGTGCTTGATTGATAGCATGTCATGTTGGAGCTGTAAGAGGCCAGTCCATGAGCCAGGCACAATTTTGTTCAGTGACTCCATTATCAGTCAACTTGGGAACGCTGATTTTCTGACGGCGACAGTTGCTGATGCAGCATCACGCAGATAGCTGTGATATTGTCACTGTGTGAATTGGACAATTTGCCTAGTATCATATGATGAGCCTAGACAACAAGTGGGACACTTTCACTACAATTGAAAGCAGTCCATGAGAAAAACATTCGCAGACAAACAGGCGCAATTTTTCTCACCGGACCTTTTTGTTACACTAGGATTTGACATCTACAAGTTTGTTGAGTTTTGAACTTGCACTGGAGAGTACGAGTGATTATAGCATGTAATAAGTTGAAGTCATTTCTCCAATCTACAGTTATCGGAAACTTACAACTGATTCAGATTGGAAGAACATGATCAGGGGCCAAGCAGGTTAACAACTTGTCTCTCATCTGCACGCGGAGATAAAACAGTAAAGATTTTCATTTCTACTTGTGCTGTTTGGAGGCATCAGAATGAACAGTTCGTCCACAGAGCCCTCCGAGCTGTCGCTGTCGCCGGTTCTGGTTGCTCTGCGCACCACTTTTATCATCTGTCTCGGAGTTCTGATCATAGCTGGCAGTCTCCTTTCCATTGCCGTCACTCGCCACGTCTCCGACTTGGCAGAGAGCACCAAGGTCTTGATGATAACTCTAGCAGTTTCGGATCTCTTCATTGGCTTCTCGTCAGCTTTCGGCGTCGTGGCTTCGGCTGTGGATAGATGGCCCTGCGGCCGAATCTGCTGCCAACTAATGCCAGTCGTACAGATGGTAGTTTCCTTCATGTCCGTGTTTTCGGTGGTCCTTCTAAACCTCGAGCGATATATCGCTGTCACCCGGCCATTCCAGTTCCCAGTCTGGTGCAGCCGACACCGCATTCTTGCACTAGTGCTCGTGTTCTTGGTGTTGTCTGTGTTTAACTCCATAAGTCTCCAGTTCATATTTGAGATACCTTCAGAGTATTTGGATTCCTCAGCTGTCTGTTTTCTCAGAATGACAAGTAAATATGGAGGTGTCATATTCCTGATAGTCCTGGTTATTTTGCCTGTGTCCATTATGATCCGTGTTTATCACCGCTTGATTAAAATCAGCCGAGAGCAAGCCCGCCGAATCGACCCCAACCGTCGGAACGCGAACCCGAGCTTTTACGACAATCGAGCCCTGAAGGCCTTCCTGGTTGTCACCCTGACACTAGCCGGATGTTTTACGCCATCGATGCTGTACAGATCTGTGGAATCCTTAGCCGGGGTTGATCTTCCCGGCTGGCTGGAATTCGTGGCGGTGTGGCTGGTCTACTGCAACAGCGCCCTCAATGTCTTCATTTACTGTCTCTTCAAACAGTCGTACCGTCGCAGGGCTATGGAGATTGTCTCAAAGCGATTGCTGTGTTGCAGAAATTCTGTTGAACCTGTGGATATCTAAGGCGTTCACAACACAATCGCAACTGACACATAGGCTGTAGGATTGAAGTGCAATTTAGATGTTGCGACTATTATGTTGCAAATCAGTTGGATTTTTCCTAGCACTTTCTTATTTACTACATGTATTCCAAACACTATTTATAATACTCTTCATATTAACGACTCCAGATATAATACTTTTTATTGGCAACCATCAACATTTCAATGACATATCAACAAAGGAGGCTTGCCATGTTTGACTTGTTCATCCCCATCGTCGTTCATCCGTGAGGGGATGATGACTTGATAAATTTGACTCAGCATTCCTTGATCAACACACCCTGGAGATTCCCAATTCTGGAGTACAATATCTATTTCGTGATAACCTTCTGTAGTTCTATGTATTCACCTGTAGAAATCAAGGGCGGATCCAGAGCTCAATTTTTTTTGGGGGGGGGGGGGGCAAACAAATGTTGATCCTCAGAAAGTGTGTCCAAACAAATTACGGCGTGGAGTTTGGGGCCCGCTTAAGGGCCCCGAAATTTTTTTGGATTCTAGATGCTCTGTGGTGCGATCTGAGGCAATTTCTGACCACTTTAACCAATGTTTTTTGAGGAAAAGAAAGTGGTGTACTCATTGCCATGCCTTTATTGCGAAGTCACTAAAAAAATTAATAAATTGGATTCGGTTTTTTTGGGGGGGGGGGGGAGGGCATGGCCCCCTTTTGCCCCCCCCTGGATCCGCCCTTGGTAGAAATTGCCCGGTGGAGACGTGTACAATCTTTTTGTTCTATTATGCACATGTCTCCTCAGGGTATCATGTATCAGATCATAGTGTTTAATACCGACCAAGCACATAGGGTATTTATTCCCATTCATAAATGTATTTATACCTTTTCGGTCACAAAAATCAAAACAATTTGTTCCAAAAGTCGAAACAAGTCAAAAATTTATAATTTCCACCGATTTTGTCTGAAAATTTTAGTTTCTGTTTTTCGAAACACCTCTCCAACTATATAATGGAGTGTCTAGCTTGCGAGTTAATATAAATACATTAACAACTCTTTTTATTGAGATTGGCATGCACGCCGCGCGTACTGCACATCATTTGACGCTATGGCGAGTGCATTGTGAATTTCGGATTTTGAGATACTGACTGACTGGTAGTATCCCGCATACATTGTACCTACGTGAGGATAGTGAAATTTCAACCAATAAAACGGTAAAAAGCACTGTATTTCACAGTAGTCCAAATGTCATTGTAAGACTAGCCAGCCGTGTCTTTATCATTTGTTTAAGACTGACCGTGTGACAGACTCTCGACCAATGGAAATGGGTAAACTGTCTTAGGTATTTTTGAATTTGTTTCTAACATTTCCCAATGAGAGAGTGGGACCGTGGGAATGCGTTAACTTTAAAGGGCCCATGAAATGTATATGTTTTTAACGCACTCCTTGAAAATGTACCATTGTGTCCCTTTAATTTTTATTTTCAATTTTCATTTCGCCATTTTCAAGGGTATTTTGGTGCCTTTTTAGTTTTTACAGGGGTGTGAAATCTCAGTTTTAAAGCTGATGTCAGCTTTCTTTTTGTTTTGGATTTCAGCTTTTTCCCCTCACTTGCTGTGTACAAAAGTATAGGAGATTTCCAAAGTTCAGCTTTTTTTGCACCTTTTTCAGCTGTTGTTTTATCAGTGGTCACTCACACCCCTTTTGTTATGCTGATGCGAATTTCCATATTCATGAGCGAAAGTGTGATGTCATATCAGACATATTTTGGATATTTCGCCGTCGTAAACTTTCTTTTCATTAGTGATTCGTTGCTGTGCCTGTTCATGGCAGTAAGCCAATGAGCACACTTTTTCTCACAAATGTTTTCAATGAGCATTTTTTGGGGGTTCACTATTTTAACAGAAAAACACCCAATCGGAACAGTGTCTCCCAAAAATGACGTCACGACAACTGCGCCCTCAGTTGTCCGGAAAAGCATGAACAATTTTGAATGTTGAAAGAATTTCACTTTTCAACAATTGCACCAAAAAGGAATATCAATTAGTTTTCATACACTTAAAGGGAATATACAACAATTGCTTTTGCTGTAATTTCCAGACAAGGATGGATTGGGGGTAAGTATTATATAGTGAATATTGTTACATTGACTTGTTTGAAGTTTTGAGTTCAAAGATGCTGGAAAAACCAAGAAAAATAATCCTGTTCTTGTAGTCTGGTTCCTTGACCCCACTTCAGATGAATCGGAGCAATTTTTGGACATCGGGGAATTGTAAGCTGGCTTTTTCCCGTTTATAGGCGTGTAATCGATTGCAAACAAAATGCAAACTAAAAATATGGTAAATTTGGGGCAGTGTTTGAAAAATAGCCAGTTTTTTTCCAACGCTGGTCAGCTGATCGACCAGCATTGGAAATTGATACAAAAATACTACCTTTCTTTAAAATTATAGCACACCAGGTGCCATGATTTCACAGGATGCTTAAGACTGTCATTCACTAACAGTCCATTCAGGTATTTCATACTAATTTGGTGGTTTTGCTTTTAGATGTTTTCAAATATTGTATATTGCCTTTAAGAGGATTAAAAAAATATGTTCCTAAGAAATATTCACTTCATGAGCCCTTTTATCATGTCCATGTGTTTTGGTATTGCAGGAGGACCCATCTGCTAACCTGCCTCGGATTGTACCATCGCTGTTCATGTCGCCTGGCGGTGATAGGTTCTACTCTCTCCTAATGCACTTTTCACAGTACGTCCTGTTCAAAGTCGTCAAGCAAGAGAATGGTAAAGTATCCTTCGGTTATAATGGTAAGACAAGATAAGTTTGCGGTAGCACCACGTGAATAAATCTCTTTTGTGAGTATGTGTGGTTCTGAAAAGAACCGGAGGGACTTAACATTTTGAACAGTATGCTCTGCCCGTCGTCAGGAGAATGAGGGATTCCAACGATGATGCGATGTTATAAGCATAAACAGTTCGAGCATACTGTTCGAAACGTTGAGTCCCTCTGGTTCTTTTCAGATTCACACATACTCACAAAAGAGATTAGGTGCTACCGCAAACTTATCTTGTCTTAGTATCTTTCCACCATGCAAACCTTCAAATCTCAATTATAATGGTGCTGTTAATACAGTTTTTGATATTACATATCTGTCATTGTCTCATGTAATTTGGCCTTCAGGCCACAAAATAAGATGAATACAATGAAATGAAATGTGAGGCGTTCTGGCAAAATGAGACGGAACTGGGCACAGGCCGAAGCTTTAAAGGTCTTTTTCTCAGCATTTTTTTTTTTTTTTTGTCACATCGATAAATGCGAACTTTAAACAGCCATAACTTGTCAATGGAATGTCCGATTGAAGTGCAACAAACAGTATTGTAAGGAGAATTTATTCTCTTTCTTAATACCCGCAAACCCTCATTGCGACCTCTGCCCAGTTCTGTCTCAGTTTGCCAGAACGCCTCACAAATAATGAACTGTTTTACTGCGCAATGCTTTTTGTATTAAGCGGAACTCATACTTGCAATGTTTCTATTTTCGGGTGTTAAATGAAAAAATATTTAAAGTTGAATTCAAATCTGCAACCACTTGAATATCGGATTGCTTAATGTGAGTTGGATGCTTCATATTTCAAAGGGAATGTACAACATTTGCTTTTGCTGCAATTTTCAAAAATAAATGGATTTGATGGATTAGTATGTTATAGCAAATACTGTTAAATTGACCTGCTTCACGTTTTGGGTTCGGAGATGCTGGAAAATCCAAGAAACCAACAATGTTCTTGTAGTCTGGTTCCCTGACCCCTCTTAAGATGAAATGGAGCAATTTATAGACTTTGGGGAATTGTAAGGTCAGAGAATCGGTCTAGCTGGCTTGTACCTCTTCACAGGTGTGTAATCAATTGCAAAGAAAATGCGGAATAACTAAATTAGGAGCAGTTTTTGGAGAAAGCCAGTTTTCTCCAACGCTGGTCGGCCAATCAGCGTTGGAAAAATACAAGTTTTCTTGAAAAGGTCAGCAAACCAGGAGCCACGATTTTACAGGATGCTTTGGACTGTCATTCCCTAACAATCCAGTAAGGTATTTCGTGATCATTTGATCGTTTCGTTTTTTGATGTTTGCAAATGTTGTATCTTCCCTTTAAATGAAGAGACAGTTTAAATCTACCACGTTACATTCCATTGTACTTATTGGTCTTGGAAAAAGACTTAAAGCGGGGCATATGAGACGGAGTAGATTTTAGTACTTTTCTATAATCTTAAAAACTTTAGAAAGATAAAAAATGAATAAAACTGCTGCAAACTGCTCACTGACAGGATTGACAAATCAAAGGAAGTTAGAGGACCTCACATTTTGACCCAGGCAAAGGAAAAACTGTAGAAAGGCTAACCCTTAACCCTCCTCAATCCTCCAAAGTCCTTCAGGCGGTTTTGGAGGATTGTGGAGGATTGAGGATGAATGCAACATACCATTTTGGAGGATTGTGAAGGATTGAGGGCACATTGACATTCAGTCCCAGTTGATTTTGGAGGTTGTTTCAGAGGCAGCAGAATGTGGGTTCGAGCCTGGGTCTGGATACTTGTGCCCTTAAGCAAGGCACTTAACCATTATTGCTTCGTCCTTCGGACGGGATGTAAAGCGGTAGGCCCCGGGTGTTGTGTAATGTAATGCATGTTAAAGAACCCAGTGACACTTATCGCTAAGAGAAGGGGTTTGCCTCTGTGTTTCTGGCCTCCTGTTAAAACTCCCCTGTAGAGTATTTAGGAGAAGAACCAAGCAAGTACCAAGAAGAGGAGGACTTTGAAGGATTGAGGCAATGGGTATCCTTCATTTGAACGTATGAAAACGTTGGAGGATTGAGGATGGTTCCTAGCAAAAAGGACCTGGGTATGAATGTGATAAAAGCTATATTTTACAGCCTGTTTGGTGACATTATGCACTCTTTACTTCACAGGCAAGAAGGACAGGGAGATTCTTCAGAGACCCAAGCTTCTCCCGGCCGTATCCCATCTGGGCCACATCATGCTCAGGACGACTCAGGCTGCCTCCATCAGACACCGCAGGCGATTCTTAGACAAGGCACAGCTCATGGTGCTGCTACACAGGGAGTGGAAGCAGTTTGCCAAGTAAGAGCAGTTGAGATTGTTCGTCCACAACTCTTCCTCTGATGCTTGCTGTAAAATTTTGATTTCAAGTTTGAAACTACAAGCAGTAAATCGTGTACATGCAGTTTAGGACACCTCTGTTTTTTACTTGTTCCATTCAAAAAATGACTTAATTGCAAATGACTGTCAAATTTTCCAAAATGAATTTTGCAGCCCCAAGCAGTCTTTTATTTACTATAGGTTTTTGAAATTTTGATTAGTGGGCCCACTTTGGAAAATATTGTGACTCTCTTACCCGTTTTAGCACTTAGACACGCGAGTCACAGCAGTTCAGGCGCGGTCAACATTTTACCCCATAATTTTCCTCATCAATAATAACCCTGCCCTCTTTCTACAAAATTAAGCCTGCTGATATTCAAAATGGTATTTTAGCGGACTGAAAACTGTAAAGTAATTTTCCTGCTGGTAACGATGTTGGTAAGTTCCAAATCATAAAAGTGTCTGTTAGCGCTCTTATATGGGGTCCTAAACTAATGATAACCTACAACCAGCTGGGGCCAATTTCATTGACGGTTGCAGTTGATCGGAAATACTCCAGAGTCTATTGGATGGAAAACCAATTCACAAGGTTAGCCTGACTGAAACCAAAATCTATGTGGGTCAACCGGAGTTGCCCCTATTTGATTCTGTGTGACTCTGAAATGCCATTTTGAAATGGGTGTCACTGATTGACTGACTGACTGGGTCCCTATGTATAACAATGTCTCAAACTAAAACTTTTGGGCACAGCTCAACGAAGCAAGCCTGGGCAGCTGCTTAAGCACAAAATTTGCTTAAGCACAAAAACGTCTTGCTTAATAAAATCAGGTTACCGGCCAAAACTCCATGTGATTGTTATGCTAAGTAAACAACAGCTAAATACCAGTCACAAGCAATGTACATCACATGGAGTTTTGGCCGGTAACCTAATTTTACTAAGCAACATTTTTTTCGTGCTTAAGCAAATGTTTTGCTTAAGCAGCTCTATGAAATTGGGCCCTGACAGGCTTGCTTCGTTGAGCTGTGCCCAAAAGTTTTAGTTTGAGACATTGTTATACATAGGGACCCAGTCAGTCAGTCAGTCAGTGACACCCATTTCAAAATGGCATTTCAGAGTCACACAGAACCAAATAGGGGCAACTCCGGTTGACCCACATAGATTTTGGTTTCAGTCAGGCCAACTTTGTGAATTGGTTTTCCATCCGATAGACTCTGGAGTATTTCCGATCAACTGCAACCGTCAATCTTTCAGTGTCGTTACTCCTACCTTTTTTACACTTCAAGGTCGGGAAGATCATTTGTCATTTGTGCATATATTTCGTTTGAATCTTAAGAAGGGTGCTGAACAACTAACCTGATGAAGTTTTAGCTCTGTGCATGATGTATATTCCGAAAAAACAATATTCTAGGATCTCGATTTCAATACAAACATTTCCGGGTCATGTTTTGAATTGCGCCCAAAATCAGCATCCGGGACACGTTCTAATTCTGCTGATTGCAGCTATGTGGCAACCAAAGAACTGATGAAATAATAGCAACCAAGCATCCGTGTGCGTCGTGTTAACGCTTGTGCGCACCCATCACAGATGCACATAATTACAAACCAACTACAGTGGAACGCCGCTATACCAAACACCGCTATACCGAACCTTTGGCTGTACCGAACATCATGCTTGGCTCCCGGTTTTAATGTACAAAACATACCGAACATCGTTGTTGAAAAAAGTCAATAGATTAACAAAAAAAATACTGGTTGTACATGTATTAAAACACTATTAATTCCCGAACATCAAACGACCCATAGTTACATCGTGTTTGAATGTTGAAGAGCGATAGATGGCTATTATTTCCCCAAGGAATAAAAGGGAAAACCACCCGTTGCTAAAGTTTCCTGACGACTCCTCGTGCGGCCGCGGAATGTGAGGAATTCGCCAGTTCACTGTTGGTCAAAAGAGGGTACCAGCAGTTCAAAATTGCTATACCGAACGATCGTTATTACAAACACTTTCTGTGGATCCCATGAAGTTCGTTATAGCGGCGTTCCACTGTACTAACGTGCACTTTCGTTCTATCTGATGTCCCGTGCAGTGAACTTGTGAAGGAACACCGTAGCCTAACCAAACAGCTACGGGACCTAGAGCACGATATCCGTGACTGCCTCGCGGCCTCCTACGACCAAGCCCAGGCTAGAGGGAGCCCTGTAGGTAGGAGACGGCGATCGGGTGGCATGACGGATGGCGAACGCCAAATGCACGCCGTCAAACGAACACAGAAAATTCAAAAGGTAAAATGTTGAATCTGGAGATTTTCTCATTGTATTCAGTGTATGGCTATTGACCCAAAAACTTTAGTTTTATTGATAGTTGAACAAATTTTGATAAAGCTCAATACCCATCATAAAATATATGAATACAAAAAATGGGTCTGCTTTATTTAGTAAATACTCTTTACTGTTTCAAATAGTAAAGCACGACTCCAGAATACCAGTCTGAAACAAGCAGGGTTCATGCAGCAGTGTTTCCCCTGGCTAATGAACTGAGCGTGGTGGTAACAATTCAAGTTAATGATTGAAATGAAATTTATACAGTCTGCAAACTGAAAAGAATGGAGCGCTCACAAAAATGCGCGATGATTCCAAAAACACATCAAAATTGTGAGTTCTTGATACATGGAGGTAAAGGAAAATGCTTTTATATTACACAAAATGAAAATTTTTCAATCGATATTTCCTTTTTTGCCAATCTTCACAGCGAGGTGGTGATATTGGCAAAAATTGAGCGAGGTGGTCACTGAAAGTAGCGAGGTGGGCCACCTCACGTTTGAATGGGCAGGGGAAACACTGTCATGCAGTACAGTCATGAAATTTACAGCAATCATTGAAAGTCCTGGAAAGGTCAAGGAATTTTGTTATTTTTCACAGAATCATGGAAAAAGTGATATTTAAAGTAATTTCATAAAATTCTGCACATCCAATATGTGATGATGCGTAATATTTGATTATGACAATCTTCCAACACTTCTTCTTTATGCATAATTTATCTAGATTTCTAGCTCCAGTGTCACTGTAGTGCATGTGCTTAGTTTAAAGGTATAGTCCATCATTTGTAATTTGTGCATTTTGTTCGTTTGAAGCAACAAAAGTGCTCAAAATCTAAAGAAGGGTACTGAACAACTAACCTGATAAAGTTTCAGCTCAGCTTCAGCTGTATATTCTGAGAAAAACAGCATACTAGGATCTCAATTTCAAATCAAAAGTTGCTGAATCATGTTTTGAGTTGCGCCTGAATTCAGCGTCCGAGACACGTTCTCGCTGAGCCGAATGCAGCTACGCGATGTCGCGCACTGATCTGACGAATTATAGCAACCGGGGGTGCGTGTGCGTCGTGCCAATGCTTGCGCGCGCTTCGCCGAATAACAAAACGAACTACTACATGTAATTTAAATTTTCCTACGGTGCGTCTTAAGAAGCACCGTTGGAAAGGCCTTCTTTCATTGATTACTTCAAAATGACAGCTTGCCAGAAAGAATAATTTCACAGGGAGTTTAGTCCCCTTACTATCTTTCAACCAAGTATGTTTTTCAACAATAATTACGCCAGCTACTTTTCGTATAGCTGCAAATGATGGACTATAGCTTTAATGTCCTAGTTCCGGCCATGCACAGCACTAATTATCTCAATCTAATGTATTGTAAAGAGTCTCCTAAGATGCCCAAACAGTCTAGAAGTATGTCATGGAAAGCACTTATTTTGTCCTGGGAAAAGTCATGGAAAAGACATGGCATTTCATTGTAAGATTTCTGTGGGAACCCTGAACAAGTGCAAGTCATATCACATGGCGTATCTGCAGACCTCTCCCACTTTGTGTTATCCTCAAAGTAAAGCCCCAAATCGCATTCACTCTCAGGTGCGTGAACTGTGGAAGGCAGTTGATGCATTCTACGTCGGCCAATCAGCGGAGCGGGACGTGACGTCATCTGTCTTACAAGAAGCTGAGAACAAGTACCGACTTGATGCCGGGGAGATCAACGTACAAGTCCCCGAGCTGCTGCTACGAGAGTGCCAACAAGAGCTACAAAGGGTAGGTCATCTGGGCTCAATAAATACCACTTTTTCTTTTATCAATACGCTTTTCAATTTTTGCTGGTCTGAGTACAGAGTATTTCAAGCATAATCCAGGCCTATAATTATGCATGGTTGAGCAAAAACAAAACAAGGTCCGGCCCAAGACCTTGACAAAGTGCATCCTACGAAATCAGTAATGCACTTTGGCCGTGTAACCTCAATCCTCCAATTTTGAAGGATTCAGGGTGGTTAGATGAATGGAAACTTGTTTATAATAATAATAATAATAGCTTTATTTACAGATGGTAGCCATGTCACCTGACAGATGATTTTCAATGGGCCATCTATCAATTAAAACATTATTAAAATTACATGACTTAATTAAGACTATACATACATACATACATACAAAACACAGATCAATTCACAATGATAGTGCCACTAGAAAAATCAAAACTATAAAAATACATTAAAAGTTCACATCCAATACAATAGGTAAAATAGAGATATTTAAAAACGTGGTAGAGGAGAACCATGAGAATGCGACACTACCCCCCCCTCCCCCCCCCCTCCCCACATCCACCCTTCTGTCAACACTCGAGGAAAACCAACCTTAGAAATAGAGTCTGCTGGGACTAAAAAAAATTAAAAATAAAAATTAAAAAATAGACATACATGTACATTAATATACCGGTGTGTCCATCTAATAATTACAGTCAATGGGGAAAGAATCACACTTATACAGATTTTGTTTTAAACAGTGAAGTAGCCTCTGCGTTTGATGTGTAATTCTTTTGTTTCATATTTTTTTACAGCGGAATGTTGGCAACACCTACGAGGGAGGCAAGTTGAGTCTTCTGACACTAATCCAGTTGTGGAACATGTCTCTGTATCTTTACTTGGAGACCATCCAACAAGGTAAAATCTTGTCAGATTTGTCAGTGCTGAAGATATTGATGGACAGGGTGGTGCAAACAAGAAGGAAACCCACTTTTGACAGCAATTTGCACCTGCTTGTTGAGCATATTTCAAAAATTCAATTCAATGGTATTAAAATGTTGATCTTATTATTGATTATATTTTGTCTCAAAGATATGGTAGTTTAAAAATGTCATGTGCCAAAGCTGTTTGTCTACAGATGTCTTTATTCCATCCGCTTGACTGAGCTCCGGAGCTTGATTTGAAGACCAAAAACACTACACTAGATTTACATGTGTGTTGTTTTGTTTGTCCTCAGCACCCATGCCCAGTTTTGAGGACCTTTCCCCCGATTTAGTGACCCAGGTTCACACCCATCACGCACACCTGGCAAACACCCAGGCCATGAGGTAAGCCGTTTGTCGTCTTGAGTTCTGTTACATCTGAAGTTGTTGCTGATCTTTCCTGCTAATTACAGAAAGAATCCTTTCATAAAATAGAATATGCGTCTGGCTGACGTCATTTCAGTATTGGGTTTTACCGCTGTATGACGTATGTTTTATAAACACTGTACACTCAAGTGTTTGTATAATTGTAAATTTTTTTTTCTCACAATCACTCGGCACAACACTAAGTAGACAATTACCAAGCGCACACACGACGACTCATGCACGAGGTGAATATGCATGATAGTACAGCTAGTCTGCTATGCATGTGCTTTACAAAACAATCGAGGGGAATGGTGCACACGCAACCATTGCCCTAGCTACATGAAAAGATGGAACACATGAACAGCAACGTTTTACCCAGATTTCTGATGCGTAACTTGATGAAATTTTGGTGAATATGTATGAGTTATAAGTATATAACAAATATAACATGGTTTAATTCTGGTGGATAGTCGATATCATCTCCCCTCGGTAATGATAATAATAAATGTATATGTATCTATAAAGCGCTTTTACAAGATAGATCAAAGTGCTGTACAAGGAAAGACTAGGATAACATGGATAAGAAGCTTTTAAGACGTTTCTTGAACATGGTGAGAGATGAAGCATCCCTGATGTTGATGGGAATAGTGTTCCATAGTTTGGGGCCTGCTGTTGAAAAAGATTTATCCTCGAGGGATTTTGAACCTGCAGGAATAGATAGAAAAGGTTTATCATTGAAAGATCTTAGTCTCGCACTGCCTGGTTGATGCACAGTGAGTAAGTCACACAATTAAGGAGGAGAAATATCGTTTAGGCACTTGTACACCATCAAGAGAACTTTCAATGATATCCGCTGCTCGATGGGTAACCAGTGAAGATTGGTGATGAGAGAGGTGGCATCCACGACGCATTAGACAGAGAAGATGAGTCGAGCAGCACGGTTTTTAATTTTTTGTTGTCTGTGTAATGTACGTTGACAGACTAGTTTGTCAACTTCCAGTACCTCAGGGAGCTAAAATTGACTATCCACCCTCAATTTATATTTGTGTATTACGGTATAATGTGTTTAAAGGGAACATGAAATAAAATTTTGATTGCATTTTTTTGGCTTAAATCAATAAAGGATGATATTCTTAACAATATTTTGTGTATGGCGGTCTTTATTTTCTGGGATAAATGGGGGAAAATAATTTGTGAACATGTTTGGTTAAACTACTCCGCCCCACAAAGGGAAGCTTCATTAACATAAAACTTCACGAGGGGTATGACGCAAATCAAGGGAGAGACTTGCCGCGCTGCAGGGGGGCACCGGCACGGTGGCGTGCATCATAATGTACATGTACATATACATTGCGGCACTGAAAGTTTTTCTGGTGTTTCGTTCGGAATCGAGAAGAAATATCACCCAATTTTCGGCCATGCCAACAAGGTGTGTGACTGCTGGGTGTAGCAAAACTACCAAGGATGGAGTAAGCCTTCATTTGTTTCCAGTAAATCCGAAATATTGGAGCATTTGAAGAGCCAAAGTGAAGGTAAATACCAGAGCAAAGTGGTCCAGGCCCAGTGAGTTCGCGGCCCTCTGCGCTGCACTTTGAGCCGTCGTGCTTTGATGCTGGACTGTACAGCAACTTGGGCATGCCCCTAAAAAAACATCGAGTCATTGTCTGAATCATTAGAACTCTGATTCGAATCGGACGAATCTGTACCATTTTCATCAGATTCGCTAAGGAAAGAAGAGGAAGAGTCTTTGGAACTTTCACGGTCATGACGGTCGTCGTTGTTTTCATTTGACAACGGTGGCACCGTGGCACGTCCACATGTGCATGTACGTACATGTACATGTAGACACATTCGTACGTGTGCATATATATAATGCCACGTACGGGTACGCGGCGGCTGCACATACAGTGTCATACACACAGCACAGTAGCTTCGCTAATCCGTCTCGTACCCAGACGTCATTTACGGGCTCTGGATTTCTCTGCCTTTGTTTACGTCATGAACAGCGCCCTCATTTGGAGTTGCCGCGAAAATCAAAAAGGGGGGTTCAATTTTGGACGGCAAATTACCACACTAAACGTACACCAGAACCAGTTCTGCTTTTAATTCACATTTAATACACATAAATGAATGTATATATAAAATAAAATACGTTATGAAAATTTTTGACTGCATGTTTCCTTTAGGTTTTTCACTTTATTTGTCCTTGAATCCACACAGGTCCACTCTGACCAACAAACTTCTCCCTGAGCTGAAGTCGTCAGTGAGTCGCCTCCACAAGCAGATCCAGGAAGGCAAGACGCCTAGTAGGAAAGACACACGCAGGTCCTTCCAACTCAGTGTAGGTATTCACGAGGTGGTCCACAAAGTGGCGAATACGATAGCTTTGCCCACACCACAAAGTGATGTGTTGTCTACATAGAGCTATAAAAACTTAATAGAGCGGTAACTGCTCATTCTTGCTCGCGGAGACCCTTTTAAGCCGTTCTGGGCTCAGACATTTGCGCAGAGCAAAACGAAACGCTCATTTGCTGATTGTGCGTTTCGGTTTTGGGCGTTCAACTTTCGGTAACGCACCTGTATAGAATACAAACGCAGATATACAAAAACATGTACAAAAGCCGTACAAAATTTTGAGTTTTCCATAGCTTTGTGCACAAATATGGATGCGCCCAGCAGGCATCACTTTGTACACGAGTCAGCGCTGTAGTATTAATTTAATATAGCTCTATGGTTGTCTATGGCCTTTGTGAACAGGATTACTTTGTGGTGTGGCAACTAACGTAGTATGTCACTTCGTGGTGTGACCGACCTAGCGATAGAGACTTTCCTTTCCAAAATACCAATCTTAAAGCTATAGTCCATCATTTGCAGCCATCTGAAAAGTAACTGGCTTAATTACTGTTGAAAAACAAACTTGGTTGAAAGATAGTAAGGGAACTAAACTCCCTGTGAAATTATTCTTTCTGGGAAGCTGTCATTTTGAAGAAATCAACGAAAGAAGGCATTTCCAACGGTGATTCTTAAGAAGCACCGTAGGAAAATTTAAATTAGTAGTTCGTTTTGTTATTCGGCGCAGCGGGCGCAAGCATTGGAACGACGCACACGCGCGCGCCGTTGTTATAATTCGTCGGATCAGTGCGCGACGCCGCGTATAGCTGCAATTCAAAACAATTCAAAACATGATTCAGTAACTTTTGATTTGAAATTGAGATCCTAGAATGCTGCTTTTCTCGGAATATACAGCTGAAGCTTAGCTGAAACTTCATCAGGTTAGTTGCTCAGTACCCTTCATTAGATTTTGAACACTTTTGTTGCTTCAAACGAACAAAATGCACTAATTACAAATGATGGACTATACCTTTAACCCATTAGCACCTGTACTACATTGTATTACATTGTGTTTATTCACTGAAGAATCAGTAAAACCATAGAGTGCTCGGGCAGTTTCAGGCGCTGTACAGTGGGTAATAGGTCTCTCTCAAATGACGTCACCTCCTACAGATTGTCACGTGCATCAGCATTTTGAGCGCCAAAATTTCTTGACCCGCATCGGCTGCGCTGTATGTTGAAGAAATTTCGAGCAACATGCTTGCGTGTTTTGAACATTTTGCACACTGCACGCGCACACACCTGATGGCGTTGAACCCGCAGTTGTAATTTTCCTACTAAGATGGCTGTCTATGAGAGGGTCAATAGGCAGGGCAGTAGGCGCTTCAGTGACTAAAGGCTTTAAGGTCAGACAGTTTAGGGGTGGACATTTACCGGGTATTTCTAGAACCAGGCAAACACATGTCTTGAATAGTTGTCATGGCGTCCAGTTACAGTTAGTGTTTATTTGTCATCTTTCAGTCTCTTGGTCTGGAGCTACTACCCCCGACTCCGCCAGTCTCTTTCGAGCCAGCCTCGGGATCGCAGAATGAAACTCCCATCAGGCTGCCTGCGGGAGGCACGCTGAAGAACAATATGTCAACTGGTAAGGAGGCTACTAGCAGCACCACACAATTCGTCGCAGAGCTGACATACCGACGAATAAGCGAAAACCTTGTTTCGAGTAATTCGCGTTTGAAGTTGGACATTTTTCTGGGCGCCATATTTTACCCTTAATGTTTTGATAATAACCCTTTTAGTGTACACTCGGAATAAAATAGTAAAAATGGTACTTTAAACGCACACCTTAGATAAGCTGGTTACCAGTGAAACTTTGTATTCGTCACTATGTCAAATTATGGATTTGTTTTTGTGACTGATTTGCCACAGGGGGGGGGCTCCGAATCTCAAAATCCAGACAAAAATTAAGAATTTTGGCATAAATACTTGAAAGAGCAACCTTCATAAACCCTAAAATTAACAAAATCTCGAAATCGCCAGAATGGTCGATTCGCTGGTATGTCAGCTCTGCGACGAATTATACAGTGAAAATAGATGCTCATTATGTGAACAGAGGACCCCTATCCTCAGATAATATACATTGGGAAACCCTACAGTATGGCCAAGGTGGATTTGAACACAATGCTCAGGAAATTTAACATATTCAGATTTCCAGCGAGAAATTTTTCATTAATTTCCATTTTGTAAGATTCTCTTAAAGACTTGTTACTCCAAAATACCCCTGGTGACTTATTACTCATTACTTATTACAAAGTGATTTTGATTGATTGATTGATTGAATAGTTTATTGCTTCATATGTGCATAAAAATACAAATAGTAGAAATTTCCTTGATTGCTCGCTATAAAATACTACTTAAGAATTACCATAAAATTATAAGACATAGCCCACAGAGCTAGCACCCACACTTCCAAATCATTTGATGAATTTGTATGTGAAGTATGGATATTACTTCAAAACACTCCACAACTCTTTTCTGTGGTTGAGCTTAGGGCAAACAGGCAGATTCAGTCATGCTTCACTGCTCTCCACAGTGCTGTTTTGTGTGTGCAGTGACTCTGTGTGACACAGTTACTTTTACACTTCATAACCCTTGACGTGAAAGGTTTTAAATTGCACCGAATATTGACATCTCACTTTCAATTACAAACGTTTTACACGATTGTTCGCAGATACCCCCGAGGCTGTGTCTATGCTGAGTGATACCATCAACAAGGCCGCCCTGAGGCATGCGGGGCTGGTGCAGGGGACGCCCACAAGCACACTAGGGGAACTCAGGAAACAGACCCAGGGGTGAGGTTGATAACGTATTGTGGCTTTGTGATCTGATGTGTCAAAGTTAAAGGGCATTACGTCCTGAAATCCCCCAAAATTTATGTTTTGGATTGTTTACTTATCTTATTTCTAAGGTCTGATTGAAAGAAAAATTTACCTAATGTCGCACTGTTCCTGAGAAAAGACGAAAATCCCGGTTGTTTACTTCTGATGGGGCAAACATTTTGTGGCATACACGTACGTATTTTACATTCAAAGCACGATATACATTGGGTGTGTGACACATTATACACACAGCACCAATACACAAATGTTGTTTCCCGCACGTCCGCAGAATGCAATGCACTGTTGGAACATGTGCGGCAGGATTCACAACTCGCACCCAACAGCTTGATTTCTGAGAGTCAAAATTTCAACCCTCAAAATTCATTCTCGCATGGTTCTCTCAATAATAACACCCAAAAAAACCCAGCTTTTAAAGAATGGTTGTGTGGACATTTTTATCCTACTTTAAAATGCTCTTTCCAATTAACATTTCGTATAAATGCATTTTGTAGCCCGATTGGGCACATTCAAGGACGCAATGTCTCTGTAACGGCATATACTAGTAGGATCATTTGTTTTCCAATAATAACACCACTCAAAATCAAAAAAAAGAATATTCAAAACCTAACCTGATGAGGTTTCAGCTCAGTGGATATTGCACTTTTTTTCCAGAAAACAGTGAAAAACTATGCGCAACCTTTTGATCACAAAACACGATTTCGTCAATAGCACTCTTTTATCCCAAAAATCAGTCACTTGGCTGATCCTTAAAAACCACCTCATTTCTTCCAAATGACGTCAAGCCAGACAGAATAATTTCCTGGGGTGTTTAGTACCAGTGAGAACTTTAATCCAAGCAAGCTTGTTGATAATACTTCGGTAGGTCACTTTTGGGATAAATGCAAGTGATCCACTCCTTCTGATTTGAAGCGTGCGATCACACCCCCACACCATCGCACACCTAAAAGCTTCCCGAGAAGTGTGAATGATTGCACGCCTGAACTTCCCTGGACCACAGATCACACACCTAGAAAATCACACACCTAGAAAAAACACACGCCTAGAAAAATTCAGTGTGCTTTTTTTCCACACGCCTGTGATTTTCAAATCCCATTCTTAATGGTTCTGGGATCAGCTGATTTCCGTATTTTATAGTTTGCTTATTTTAAACTTGGAAACACTGTAGAAAGTCCTGTAAATCTTGGAATTTCCTATTATTTTGTGATTTCCAAGTGAATCTTCTTGGCACTGGCTCTCTGCTGTACATTACAATGTGTGCACCTATTGGTAACCAGTGATGCAATCAAACTTGGTAAGCTCGTCCTGAAACAGCTGATTAGTCCAACCAGGTTTGACAAGCATGTGTTCAATAAGAATTGGTTGAACTGTGGTTGAATGTATTGTTTAATCCAACTTGCTGTGATATTCCAGTCTTAAATTAATTGTTCCGATCTCGTTTTTACTTTTCCAGCCCCTCCAAGTTGCCCCGCCCGACAGGGGCAGCCAACTCCGAGAGCCTGCCGAACCGGAAGAGGGTCAAATCTGCACCTTCCAAAGTAGTCCCCTCAACGACCCCAACAACCCGGACCCACCTTGGACACCCAGACCCCCAGACGCCTCACCTGGGTACCCGGGTACCCAACACCCATAAGAGGGGCGAGGTGAACGGGGACATGGCCCGTGTACCCAAGACCCAACCCAGGAACGGTGCCGGGAGCAGGCTCAGTAGGCAGCCCAAGGATGGACGGAAAGAGCCCAGGACAACGGAGACACCTGGTGTGAGAAAGGCGTCATCCAGAGCAAAGGTTAGCCTTTTCTTCCTGTCAGTCATACAGTGCGCATTAACCAATTAGATCGCTCTTTTTGGTCAGGTGACCATGATAGCTCACTCTAAAGCCCGGTTCGTACTTCAAGCGAAAGCAAGTGCGAAGCGATATTCATGTCATCAACAATGGTGGACACGCTGTGAACTTATTGTTAATCAAACTAAGTATTGCCCTTCACCGACGTATAAACACTGTACATGTATACCAAGTGTTTTTACATCACCCCGGGGCAAAATTCCATCTTATGACGAACTTATTGTTGATGTCACAAATTTTGCTTCGCCTTCACATGAAGTGTGAACCGGCCTTTACTCGTTCAAAAGCACTGTGAGAAATGTTTGTTCACAAACCAAAGGTGGGCAGGGCTAATGGCCAAAGCCAGAATAGACCGTAATTGATGTATTAGGTATAAGTAATTATGTAGAGCAGGGGTGTCAAATCTCAGCTTTAAAGACGATTTCAACATTTTTTGTTTAGGATTTCAGGTTTTTTTCCTCACTTGTTGTGCGCAAAAGAGTAGGGGATTTCCAAAGTTCAGCTTTTTTACACCTTAGCAGCTGTTTTCAGCTATTTTTATCAGTGGTCACACCCCTCCCATCACTCACACCCCTGGTAGAGAATTAAGCAAGTCTGATTCGTAAGTGACAGTCATTGAGTCAGTCAGTCAGGTAGTCAGGTACAAAATAGGCTGGCCCCTTGGGGACTTGGGGGAAGAAATAAATTGAAAAATTCTCTTGAAAGACATGTCTGAAATCTGATCACTTTCCCTGACCACCAGTCACATTTTTGCCCTGATAATGTTCTCTCTTTATCTTTTCAGAAGTTGGTTCCAGACGTTTCCACAGCGTCTCCATCACTTCAAAGGACACCTGTGGCTTCAGCCAAAGCAGGTGCTATGTCCAGCGCCATGAGATCCAAAACTGCCCCCCGGGCACATCAAATACTAGCAGAACAGGTGCGTTGGGGATTTTTTCCGGGGAAAAAATCTGACTTTAATATCTTTGCCTACTTGTCGTCAGACTTTGTACAAGTAAAACTGAGCTTAGGACTGTAACTAATCGGTGGTAGCACTAGGCCTATCTAAGGTTGGCGCTCCAGCCGTGCTGACTGGAAAAATTGAAATTCCTCCCTCGCTTGGCTCTTATTGTATTGATTATTATTTTTGTATTTGGTTGATGGTGCAGATCGCTGATGCAGTGACTACAGGAGGAAAGATCACGCCTGACTTTCTGGAATTGTTGAGGACTCATTCGCGGGAGAATTCCCCGCTAGACTCGGCTCTCGCGGACCCATTAGCAGGATTAGGTGAGCAAGTTATCTTATTCTGTCATTAATGAAGTGGGAGAGTGTAACCTAGTGGTCAGGGTGTGCTGTGTCCTTGGGCAAGCCACTTCACCCTACTTGCCTCTCTCCACACAGAAGTATTGCTGGGGAGTAACCTGCAATGCACTTCATTCTGTCTAGAAAATAGAAAAATCCACTGTTGCTTCACGCTGTGGAAGTTGAAGTTGAAGATGAAAACCGACCTGATGACCCATATTGGCTTGGGACAATTGTTTTTATTGAAGAGACAGGATTTTAACATTTGACCTTCAGAAAAGCCCCAGGTACCTGACTTCCATGGGTTGTCTTTATTTTATCAAAAATTCGGTAAAATTATTTTATCAAAAATTTGGATGCAATCAGGGTGTCCAGGAAATTATTAATTACGTGAGAGTTGAATGTTCATTCATCAGTTTAGTTTTGGGGATAATTTGATAAGTTGGAATTGTTGTTTTTCAGATCAACATGCCTTTGTCAGCAAGGACAAGCTGAAAAGAACCCCAGTCACCGAGGAGAGGAGTCACATCGCCTCGACAAGACTGGGAGACACCCCTAAACACACAATGCCAACAAGGACTCTGTTTGATTCAGACTCTAGCCCTGGTGAGCCGTCAGTCTTGAGTCGTGACCCTGGAAAGTTATCTCCAATTGATGGTAATGATCTGTTGCTACTTGGGTCAAGGGAAGGCAGTCCGATTGAAGACAGCAAAGACTTGATGTCGGGAGTTGTTGTTGGAAACCTCCTTGATTTAGAGGAGCCAGAGCAGCAAGGCGGTACCCTCCTTCCTTCAGGGAACCTCTTGGACCTTGCGGATGAAGCTGAGGTATCCGCGGAGGCACGGTCTGACCACTGGCTGGCTTCTCTTGGAGATGGCACCACTCTGCCGGAGACGAGGCCGGAGTTCTCAGAGGATCTGGAGCAAACACTCGCTGAGATCTTTCAGACCAGGACGCCGCAGCTGTCCACCAGAGCCAAGACCAGGATTGCAGCTCGCAAGCAGGGGTCGTCCCTGTCGAGCTTCCAAGAGGAAGACGAAACAAACTCATTTGGGACTCCATCGCTACCCAACAGAGAGACAGACCTCACAGAAGGGCTGACCCCAGACCTGAATTTGTTGAGACAGGACAGGTTAAGAAGGCAAACTGAGAGCATCGGATTCCATCCAAGGAATGACCCCCTGAACTTTTCACAGCCACGCAAGAACCAAGCTGACGTCAGTTTAAACAAAGTTCGGCAAGTCAGTGGCGGGTCCCAGAAGAGTGTTACCTTCTCTGAACAGGTCGACGAGCACAGCTTCTTGGACCAGAGCATCACCAACTCTGAACAGTCAAATGTTGACTCTCCATCAAGGGACTACATCAGTCCACTTGGCACTCCTAGTGACAAGCCAGGACCCGACGAGTCCCTTCAAACTCCAGGCAACTCGTCAAGCAGCAGCCCTCAAGAAATCCCAGGGAAAGATCGTGGTACGTTTCTAAGTGACGTCTACCTGGCGCACTCCCCTCCCCCGCCTAACAGGCCAAGCGAGACTCTCTTCACGAGCCCACTAGAGGGCCAGCTGCTGTCGGACTCGGACCTGGGCCAGGACTTCTCCATGAACCTCTCCACGGCCATCGATGACCTCCTTGTGCCTATCTCTCCGGATATTACACCATCCAGGACCCCCAAACTGACGTCCCGTCACTCTTCGGCTAATTCATCACAACCTTCTGTAAAGAAGACATCCCGACTATCATCCACACAACATACTGAACATAGTTTATTCATGGAGTCATTACCACATCAGAGGGATGCTTTCAGCCTGAAACCTGGGACTTCCCCACTCATAGAAGACTTCTCCAATTTACACCTTTCTAGAATGACGCCCGTGACACCCAACCATAAATCTGTGGAAATGCCAATGAACTTTGATCTATTGGGTAAGTACTTGCCAACTCATAGTTTCTGTTTCAACTCACCGTGGCATTTATCTCTATTCTTCAGTGATCCCACTAGTCGCATCTTTCAGCAATTCAGCATCAATTTTTGGTCATCATCTAGGGAATTTTGTTGTTGTGATTTTCCCTTCAAAATTGCAATTGTATAAACTACACAATACCAGGGTTCGACCTGAACTTTTTTGTTCACTAGCCAGCCGGGCTACCAAAACAGATTCTGAACTTGCCCGCGGGCATTTTAACCAGCCCGCATGTTTTTCTGTGTTATTAACAACAATGTGCATATGTAAAACGTGTATCCTGAGGCAATCTTGTTATTGTTTTTAATAAACAGATCTAATAATTTAACCCTAAACAGTTAGTAACATTAAACATAAATTGATCCTTCCCGTCCTTTCATCATTGCCGTAGCCCAATTTTTTTTTGACTCGCAAGCCGGGCTACTCAAGGAACAGTTTGACTAGCCCTCTGCTGTTTTGACTAGCATTTGGCTAGCGGGCTACTATTAAAGTTGAACCCTGCACTATACTCAGTCCTGTCCAAATTCGAATCTGGTATTGGCTCGGGTTGCGAACAAGAGAAGGCGCTTTTTTGACCGTGTGCATACTGATTCGTACACATACACCTTGTAGGGTGAAGTACGCACGACTCATTTGTTTCAGAATGTTCACAAAGCCAAAGCGTCATCGCATGAGCATCGGGCGCATTGGCAATTTGTTCGAACGTCTCTCCATTTGGTCTCCCCCAACTTTCCCTTTCTTTCTGTTTAGTGGGTACAGAGCCGATAGCATTTGGGCTCTACGATGAATCATTAAAACAGACAAAATTAACAGGTAACACCATTTTGAAAGAAATCTCTTCTTGGAAGAAGTGTGGTTCTGAAAAGAACCGGTTGGCTGAGTGTAGAACTTGACGTTTTGGACAGTGTGCTGTCCGTCCTCGGGAGACAGAGCACGCTGTCCGAAACGTTGAGTTCTACACTCAGCCAACCGGTTCTTTTCAGAACCACACTTCTTCCAAGAAGAGATTTCTTTCAAAATGGTGTTTCCTGCAATTTTGTCTATTTTATGTCATCCGCCATGCAGAGATGCCAACCAGTACTCTTTTGGAGTAATTACTAGGATTATGAGGCATGTTACTACTCTTGAAAATTCCAGCTGTCCTATACGCCAACATTGTGGTTACTCTGAAAAGTACTGTGGTTACTCTTAAAGATATAGTCCATCATTTGTAATTTGTGCATTTGTTCATTTGAAGCAATAAAAGTGTTCAAAATCTAATGAAGGATACTGAACAACTAACCTGATGAAGTTTTAGCTCAGCTTCAGCTGTATATTCCGAGAAAAACAGCATTCTATGATCTCAATTTCGAATCAAAAGTTGCTGAATCATGTTTTGAATTGGGCCTGAATTCAGCGTCCGAGATACGTTCTCACTGAGCCGATTGCAGCTACGCGATGTCGCGCACTGATCCGACGAATTATAACAACCGCACGCGCGTGTGCGTCGTGCCAATGCTTGCGCGCGCTTCGCTGAATAACAAAATGAACTACTAATTTAAATTTTCCTACGGTGCGTCTTAAGACGGATGGCTGCAAATGATGGACTATAGCTTTAAACTTGACTGTTGTCCTATGTATTTACATTAGCATTACTCTTTGCAGGGAGAATCATTACTATTTTGTAGTCTGTAAAGTTGGCATCTCTGCGCCATGGAAAGCTTCAAATCATGTATGAATCATTACTTCACAGGATGGAATTTTTGCAATCTGGGTATTTTACCCTTCAGATAAAATTTCATAATCACTGTATAAATCAGTGATGTCTGCTTGCGATTATTTTTCGACTTCTTTTTTAATCTCATTTTGAACGGGAAGCAGATGAGGATGACTCCATTCTACTGCCCACCTCACCAGCTCTGAGGCAAGGGGTTCTCGTTGACATCTCTCCGCCACACTAGTCCAGCAACTGGCTACAGACAGACAATATCAGCTACATCTCTCAGCTTCAGTCAGCTAAGTCTTGTAATAAAACATACATAAGGCCAAAACAAAAAATAAGTCGGTCTCTGGTCAGCGCGGCGCGTCGTTTTTAATCATGCGCGTCGATCTTTTTTTTTTCCAAAATGTTCCGCGGTAGCTCCAACAGCGCCCTCTATTTCCGCACCTCATTTTTTTTTTACCAAAGAGCACCAAGGAATGGGAAATTGCACCAAGGCAAATGATCGAAAGCACCTAGGCAAATTATGGAGGACACCAATGTACATGAGGACACCAAAAAAGCAAAATAGTACCCCCCACCTTGTCTGTACAATCCAAGCTTGAAGAAAAAAAAGAAAGAAAGAAAAAAAAAAAAAGCCGCGTCAATTCCGGAACTTTGGTCTGACCAGAGACCGAATATTTTTTTTTTTTTGCATAACAACTAACTTGTTGAAGTTTCACATCAGTGAATACTCTACATTTTGAGAAAATGTATGCACAAATTTTTGGGAGTGTCATAACGAGTAACGTACGTAAAAACAAATGTGAGTGCACAATCAGCTCTGGCCGTGTTGCAAGAAGTCTTGCATGAAAGTCTTGCGTGAAATCGATCAAAATGATCCCTGCCCGAGCTGAAAAATGCGACTCCGAAAAATGTGACTCCGAAAAATGTGACTCCGAAAAATGCGACGCCGATGGCACATTTTCGGGAAAGCCAGACAGACAGACCATTGGACCGACCAACCACCAAGTGACATGTAGAAGCTCATGCCAGAGCTTAAAAATTGTGCCAGCGGGCGGACTTTCTAATACCACCTGAAATGATTGTTTTCTTCCGAATGATACCATTTCAGGTGGAATAATTTCACAGGGTATTTAGTACCAGTCCTATCTTCACTTTGAGCAAGGATTTTTCTCATTAAATCGATACATATTTCTGATTAATTGCAATTGTTCCTTCATGCTTTTTAAAGCTATAGTCCATCATTTGCAGCTATCCGAAAAGTAACGGCATAATTATTGATGAAAAACATACTTGGTTGAAAGATAGTAAGGGGACTAAACTCCCTGTGAAATTATTCTTTCTTGCAAGCTGTCACTTTGAAGTAATCAACGAAAGAAGGCCTTGCCAACGGTGCTTCTTAAGACGCACCGTAGGAAAATTTAAATTTGTATTATTCGGCGAAGCACGCGCAAGCATTGGCACGACGCACACACACCCCCGGTTGCTATAATTTATCGGATCAGTGCGCGACATCGTGTAGCTGCAATTGGCTCAGTGAGAACCCGTCTCGGATGCTGAATTCAGGTCCAATGATTCAGCAACTTTTGATTTGAAATTGAGATCCTAGAATGCTGTTTTTCTCGGAATATACAGCTGAAGCTGAGCTGAAACTTCATCAGGTTAGTTGTTCAGTATCCTTCATTAGATTTTGAGCACTTTTGTTGCTTCAAACGAACAAAATGCACAAATGACAAATGATGGACTATATCTTTAAGGTGTGTATGCACACTTTGGTGTGGAAAGCTTATTACAAAGCTGTATATATTGCATAGAATTGGAAAGCTAATAATTTTGAAGTTTTGTTTTGTTTGGTTTTTAATTAAATTGTAGCTTGTACACTATGAAAGCAATGGTTGCAGTTTATATAATAAAGCACATTAACATTTCTCATAAGTTTGGGTAACTTTTCAGGGGAAAGCGCTAGTTTTTGTTGGAAAGGAAAAATGCCAACTTCAAACTGTGAAATACAATCCCAACTTGTATTTTATTTACTCAATCTGAATGAAGTGGGATTTAAACAATAAATGTGACTTTTGTAAATGATTTTTTTTAAATATAAATTTGGCACTTTGAGTGCGTCACATGCTATGCACAATTTTAATAGCACAGCTTTTGTTACAGTAAAGGAATTGCTATGCAAATATTACTATGCAAATATTATGACTGGATTGTACATAGATAACTAAGAAGTGTCCAAGAAAAATGTTGAAATGCGTAGCAGAACCGTTTCTGTCTTATAGCAATCCTGGCCTAAATGTTAAACAAACGTGTTTCACAACACTTAATGAAAGGTTCAGTAAACTAGTTGTCTATCTTAAACCTTTGCTGTGTATATTTCCACATAAACACTGACTGACGTGAAAACATTTCGTATTTTTTAGGAAAATTGTCTTGTCAGACAAAAAAATTTGGCAGCAAGATGAGAGATTATCTTGAACTGAGCATGTGATCTGTGAAGAGCCTCCACTTGACATTATACACCGTACACCACCTTTAAAGCTTGATGTTTATTTATGCTAGGTCTGATGTTACTTTTTCCCCAACAACCCCCACATCAAAACTTTTGAATCGATTTTTAAGATTACTCTGAAATAACTTATGATTAACGGCTCAAGGGTTTTCACAGATCACATAGCTTATTTTATAACCCTCTATTATTTAACGCACACTTAGAAACTTGATAATTTGTGTGACAGCGAAAACAAAATGATAAACTTCTTTTGAACAAATATTTTGAAATGCAGGTTTTGATTTTTCACGTTTGCTCCTTTGTACTGAATATGAAATATGACATTAATTTTGGATTGAAGCCTTGTAAAATGATTATTCTCAAATAAAGTATTCTTCTATGCTTGCAACAGTTACAAGTTTAATATTTGTTTTCATTTTTTTTTCATATTTTCCAGTGATAAGAGGTGTATTCATTTTGAATGTTTACGAGTTAATGAAACTAGAGCAGCCATTTTAGTGCGGCAGTCGTTGCTATGGCAGCCATGCCTAGCAACCACACAGACGCAGCCTTCCCATTGGCTGCATTGCAGTGGTTAGAATCACAGCAGGAGAAGCAGGCGCCGGTGCCGAAGGTCAGGAAGCAGTCCTCTTCGCACTTCGGGACGCACGACCGGTCCACATAAATTTTCTCGTCCATGTGATACGTCGATTTAGTCTACATGTGTACAAGAAAAATAACTCATAAGATTTAATTTTTGCGTCGGGGTGATGTAAATCAATATTAGGTTTTGCCCTTCACCGACGTATAAACACTGTATACTCAGTGTGTTACTTCCTGAGTAATAGTTGGAAAAAATCACTCAGGTGGGACTCGAACCCACGACCTCCTGCTTTTTAGCGCAGACGTCTAACCACTCGACCACCAAGCTAACGGGATCGGTTAGCTGGTTCGAATCTGATGTACATAGCAGTGGGTACGCCATTTAAGTATTCATAAGATGGAATGTTTGCGTCAGGCTGATGTAAATCAATATTAGGTTTTGCCCTACACCGACGTATAAATAATAATAATCTTATAGGTTGGGGCGGGCTGACATCATCTGATGGAAACATCTATTCATTTGCACACCAGTTTTCATAGGTTGCTATGTGATACCAGTCAGCACCCCAGACTCAAGAACCATTGAGTTTCAAGAACATAGGTCTGGGAGCCAGATAAGCCAATGTGAACAAATTCCTGGATGTCCGCGCCCACCTATAGATACAAAAGAGATCTGTGATAACATCTGGGCCCAATAAGCCTCTGTACTGATGACATCACACTTTGTTTACATGTGCACTTTCCTTTGGAGCCAGTGGGGGCCCACAGTCCACCGAGCACCATAGGAAAGCACAATTGTAAACAAAGTGTGACGTCATCAGAGGCTTATTGGCATGGCGCTGCTAAGCGCACAGCTTTCTGCTAACAGCCTCCATCTATGTCACGGAGACCGTAAGCAGTAAGCACAGCAAAAACCATGCTTACCTCAAGGGAAAAAGTTGCTTAAATTAGTGTCTGATGGTGTACCTATGTGCTTTAGTTTATTTTGTTCTCTTTTGAAATATAAAATAATGTAAAAGTGAAACATTCAAAGCAAACTTCACCCAACATTGATACCTGGCACACGCCGTCACACGTTGTCGTGTTCTGTGGTTGTGTCAGATCAAGAGCCTCGCCACATTTGTTGACGTCCACTACGTCATCGCAATACGTACCACAGATCGGAGCCCTAGCGATGATGCCATGACACATATAGCACTCAATACCTGGCGGGGAGGGCAAAATAGAGATGGCATTAGTCAGGCAGGGTGGGAAGGAGAGGGAATTCTTAGAATTGAAAAAAAAAAGGATTTGAAACTTGCTAAAATTGTGTGCAGAAATTTTCTATTGGAAATTGTTACTTTATAAGCCCTGCCTTCAAGATATTAAATTCATTATTTGGGGTGGGTTTTTTTTGGGGGGGGGTCAAAACACTTGAAAAGAGAGATCATCTCAAAAGACTTTTTTTGTGTCTTAATGGTTTGTTGTAATTTGAGGTTTGGGTTGGGTTGGGTTGGGTTGGCTGGGTTGGGTTGGGTTAAGTTGGGTTGGGTTGGGTGAGATTGAGGGGGGGGGGTTGGTTGGGCTGGGTTGGGTTGGGATGGAATGGGTTGGGTTGGGATGGGTTGGGTTGGTCGGGATGGGTTGGGTTGGGTTCGGTTGAAATGTGTGGGTTGAGTTGGGTTGGGTTGGTTGGATTGAGTTAGGTTGGGTTGAGATGTGTTGGGTTGGTTGGGTTAAGATGGGTTGGGTTGGGTTTAGATGGTTTGGTTTGGGTTGAGATGATTTGGGTTGGGTTGGGTTGAGATGGGTTTGGGTTGGTTGGGCTGGGTTGGGTTGGGTTAAGTTGGGTGAGATTGAGGGGGGGGTGGTTGGGCTGGGTTGGGTTGGGATGGAATGGGTTGGGTTGGGTTGAGATGGGTTTGGGTTGGTTGGGATGGTCGGGTTGGGTTGGGTTCGGTTGAAATGTGTGGGTTGAGTTGGGTTGGGTTGGTTGGATTGAGTTGGGTTGGGTTGAGATGGGTTGGGTTAAGATGGGTTGGGTTGGGTTTAGATGGTTTGGTTTGGGTTGGGTTGGTTGGGTTGAGATGGTTTGGGTTGGGTTGGGTTGAGATGGGTTGGGGCTGAATTTAGTTGGGTTTAGTAAAGCTTGGGTTAGATTGGTTTGGTTTCAGTGCTAGTGGGGGATGGGTTCAGTGGGGGTGGGATGGGTTGGCTTGTGTCGGGTTGGGTTGGATTGGCGATGGGTTGAGATGGGATAAGTAGGCGGGGCTGGATGGGTTGGGTAGGGTATGGGTGGGTTGGGTTGGATTGGGGGTGGGTTGAAATGGGATGCGTGGGATTGGATGGGTCGGGTTGGCCTTGGTATATGGTTTGGTTGGTTAATAAGGGTTATGACACCCCCGCCTGACCTCTACCCCCACCCCTCCCACGCCAGTGGCCACACCCTACCCTTTCAACAGTTGGGAATTTTTCATATTCAGCATGCATGTGGTTTATTTACCTGACACCGATTGTATAGCCGAGGCAAAGCCGGCAATCAGCAGAAATAGCAACATGTCAACCCAGATCACAAGCAGTATACCTGGATTTATTTAACTGATATGGAAATAAAGACAGAGAAACATTTATTCTAGTAAAGTAGTAGTTGTATTCTAGTAAAGTAGTGTATTGTCACAACCAACAATGAGCTATTAAAAAAAATGCAAGGGTCTTTATTTATTTAATAATGGAGAACTTGGCTCTGTGGCGAAAAGGGATGCTTCTGGTTAATGTTATGCATGACTGTATAAGCACCCTACGTGTAGTAGAAGGCCTAACTCCTAGCCCTGGTGGACTCCCTTTCCTCCCTACGTCGTCCAACCTGGGCTAGCCTAACTCCCAACCAACTCTACTCAAGAAGTTGTGATTCAAATAGGCCTATATAAGAAGAACTTGAAGTTATGGTGGCTTTATATCAACCGTGACCTAGTAGTGAGTGAGTAGTGGGACTATAGCAATCTGTACAAATCTCTTCCACTTCTCGAATTTAGAGGCATTTTGGCATCAGTAAAAACGTGCTCTGATCCTAAGACATTTGACCTATCACATATTTTGTAATATAAGTGTTTAATAAGTGCATTATATACCGTTTGAACTTACCTGAAGTTTGCCAGACTTTTAGGCCTTCCCCACCATGTCAACTTTGGAGCTGAACAGACCTAATCGACCACAAAAACCCAACTGCGAAAAGTTTACCCCTTAAAATGTTACCAAAAAGCTGAAATATTTCCCCGATTCCTTTTTCATTTTTTAGCCTGCATCAGCGCCCACAGAGAATGATTCCATTTTACGCTCGCGCCTAGGCGCGACGCGCATCCTATGCGCTATATCTGCTGCGCGCACACACACATAATTAATATCAACCTTCATTAAAAAGTGGGGGGGAAATTACAAAATCCGTCCAAAAAATAGTAAATAAATATTTACAACCGTTTTTACTTCCTCTCTATGAGAGGGGCAGAGTGACGCAGGAAGGGAGTTTACGTCAAAATTTAAGCTTCTTCACGACTCAGACACTTAATTCCTAAAATGGGTTAAATTTTGCTTGTCGGAACTTTAAAAAAAAAAACAGCTCGATATTATTTTTCATGGATGTAATCACTGTCTCTTGAGCTAGTACTTCGCCTCTCTTGCAAGTTTGGCCTGAATTTAGAGTGTCTAGAGTCCGATTCCCGCGTTATTTCTCGACCGTGGGCTAAAACCTTTTGGGGGGGGCCAAAAATTAACTCGGACAGACACCGCGCGCCGAGTTTTGAGCACGCGTCCGTCTACTCTTCATAGCGCCCTCTGTTGGCAATCCTTGCAACTTGCGAAACTTTCCACAAATGAAAATGTTGGATTTTACAGCGACGGAGAAATGACTTGTCGACGGAGAAATGCCACATTTTTTTCGCCTTCATGTTAATGTTATTAGTACCAACGGAAACTCAGGACTTTCCAAGTTTATCTGTGAAGCGGTAAATCTACTTGTATATTGAACAACAACAAAAAGAGCATTATGAATTCGATACTCCTTGCAACGTCAGTTCTTGTTTTGATGGCGCCGTGTACCATGTGCACAAGTACTTCGACAAACAACGCAGGTAGGCATGACGTTATGTTGTCTGGCCGTAACTTCCGTAAGCAGTTTTGTTACTTCAGTTTGTAATTGTTGGGGGTTAGGAATTACCCCAACTGCATTTCTCCCGAGTTTGTTGGTTTGGCAAGCGGGTATTATAGAGGGAAAACAGAAGAAGAAATGGCAGACAAAAGAATTAGGCTTTTTCTCGAATAGAATTTCAAACTCAAAGCAGGCCTAAAAACCTGCAAAAACAAAATGGCGCAGGTTAATGGAATTAAAACTTTTAAAAGTACTTGACCTCAATGTAAATTTGAGAAAAAAGGTGCACAGATAAGATCACTTTTGTGACAGTTGCCAAACCTGCACTAATTGTTTTCTAGTTCTTTAGTCCTAATTAAAACTAAACTGCCTGTTTCCTGTCCACAGACAAGGAGTGTTTTGAGTGCTATGGGGTCATGGGTGAGAGGACAGACTGTGGAGCTACACTCTCTCCAGATGACGTTGTCAATACAACACGCTGTGCCTACAGTTGCGCCGTAAGTTTATGGACAACTTAAACATAAATAGTTGCACTAGCCCCGAAAACCTTACAAGCAAGCAGTAAGGCTAAGTAACAAAACAAAAATTGTTTCTCTGCGCTTTTTGAAAAAATGAAGGAGGCGCTCTGTTTTTCCCCCAAATGGCAGATTTTCCAAAATGGCGGATGGGTTCTTCCCTTTTCTTGACTGTTTTGCTGATAGAAAATTGTGTCAAAAGGAGCCGTCGCCTTAAAATTTGTTGGAAACAAATAAGGCAATATATTTGCAAAATTTGGAAAATATATTGCAAGTGTACGAATTGAATTTTTTACAAAGGTGGCGGGTGGGAAAAGGAAGCAGGTTGGTACGGGAAACTGTTGTTTTTTTCACTTGGCCTAACAAAGGAGGAGGGGTCATCAGGTTTTGAAATTTAGGTAGTATTTAGCCAGTCTTCAAAATAGTAAAAAACCTTCACTGCGGTTTGTATTTTCAGCATGGGCAGTCTGTGTCATGAATCTTCACCCAAGCTGCTCTATGATTGGTTGAGGCAGTTTGTTCATCACAAACCTTCACAACCAATGGTTTTGCACATGAAGATTTACTGTCCAATAGAATCAACTGTTTCATTTATGCCCTTTTCAGCACAACCAGGTTGTTTATTTATTTTCCCTTGTGTAAACCTATGACTGTATTAGTTTTAAAAAAAAGTCTCTGTCTTTCTACGTTTCACAGAAGGTGCTAATCTACATGATGGACCAGAAAATCGCCATCTCTAGAGAGTGTGTTGAACACTGTGAGGACGGATGTGTGAAGGACATTGCAAGTCATTGCTACTACTGCTGCAATTCCACACTGTGCAACAGCACTACAGGCCTCAAGCAAACTCCAAAGCAGAACCTATATGCCAGACTCATAATTCTACCATTGCTGTGTGCAGTATGGAATTAACCAATAACATTACGCCTACTATTGGAAGTAAATTTTGAAGATATATGCTCAGTGCAATTTTTTTTATTTTCTTTCAGGAAGAAATCTTCATCAGTTATGTTTCTTGATATAAAAAAAACTCATTTAGGACCTACATGTACCTGTTATGTTGAACAGGGTTCCCGCGGTCATGTAAAAGTCATGGAAAATCCTGGGGGAAAAACTTGTCCTCGAAAGTCATGGAAAAGTCATGGAAAATTGGAAGAAAACACACACAAAAATGACATGGAAAGTCCTGGGAAATAAACTTGTCCTGGAAAGTCATGGAAAAGTCATGGACAATTGGAAGAAAAAAAGGTAAAAGTCATGGAAAGTCCTGGGAAATAAACTTGTCCTGGAAAGTCATGGAAAAGTCATGGAAAATTGGAAGAAAAAAATAGTAAAAGTCATGGAAAGTCCTGGGAAATAAACTTGTCCTGGAAAGTCATGGAAAAGTCATGGACATTTGGAAGAAGAAAAAAGTAAAAGTCATGGAAAATCCTGGGAAATAAACTTGTCCTGGAAAGTCATGGAAAAGTCATGGACATTTGGAAGAAAAAACAAGTAAGAGTCATGGAAAATCATGGGAAATAAACTTGTCCTGGAAAGTCATAGAAAAGTCATGGACAATTGGAAGAAAAAAATAGTAAAAGTCATGGAAAATCCTGGAAAATAAACTTGTCCTGGAAAGTCATGGAAAAGTATTGGAAATCAAGATCATGTACTGAAGGGTTATTTTTCATGGGCCGCTTTTAGAATGGCTGTATGTATGGGAAGGAGGAGGCCATTATTGATTAAGACAAGATAAGTTTGCGGTAGCACCATGTGAATAAATCTCTTTTGTGAGTATGTGTGGTTCTGAAAAGAACCGGAGGGACTCGACGTTTCGAACAGTATGCTCTGCCCGTCGTCAGGAGAAAGAGGGATTCCAACGATGATGTTCGAAACGTCGAGTCCCTCCGGTTCTTTTCAGAACCACACATACTCGCAAAAGAGATTTATGCACATGGTGCTACCGCAAACCTATCCTGTCTTAGTATCTTTCCACCATGCAAACCTTCAAATCTCACCATTATTTATTAAAATTTATTTTCAAAAGCTAACAAATGGTTAGCCTAACATAAGTGGTTCATCAGTATTATAATACCACACAACTTTTCTCTGCAAAATGGCGTTAAATGTCATGGAATTTGTTATATTTTAGTCCTGGAAAGTCATGGAAAAGTCATGGAATTTGGTCTTCAGATTTCTGTGGGAACCCTGGTTGAACAAAATGTCCGTGTGTGCTGTATGAATGTTGAATTTTGTATTAATAAGTATTTTCCTCGTTAATTTGTTAGATGTGATAAAGTCAGTTTTACGTTGAGGAACAGAATTTTGCCTTTTTGAGGCCTTAATGGTTAACTTATAATGGGGAGATTCTAGTTCCTACAGTTTTGTACAGCCGATTCTCCCCCATGCCCACGGGCAGAAATTATGGTCACTCTGAAAGTAAAAAGTCCCTTCCCAAAGGGAAATGTACCAACAGGTTTAGTATTGTTTCTAAAGCTGGACAATATTAGGGAAACTTTTCATGGATTGCTTGATCTAATGTGTTGTCGTGGAATGTGTCTTTTTCACGGCGATAACATTGTATAGAAAGTGAACTCTTCAGTGTTCAGTTTATCAGGCTGTGTGGATTGAATAATCAAAATAATGTAATCCCTTGGTTGGCTGGGCAATTATAGCTTACGCGGTATAGCAGCATAGCCATACATTGATTTTTGTTTTATTGGAGAATATTTTTTTCCTAGAGCAAGTTCCTGAAACTTTCCGCTAGAGGGAAATTTGAAAAGCTTTTGGACGAGAGAGGCCCGTGTTGAACATTAACATCCGAGAGTTGTGTTGAAGTAAACCTGTGCTTATGATCAGCCTTAGCGTCCCTTTCAGAAAGTTTATAATGTAAAAAGTAATGTTTCTGGTGTAAGTCTCGAGTGGCTTTTGTGTTCTTTTTCTCCTTGTCTTTCCCCGGCCTCTACACCCCTTGAATATCCCCATGCACAGTTCGTACGTGGCTCTGTACACGTGGTGATCCTCACAGAGTCAGACTTACACCCCATGTGCTCAGGCGCGGTTCTACGGGGGGGGGGGGGGGGGCTAGGGGGGGGGGCTGTAGCCCCCAAAATTTAGTCTAGCCCCCCAAAAATAAATTCCGAAAAAAAAAATTGCATTAGCAAAAAGAAGGATTGTGATGTACATGCGAACGGTCTCCCCCTAAAGAAAAAGTCGTGACAAGGGTGCATTTGTAGTTAATATAGTGTGAATGATTTTAGGATTTTATTTGCGCTCCCCATTGAAAATATAGCCCCCCCCCCCCCCCCCTATTGATTTTCGGAGGCCTAAGTGTCTGGAAAAAATAACCGGTCTACATTTCAGCACGCCTCCCTGAAAAAAATTCTTGATCCACCGTGCTAGCCCCCCCCCCCCCCAAATATTGGTTCTAGAACCGCGCCTGCATGTGCTCCTGAAGTTCGAGAATTTTAGTTTTACACACAAAACAAGTTACGAAAATACCGCACCGGCCAGACTAACGCGTTTATATTTTCAGTGTCGAGCGGATGGAGGACCGTCCCTTCGTCCAGGGGGCGGCGGCGGCACGCTTTTCAAACTGGCGGGCGGGGGAACACCCAAAAAAGGGGCACTCGCTTAGAAAAAGGGGCACCTTCTGTCAGTGTGTGGAAATGGAGAAAAGAATATGGTCCCGTTCATTATTATGAATACGTTGTCCATCTTGCTCTTTGTGTTTCCTTTATTATAGTTGTGTAGAGAGACCTTTTTTTTTTCGCGAGAGCTAGAGGGGCACTGTTGCGTTTGATGGCTAGTTCAGTGACCATTTTATTCGCGTGATGAAGAGCACTATTGTTTATAGGGGCCAGTTTTCCATCTTGAAAAGGGGCACAATTTTAATGTTGCGAGCGGGACACTAATAATTTCGAGGGGCAGTTTTCCATCTCGCGAGAATTGAGGTGCACAATCAATGCGAGAGGAGTACTTGTGTTTTTGACGGGTAGTTAATTTTGCATTACCTCATATGCTTTCATTACGTGTGCGTTTGAGGGGCAGTTTGTTTCCATCTCGAGGGGGTACATTTTGTTGGCCTGGAAAAATCTGCCCCCCCCCCCCCCGTTCCGCCGTCCCTCGTCAGTTGCACATCTGAAATATGGAGACGTTTTGACATTGCTTTGTTACACTTCACATCTTCTTCGATGTTGCTTTATGCTTCGCATTGATCACAAAAGTTGCATTGCCACCGAACAATGAGCAACCTTATAATTGCGGGTAAGCGGCCTATGCCTAATTATGTCGTCTAGCGGGCCCGGCGCGTCGCAGAGTGATGCTGGTACGTAGGCCAAACCTTATGCGCATTGGCCTATGCTAAACTTGCTGGGTTTTTATTTTTATTTTAACAAAGGAATTAAGGTTTTTCAGTACCGGAACGGCCAATGTGTATTTTCAGTCTTGGCAAGAACTTGCTGGTATTGCTTTAACGGCTTTGAGTGACAATCGTGCCGACATGATGCGCGCACGTGTGCACGTGCGTTATTAGCATGAAGAGAGGGCGCCCTAACAAGAACAACGATCGATTGCGCGATTCCGAGTTGCTTTTCGGATATCGGATACTTCGCGCACACAAATTGAAGCATTAAACAAGAACGATCTGGTCTTAATATAGCTCTATGGATCTGGTACACTAAAAGGGTTTTTGATTTTCGCAAACGGCTCCAAAATACACTTGGTCAAGTCGTACAATGAAAGTTAGAAAGGGAAAATGAAAAGAGTTAACTAAAGTTTAATGGCCTTCCAGAATGTTCAGCACTCTTTTTTTGTGAAATGAAGTTTTCTTCTCGGGCCGTTTCACAAAACATCTTAAATAGGGCCTCGCGATCGCCATCAGGAAATAAAAACATAAATACATAAATAAAATAAATAATATTAAATTAATAAAAAAGTAAATTAAATGATGACTGTTGTTGAGCTAGGCTGGTAATTATATATGATGGACCGCTCATAGGACTCCCACAAATAATGTAGTCATTCAAAAATTAAAAATACCATTTGTATTCTATTCCAACGCAATTCACATGACTATGGAGAAACATGACCAAATCATTTGAAATCCTACATGCGTACTAGCAGGTGAATGATAACAGCAAAATCCATAATTTACAAAGCCCGTTTCAATTTGCCAAGGCAATGCATTTAAGCAAAACAAATGAAAATGTCACAATTTAGGCCTATTTTTTGGTCCTCCCTAATTCCACAATCCGGTTGCAATATGTCTAAAATATATTTATTTTTTTCTGGCTGATGGTGCGACCGTACGGCTCGACCACGGTGCCACTTAAACATTTTAAATGCTTCAAAGTCGTCGGTCACTGCGGAAGAAGGATCCGAAAAGTTTGCCATTGGCGGCTGCAGCACACACGCCGTTTTGTCGCCGCGTAGCCCTGCCTTGCGTGTTCAATCCTTCCCCGTTACACAAGTCCCACTTAACAGTCAAAATGGAGCATTCAGAGCTGCCGTAAGTATGATTCGATCACGCTTTCCCTATTGAGAATTATTTTATTTACCATTTCTGGGTATTTGATGTTTGGTGTAGTGTTGTAAAAGGGCATGACTTGCATGAATTTGTGAACAATCTGCATGGCGTTGCTGCATGCCGGCCGTCATGGCCGTGCGCCAAATACGCCATTTTTCGATTGGCCATGTTGGCATCGCCATCATGGTCATTGACTTGTATTGTAATTTGTACGAACGTCATTAAATGAATAATGTTTAACATCTAGTCCAATTAACAATTTTAAAGGACATCTGTCTGCATATTTGTATTGATGTGTTATCATGACAAACCATCATGATGATCATGTCCATTTTTATGATTTTTAATGTCAGCCCAACTTAGACCCTACGCTACGCCATGAACAAGTCTCTGATTATTTTGATTGTTTTGATTGTTTTGGGGGCACAACTATAGATTACAGGGCCACTCCACTCTGTATCCGTGCCTCCGTACGGCTGCGTGGAGCCGCAGTCGACCTACCTCCGAGAACTCCAAAGCTCCGCGCCTCCTAGCCCCATAAATGTGGCCTATTTACTGGACTGCCTCCGTAAACATAGGCCACACATCCACATGTACAAAAATCGTGTCGACGGAGCCAAATTTTGATTTTCACATTTAGGCTTAGTTTGTAGGGTTTTTTTGCTTTAGAAGCATACTCACCCTCTTTACAGGCTAATCAGAAAGTGCTGCCTTTTTCAGATGTATATTTTTCGTGAAATTTCCAGATTCATTTTTACATGTTTGCGTATCAAAATTTCAACATGAAATTTCACAAAAATTAGACATCTGAAAAAGGCAGCACTTTCTGATTAGCCTGTAAAGAGGGTGAGTATGCTTCTAAAGCAAAAAAAACCTACAAACTAAGCCTAAATGTGAAAATCAAAATTTGGCTCCGTCGACACGATTTTTGTACATGTGGATGTGTGGCCTATGTTTACGGAGGCAGTCCAGTAAATAGGCCACATTTATGGGGCTACGCGCCTCCACGACTCCAGTGCCCCGTCACAAGCGCGCCCTCCCGTCCTTTGCTAGGAAATTCTCAAAAAATTGTAGTCCTAGGATCATTTTGCATGCAGGGCCTTGGAGGCGGAGCCGCAGTCGACCATGCAGTCGACCTACCGCCGAGAATTGCGCCCTCTTTGGTACGCGACTCCACGGATCCAAGGCTGCACAGCTCCAGTGCCCCATCACAAGCGCGCCGTCCCTTCCTCTGCGAGGAAATTAATATGGATACGGATGCTTCGTTCTCAAAAAAAATGTAGTCCGCGGTACCGCTGAGAATTGCGCACTCTACCGGCGCGCGACTCCGTAACTCCTCGGCTCCAGTGCCCCATCACAAGCGTGCCCTCCCTTCCTTTGCGAGGAAATAAATATGGAAATGGATGCTTCGTTCTCAAAAAATGTAGTCCTAGGATGATTCATATGGATATGAGCCACAGTTGACCTACCGCCGAGAATTGCGCCCTCTACCGGCGCGCTACTCCGCGACTCCATGGCTCCAAGGCTCAAAGGCTCTGCGCCTCCACGGCTCCAGTGCCCCGTCACAAGTGCGCCCTCCCTTCCTTGAGAAGACAAGTGCATTCGCTGTACTTAGCAATTTTTGCGCGTCTGCATATTATTGTACTTTATGCCCACTGACCCCATCTGTTTCCATACTTAGACCTAGATAATCAATTCCTGACATTCTCTCGTTCTCTCTGATGGCATTACTCTTATCCGCACATCGCTGGCCTTGATGTCATAAAAAAAACCTTGCTCTGGGGTGGCCCTGCATTCTATAGTTGCTCCGTTTTTGGTCTTAGAAAGAATGTTGCAACCTGACGCCACTTCAGTGGTTGTGTACACAAAGTCTATGGAAAGACAAAAACATTTTCTATGTAAGCCTATTTCCTAACAAAATTGGAAATGATTCTCAGGCCCAGATTCATGTCTTATTCAAGTTATTGCCATTTTCCAATGACTGACCTTCATCGAGATGATTATGAAGAAAAAAGTGGCGTCAGGTTGCAAGTTTCTTTCCGTTTTTATTTACCATGAGGAAGTTCGTCTGGTTCCACGCTTACGTTGTCGTGACTTTGTATTCATGATATGGGTTTCAGACCTAGGCCTAATCTAGTCCCAGTAACTTGGACCCAACTTATCGCCTTTTTAACATTCGGACATGGTCTGGCGATAGTAGGGTCCAAGCTAAACCACTGCCATTGCTCGACACAATTCTGTTCTTGACCCAAAAACCCAACATTGCCCAACAAAAACATCAGACTTCAACCCCCCCCCTCCCCCAGATAAATTCCCAGTAATCATGAAAGGAAGACGAAAACTTTGTCAAAACACTGAGTTGTCAGCCAAATAAACTTCCAGCCTTGTATAAATTACTTTTGATTGATGTAAATAAGCCTTGGAGAACAATGAACCCTAACTCCCTAGGCCTTTTTGCTAGGATGTAGCCTCAATCCTGCAAAATCCTCCAATTGGCCTCATGGAAAAATAGCGTATAGCCTCAAACCTGCAAATTCCTCCATTATTACTGGAATATGGTCCATGGAGGGGTGGCCACTGCCTGAATCCTTCAAAATCCTGCGGCAGTGACTGTCAATATGTTGAGGCTTGGCCAGTGACATCCTGGAGCAGTACGGAGGATTTCAAGCAAAATCCGAGCCTATATTTATGCATGGCTGAGCAAAAACAACACAAGGTCAGGCCCAAGACCTTGAAAAAGTGCGTCCTACGAAATGAGTAAATCACTTTTGTTATGTAACCTCAATCCTCCAAATTCCTCCACTTTGGCAAAGAGGATTTTGAAGGATTCAGGGCAGTTAGGGTCAAGCAACACATTTACATGATTTTTGTTCTTTTTTGTTCTTTTCTTCAGAAACGTTTATGTTGGAGGACTCAACTTTGAAACAACTAGAGGTATGTAAGGCCGAGTAAAAAAAAAGAAATAGTTTCTCATCCATGTTAATTAAACAAAATATAGGAGGCGTTTTTTTTCTCAGGCGGGAAAAAGGCTGGACGAGAAACTGGTTTATTTTGTTTAATTGGCCTAATTGTATTGCAAAAAAAGTGTAAATGACAGAAAAATAAGGTACAATGTCAAAGATATTTAGACAACCCTGTTTCCCCCCCCCCCCCAATAAAAATAAACACAAAAGAAAACAAGCAAACAACCCAAATAAAAACAATTAAACAGACAAACAAACGAACAGAATATTTTGCCCAGAAATCCTGCTGAACACAACAACATGCAACACTTGTCAAAGTGACAAGCCTGCCCAGTGTAGCAAGATCCATCAGGTCAACATTCTCAACGCCAAACTGCCTCAGAGTCTGTGGTCACCGAATGCAGCAGGATACAACTGTGGCATTGTACAATGGGCTAGCTCTCATTGTCTCAGAATTGCCAGATTATGCACTGGTGTTGATGGCCCAAATGCAGCAAGGTGCCACGGACTTGCACACCAGGGGCCAATTTCATAGAGCTGCTTAAGCACAAAATTTGCTTAAGCACAAAAACGTCTTGCTTAATAAAATCAGGTTACCGGCCAAAACTCCATGCGATTGTTATGCTAAGTAAACAACAGCTAAATACCAGTCACAAGCAATGTACATCACATGGAGTTTTGGCCGGTAACCTAATTTTACTAAGCGATGTTTTTTCGTGCTTAAGCAAATTTTCTGCTTAAGCAGCTCTATGAAATTGGGCCCATGGGCCAATTGCATGGAACTGCTAAGCACAAAAATTTGCTTAGCATGAAAAGTCTGCCTCTGCACAAATCAAAATTTCCATGTGATGTATATTGCTTGCGATTGGTATTCACATGCAAATTTGGCTGGTAACCTGCTTTAATAAGCCAGACTTTTTTCTGTGCTAAGCAATTTTTTGTGCTTAGCAGCTCCAAGAAATCGGCCCCCGTTGCTCTGTGTTGCATCGGGCAGGTTTACAGGTTGTCTTATGACATTTTCCCCATTTACAATTTTCCTGCCGTACAGAGACACTGGAGAATCACTTCTCCCAGTTTGGCAAGGTGAAGTCAGCCGTGATCATCACAGACCAAATCACGGGCAAGAGTCGGGGGTATGGCTTCGTCAACTACTTCACTGTTGCGGATAGAAACAGCGCGTTACAGGTGCCGACGCATGAGCTCGATGGCCGCACGGTAAGATGTCCAACGAAAATCATTGTGTGTTATAAATATAAAGTTGACATGTTGCTCGTAATTCAAACACGTCGTGTCCATGCAACAAGGTACAATGTAGTATCTCCTAAAATTACGTTATGTTTGTGAAATGCTAGTTTTCAATGTCAAAGGGTCGTATCTCGCTTAAAATAACCCGGATGTGCACACAAAGTCAATGGACGTCGCGATATGTGAGACATGACCTTGTAGCACGGAGGGTATTCGCATGAGATACGACTTTGTTGCAGAATCGAGTTACGACCTTGTTGCACTGACGCGACGATTTCATTATTTCATTCTTTAACTTTTGAATCAAAGTAAATATCAAGTTTGTAAAATTGTTCAAAAAAAGTTCAATAAACGTGATTTTTTTACTGTTTGTACCCGGAAGCTTATGGTGGCCCTGAAAGGACATAATTAGGTGTGACGTTGTGAATTTTTTTCATGACTGGTTGTGAAATTTTTTGTGACATCGTGAATTTTATTTATGCAGAAAAGTAGTTGCAACAAAATTCACGAATGGTTGTAAAACATATATACACAACATCACACAAAAATTCACAAGTCGGCGAACATTTTGTGAACATTTTCACGACTAGTCGTAAAAAGGAATTCATGTCAAGAAATTTCGCAACTAGTCGGAAAAAAGTTCACGAGGTAGCACAAATTTCACATTTGGCCATGTCCCTTCAGCGCCACCATAGAAAATGGCGTCGTCACTCGTAGCATTTGCTTGAAAATATGACCTGTGCGTAAATAATTTGCCCCCCTGATAAAAATCTAGGAACCATCACGGCTCATTGGCCTTCATATTTTCCCCTCCATTTCTGCAGTTGACGTGCTCTGTGGCCAAGGAGAGCAACAAGACCCGAGGGGGTGGCTTTGGGGGAAGCTTTGGCATGGGAGGGGGCATGGGAGGGGGCATGGGAGGGGGCATGGGCGGAGGCATGGGCGGGGGCATGAGCGGAGGCATGGGTGGGGGCATGGGTGGGTTCGGAGGGGGCTCGTCCTTCAACAAAGCTGACGATGACAGGAAAGTGTTCATTGGTGGCTTGCATACCGACACGGAGCCCGAGGACATTGAGAGTGCGCTATTGCAGTTTGGAAAGGTTAGTGTCTTGAATTTTGCAGTATTGTCGTTGAGTACATTTGCATGAGTACGAGTACTCTAACTAGTATAGACCTTTTTGCTAGGATGTAGCCTCAATCCTGCAATATCCTCCAATTGGCCTCATGGAAAAATAGCATATAGCCTCAATCCTGCAAATGCCTCCATTATTTCTTGAATATGGTCCATGGAGGGGTGACCACTGCCTGAATCCTGCGGCAGTGACTGTCAATATGTTGAGGCTTGGCCAGTGACATCCTGGAGCAGTACGGAGGATTTCAAGCATAATCCATGCCTATATTGATGCATGGCTGAGCAAAAACAACACATGGTCCGGCCCAAGACCTTGACCAAGTGCATCCTACGAAATCAGTAACGCACTTTTGCCATGTAACCTCAATCTTCCAAATTCCTCCACTTTGGGAAAGAGGATTTTGAAGGATTCAGGGCGGTTAGGGTTAAAGTAGTTTTGTTGTGGTACCGGCTGCTACATATATCAGATTTGAACCAGCCAGCCGACCCCGGCAAGCTAGGTGGTCGGGTGCTAGGACGTCTTCACTAGTAAGCAGTAGGTCTTGGGTTTGAGTCCCACCCGAGTAATTTGTGGAGTATACACTTGAGTATACAGTGTTTATATAATTGGTTTTTTTTTTTAAATACTTCGGTGAAGGGCATAAACCTACATTGTACGAGTACTTTGTCATTAGGCCAAAAAAAAAAAGTCTCCGGTTTCTGGTATGGAGCTTGCCCTAAAAGTGGTGCGGCGATGCGGCTTTTTTTTTTTTTTTACCTGATTTATTTTCTTCAAATGTCGGCTGATGACTGTAAATGGTGCCCGACTAAACTTAGTGCAAATATATGGGAGTCCAGAGAGGCCACATTAAGCTTATTCTCGACCATAACCCAATCTAAAAACACGTTAAAATTGTGCAGCAGCAGGATTCCAGTCAAACCAGTGAGTTTGGCGGTTTTTAGACATCATCTTTCATTGAAAAAAAAACTTTTTCATTTTGCCGACGCGCATGGCTACGGCGACGCGCGCGCATACCAGAAACCGGAGACTTTTGGGGGGGGGGGGCCTTAGTACGAGTATGAGTATGTGTTCTTTGCTTTGAGTACAAATACAAGAACAAAGTAAACAATTGCATTTTAATTGGCACACACATTTCTAAGGAAAAGTTTTTTGTCAAACTATGCATAAGTATGGATACGAGCAAGTATACACGCACAGGAATTTTTTCTTGCGAGTGCGAATACATTTTTATGAGAAGGAGAAAGATAACAAAGAAATACTCAGGTATGAGTATAGGAACTACGACACTGGAGACATGGCACCACATTTGACCACAAGTTGTTGCAAGGTCATATTGTATATTATGATACATCCTGGGTACATCAATGCATAGAGCATGGTTGTAGCCAGATTCCAGCAGTTAAAAATGCTGCTCACAAATGAAACATGGCATGAAAAAAATGTTCCCAAATTATGATTCCTGATCCACGGAGCTCGAACTTGCTGGACGTTGTAACCACACTATCCAGCTCTCCAGCCATGTAAAATCTACCAGGATTTTCTTACACAGGGTAGTGCTTAACAGTCTCCAGAGAGTAATTAGTGTGTTCTTGTTTACTTATTGCTTGTTTATTGATTCTTTTTTTTTTCTCCAAAGGTCATCAACACGAACATTAAGAAGGACAGAGAGACCCATCGCTCACGAGGTACGTCGCCGAAAATTAATCGGTCTGAATATTTATACTATTCAACATTTTTTTTTTTAAAGTTGGACCACCAATGATTTGAACCCTGTCAGGGAACATGGCATTTGTGTTCTTGGGCAAGACACTTTACTTCAAGTGCCTCTTTCCAGCCAGGATTATAAATGGGTACCTGGGTAGTGACAAGATTGCGCCAATCTCAAGCTGCTGCAGAAACTGGTTGCGTGGCCTGATGAACTTTGACGCGCTTTGGGACATTGTTGTAGATAACGGTTTGCACTTTCTAACATTATGTGTGTGTGTGTATTTTTTTTTCACAGGTTTTGCCTTTGTGACATTTGACAATCCGCAAAGTGCCAAGAAGGCGATGGATGCCCATTACGTTGAGATCCATGAAAAGCAGGTGAGAAACCATCCGATGCCATTGCATTCCTCTTACAGTTTTTTCACATGCCATCCTTTGTTCCCCTTTTTTGAACAAGCGGTATTTTATCATTGTGAAGCATGAAATCTGTTGATGAGAATATGTGACCTGCCATATCATAATGTGGAATAACCCCATCTTTGACTTTTCAAGTTACGTACATCATGTTAGAGCACAAATCATTGGATTTCCAATGATAACAAATTTATTTCTGTAGCTTAATTTATTCCAAAGAAATGGTGCAGGAACTTCAACAGTGTCGTGCCGAATTTCCCCAACCCCAAGAAAAACGGCTTTTAAAAAAAGAAATACGCATTGCGCCGCCAACGGCAGTGGAAAAACGTTCTTCAGTTTCCAACTTTTGGGGACATTTTTTTCTCAACAAAAATGCAATGTGTGAATCTTGGATACCTTGGCTACTCAAAAATAAGAAAAAAACAATATTGATTTTGACAGAATTTTGTTTTAGTGTACCCAACTTCAGGCGTTGATTACTCAAAACATGATTTTGGGGGACATTCCTCATTTTGCCACAGTAGGTCACATATGCCTTTTGGAGAATGTGAATCATGAGAGTATGAATAATGAGAATATACCTTTGTGGTCTTAGCCGTTCCTGGTTTGGCAATAATCAACTGTTCATCTCTACAGTGTCGCTCTACATGATCCATTTGTGCACGTTGTGCATAAGCGCACACAAGTCTGACTTCTGTCAAGTTTTTATCACGGCTGCAATTGGTCGAAAAGACATAGGGCGCAGCTTAAATCCAAGTAAGCTTTTTTGATGATAATATGGTAGGCTACTTTTTAGGAGAAATGCAAATGATCCTATATGCCTTTAATATCCGTGTCTCTTTGAATTGACAGGTTGAAGTCAAGTCTGTCAACCCCAATGCTAGCAGCCAGTCTCAGAGTTTTGGCAGTTACAACAACGGAAACATGTACGGCCAAGGTGAGCATTATCAGGAAATATTCTCCCTTGAGGTATTGACCATGACATGTCTTAAGTCATGCCCCCGGTTGCCAACCCTGACCAATTCTGATTGATAAAACCTTGCCACTTGACTTAATTTTTTGCTTGACCCCAAAGGACAGCGTACTGTCCTTTTACGAAGTTGGTCAATGACTGACTGACGTAGTCACCGAGTATAAATAAGGTCCTAGGCTGAGACTTTGAAATTTATTTTTGATGAGGCAAGGCCATTCTTCTTAAAAGATGATATCATGGCTGAAGTTTTCCACGGCTGAAGTTTTCCACATGAGTCCAACATAGCCAGTTTGCGGAAAAGACGACGAATACAATGAATAAGATCAAGCCTTTCCCAGGAAGTTGTGATTTTGAAAAAAAGAAAAAAATAATAAGATAACAGTCTGCTTAACCACTTCGCGCCGGGTTAATTTTTGCCGAAAATTTTGAAATTTTCAAAATAGAAAATTTGCCAGCCAACTTCTGATATACAGCCAAATGCCACAAATACTGATTCCCAAGAGTGATTTTCAACAGTATGTGTACAATATTTCTTGCAGAAACCTCATATGTTTCAATACTCTGGGGTGTGCACTGGAGCGTAAATTGAACAATAGGCCATGATCAGCTGATTTCCTCGTTTTTCACTTATGCCATTACATCTTGAAAAACACTGTACAAAGTCTTGTATAGATTGGAGTTTCCTCTTTTTTAAAAATTTCTTCCAAGTTGCACGCCTGAATTTAGAAGTTATACACTTTTTGAAAATGAGACATCAAACGAAAACACCCACCGACGTTTAGTTATTGAATTATTTCTTTATAAAATGTTGGCTTTTGCGCATCCCGCCAATAGTTCAGCTCTCGCGGGCTGCGTTCGTTTCTGCGCAAAAGTGCAATCCTTTTTGCAGAGGAATGCAGACGCCAAAAATTGGGGCGTTAATGTTTTTGTTTTTTTTAAACAAAGCATACATATTGACAATCTGTTTGGAGAACTTTCTATTATTTTTTAAGAGCATAGGGCACACATCTTTAATTTAGTTTTTGATGTTTCTTGGACAAGGCGGTGGATACAACAACATGCAGGCGTACGGCTACAACCAAGGCTACGACAGTGGCTCCTCCAACTGGCAGAACCCAGCCAGCGCCTGGCAAGGCGGCGGCGATTCCTCCTGGAACAGCTCGGGATACGGCGCCAGTGGCTATGGAGGCACGGGCACCAGTGGCTACGGAGGCAGCACCAGCGGCAGTGGCTACGGCACCACGAGCGGCTACGGCAGCCAGCAGGTGCAGGGGCAGAGCGGCAGTTACAGCGGGCAAAGCGGGGGGTACGGGAACTACAGCGGCCAGTCTAACGTGGGACAAAGCGAAGGTGCAAGCTGGTATTAAGAGTCGATACCCTCTGAAAACAAGGTATTCGACCGAAAAAAAAAGCAAGTCAAGGAAAGGCAGGTTTTGAGGATATTGTAACGGCGTACACCTGCCAGGGAATTACAAATTGTGGGATATAGGGTGAAGATGTGATTCGGGAATTGAAGATTTGTGTATATTCACCCAGTAGTTAAGGGAACCGGGGTTTTTAAAAAAAAAAAAAAATGGGGAAAATTGTAGACGTAGCGTGGTAGTACAAAAACTTCTTTAGAATGTAGTGAGTGAGACTGTTTATTATTGGCCGTTTGGTGGAACAGTCTGGTGACAGTTTGTGGCGCGTTTTATATGTGGAGATTAGTGCAGGGACAAGTCCAGTCGCCTTTCGGAGTTTCCGTTAGACGGTTGAGCTGAGGTGGTTTTTGAAATAACTGTCGTCAGAGTGTTCCACCGCATGTATAAAAGTTTCATGATTGTGCTCTGTGCAGGAACCACCGCAACGTCTTGGGCACTAAAATCCTTTCATAGATACGGTAATTAAAGGTTGACCTTTTCTTACTAAAACCAAACAAATAAAAATTAAACAAAGTGAGTGGTTAAGGTTATCTTAAAGGCAAAAGGGGGGCGGATTGTACTGAAGAAATTATTTCCTTGAATTTTTTCGGGAATGTCACGTGTTTCCCAGCAAACCATGCATACATTTGAATCATAAAATGATACAGGGACTACTGTTCCCAAAGTTATTTCTGGCGTCGTTTCGTCTTTTTTTTTCTCGTCTGGATTTCCCTGGATTGTCGTCGTGGTGGTTCCTGCCCAATCTTTCGCCAATTTCTAACCTTTTTGTTGTTGATAATCATCTTTGTCTTCGTCTACGTTTTCTTTAGAGAATGTTTAATGAAATTTCTGTGTTGATTTCCCGTTGAGTTGTCTGTTGTTCCTCTCTGTTTGTTTTCACGATAAAAGAAAAAGACTAAAACACTATGAAGCACCAGTTACATTGGAGTGGAGTTCCAATCTAAAAAATGCAATCACATTTGATTCTTGTTTCCATGGTAGTCCCTGATGATTTTTCACGGTGCTCATCTGCACTTTACTAAAGAGCATTATTAGGAAAAATTAACTTGGTCGGGATATTTTCCTTTTTATTTGGATGTGTAATTCTAATTTCTGTCTGTTATTTTGGAAAAGGCATTCTAGAAATCAAGTGTAGTGGCATGGGTAAAAGTGTTGTGGATATATTAACATGAATTAACAGTAACACTCCGGATCTTTCAAAATCCACGTTTTGTAGGATTTCGTAGGATTGAGGAAGCAAGGGCAAAGCCACAATAAGTGTGGCTATAAAGCCAATACAAATGGTGGATTTTGTAGGATCCAGGAAGATTACTAGCGAAAATTAAGGCGTAGGGGTAAATAATTTTTATTTTTTTTCGAATTTTATGTGTTTGTGGGTTTTATTTTCATTCCCTAAAGTTTAACAACGCAATATTGTATTTGTTGTGATTCATTGGGTTAATTTTTTCCAGTTTTAAGAAACGTGCATACTTGACGTTGTTGCTCTTTCAGAGAGGGTCAAACATTGAGGAATACATTAACTGGTATTTCGCCGGCAGCATTGAATTTTCACTCCAGTTTTAAAAATTTAATTCAAAGTAACCGAAAAAAATATAAAGGAAAAAAAAAGAGAAAGAAGCATTCGAAGAAAGAGCACACTTGTAAATAATGAATTAATTTTGATTTTTCCCTTAGCGATTTGGTAGGTATCTACCCTTATAGTAAAATCTGTTTTCATTTATTTTTGTTAATTCCTGTTATAGTTTTCAATCGCCTAAAACAATTATTCAATGGAATAGGGAACTATAAAAAATTAAAAACCACATTAAAAGACACATTATTTTTTATCACTTAAAAAATGCCACTTTCATTAGCATGTACAGGTACATTTTAAAAATTAAAAAGTTAAGGCATCTAGTGGATTATTTCGTATAGAGAAAGTGCCTGATTTCAAGTAAACTCGTTTTTTCCAATCTCAAATGCACTTGTACATTAATTAATGCTTTCATTCAGTAAAGAGAGAGATTCCTATTTTGTTACTTCGTGAAATCCAGTCCGCGTTAAAGGAGACAATTTTAGTAATAATAATTTACCACGTACTAGAGGATATTTTTCAGAAATGGATATATGCAAAAATGGGATGACGGTAGCACACGCCAATGTTTTGTGGAAAACTAGCGATGTTATACTATCGGTTAATATCATATCTCGCTTACTACTACATGAATGACTTTTTGGTGTGCTAGTATCGTCATTCATCAAGTTTGAATCCTAGAATGTGTTTGGTTTCTCAATCAAATGGTTGAATTTCACCGGTACATTTTTGTGGGTGTATGATAATTCTATATTCAATAACTTGTGCTTAGTATCCTGGTAGCTCGCGTGTACACTCGCGCACATTTACTGAAGGTAGGGTAAACCGTGCGATTGTTTTTACAACTTCTGTGCGTTAGAAATCTTTTAGGTACGTTTTCGTGTTGCTTTTAGTTTTTCATTTGAATGTCATTTACAGTTCTTTCCAATAACATGTATGTTGATAAATTTCCTTTTTGAGTAGAAACGCACTCGTGTACGGTGGGTGGTGATAAGACCGAGCCATCGATTTGCCTGTGGGTTTCAAAATACATGTACCGGTGGTCTATACACGCGAAAGGATATTTGACGTTACGAGTTGTTTGCTGAAACGTTCGCGAATTCGCATCGCAGATACTTGCTCTGACATCACCAAGTCGCGTTCCCATTCGCTTGTGCGTGCCTGTGCTAAGAATGGGAGACTTTCTGAGACAATTGGTGGCAGCAAACACACCGGCCCTTTTCTATTTACGTCGTGTTTAAGCTAATGTGCGCGCGTTCAAAAATGACGCCAACAATAGCAAAAAGTCTCCCTTAGGCCTTGACAGTTAACAAATAGGAGGGAAAAGTTGGATATTTTTTTTTTGGCGACCTCAAATTTCAGACCCATATCTTTTTGAAACCCACATGTAAATAAGAAATCTAAGTTTACTAAGCATGTGTGAAACAGATTTTTAACAATGGTCTCAGGGCTTTTAAGAAGATTTCACGGTTATTTCAATTGTTTTATTTGATAGTTAAGAATCATTGTAAACTGTAGCACAAACTAAGGGTTTGAAAGACGTTTATTATTAAACTGTAATGTTCATCGGTAGCTGAGCTGTAACTGAAAACAACTGGGGAGACGCGAAACATTCATGTTACCTTTCTAGCCCATTACTTGGTGCAGAATATGTCCGCTGTTTTGTATTCAGGTTGATGCTGGGCTTCAAGTGAGTTTTTTTTCCTAAATAAAGTTGAACCTTTCTGCCAAATTGTATCCATGCACACTAACTGTGTTGTACATGTATGTAATACACGCCTGCAACATAACACAAATCTCATTTTATCTAATAATACTCGAAAAAAGAAAAAAAAAAGTAAGCGGAAGATATGTATGCATAGTATTGCAGTTATTCAGTCTAATTTTAAAAACCGTTTCTTTTTCCTGTAGTGTTGGCTTTTTTTTTTAATGATGGCATCATTGAAGAATGTGATTATGAATATTTTATCAGCTGCAAGTGTTTTTCATCCATGCCAAATGTCGTCGAATTAATTGTGGAATTTTTTTCAGCTGAATTTTTTTTTTTTTACTGCACAAACTTGAGGGCTCACTTTAGAGTTAAAATGAAAAAGACTTCAGTATTGTTTCTGCAGTGAAGCGATTCGTTCCTTCCAATTTATCACAAAAGAAGCCACAATTTCTTTGGATTGACGCCAACTAAGGAGTGAATCCGGTTTAACTTGCGCTTTATGCCAGCTCCACATGCACAAGATGCTCCGCTGAAGCCACTTAAACAGTCCTGAGGTCATACAATGTGTATGTATTTTCATTTTTGAGTAACATTTGGACGCTGTACAATTTATAGGCTTACTTAAAAGAACATTCAGTATAATACAACATTGACTTACATGTAATAGTTGCCTTACGCTGTTCGCATTTATTTGTAATTTTGTTTTTTGTTTTGTTTTAAATATCCATTGAATACTCCTATTGTATACAACCGCAGCAGTTACACTGTTAATTATACAGATTTCTTGGCAAGACTTTGTATTTATTATCAAACGGCTTTTCCATTTGTTATATTTTTGATCCTAAGTACCGTTGTCTCGTTCACTCCAATTTAAAAAAAAATTAAAAACAATTTGTACGTGTGTATTTGTATTTATGGATTTTGTTTTTATCAAAATCCTCATGTATACAATAATTAAAGCTCATACAATGTAATTGCAACTACCGTTACAGTGTTTCAGAATCCATAACGCTTCATCCGTAACAGATTTTCCGTTCTCTTGATGAAAAAAATGCAGTCCGTGCCTGTTCATGTATTACTGGAAGTTTTAAGCTAACCCATGTTAAGTAGCATTTACACACATACTCATCGTGTCGGAGAATATTCTTCTAGGTTTAAGGGTACAGTTTTGATCATTTCGCTGTAGGTTAAAACAAATTTGAAATGCCAGTTCTCGGGCCAAAGTCTGGGCCTTACTATGTAGATTACTCAAATACAGGTCAATCGGTGACCCTTGTATGACCTTTGAACCTTGGGGCTACTTGTTGCATGCAAATGGTGTATGAAGTGGTGCCAGGGTGCGCTCTGTCAAGTTTACATATCCAAATTCTACACAGCAGTGACGGTTGGTTAGTGACATTTAATGAAAGAAAGTTTAATATTGTTTCCTGGTAATGTCATTTTTATGCATATTTTTGTCGATTTAACGAGTTTACTAAAATAAAAAACAAGTATTTGATATTACGCGTGAACGTGATGCGAGAGATGTGTCGAGAGATGTGATTGGGTGCGTATTTGTGTGTGTTAACGTGTATCAGAGAAAGCTGCGTGCTTGGTGTGCGAGAAATTGAGAAACCGGGTCGTAAAGGAATGGATTTCATTAAAACTAACAAGTTTTATAAGGCTATATTTGAAAGCGTAATGAAAACTATAACATGTACAGTGGACCTTACATCCGCGCCCCCAGTTTACAGTTTTAATGTTACATTAAGTAATGTTTATTCAAATGTATAGCAATTTAAGAACACGTATTTTTTTTTTCAATGAGAAAAGAAGTCTTCCTGAGTAATTTTGTGATACCTCGAAGCGAGGGGGGACTTGTTGTCTTGAGTATTAAAAAGAGGTTTATTCGCGGCGCGGATGTGACGTCCAACCATTTTATTTTGGTTCACTTATTATGAAAGAGAAAAAAAATGAAATTTACCAAGTTGCATATGATGTCAAATTGACATGAACTGTTGAATTTTGCCGTTTATTATTAGTTTAACAATAATGATTCCTGTTAATAATTAACAAAAGAGCAAAAAACTAATAACCTTTAAATTTGTCTCTCTTTTTTTTTAATTCTCAAACTTTTTCAGTTACAAATGCCAAAAAAAAGAAGAGAACTCACAGCTTTCCTGACTTACAAACAAAATGGGATGTAGGGTTTAACAAAAAAAAGAGTTGTTCATGGTTTAGAGATGTCCTTTTTTTCTTAGAATGTCTTATTTTCTATAATGTTCCATTTATTAATGCCTTTAGTGTTTGTTCAAGCTTGTAATAAATTGTCACACTTAGGTGATCTTTCCTTCATTATTCTGCACGCTGTGTGTCTTTTTCCATTTTTATTTCTTTTAAAATTATGCAAATTGTTATACATGTACATAGTTGTTGGGTTGTTTTTTTTGGGGGGGGGGGCAGTTTTCACACATTAGCCAAGCATGGCAAGCAAGCGTTTCAGAGCAGAACTTCAACCTTGAAATATATATTGACCCTGATCCCGAGTGGTTCATATTACTCTGATGTCATGATGACGTCATTGGTATGAAATTACAAGCGATTTTCGTTAAAATATGTTTTTGTCATTCTGCCAGAAATCTGCCCCCCCCCCCAAAAAAAATCAATTTTGTCCAATTTTCTGTCAAACTCGTTTTTAAAATTTTATTTCTCCGTGTTTAAACAAAGAAATTTGTCAAAGTTAGCCGAAAATCGGTGAAAACGGTCACCATGCCCTGTTTTTTTGGGGGGGGGGGGGGACGCACGGCGCACGCATTTGTTGTCCCTGGTTAATCTACTGGAAACCCGTACTCATGTAGTCTGTTCCCGATCATGCTTTAAATTAAAGCATCACAAAAGTCTGGTTCCAGACGTATGTAGTTCCCGTACGGTTATCGCATGCGCATGAAGTCCGGACCGTGTACATGTAGTGGTGTGCATGCAGCCGCGTCGTAGCCAGTGGCGCTGAAATTATTTGCAAACATCTTTGCAATTCGTTCATGAATATTGTTCTCAACAAACCGGACGCAAGACGTGGAAGAGACAATATGGGCGAAGAACCAGGGTATGGTGTAATTGTAATTTTTAATGAAGGGAAGGTTTTACCCATCGTGTTTATCGTTTCGGGACGAACTGAATCGCAGCTGGTATACGACAACCCTCTCGATGAGCGATTTGTTTTGTAATTCACAGCAATGAGAGTAAAAGGGCATTGTGGCCAGGGAACCAGTGATCATGATCACCAAATGCGTGTCAATTGTCATTGTATGTCAATTTATGTGTGCCTTTTCGTGACAGTGACACACTGCAAAGCCACTTTTGCAGGCTAAAACAAGGTTTGTCAGTTAGGCCTATCTGCCATTGACTGACTAAACATGTCAATGTGGGTCGCACTAAACAGCGTCAACACAGCGTCAACACAGCGTCAACACATGACAGAAGCGTCAACACACCGTCAACACATCCAAAACACATTCTGAATTGACAAAAGGGGCATATAATTGTGAAACATACAATAAAAGAGAATTTCCATTGGATTGAGTTTCCATTTCGTTGTTAAAAATATCGTATTTTTCACGCGAAAAAAATGACCTTAACTTGCACGGCCGTTGTCCGCCATCTTGACTTCGCACAAAGCTTGGACTACACCATTTCAAGTAGGGGTGTGTAGGTAATGACATTATCTTGTCATAAACAACAGAGGGCGCCTTGCTGCAGACTGCAGACAAACTTGCATGAAAAACAATAAGTGCAATTTATACAATAATGTAAATACCAACGAACAAGTAAAGAAAATTAAACAACAAAGGCAATTGCAGCGTAAACACAGCATTAAATTGTTAGTCTTTGCAGATATTTTTAACACTGGCGACCCCGGCCGCGTCCCTCTCTGTTGGTTTATTGTACAACGCTATCACCCTTTAGAATAATGGTATGGTCCGCGCTGCCACTGAGGCAACATGGCGGGTGTTCGGCAGCCGATTTCGGAGCGGCACGGAGAGCCAATTTTCTTGAACTAAAAATCGCGATTTTCAGACGTTTAACCTATTGATTTTAAGCACAAATCTTGTTTCTGTCCATACTGTATGGGTTACATACTGCTTTTGTCAATTTTAATGCATTTTGGATGTGTTGACGCTGTGTTGACGCTGTGTTGACGCTTTGGAGTGTGTTGACGCTGTGTTGACGCTGTTTAGTATGACCGGTCAATGTTCACCTCACCTTGTCCTCACGCCACCTAGCTGGAGAGTGGAGTTACCCAGCCCTAAATTTTATCATTGATTGAGTTGTCATTTAGGGCTGGAGGAAGTTTTTCACCAGCGTTGGCAATGGCAGGTCCAAAAAAATTTTCGAAAATGTGCAATTTTGTCCCCGTTACACACTAATTTCAACTGGAACTCACCCAAACCTGTCCTTGCCTGGCATGACCACTACCACGACTAGTACAGGTCCTTGAAGTAAAAAACGATCCACGATGAAGATTCAGCCTACAATTGCAGTGAAAAAAGGAGGGATAACGGAAGACCGTGCTGTCGTGATGTAGCTAGGATGATCCTAGCGTTATGTTTATGCATAACGCTAGGAAACTCACAATAGCAAAACTGGCAATTTTTTTTCAGACACGAAAAAGTTTATAATATATATTGAAGTATAGTAATACAGTATGTAGTATAGACCTATAATGAACCAAATGATGAAAAGATGAATAGTAAAATACTGACGACTCACGTTTCTCCAGATAATTTTTGGAGGTCTGTTTTTATCAACCCACACTGAAGCACACTCGAAATGACTGTCGAGTGTAAACACATGTCACAGGTCAATGCAGGTACTTTGCATTAAGTAGCACGCATTGTTTACCAGTGCTAAGCCATGGTCGGGTGCGCTTCCACCGCCAATATTTTCAATGCCAACCTCGTCCCTAGGATGTCGAGCAGAACGCGCCCATCACTACCTGCTCTCTACTATTGGGAACCGAGTTGGAAATAAAGTAAGCACTGGGGACGAGGTTGTTTCAATGCTGAATATGTATACCAGACGACTGTTACATGTTACTCTTAGTTGAGATGAGTATCGCAACACACGGCAGGGGACCACAATAAATAAATAAATATATATCAAAATATGACATAAAACAGTCGTATACAATCTGGATTGTATTGTGGGGTTGGGGACACGATCCAAATATCTTGAAGTGACCGCATGGTGGCGACATTTAACCCTAACCCCCTAGGCCCTTGTTGCTTACAACCATCCTCAATCCTCCAAAATCCTCCAAAATTTTTCAACTCCGCCTAAATTTTTCAAAATTGTCAGACAGTCCTGCCTCAAAATGCATTCATCTTCAATCCTCCAAAATCCTCCTCATCCCAAAACTTTGCACTCGGGTTTAAATGAAGGATAACCAATGCCAAATCATTCAAAATCATCAGACAGTCCTGCCTCAAAATGCATTCATCCTCAATCCTCCAAAATCCTCTTGTGCTTCATTCACCATTCATCCTCAATCCTCCAAAATCCTCATGTGCTTCAATCACCATTCATCCTCAATCCTCCAGAATCCTCATTTGATTCAATCACCATTCATCCTCAATCCTCTAGAATCCTCCAAAACCGCCAGAAGTATTTTGGAGGAGTGAGGTGGGTTAGGGTTAAGCCAGGAAGAAAATGTGTATGCATGAGGCAATGAAAAGGCAGTCGTATTTGTTGACATGTTGGTAACAAAGGTCTCCTCAGTCTCAGCCAAAATATTTGAAGTAGTGAACATTTCTGGTTTTATTTATCAGTCAAGTACTGGAACAAGTTCAGCAACTATTATTATCCAGGTTTTAAAACAATTCTCGCCGTTTTGAGGAATATATTGCAAAGGACATGGTTCTGAAAGAGATGTGCAATAGCTAGTCGTGATGATGCCCGCAGCTAGATTTGTCCACAAACAAACTGCGTGTACAATAATACGCGGTCGATTACCATACACAGCGCGGGAACCAGTCGCTCTTGCTAGCTAGCTGCTGGCGCATGACGTTACGCGGAAGAGTAACACCCGACGACTGTTTTATGCACTAATATGATGTTTACCACTCGCATCACAGCTGCGGTACTGGAACGGCAGCTGAAGTTGGCCGGTTGTCGTGCATTCATAGTGCAGTGCTTTTTACGTTCATTTTAAAGACAGGGACAATAAATAGTTAGTTTCATTATCTCATGTATCATTTATCACTCCTCTGTTCCATTGTCATTTTGAAACTAGCGAATTTACCCCTCCATGAGACAGTGTTTCCCCTGGCTAATGAACTGAGCGAGGTGGTAAACATTCAAATGGTGATTGGAATAAAATTGACGCAGTCTGCAAAGTGAAAAAAACGCAGCACTCACAAAAATGCGTGATGATTTCATCTACGCATCCAGTTCTTGATACATAGAGGTCAAGGAAAATGCTAATACATTACACAAAACAAAATTTTTCAATTTGTATTTCTTTTGGTGCAAATTTTCGCAGCCAGGTGGTGATATTGGCAAAAATTGAGCGAGGTGGTCACTGAAAGTAGCGAGGTGGGCCACCTCACGTTTGAATGGGCAGGGAAAACCCTGCCATGAGACAAACTGAACATTATTTTACCGTGTGATAAGTACTCTTACATAAGTACTCTTATATGAAGCTTTCTTGAAATCTGCTTTCAGTACGCCAAATCTTGCATTTGAATGAAATTTGAGGGAAAATCTGGGCCCCGATCGCAACGTCCTGCTGATCTTGTTGGTGAACCGAGATATCAATTAAGTTCACCACAAACTCAAAATCCACAGGTCTTATTATGGGCAAAAAGGATGTATGGACAAAAAAGGATTTTGGCTCTTGAAAATTGATTGAAAAAAGTGACGTATGTGTATGGAAATCTTTCCAAAACTACATTGGTTACTGTAATAATGTGAATCTTTCGTGGTTACTTTGCAGAAAGTTATTTATAGGAGCTGTCAGCAGCCAGGTTTCAAAAGGTGAGTTGTCGCATCTTGAAAAAAAAAAAACATTGGGTAATTTGTGTTTTTAATAAACAAGAGGGATGTTTTGTTGTGAATCACACAATGCCTGAATAAATCCCCATCGTCTGATTGGTGGGTTGTTGATCACGTGTCATTGAATTATTCGTCCAAATGCACGACACGGTCCCACCGCAAAATCATTGCGTGGTCACACTTTTGGTTGTGGTATTTATAACACAGCTCTGATGGCTCTGATGCTGTACATTCGTAGTACCAGTCTACATTCGTAGTACCAATCAGATGACAAGGATTAATTGAAGGGATCCATAACATTACATTGGTGCAATGGAAAGAATAATTTCAGTTGTTGACGGATGGAGTGGTCCATTCCACTCGGCTTTGCCTCGTGGAGCGGAACATTCCGTTTATTACCACTAGAAGTTATTCTTACCATTGCACTCATAAATATTCATAATACATTGTACTACTATTAAATTTGACATGTTTGGTATTTGGCTTTTACAAAATGTTGTTGTTTTGAAATCAGTTCAATATTAATGAACTCATGACATTGTATACATGTAGTTAGTAGAAATGCTGCATTGTTTTTCTCTAAATGTCAGTTCCAAAAACAAAAACGAACCAAAACAACAAAAACAAACCACACACTAAGGCAAAACAAACATACAAACAACTCCCCAAGAAGTAACCCTAACCCCCTCGGGGTTCCTCAGGACTACCCTGCTAAATCCGACAGAGACCAATTGTTACTTTCTGCGCAATCCAACAGAATGCAACTCTGCCCAATTTTAGTTGTCTGCTTGATCCAACATAGTCCAACTTGGCGTGATTTATCAGTACCCAACCCAAAGGGGTTTACTGCTTAATCTAACAGTCTCCAACGGGTTTGTGATATAGTTGGATCCTGTTGGATTCAGCAGGGTTAGGGGTAATTACGTAATGAACTGTGATTGTTTTTTCTTTCTTTGGTCAGAGGAGTTTCAAGCCTTCTTTGAGAAGTTTGGTGAGGTTTCGGACATCGTCTTGATGATCGACAAAGATACCAATCGAAACCGAGGGTTTGGCTTTGTCACTTTCAAGGACCCATCCTGTGCTACAAAAATCCTTTCGTCACCACAACCTCTGAAGCTACATGGACGAGCAGTAGGTTTTTTTTATTGAAAAAAAAATGGGGGGGGGGCGGCTTGTTCCACAGGGGTAGCCAATCCCGAACTATGCTGAATTTAACAGGATTCTGTTTAACCCTAACCACCCCAACTCCATCAAAATCCATCCCCACATTTTTGGTGGATTTGGGGGACTCGGTCCAGAAGGCCTGGTGTGACAAAATATTGATGGAGTATGATGGACTTCGGCCTAATGGCCTGAAGCAGTGCTGGGGTATCCGATTGATTTTGCCTAGCTTCCTGTACTGCTTTTGTGATAAAAGCCATGTGTAGCAAGTGCATGAATGTCAACCAGTGCGTCAGTGGTGGATTTCATTGTGTCATGTACAGTTTTGTAATTAGACGCACAGTGATTGATGGATTTTGATGGAATTGGTCCAGTTCCTAGTAAAAGACACTAGGAAGTTAGGGTTAATCCAAATGAACCCTGCCTGTCCGACTGAGAGGCTAACTGAATGATTGACTGACTGACTGACTGTCCCTTGCGATCTTTGGTTTGTGCCCATTTCTCTCAGTGCATGTGGCCAAGTTTTAACCCTAATTCTCTAGGCATTTTTGCTAGGATGCAACCTCAATCCTGCAAAATCCTCCAACTACCTCGATGTAAAAACTTGCAATCAACTTCAATCCTGCAAAATCATCCATTATTTCTTGCATGTGGTCCTTGGAGGGGTGACCACTGCCTCCTGCAAAATCCTCCAGCAATCACTGTCAATATGTGGAGGCAAAGCCAGTGACATTCTGGTGCAGTGCGGAGGATTTCAAGTATAATCTAGGCCTAACTGTATGCACGGCTGAGCTCACAACTCAAGGTCCAGCCCAAGACCTCGACACAGTGCATCCTCCAAAATCAGCCACACATTTTTGCCACACTCAATCCTGCAAAATCCTCCATTTTGCAAAGAGGATTTGGGAGGATTTGGGAAGGTTAGGTTTAATGATCTACAGTGGTCACCTTCACTGAAAGTCATGCTCAAATTTGGTCAATGCACAGTTTGATGCACAGACAGGAAAGGTCCATTGTTTTTGTTCATTTGTTCTTGGCAGCTCGACCCCAAACCTAGCGTCCAGCGGGGACAGCTGGTCCCTCCCCCTGATCGGCCGCCGCAGAATAGAAGCCTGGACAAGAAAGTCTTCGTGGGCGGGGTCTCCCAGAGCACCGACGACGCAGCCCTCAAGAATTATTTCAACAGCAACAATTATCCGGTGAGATGGTACTTTTCATATTTTTGTACCTCCGCACCCCTCAGCAGAGTATCTTGCCAAAACACCCAAGAGGGTCAGAGTTGAAACAGTGTTGGAGCGCTGTGGTCCAATGGTTACAGTGCTCATGTGCCGTGGTATGTGAGTTCAAACCCTGACTGGGAACAAGTGTTCTTGGGCAAGACACTTTACTACAACTGCCTGTCCACCCAGGAGTATAAATGGGTACCTGTGAAGGTAGAGACCAGAGTGCATTGATCTCAAGCTACCGCAGGGAAAAATGGTCACATGGCCTGATGAACAGGGGTAATCAGGGATGTGATTTCTCCGTTTTTTTCCGGAAATCCGTTTTTTTGGGCCTCAAAAGTCCACCAACGTGAATCGTGTGAATCCGTTGAGAAAATAGGGGGGTAGAATGTGCTAATTAATTATTCATAATGAGTTTTGCTTGCCGAAATATCCGAAATTTACTTACGGACATAAACTTCGTTGATCGATATGTATGCCGCACGCACATATTGAACACCCAATGTGAGAACGAAGTTGAAGACCATGCGTTGCCATTAGTGCGATTATGTGATTTTTCGCTCGGGGCCGAGGTTGTGGTTATGTAGGTCTAGTTCCTGTGTCGGTACTTGAGATGCACGTGTTACGCTGGTCAGGTGTGCAGACGAGTGCAGCATGGTACACTGGTACCCTTCGCGTGCTAACAGAATCAATGCTATGATGAAGGACCGGAACCAGTGACTACTGCAAGTACTCACAGGTTCGTTTTCCGTGCGTATAATCGGCCGAAGTTGGATCGTAAAAATAGTAAAAATACCAAACAACCATCGATGGAAAAAGAGGATTTCTGCAAATTAATTCACAGAACGTGATCTTCATTTTCTGTGTATGCATTTTCCATTGAAATGACGAGATTGCAAAACTCGAACCTGTGGAGAAACATCGTAGCGTGTTTCTGCAGTCCTGCAGAATTTTTGGCCACTTGGGATGGGCCGTACACATTGCAGCAATGCACACTGATACTGCGACGGGCCGGCCGTGTGTACGGCGCGATGTACGGCCGGCCAGACTGAATGTTTGCGGAGCTAGCGGCCGTGATGTACGTTAAGCATAATTGTGGAATGACCCACCTCAAATATATTTTTAATTAGGTGAGGCAAGTTTTAATCCTTTTGATAGCTGGTCTTGATAATTTTTGTGGCGCAAATGAGAATAATCCAGGCACAAAATACATGAAATATAAACGATTCCTTGCTTTACTACAAATATAGAAATGGTGAAATAATTTTTTTTCCAACAATACTACCGACGCTATTTTGAAAGGCATGTTATCGGAAGCAGAAGTGATTTAAGTTTACAATTTTGATTTTTTTTTTACAAAAATATTACAAGATCTCCTCTGAAATGCTCTAAAATGCACCAGAAAGCTTCTGAAGTTCAACATTTTTCGGGGCCCTTAAGCGGGCCCCGAACCCATGCCGTGGCTTCGCAGGTTGTTGTATCACAACAAAAATTCCCCCACAGGTTTAAAAAAATCCTGGGGAGAACAGCATGGTTCTCAACTTTGAGTACAGAAAAAACTTTATTAGAATAAGAGTACATTTTAACAAATAAAGGAAAATTAAAAATTAAATTTAATAAAATTAAAACAAATTCTGCTTCAGAATTTCAGAGGAAAGTGCCCAGTAATTGTCTCAAATTGCACCACAGAGCATCTAAAATCAAAAATTTTCCGGGGCCCTTAAGCGGGCCCCGGACCCCACGCCGTAATGGCTTCGCGCTCGCCGGAGTTTGCATTTCATGCGTAAATTTTTCAGGTTTTTTTGTCGCAGACCAATCACATCCCTGGGTAATAATTGTGAAGCGCTTTGAGACCTTTGGTATAAAGCGCACAACATTATTATTATCATCATTATTGTTGCCTTAGACGTCGGCAAGTGAGCAATAATTTTCCGCAACGTAATGATTTTTAATTTGCATCTTGTGTTTTTGCCTTCAGGTCAAAGAAGTGGTGCTCATGCATGACAACCTAACATTGAAGAGCAGAGGTAAGTGCCGGTCTCATACTTGCATGCGCAACTTTCTCCGGCCGCATTTTCAAATTGCTGCCATTGCAAAATAGGGCTATTTCTTAAAACGCACCAGATTGTCTTTTCCATGAACCAGAAAATTACGAGTGCAAATGAAATTCCTTTGCAGCTCTGTCCTATAATTATCAGTAGTGTTTGCAGTAAACGTGGTATTTCTAGCCCGTCCATAGTAGCTACTTGTATGTGTACATAAAGTACTACTCTTAAACGTAAGTGTAAGGTGTACATATGTAACTTGCGTAAGTAGCTGCCCTATACCACCTTCGTGTAGAATTGAAATTACGAAGAGTGCATTAGTAAACTACAATAACCGTAATGTGTGTATGAGCCATTGAGACAAACTTTCGTTGTGACATAAAAATGCACGTACATTGTATATGCTGCATTTCTAACCAGATTTTGAAATGAAAATTCCCTACGTACATGTAGCTTTTATAGTTCAATTTTTCAAATTGGGCAATTCTAGTTTTCAAAATTAGCTACCATCGAAATATCATTGTCATCAAGTAGAAGACATATTGGTAAAAACTTAAATTATATCGAGTAAAAGTTGTAATGCATCTGGTAATAGTTAAGCAGCAGTAATATTGCATTGCCATGATCATGTATTCATATCTGTATACATTGTATACAACTGTATTTATTATTGTAACTTTAACCATTGTTTTCCCCCTTATTAATAAATTGTATTTTTGTGTAGGTATTCCAGAGTAAGATAAGCTAAGTGCGGTTAATAAGTATCGGCTGGTTACTCGTTGCTTGTGATCTATCGTCCAGATTCTCTGAATTTTAGTCCAGTTCCCTTATTTTCCTGTTAGGTAATACTGCTGTTGGCCTTACGAAAAGACCAAATTTTGGTTCCCCCCCTCCCCAACCCCTGAAATTGGTACATGTGTAAAAACACGAAGACTGATTTAGTCACATGTATTCTAGTCACATGTATTGTAGTCACATGTGCATAGGTTCACACATTCCCAAATTATTGCCACGAATACCCCGATCTATCCCGAATAAAATTTCTTGATGGCATCGGGAGAAATTGTATGTAAGTTATTCTTCGTACATTTCTTGATACATTCGTAATGATTCGGCATGATTCTGGACTGTTACCACCAAGAATAACTCAACGAAACTTGTAAGAATGCTGTTAGAATATCCAGAATGCTGTAAAAAATATCCAGAATGCTGTAAAAAATATCCAGAATTAGTTACAAATACAACAAGAATAAACCAAGAACTGACATTGGTTCCTGAATCACCCCGACAGTTTTGAGCAAGTCCAAAATTGTCGGGGCGCTTCCCGATCTTTAACGATCTTTCACCGAACTAACAGAATCATCCCGAGGCAGCCAAAAACCAGTCCCCGATTTACACAAGAATTGCTCTTCGCGGCGATTCGGCTTAAAAATCGGGAATGTGTGAACCTAGCATTAGAAGCAAGTTCGTGAAAATTCATCTTTTGATGGTCACAATGAATTTGCATTATATAAAAAAAAAAATGAAGAAAAAGGGTTGATTTGTCGTGAAAAAAGCCGAGAGTTGAACCAGCCGTATACTTGGCAACTGCCCCTACGTATCTACCATTTACTACTACCTCGCATGCCTAGGTTTCGGGTTTGTCACCTTCCTTGACGACGCCACGGTGGAAAGTGTCTGCAGGCAGCGATTTTTCAACATTGATAACAAAACGGTGCAGTTCTATGTTCCCATTTTAACTTCTTAATGTGTTTTAGTGTTGCGATGTGTTTTGGGTGTTTTATGGTGTACACCGAGGATGGAGTTTTTATAACCAAAGAATCCTTGTGTTATTTGAAGAAAAAAGCAAACCGTAACCCTAACCCCCTAGGCCCTTTTGGCTAGGAACCATCCTCAATCCTGCAATATCCTCCAATTGCCAGTATGTAAAACTTGGATTCAGCCTCAATCCTCCAAAATCATTCGTTATTTCTTGAATTTGTTCAGTGGAGGGGTGGCCATCACCTCAATCCTTCAAAATCCTTCAACAATCACTGTTAATGGGTTCAAGCAGTGTTGCTGACATTCGGAAGCAGTGCTGATGATATCGAGCATAATGCAGGGCTCGATTATGCATGGCTGAACATAAACAATGCTGAGTATGTACAGCCTACGAACTCGACACAATACTAAATAAGTATGACACTATTTGCTCTTCAAGTTCAATGTTTGTTTATTCGCGCTCAAGCAATGACTACAGCATCTGCAACAAAGAAGATATAAAATAACACCGACAGGTTAACGTTAATATCATATGGTGAAGTCACAGTTCTCTGAATACATCCTCCAAATTCAACGGACACTTTTTTGGTTATTCAGCCTCAATCCTCCAAAACCGCCTGTAGGATTGTGGAGGGTTAGGGTTAAGGTCGACATTCTTGTTGTACACCCTAAAACAAGCCAGTGTGCTATGAGTGTAGAGTGAGTGCGGTGAGAGGTAAGATGGGAAGCTGGGAAGAGGTCTGAACTTACCATCACAAATTTCAAAAAATTGCTTCGTGCAGAAATAGGCTGGGTTGGTTTATACATTTGCAAAAAGGAAACACTTTTGAGAAAAAAACAAACCAAGTAATCAAGTGATTATGAGACTATATGAACTCCATATAGAAACTATAGGTGACCCTGTTTACGTGGCTCATGCGTAATGACAGTGCGCCTCATAATGGACGTACAAAAGTACTGATGGCAAGTATGCGTACCATTAACCCTCCTTGAGCACTTTTACTAGAAAGTATCCCGAATCCGCCAAATCCACTAATTTTGTCATGCAAAAAAATGATTGGTGTCCTGAGTCCATCAGAACCCACAGTGAGTCCATCAGAATCTACCAGTGTAGTACATACCTCGTGTACACCAAACATATCCAAGGAGTTGAACTGTTGAGATCCTGAATCCATCAAAATCTACCAACTGCTCAATATGAAGGTATCCTAAATCCATCAAAATCATGCAGTTCTGCTAGGCTTACATATTGAATCCATCAAAGTCCCCCAACTTTTTCAATATGGAGGTATCCTGAATCCGCCGAGTTCCTCCAAAACAGGGGTGAGGATTTTGATGGATTCAGGTACGTTAGGGTTAAATGAGCGAAATTTTTGCATTTTCACAGACAAGCACGACTTTGTTTTGTCACAAAAGTTATCCCCGAAATACTGTGAGGTAGTGTGTGGCTGTGTTGTGTGCGTACATGTAGTTCCGATGAATGTTATGTATAATGTATTGTGCTAGCATTTGTTTAACGGTACCTAAAATATATTTAGGCGGTGTTAAGCTATCTTTAGCAGAACTTACCTTTTTTTTTTTAGGGTGGGGGCCTTTTTTTATTGAAAAATATCTCAAACTACTTGGAGCCAATGTAAAATCAAAGTATCTTTTAATAAAATATTTGCTTTACATATCCGCACTTAATTTAGATAGCGGTATATACCTGTATATTATTCAGTATGTACATGTAGACCACGCTCTAATATGTCACACACATTTTGAGTTCTGGAAACATTTTGGTATTAGCTTAGTTATAGCACGGCTCTGATATCGCAGTAATTGTAGTGATACATAAATCTTGAAGTAATGTTTTGTTTGGCGAACCAAGGTTTGGTAGATAGCGATTAAAACTTCTGCATGGTTTTTTTTTCATCGCTTGTAGATATTTTGTTTTCTTTGAAAATTTACCGAATAGAAGACAGGTTATCATAGGATGTAAAGTATTTTTATCAAAAGTCGCATGTGTGTGTGCTTGTAATGTTTAATTTAGAATGGAAAAATAAAGCACCTTTAAGCCTTCTGTGCTCCAAGTAGTTTGATTTATTACCCAAAATTGTTTTTTACACAAATCATATGAGTTTATTCAAAACAAGAAGCTGTATTGAATTTGCTATTTTTTGGTGTGTGCGTAGATGGGTGCTAGTTAAATCACAGTCTTGTTTGAAAATGGCGGACCTTTTTTCTTGATAACGTTGCGAGAAACCATTGGTTGCCAAGGAAACACGCACTTTCAATGCAGCTTTGGTCTCGGAGTCAGTCTTGGCCTCGTTTAACTGAAAACTAAAAACCATAAGTAAAAAAATTGTACGACACGTCTCCCTAGACTGTTTTCTCTCTTTCGGGGAAAAAGTGGATTTTTTTATAAATCAACGTGGTTACCACCGAACAAATCATTGTACATATTCTCATTTCGCCATTCTCAAACTTGTTAAAAATGAACACTTATTTTACTAATAATTCACAAAATTATGCTCAATTAATTCCTATATCTGGCTTCAGCAGCCTTTTTTATACAATTTTTTTTTTTACAAGAATGTTTGCAGAAAAAAAAAAGTGTTTAAAGGATTTCTGTTGAGTAGCAAAATGGGGACCCTCTGTATTTTTTTTTTAAGATTAAGTTCCCTGAAATGTCAGATTGTTTATATTATTAAGAAGAGAACCCTTGTAATCTTCCTCCGCAACAGGTGGAATGCAAGAAGGCGGAGCCCAGGGGCGGCAAGCATGACATGGGGCCCGGCCACGGCGGGGGTCCTGGCGGGCCCGGGGGTAACTTCAACCAGATGCAGAGGGGCGGGCCCCACGGTGGGGGGCCCAATATGGGCGGGGGCTACAACCAGGGCTGGAACCAAAACCCCAACTATGGCAACAACCAGTTCAACCAAGGCGGCGGCAACTATGGACAACAAGGTGAACTTGCGTTGAACTTGCTTTTTAGTTGTGTGGCGTTGGCCCCTATTGGGCACGTTGTGACAACACTCTCTGAAGCTACATCGTTGGATCGAGCATGAATGTTCGTTTCCAGTCCCACTATTATATCAAGTAGATAAAAGACACATTTTTGGGACTTAAGTTACAGAGCTCGTATCAGGAGCTTGCGACAACATCACGGTGTCTTTATCAACTGGCGTTGTTGAGGCCCTCACGTGACCCGTCACATGACCAAGCTTGGTCATGTGACGTCACATGACCAAGCTTGGTCACACGATGGGAGGCGGTCATACACATGGGCCAGCTGGTACCCTCCATCTCTGTAAGATTGGATTAAGCCTCAATCCTCCAAAACCAGCCGTTATTTCTTGAATTTGATCGGTGGAGGGTTTACCACTGCCTCAATTCTTCAAAATCCTCCAGCAATCACTGTATACACGTTGAGGCCGTGCTGATGATATATCCAGAAGCAGTGCGGATGATATCCAGAAAAATGTAGGCAGAAATGTATGCGCGGCTAAGCACAAACTACTCAACAAGGAACAGCTTAAGACCTTCAAATACAACGGGCACTATACAGGCATACAGCCTCCATCCTCAAAAAACTCCACAAGCACCTGGTTGATTTTGGGGGACCAAGAAGGGTTGGGGTTAAAGTGGTCAAGTTGTATTTGCCCACGTGATTAAAATTCCAATGTCAAACAAACGTAGTGCACATGAATCAATAACAACACCAGATGTTGAAAAATGTCAATTCTTAGGGATAATAATACTGTTAAGAATTCCTCATTTTTCGGCTGAGTTGGTTTTTTGGGGGTTTTTTTGTGCATTGATCTATCTAATTAATCTAAACCTTTCTGTTATTGTTCCAGGAGGTTGGGGTGGACAGCCACAACAGCCACCCATGGGTGAGTAGAGGCTTTGAAAAGGAACCCTGTTGTCCAATATGTGCTCTTTTAGTCTCTGAAATGTATCCTAGATTTTGAAAGTGCTACAGGCAAAACTTCATTCAAGAATTGGTCCTGCCATTTGGGATGCGTTGGTTTTGTTTACTCACCCTGTGTTTATTCACCACTGGAAAATGGAAATATGTATAGCAAGGGTAAAAAGAAAGGGCTGTCGTGTATACAAGCAAGTAGGTTCTCATAGTATTTGGATTTACTTTGACTGGGGCATTTCAAATATACAGGGTGAGTAAAAAAAAAACGAAACCCAAATGTTGGGACCATTGTTTTAGGAAAGTTCTGCATGTAGCATTTTCAAAATCTATGATATGAAAGCCCAATTCATAAGCTTTCTTTCAGTACAAGAATCATTCAAATCACTCATGTACTTTTCAAGTTACGGAGTTTAAACACAACCACCATTTTAAGGTTCTGTCCACGGATCGCAAAAAAGTTCAGTGTTGTTTCAGCAAAACGAAAACAAATCACATAGGGATGTGTGTGAATTGTTTTCGTTTTGCTGAAAGAACACACACCTTTTTGGTGATCCGTGGACAGAACCTTAAAACGGTGGTTGTGTTTAAAATTCCGTAACTTGAAAAGTACATAAGTGATTTGACTGAGTCTTATACTAAAAGAAAGCTTATGAATTAGACTTTCATATACTAGATTTTGAGAGAGCTACATGCAGAACTTCAATAAAACAATGGTTCCGACATTTGGTGGTTTTTTGGGTTGTTTTTTTACTCACCCTGTATGAACCCTTAACCTACAGGCAACTATGGCCAGCAACCCCAACAGCAGCAGCAGCAGCAAGGCGGCTTCATGCCCCGCGGCGGAACCATGCCCAACCAGGGGGGCTTTGGGGGACAGTACAACAACGGCAACGCAGGGTACAACCAACAGCGACCTCAGCCCCAGCAAGGGGGGTATGGTTACAACCAGCAACAGCCGCAGCAACAACAACCGCAGCAGCAGCAGCAACCGCTGCCACAGCAGCAACCTCCTCAGCAGCAACAACAGCCGCAGGGAAATTATGGTAAGTGGTCGGTAAAGATGTCCACATGTGTGGGGTTATCTTTCTGGAGTCGTTTCAAACGAATGTAACAATTGCTCCACACTGTTTCAACTGTAAATATAATCGAAACATTTCAGGTACTTAAACCCTCCTGCTGTCTGTACAGCCACCGACATAAAAAAAAATTCAATCATCTCCCCTGCCATGCCGTTTAGGCAGGCTAGTCACCAACAGTCGGATCATATTGCAAGCGAGCACTGTGAACAGCCAAATTCAGTCAGAGACAAAAGCAGGCAAGTGGTAGCCACAGCTGGCTTATAAATCACCGGCAGTCGAAGCATAGCTGCATCAAGTGACATAAACAGCCACAGCCAGTCAATCCTGCCTTTTTGGCTGGGAGCTCTTAACTGTTAAAAACGGCCACTTGATTGATTTTGACTGAAAGGACAACTTTGCACAGAATACATGTTTGCAAAGGAGGGTTAATTCAAATCATCAGCATAACCTGGCTAGGCGTGAGTCACTAACCTTGCACGAAAGGTGAAATCACACAAAAACTGCTCCGACAAAAAAATGACTCGATCTCAAAAAGTTATTATTCTAGACCAAATCTCAACAAGTCTATTATTTGTAAACACTTATTTTTAATTTTTGTTATAAATAACCACAATCGTCCTGAACTGCAGCATTTTCAAAACCATCTTTATCTTGTTATCTCTGAGGACTTGGAACAGTAGGTTACCTCTGATAACAATAATTCAGAGGACCTGAACCAAGTCCTCAGAAGGTTTTCGTGTAAAAACCTTATGGAACATGTTGAGAAGAAGTTTAAGTTCTCTATACTTGTAATACTGTGTACTTTATCTTGTTATCCTTTACATCTGAGGACTTGGAACAGTAGGTTACCTCTGATAACAATAACTCAGCGAACCTGAGCCAAGTCCTCGGAAGGTTTTCGTGTGCAAACCCTAGGGAACATGTCGAGAAAAAGTTAAAGTTCTCTATACTTGTAACTGTACTCTGTACTTTATCTTGATATCCTTTACATCTGAGGACTCGGAACAGTAGGTTATCTGTGATAACAATGACTCAGAGGACCTGAGTTAAGTCCTCAGAAGGTTGTCGTGTACAAACCTTAGGGAAGAGTCCTCTGTGAAGTATAGTAAAACACGACTGCGTGTGCATGATTTGAATGAATGCATTGCATGGATCATTAGCCCCTGTGTGTATTATATTGGTGTGTACATGTACTTTCCCTGTCTTTTCTCTAGGACGGCCCAATGCAAGGGGTGACGGCCATCCTCCCAAGAGTCCACGATTTGCTAAATCCTTAGGTAGACAGTGCCAGCGGTGTCACCAGGAATTTTATTTAGGGATGGGGCAAATTTAAAATGGTAGCTTTTAATGGAATTGAGATGAGAACTTGCCTGTATTAAAGGAGGCGTGGAATTATCCCTAAACCGTGCTCAATCCATCAGGATCCAACTATTTGACATACCCACTGGGTCCTGTTGGATTGAGCAGTAAACCCCTTGTACATGTTGTATATATTCCTGTTGAAATCTGTTGGATTCAGTAGGCAACTGAAAACTTTCAGAGTCAGATTCTATTTGGTTCTGGTAAATACCGCCAAGTTGGACTCTGTTGGATCCGACAGGAAACAGAAAAATAAGGCACAGTTGGATTCTGTTGGATTGAGCTTGCCAGTCATTTCTCATGTTCAGGTACCAAGCAACTTGCCAAGTTGGGTTGTGTGGGACTTTGTTGGATTGAGCAGGAAACTCACACGAGTAACTGCGGGATTCTGTTGGAGTTAGCAGGGTAGTCCTGGGGAACTACTAGGGGGTTAGGGTTAACTTAAGACTGTTTATTTTTACAGTTCCTTTTTTGGAGCATGGGGGGAAAATTTGACAGCAAGTGAAGGGGGGAGGGGTATGTGCCACCCTTTGGCATGCCTGGTGAGATCGCTGGACTTCGTTCCTCATTGAAGTGTTTCCCGTTTGTAGATGGCGTTGGTTCAACTAACACGTTACCCTTTAATAACCCTAACTATTAAACTGCAATTGAATTGGGACTCGGAACCTTTCTTGAGTCTACCAAGAAAGGAGGATTAGAATGCCAGAGTAATTCAAGTAAACATGCATTGAATGGTTGGGTCTTCAAGGTAAATGACCGAAAGAGAGAATAATCTCATGATTTATTGGTGAGTTCTCCTCCCTTGGTTGATAGTTTGTGTGTTTTGTAACGTTGGTTTTACATCGACTGACCAACATTTAGAACTTTGGTGACATTTCTGCACGCCACATTTTGCAGTCGGAACACACTGTCAACAGTTGTGTTTTTGTTTTTTTGTTTTTTTAATTCTTTCCTTTGTTGAAAGTTCACTGTCTTTTGTACAGGTGGGTTTCAATGATTATCCTACATTTGAACTTTGTTGAAATCTCTGTCCACTGTTGTTTTTTTCCCCCTCTGTAATTTGTCTGCACGAGGGTTTGCTTACTCCATGTTTTATGGCCGAGCTAAGTTGCCGAGCCCATAATGTTCCTTTATAGACCGAATGAGCCATTTGCGAGTTAAATTTGCATAAAACCTGGAACACTGACTTAATCCAATGATTTGCATGTTTTAACTTCGTATTCTCCCAACCAAAGAGACTGTTACTACATCACGTGAGTCGGGGCAAGCCTTATGCTAGCAAACCCCAGCTCCTGCATGGTCTGGTGTCTTTGTGCCATTCTCGCCCATTGTGAACAATGTATTGGTGCTGAGCGTCTCTTACGTAACTGTGCAAGAGCTTGCCCTGAATCATTTGATTAGCAACAGTGTCTTTGGTCTGGAGAGTTCAAAGTTAAAATGTGCCAAGCATTCTGAGCGAGTCAGTGTGCCAGACATTTTTCAGATTTAAGTCCCAAAGGGTATCTGCTCTGTTCACAAGCACCCCCTCACCGGCAAAGGAAGTACAGTTGGGGGTGATCGACCGACGCCATCTTGCCTGACTGCAATTCATTTGCTGAGCGCGGCCACTGCGTGTACATAGAACAAATCCCCTTGTGTACGCGCGTCACACACAAGGAACGGTGCGCGTCAACCAGCGAAATGTCCCGCCCATGGGACGTTGTTGCTAGGTAAAAGGGCGCCCTCTTTTGATAGCGCACGGAGCTCATTGGTCTCGGAACGGCTTTACGAGGCTTGCCTACTTTGTTTTTGTTTTGAATTTTAAAAATTAATTCTATTTTAAAAATAGAATTTTAATAAATCACAGAGTTTGCATGCTTGCTGTTTTTCATACTTACACCAGTGTTGTTTCAGGTGTGGAGAGTTTCTTTGCCAGCTCGAATTCCAATTTGATAATTTGTTTTTTCTGATTAATTCCCCAAACAGGCCAGCCACAGAACTACAACAGCTATGGGAACTACGGCCAGCAGCAGCCAAGCCAACAGCAACAACAGCCGGACAGTTACAGAAACCAGGCCCCAGCCCAGACCAACCAGGGTTACAATACCGGCAACTATGGGGGTCAGACACAAGGTACATATCCCCAAAGTGGTGAGTCTCATTTCACATATTTAGAATTTATCCGTAGAATAGTTAAGAGTTTTGCCTGAAAAAGACTTCCTTATTTGTAGTATATCTGAGCATTACTAAATTAGTTTGGAAGATGTGTTTGTTTTATTTAATAAAAAAATAAAAAAACAAGTTAATTTAAACCCACTTTTGACAGCAATTTTCACCTACTTGTTGAGCATGTTTCAAAAATTCAATTTAATTGATTAAAATATTGATCTTTAAACATAAGTGACCAAAAAAATGATTGCAAATGCATATTTTGTCTCTGAGATATGGTACTTTAAAAAGTTCATGTGCCAAACCTGTTTGTCCACGAACGGCTTTATTCCATCCGCTTGACTGAGCTCCATAGCCTGATATGAAGACCAAAAACACTGGTTTATTTGAATTTTTTAATATTTTTTTTCACACTCAATACTTTTCATAAGATGGAATTTGCATCGGGCTTGGTGGTCGAGTGGTAAATATCTGCACTAGAATAAAAAGCCGTGGGTTTGAGTCCCACCGAGTGCTTTTTTCCCAACTTTCACTCTGGAGGTAACACACTGAGTATACAGTGTTAATGCATCGGTGAAGGGCAAAAACCTATTATTGACTTTCAAAACTGTTAATTTGAACAATTATCCATAGAATAAAACAAACAATGTATCTGAAAAGAGGCTTTGCTGTTAATGGTTTTCTGACATGAAGTTTATCGATTGCGACTTTTTTTACAGCAGGGAATATGGGCAACTACCCCCAGGAGGCCTCTGGCTATGGTCCGCAGCGGGTCAACTACAACCAACCCCAGACCAACTTCACCCAACCCCAGGGTAAGTTTGTGACAAGTTCGCTTGCGTTTTTCACTGTTGGACAAGTAATTTTGCTTTTCTTTGCCGAAATTAACCATGTATTTGTTGATGAAATTTCGTTTTTAGCTTCCTGATCAAAAGTTGACAAAATCTCATGGAAAGTCTCGCCTACATATCGTCACCGTTTTGACGAAGTGACACATCTGTGCAGACAGTCGAAAACCGAGTTTTGAGAAAATTGCGTTTGAAGTTGGTGGATTTTTCAATTTGCATTTTAATCTACATTTCTCCCCCGTGTAAAATCAATGAGACTAAGTGACACATCGAGATCTGTCACTTCGTCAAAACGAAAAAGTTAGTGTGTAGCACTTTCAACACTTTGTGCAATTAGCGTAATTAACAAACGATGGAATGTTGTGTCTCGCAATTTGATAATCATGTAGAGGACAACTTCCGTGGTGCTACGCGTTTGCATGAAAGATTCATGTATTTCCCTTGAGCTTGATTGAATTTTGGCCAATAGGAGACTGCGTTTGGCTCATAAATATGTATGAGTTCAACACGGATGGAGAAAAGACGTGAAGATGTACTCAACTGTCATTTTCATTTCATCTGTTGGCTTTAGCTTCTGATTCGAGTGTTTGATGGTTAATAATAATTGTGCTTGTATGGCGCTTAACATCTTATCAACAATCTCAAAGCGCTTTACAGTTATTACCCCATTCATCAGGCCATGGGACCACTCAGCAGCCTCACAGGTACTCCTGGGTTGAGAGAGGCAATTGTAGTTAAGTGTCTCGCCCCAGGGAACAAACACCTTCCTGGCAGGGTTCGAACCCACACACCTTTGTACATGAGTCAAACGCCGTAACCAGTGGACCATGGCATTCTACAAGGTTTCTATTTTTCCAAAGACTATTCGAGAGACAGCAGACTCGGGAACATTTTTCGGGCCTCTTGAAAATTGCCGAGGTGTTGTTGCCGTAAATAATTGACCAGTGCTCCTTTGCAGGCGGTGGGTATGGTGCTGACATGAGCGGCGGGTTCACGGCCCCAGCCCCTCAGCAGCAGCAGCAGCAGCAGCAACAGCAGCCGCAGCAGCATCAGCAGCAGACCCAGCAGCAGAACTACCAGCCGCAACAAGACAACACCCAAGACATGTACAGTGGGGGTCCCGCCGCCCCTGGTAACTTTGCCCGCGGGGGTAACAACGCTGCCTTGCCGTTCCACCCCTACAGGCGATAAAAAGAGACAAACAAACCTGTATACCACTCTGGCAAATACCTCACACTTGTACGAAGAACACTGGTCCAAACTTGACATTTAATAGGCCTTAATTTCGATTTTGAGCGCAAGAGAGCAAAAGCTCAAACGATACATTTTTACAATCTCTAAATACGAGAGTTGAGTCAAAATAATAAAGTGCTTCAATTAATCAAATGTTTTTCAGTATTAAAAAAATGGGGCATATAGGAAATTTGTGGACATGGCTGGTGTGTTGTACAAATTGCTGCCGTCAATGCCATCCGATTCAAATATTGAAAAGATTGAAAGAGTATGAAATATTCCTGACACGGTGAGCTTCAATTTAAAAGTCGAGGTTTGCATTGTTCCCTTTGACCTCATGTACATAATTTCTGAATCGTGCACCTCGCAAGTCAATTCTGTTCTGAAGCTCAAGCAGGCAAATACGCTTATCCGCAGAATGCGAAGACACTTTTATTACACTTGTTGCCGTACAGACCCTATCTCCCAATAGTACGAAACGCAAGCCTAAAAAATGAAATTTCTCAGGATCGTTTCATGTTGGCAATTACCTTGAATGTTTAACGACATACAACTGGTAAGCGTCTATGTAATATATATTGCTGTCACAATCTGTTTTTAAAAGTGTTGGTAATGAATGTAAAAAAAAAAAAAAAACCACTGTATTGCTTAACCGGAAATTTATTCTCGTCCTGAAGCTGTAAATGCGCTTCTATTTTATTAAGCACAAGTGGACTTCACAATTTCTGTTTAATAGATTTAGTGGTGGATATGTACATGTACAGTAAGGTCATTCTCAGTAGATGTTTCAAGTCAAAAGTTTTGTTAAAATTAATGCAAGTAGCTACAGGCAGTCTGTTGTGAAACTCATTTTTGACTCTTTCTTCAGGGCTCAATCACATTTTTTAATTGATTTTATTAGTTTGTTTTGTTTGTCAGCATTACACCAACATTGTAAATAAATTGCATTTGTAGTTTTGTAGTGATCTCTTCAACATGTATTTTAAGTGTTCTTCTTTAATACTTGGGTACTTTTTTCGGCAACATGAGTTTTAACACTGTTACCCCCAATTTGTTTTCGGTGTTGCTCTTTTGGGGATGAATTTCTAGGAAGTGTGAACCAAATTTTATTAGATATTGCCTATTCTTGGATTTTGTTCCATTCTGCCTGGGGTTGAAGAATGTTGTATTCAGCTTCTGGATTAGGAAATTCCAAACCTTTGTTTTAATGGATGAAAGAAAATGTATTTCGTTTTTGATATTTTTTATTTGGCCATTTTTTTTCCCTTTTTTTTTACAAGCTTTCCTTTGATTTTTAGTTTCATCTTGACACAAAATGTGTAAAAGTGTGAAAGCATTTTTTTTTATCCAAGTTTTTTAAAAGAAAGGAAGTATACTGAACTGCGAGATCTAATTGCTGCAAATGTCATCGATGAATAAAAAAGTGACAATGAAAAAGAAGTGTGTCTGTTTGTTTCTTGATTTCCAAACGATATGGTTTAAAAAAAAAAAAAAAAACCAATAAGTTCTTGCACGGTTCCGGAATGTCTCACTTTAAGCTTCATATGAAATATAGACGCACATGCGCATTGATCTAGACCATGATGCTTGTATTCCCGGCCTTCGTCCTCAAAAGCCTACCCGTGAGGTCAAATGCAAGGCGCTCCATCGGAGCTCCCACCACGTATTGCTGGAGTGGAGCTCTCGGAGGATGTGGCGATGGCTTCTTGGATCCGCATTTATGGCACTTCCAGCACCATTCCTCCGCCTGACATCGCATTCTCCTCCAGTACATGGGAGCCTGCCACAACCGCGCGACGGTCCGGGCGATCTCCATGTGGCCTGAAGTCGTATTGTTATGGGCCAGTCTCAGGACATCTTCAACCTTCCCCCGTGGGACCACGACCTTCAACACTGGCCGCCCACTGTTGGGCTGTTCCCATCTCACCTGCAAGACCCCTTGGGACAGTCGCAATGTCTCCCACTTGGCCCACCAATACTTCGTGCCCTTATCCAACACCGAGACGTCCTTCCAGCTAGGACTGGGGACTCCCTCTTCTAGCCACCGCATGATTCTGCGCAGCTCAGGGTCATTGTGTTGTTCTTGTTTCAGTTGTTCGTGGTCCCAGGTTCCCAAGAGCCCGTCCGGATCTGTGGTCTTGTCTTGTCTAGTACTATCGACTGCTCCCACCAGCGGTCCCTCCAACTGCTCTTCTGTCAGTTCCCGTTGTGGGTCGGGGGCTTACCTTCGCTTCTAGTGAGGGCAGTTGCGTCCGATGTGTCCGAGTTCATGACACCCAGCGCACTGTACTTTGGGGCGGGCACTCGGTGTGCTCCAAGCCCCAACAGCTGAGTTTCAGGGAGGCTGTTCTACTGCCCCTGGTTTCCCTTATTGAAGTTGTGCCTGTGACTCCAGAAATGCCTCCATCTTGGTCGTAAGGGTGACTGCCTCAGTCAACGTCATTGTTCTCCTCGAGAAAATGTGGCGCTGCAATTGCTCGTCCCCCAGTGCATTGCGAAAGGCTTCCACCGCTAAATCTTTGCGGAACTGCATGGGTAGCTTTGGGTAGCTATTGGCTACCAAAGGTCAAATTGATTGTCCCAGGTCACTGAATGACTCATCGCGTCCTCGTGTGCACATCGATAATTGAGCCTGATGAAGTGGAATCTGTTATGTCACCCCAAACCGTTATTCAAAAATGTCCAGGATGGAGGAGTATTCCTTCTGCGTCTCTGGCGCCATATCCCCCAGTGCCTCTTGGGCCGTCCCCCTTAGATGGGAGGCGAGGAACATCGCCTTTTCGGCCTTACTCCAATGATTGACTGCCACTACGCTCTCAAAATGGCACAAACAGTGAGACCATGCAGAGCTTCCGTCGAACTTATCAGGGAGCATCAGCGGTCTCCAACCCTTTTGATCAAGATTGTTGGTTTGGGGCTTCCAGCTTTACTCCATTGACTCCCGTGCGGAGCAACTCCACCGGCTCTGCTCCATTGACTCCTGTGCAGAGCAGCTTCAACGGCTCCGCTCCATTGGCTCCCGTGCGGAGCAACTGTGCCGGCTGCGCTCCATTGACTCCCATGTGGAGCAACTGCGCCGGCTCCACTACATTGACTGCCGTGCGGAGTAACTCCATCGGCTCTGCTCCACTGGCTCCGCTCCATTGACTCCCGTGCATAGCAACTCCACCAGCTCCGCTCCATTGACTCCTGTGTAGAGCAGCTGCACCGGCTCCGCTCCATAGACTCCTGAGCGGAGCAGATCTACTGGCTCCGCTCCATTGACTCCCGTGCGGAGCAACTGTGCCGGCTGCGCTCCATTGACTCCCATGTGGAGCAACTGCGCCGGCTCCACTACATTGACTGCCGTGCGGAGTAACTCCATCAGCTCTGCTCCACTGGCTCCGCTCCATTGACTCCCGTGCATAGCAACTCCACCAGCTCCGCTCCATTGACTCCTGTGTAGAGCAGCTGCACCGGCTCCGCTTCATAGACTCCTGTGCGGAGCAGATCCACTGGCTCCGCTCCATTGACTCCCGTGCGGAGCAGCTCTACCGGCTCTGCTCCATTGACTCCCATATGGTGCAACTGCGCCGGCTGCGCTCCATTGACTCCCGTGCAGAGCAACTGCGCCGGCTGCGCTCCATATACTCCCATGCGGAGAAACTCCACCAGCTCCGCTCCATTGACTCCAATGTAGAGCAACTGCACCGGCTGCGACTCCCGTGCGGGGCAGCTCCACCTGCTCAGCTCTATAGACTCCCGTGCGGAGCGACTGCGTCGGCTCCGTATCAACAACCCGAGCAGCGAGTACCTGCTCCGACTGGAGAATTGGGCTTGCCACACTGGGGCACTGCAAACAAGGGTTGTGCTGAGGGGGACCCGCCACCTATTCCAGGGTGCAGAGCCTGGGATGTAATTGAAAAGTTTCTTGCCCCCGGTTCATTGGCAGATTCAGCTTAGGGGCACCCCATGGGGGAGGCTGTGCCGGTTGCATTTCTGGTAACACCGGGGGGCGACCTCTCGTGGGCCCTGACACTTGTGCTGCTGTAAAATATGTGGGGTGTCTCGGGTCTTGACATCTTACTAGGCTGGCCTACCTTCTGCGAGACCTTGATCCAGCCTGCGTCCCCGCCGTGTTGCGAGTCGGACACCAGACTAACTGGACCTGTTGTATTCATGGTGAAAAACACTAGAAGTTTTACCTGTTTTTCCTTCGTCAAACGTGCTGCCGCTGCCACCAATGTAACGTTGACCAAATCCTGGGTCCTTACACACGAGACAGAAGGAATCACAGATGCAATTAATTCTCAGGTTCTCCAGGCTCTAGGCCGTTTATTTAAGCACACTGTTTACAAAGCTCGGCTCTCTCCCTTTTTTAGCTCACAACACAACTCATTTTTTTCTAAGAAACCCTACTGAGTCGGTGCCGCCCGGCAACGGGTCTCCCAGGCCGACCAACAGGGGCTCCAACAGGGTGCCGTGCATACAGAAAGTGAGAAAAGAAATGAAAACAACAAAAACAATCAAACCACAAACCAAGAATGTTCGTAGATGGTTAGGGCCTTGTGGTAGGCGGTGGTCCTCACTGCACTTCCGTCTGCCGTAAGGCGGACAGGCTAAATACCCCCTGTTCACTTACCGGGAGCCGCTTTCAATGGAGCCCCTCTTTTATCGGCTCCCGCTTGAAAAGAAAGCGGGTGACCTGTTTCTACAAACCGTCCCACGGTTGGCACTCCCGGCTCCCGCTACAAATAACCATTTTTGTAACAATGAATCCTGCGGTTTCATACCCATCAGTGGCGGCTTCTACTCACCGACCGCAAAGACCTGGTACATTGCTAATCCTCTGATCTTTTGTCTGCCCTAAACATACAAGCCCCACTGCAAACTGTTACCATGCACGGCTGTACCGTGTGCGTTCATGCGTGGACCGTCTCCCGCTTTGGCTTGAAGGGTCCCACACTTCCTCAGTAACAATACCGTCCCACGGTAAATGAACAGGGGGTATTTAGCCCGCCCGCCTAACAGTTGCTCCCAAAAGGCCTGAGGGACATAAGCTGGGTAGCGTGGAGGCGGTGGTGCTCCTGATGGGAGTATCTTCCAATTGTGGGTTGACACGAATGGGTCCACTGTAATACTCGGCGTACTGCTGTCTCTGGTATGTCTGAAGTTGACGCCTATAGGGACCTCGTACATGTGGTTCACCTGCATCTGTCACGACCAGGCGCGGATCCAGAGGGGGGGGGGGGGGGTTGAGGGTCAACAACAAAAAAACAGCTCTGTCAAAAAAAAAAAAAATGTCATACAAATTCCTAAAAAATGTGACGCCCCCCAAAAATTATACTGGTATAATGTCCGCCTGTTCAAAATACGGTACACCATTCTGTAATCTAGTGTTAATAATCGTGGAATTTGAACAGCGCCTCCTATTGAAATATGGTACCAGCCTCCCCCCCCCCCCCCTCCCCCAGTTTTTGATTTTACGGAGGCCAAGTGTCCGGAGAAAAAAACCTGTGTACATTTTCAGATTGTTTTTGCTGATGAAACCCCTCCCTGCGAAACTTCCTGGATCCGCCCCTGACGACCGATGGCTGTCGGCGTCCACACCGTGAGCTGTCATTTCCAGCCGCCATGTGCTCACAGAGGGGGACCTCCTTGTGTGTGTGTTGGCCACTCTGGTGGCGCTTGGTTGCCTGATTGTGCTGGCCGTATCCAACGGAAGCCTGGTCCCGTCCGGGAAATTCAGGTGAGACCAGCGGGCTAATAGCAGGCGAAACTCGGGTCCGCCCATTCAACAGTGGTATGGGGGTCTCGAGGGATGCGGGGGACTCCGTCTGTGTTCCCTCCTCTGCTAGCATCGGTTGGGACTGGGTTCCAAGGCTTCCACCTGCAGCCTGGCCAAATTTTTACACAAAGCGGCTCACTTCTTGTAGCTCACAACACAACAGCGTGCTTTATCTAAGAAACCCTACTGAGTCTGCGCTGCCCGACCGCGGTGCCCTGCTGGCGCGCCTCTGCCTTTTATAAATCCTCGAGTTAACGGCCCTCAAAATGCTCTAATACCTGAGAATCTGAGGGCATACAAATTTGATTTGGCCCGCGTAGGCAATTCTGGGCCTATTTACAGATCTGCATCCTTTATGGTGACCCATAAAAGATGGCCGAAACTGTTTCAATGCGCAGGCGTGGGCATTGTCAACCAACCGAGTTAGTGAAAAAGCTTGTGACCCGTTCACTTCTCGAAGTTCGCCACAAAGGTTTAACAAGATGGTTCTTGAACCATGCGTCTTGCATGCTTTGCGATTATCTTTAAAAAGTGACTAATCAGTATGAATGTTGCTACGTTGCAGGACCCAAGTTTGGTTCCAATTGGAATTCAACTTTTCAAATGAGACCAATTTTACATGTTCAGCATATTTTACAACTTCACCTCAGATGACCTTTGACCGTGGTAATTGACCTTTGACCTCATGATTATATGCAAAGGTTGCGCTCACAGTTTCCTTTTCGGCCATTAAATTGTTGATACATTTGTAGTTAGTCCCCTCTGCACTGTGCTATGGAAATTGCTATTGATAACCAGCTACATTGTATAGTGAATCCAATGGTATTATCAGTGGTACAAATGGTAAACTCAATGGTATTCCAATGGTAGCGTTCCAAAACACCATTGCAATGGTAATCAATGGTAAATCAATGGTATACATCTACGGTCAGTTCATGGTAATTATCATTGGTAAACCATTGTCTCAATCAATGGTAAAGTGAATGGTAATTTTCATTGGTATACCATTGATTTTTTTGTAAGGGAAATCGTTGTGCGACCAACCCAAGTAGGCTGCTTCCAAATAGTCGACTAGCGTAGTCAACCATCGTCGAACAGACGGAGTTCGGGCTAAGTTTAGTCGAACTATTTGTGCAAACTTGCCCTATTTGATTCAAGTTTGGTAACAATTGGACTTCAACTTTTGAAATGAGACTAAAATATGTTACGAAACATTAACCAAAATACCTCATACAAGTACATACATGTACATGCTACGTACATGATGATCGCATAATCTCTCTTCTTTCCCGAACAAAGTTCAGGCGAGCGCGATCGCGCGACAAAAATGAGACCATACTGTCGCCTATTGGCCCAAACTGACTTTTACCAAAGATCGTACCAAAGATCGAAGGTAGGTTGTTGCGGTAGCACCATGTGGCAAAATCTGAATAAGTAAATAAAATGGGGGGGGGGGGGTACAAGACCTGTCGGAGAAAATGGTGACATGTTGAGATTTAGCAATGCATGATCAATATTAGAGAATACAATAATCTTGTAGGTTATTTAAAAAAAATGGGGGGGGGGAGGGGGACAGATACTATAGATACTGTAACCAATGGCGGCGAATGCTCAAAAGTCTACAACTTTCCTGAAGTTGTTCACAAAATTTAATATGGAAACCAGCTTCAAGTTGTTTTGCCTTGAAAAAAAAAATCCGCATTTCATTTTCTATTGTTAATTATGAATAAATCATTTTCCAAGTACATGTATAACCCAATCCCCTTCAATTTCGTGACAGTGTAATAATAATTCACATTATTTTTAAAACTTTTTCCAGAATGTGCCGTACATTAGAAACCAAAAAAAAAACCAAAAAAATAAAGTCATTTATAATTTAATTAATTAATTTAACAATTACTTTAAAAATATTTCGTTTATACTTCCATCAAAATCCTGTTGGGAATATACCATAAACAACTTGAGAAAGAATGGGGGAAGTTGTTTATATTACCACCCCATATCTCTGATGAATCCTGTACAGTACTTTGCATAATACTGTAAACTGTCAAACAAGTTTTTAGGCACTTTTAGGTATTTCCCCATGAAGCACATGAGAACTAGTAACCAGACTAATAAACTACTTTACATCATTTGCTTTTGCTGTAATTTTCAGAAATGGATGGAATTGGGGGGTTGGAAATATATAGCAAATATAGTTACACTGACTTTTTTGAGGTTTTGGGTTCGAAAATGCTATAAAAACCAAGAAAAACAATCATTTTCCTGTAGTCTGGTTCCCTGACTCCATATAAGAAGAAACAGAGCAGTTTACATACATTGGGGAATTGTAAGGTCAGGGAACCAGCAGTCTAGCTGGCTTGTACCCGTTCATAGGTGTGTAATCGATTGCAAACAAGTGCGATGGTCAATTGGGGCCAGTATTTGAAAAAAGCCAGTTTTTCCAACGCTGGTCGGCCGACCAACGTTGGAAATTGATACAAAAATACCACTTTTCTTGAAAATGACAGTATACCAGGTGCCATGATTTTACAGGATGCTTTACACTGTCATTCACCAACAGTCCAGCAAGGTATTTCAAAATGATTTGGTATTTTTTTTTGTTTTTTTGATGTTTGCAAATGTTGTATTTTCCCTTTAACCAAAGAAAAAATAGTTCAGCGGTTTTGCACAACTGACGAATATATCGAGGGCACCGAGCAAATCTGCTTTTTACCTACCTACCGCTAGGGGCGCCCCTCCCCCTCTTGACCTCTGAGCAAGTGCTTCCTGTTGCACCTTTTTTCAGCGAAATGTCTTCCCCTAAGGTTGCAGACCAGTAAATAAACTGCCATAGACCCCAATGATAAATGCCCCACTTCAAAAATTCAGAAAAAATATACTCACAACTCTCCAGGGTATTCCATCTTTCATTTTCTTTTCAATTTTTGGGGGTTAACTGATGACTTTTAGGAGAAATGTCCATCCGAAGATGATCACCCCTAAAAATGGTCCTGAATCCATCGCCAATTTGAAAAACGACGCCTACACTTTATTGCAAAATTGAGCGCTTTCAGGGCTCAAATTTAATCCAAATTGCACAGAACTACAAGCTCACAGTCCTGTGCACGGCTTCCACCCATATTTTTTTTACAAACCATCAAGTTCACGGCTCACAATATGCTCAAATAGCGAAGAATTTGAGGGCATGCAAATCGTGATTTGGCCGGCGTAGGCGATTTTGGACCGATTTACTGCCTGCAACCCTAACGATCTTTGCTTTTTTGATGACATAATCGACATGCCGCATATGCGTGATCAAATTGAACGATAAAAGTCACACAATGACACAAGTCGCACGATTCTGAATCTCATGTCTCATTGTGATAGTATGTTCTGTTGCAGAGTCTGCTATAATTCAGAAATAAAGTCTTAGAAGAAAAAAATGGGAGTGCTTATGAATTTGCTGTGGTTTCTTTCAAGCGTCGCACGAGCGGTTTCGCCGTTCGTTCTTCTCTTTCTGGTTCTTCGCTGGTTTTTCCGCCGGTCAGAAAACCTCCCACCCGGTCCCCGCGAGCTACCGTTCATCGGGTCTCTTCCGGCCATCGTCTGGGGGCTGATGAGGCGAGGCTTACAGCCGCACCATGTTCTTGGGAGGTTCGCTGAACGGTACGGCCCGGTGTTCCGCGTCAACTTGCTCAACAAGACGGTGGTGATGCTGGATGATTTCAAGTCGACAAAGGCGGCATTTCAGCACCCACAGTTGAATGACAGACCACCTGGGGCATTGGGAAAAGGTAAGCACGCCTAAATCGATCGGCAAAATGAGGTCTTTTTCACACAAATAACATAGGGATAAAGTGCAAGTTGCATATTCCCAAGTTGTGACTAGTTAAATAAAAAACAAAAATTCAGCTGTCCACCACTGATCGTATACCGTTCTGCGAACTGGTGAACATACACGTTTTCCCACCTCCCTGAATGAACGAAAACTTGTTAAGGAAAACAGACCAAAATCGCCGCGACCTCAACATTTCGGGGGAAAAAGAGTGGACTTGTTCCTCATAAATTATTCCAAACAGAAACTCTGACAGTACAAATAATGTTTCAGTAATGGCTGAAACGATTAAAATCTTATGTTGTATTTGAATGCCTGTGTGTAATCTGTAATTCTCACTCAGCTCGCTCGATATAGCTTCCCTAGCTACAAAAATAGATTATTTTAGTAAAAACATACATAACTTCTGATAGCATGAATCAATTTCAGTAATTCTATTTTGGGGTTTTTTTTCAGACCAGTGGAAGAACATGCTTATTTAAGACATACTTCTTTCGTGTTTAAAGTTGGTAGCTTTTTAAGAAAAAAAAAATTAATCCAGGCCACTTTCTTATTGACTCCCATCCTGTAAGAGTTAAGGGCCTGTCACACTGTCACGTTCTGGCATGGAGTTCGTACCGCGACCAAGAAAATCGACTAAAACGCGGTGGGAACGCTGATGACGGCGTGGGGACTCATTGATACTAGTTGAGGACTTCAGAGGGACTCCAACGACTTCGCTGAACGCCAAACTGCCACGTTCGTTTCGGACATGCACAAAACAAACGCCGCGCCTCGGCGTTTTGACAAGAACGCGGTAAAGACTCTGTGCGAACTCCTCGCGAACGGCCGTGACGCACTGGCAACGTGCAGGCCGACGGGAGCGACGTCGTGAGAACTTCACGAACGTGCATGCATCAGAACTGCGCGTCTCCTCTGCGTTCCCTGCGTCTTTGCCTTTAAAAATGCGAAGACTCATGCTGAATATCGCCCGTTTTGGCCCGAGTATACACGCCGCGCTTCTGGCTGCTGAAGTCACACGTATACGTTTTAAGGTCGCATCAAGCGCGCGATAAGGACCCACGAACGTCGTACGAACTTATTGGACACCATGAGGACGCAGCGAGGACGCAAGGACGCAGCGCAGACTTCTAATTGGTCTTCAATGAAACTCATAGAGAACGCCGCAAGGACGCTATAGAACGCCACAGGGACGTCTTAGACTTTCGGTGGACTTCACAGAGACGCATTGCAAGCCACTGGTCTTGCGTCTTCATGGCGTTTTGTTACATTTTTAAGAATCTCAACAACGCAATATGAACGCCATGAATGGACGTGACAGTGTGACAGGCCCTTTAACCACAGCAGCCTTGTACCGAGTGAATATTTTATGCGCATGTCCTATTATAGCATTGTAACTGGACATGTGCATGCGTTTTTCGCGTGTCGTCACAATGTTTCGAAATTGTAAAATTTGAATTGGGCTGAAACTTACAATGATAGCTCGATTTTTGTTACTAGTTTGGATTTTCATAATATGCAGTGGCGTAGCCGGGGGCGTGGGGGGGGGGGGGCGACAGCCCCCCATGAAACCTTGTCGCCCCCCAGTCGCCCCCCCCCCCCCCCCACTGAGATTTTTAGTTTCTAAAAAAATTATCATTGATCTACATGACGCCCCCCATGAAATGTTCCAGCCTCCCCAGCTCCCCCCCCCCCCCCCCCCACTGAAAAATACCTGGCTACGCCACTGATAATATGCAATGTTGTCCCAATTGTCCCAAACACAGCGTATATCATGCAGAAAATGCTCAAAATAAATGTGTTTTCGAGCAGGTGAAGGTTCATTGGATCATTGCAGTTGATCGCGTGACCGCGTGGAAGGTGAATAAGGTAATCACTCAAGGTTCAGGACAAAATCCATGTTTTGAATCGGTTGCCATAAGGCCAAAAAAAAAAATATTCGGTCTCTGGTCAGACCAAAGTTCCGGAATTGACGCGGCCACGCGGCTTTTTTTTTTTTCTTCAAGCTTGGATTGTACAGACAAGGTGGGGTACTATTTTGCTTTTTTGGTGCCCTCATGTACATTGGTGTCCTTCATAATTTGCCTTGGTGCTTTCGATCATGCCTTGGTTCAATTTCCCATTCCTTGGTGCTCTTTGGTAAAAAAAAAAATGAGGAGGTGCGGAAATAGAGGGCGCTGTTGGAGCTACCGCGGAACATTTTGGAAAAAAAAAGATCGACGCGCATGATTAAAATCGACGCGCGCGCTGACCAGAGACCGACTTATTTTTTTTTTTGGCCTAAAAACTATGGACGGCCTGTAAATCCCCCCAAATATCATGCCGATCGACTGAGGCATTCTGCAGTGTTCCGTGTTATCGGAGGAGCTACAGGTCATGATAGGGTAATAACGTCTTTCTTCTATAGAAACGCTGAGTGGAAATTTACAGTACGGGAAACGAACGTTCTTTTCTAAAGTTACTCACTGATCTTTACTTCTGATTTTTTTTTCTTTTTCTCAGGAGTATCGGGGACCTCAGGAGAGCAATGGATCGAGATGCGCCGATTCTGCCTGAATGTCCTCCGCAGTTTCGGCGTGGGCAAGTCGAGTTTCGAAGAGAAGATCGGAGCCGAGGGTGAGGAGCTACTGAAGGAAATGTCTGCGTTCCAGGGCAAACCCTTCAACCCGAGACCCCCGTTCGGCAGCGCCGTGTCCAACGTCATCTGTTCGGTCGTGTTCGGGAAACGCTACGATTATGAAGATCAAGACTTCAAGCGACTTTTGGCCTTGTTGAACAAAGTGATCCTTTCGTCCGGAACTGGTGGAATCGTGGTGTTTACTAAAGGCTTCCCTCGTCTGCCGTTTTTCAAGTCGAAGCTTAAACGGATGCGAGCTGATCACGCTGACATCTATGCGTTCATACGTCGCATCATCGACTCCCACCGCTCCGAACTCGATCCGCACAATCCCAGCGACTTCATCGATGTTTATCTCATGGCGGTCCAACGAAATGCCTCGAGAAATGCCACTCCTACGGTTGCAAACGGAGCGACAGCCAAACCCGAAAAGTACAGCCACCTGAACGAGACAAACCTCCTCTACACGGTGAATGATCTGTTTTCAGCGGGATCGGAGACCACGGTGACTACGATGGAGTGGTGCCTTCTCTACATGGCGATCCACCCCGAGATCCAGCAGCGAGTCCAGGCCGAGATCGACGCCGTGGTCGGTCGCAACCGGCTGCCCAGGCTGGCCGACAAGCCGGGGCTGAATCTCACCCGTGCCGTGATCTGGGAAGTCCAACGCATGGCCAGCATCGTCCCCTTGGGTCTTCCTCACGTTGCCGCCTCCGACACGCAGTTCCAAGGCTTCTTGATCCCAAAAGACACGATTCTTGTGTCCAACCTGTGGCGGATTAATCGGGACCCGAAACTTTGGCCGGAGCCGGAGAAGTTCAAGCCGGAACGGTTTCTGAATGACGAGGGCAAGGCTTTCAAACCAGAAGAGTTTATACCTTTTGGTGTCGGTGAGTATTGTTTTAAAAGCTAGCCACTAGCTAGAGTAAGAATTATTTTGAGGGAGTTTTTGCGCTGTGCTATTATTGTGACCATACACAAGTTTCATCCGCGTTTTTCTTCGGTATATCCTCCACTGTTTTATGATTAGGCAGGTATGGCTTGACTTGGGGGGGGGGGGGTCTTCTCTTAGTCTTGGCCCAAGACGCTAGTTTTTGATAGTGGGTTGTGCATAGTGTGCCCTCTATAACGATACAATAATTAGACCAGCGCTTCTTCGCTCGTACCGCCACCCTGGGCCAAGTTCGGGCAAGGACCATTAGGCGACTAGTGGTTGATTTGTGACGTACCTTACGACAGCGCACTAATAGCAACGTGCGAACGTCTCTAGTCAAACGCTGGTCAAAATGTCATCACAAAACTTCTGGACCCTGACTCCCTGCTGTACGTTATGAATGCGCGCGGCTATGGGTTACCAGCGATTCAACCAGCCCCAATAGGTTGGTTCCAAATAGTCAACCACCTTTGACTAGACAGAGTTCGGGCTAACTATGGTTAACCAATATGGTCCACAATAGTTCTTGGGCGAAATTGCCCCTGTTTGCAGAGAAAGTCAAAAACAGTTGTGTGAGGGCGCTCTATATACAGCAATAACTAAAATCACCATCGATCACTGACAGGTGCAACAGTGCAAAAAAATCCCCATAGCCACTAGTGCTAAATGCCCATGCTTCAAAATTCTTTTAAAAATACTCAGAACTCTCACAGGTATTTAAGCTACACAGAAAAATGATGATCGACATGTCATCTTTCAATTTCTTTTCATTTTTTGGTGGGTTGACCATTGACTTTTCGAGAAATTCTCGCCCAAAGAAGACGACCCCTATTTTCCCCAAAGCGGAACGGTAGCCATCTTGAAAACTACGATCCCTCCACAACATGGCAAAATAGCGCCACTTTCGAGCCCCATTGTATCCAAAATGCTCAGAATTGGAAGCCCCGAGTCCGGGCCAGAGGTTCATTGCCATATCTCTTCAATTCCCCAATGTTATGGCTCTCGGAACTCTCTAATATAGAATATTTTGAGGGTATAACTTTTATTCATAAGCTCGGCGGATGGGCTTAGGCCTATTTACAGGTGTGCACCCTGACTTCTTGGGCCAAGACTAGTATTCCCCCATTCTTGTTTTTTTTTGGAAGGGGAACTGTAGACAGAAACCATTGGAGGTTGCTCCCAGTACTTAAATGAATGCTTTGCCTAAAGCTACAGGGTGGATTTTTTTGTACATGTAAACCAAATTCTCTTTATTTTTTCTGTAACAAAAACTTCGGGGCATTGATTTGTGATTGCTTGGTAAATGCATGTATGTACATCCATAAATGTCTTGGGCCTTGACTCTGTTCTTGCAGGTCGCCGTATCTGTCTGGGTGAGCACCTGGCCAAGATGGAGCTCTTCATCTTCTTCAGCTATTTCATGCATCAGTTCACCTTCCAGAAACCTGCCGACGCACCGCCGTATACTCTGGAGGGAAAATCCAGCATCACCTTCTCGCCTCTGCCGTTTGAGATTTGCGCCGTCAAACGCGATTGAAGTTGGTGTATACAGGCTTTTTAGGTGTGCACCTTGAAAAACAGATTTTCAAATTCAATTGATAATTTTCTGGCATTGCATTAGTTATGAGCTTTCCAATGAGATATCGCACGAAAAAAAATCGGTCCATGACAAGTAGTCAATTAATTAATTTCAAATGTTGATTTAAGAGCGGGACCCTCCTGTAATCCGTTCTGAATAGTGTGCGCAATTTCTGAACTGGAGCGCGCCATTTAAAACCAATTTTAAAGCTGTATAAAGGCCTGCCAAATCAAACAAGACAATATGTTTGTTACAGGACATGTAGGCATATTCCTTTAAATTTCGTTCGGAAGAGAAAATCGAAATTTTAAAAAGCACGTATATACCAAATTTAAAGGCATCATTTGCATTTCATGCATTTTGTTCGTTTCGAATAATATCACCACTCAAAATCCAATCGAGAATGTTCATAACCTAACATGTAAAAGTTTCAGCTTAGTAGATATTAAATTTTTCAGAATAAATGGTAAAAAAACCCCGCATGCACAAACTTTTGATTACAAAACACAATTTCGTCAGTAGATATAAATTTATTTCCAACAATCAGTCAATATTGACTGGTCATTTACATTTTCTTGATTCCTTCTGAATGACACCATGTCGGAACGAATCATTATTTTCACGTGTAGTGTCTAGTATGCGATCTTTATTAACCTAAGTAAGCTTTTGATGACAATTCGGTATACGGTTACTTTTGGGATAAATGCAAATGATTCTTTATGCCTTTCGTTCGAATTTGGATATGAAAGCCTGCAGTGGCAACTTAATCGGTGTCCAAAACCTCGTTGTATCTTAGTTTGTTTCTCTAATATGACGTAACCATGACATAGAGCCCCAAAAAAGAAAAAAAACCGAGTTTCCAATTTTCTGCTGGCAGAATTTCTAACTTTTTGAAGGTGCGCAACCAGCTGTTTTTGAAATATGGCAAGTCTGCTATAGCAGCCTAAGGCGAAGTAAAAAAAAAAAGTTTCTCGTCCCAGCCCGCTTCCTTTTTGGAGGCCGCCTGGATTTTTTTATTATTTTTAATTTTTGAAAAATGAAGTAGAAAAACAACGAAAACTGAGTCTACAAATTCATTGGAAAATAAATACCAATACCAATACAACTCTACACGACACTGTAAATATGTTCAGTTCTCTTGTCCAACTTGCCTTTCATCTTTAAAAGTGTCTTTGAACAGTGGAACACCAACGGTTGCAGGAAATTTTGAAAAGGCGGTCATCTTGAAAAAAAAAAAAAAAAAAAAAAAAAACCCGCTTCCTCCCTTTTTTCAAAAACCCCGGACGAGAAACTATTTTTTTTTTTACTCTGCCTAATATTTGGAGTTTACTTTGACGAGTCTATATATCGGCGCCCGGAGAGTGGACAACTAAAAATCTGAAATTCCCAGTACTAGCAGACATATATGGGTTGAGCGTATTGCATGCAGAAAGCAAAATCTCAGATCCAATTGCGCTGATGGAAAATTTTGGGTCGTGTGATGGACCAAACGAGAACAACTTAAAATGTCAAATTTTTTAACGCTTTTACTAAAACCAGAACTTCTCAAATTTTCTACGAATTTTCTATTTGTTAACCCGAAAGTAGTTTTTTTTAAGACACGACATAATATTGCATCCCTCCGTACACGATGAGATCTTCCACTTGGAGTAGGCCCTATGAAGCCCCAAAACTGGACAACTCCATTTTCCCATTTGCTGATACTGTGTAAAATGGGGCAAAAAATAATAATTTGATTGCTAAAGTTCCTAAATTTATTCTCGAATTCAGGAGAAAGCGTCATAGATTTAAAAACTTAACCCCTCCCCCTTTATATCAACCCCCCTGTATTCTGAAAGCTAGATCCGCCCCTGAGTGGACAAAAGCATCTAAACATTCCACAGTTATGAAATATTTCCCCCGAATACAGTCCAAGTGTATTCATATTTCTGTTTGTAGTCAGGGCAAGCGTGTAGCCACTACGCAACCGATTAGTCAACGGACGAGTTATATGGTCTGAAAAAGAAACCATGCACATTTTATTCAACCAATTTTTTTTTTTGCCGTTAGAAAACTTTCCCTTTTTTTCGTTTGTCCGCTTTCGGTCCACGACCAAAATAATATCCACCCGGCACTGAATAGGAGATTTGGATCTCTGCAATACGTTCAACCCAATTGTCTGTCTATTGGCTTTTGAGAATTGTCCACTTTTGGGCATCGAGAGAGTCGTCAAAGTAAAATCCAAATTTCTAGCAAAAAATTTGACATTATTTTGAAGAAAAAAAAAGGGTGACGCGACTATATACTAATATTGCAGAAATTTGGTTGTCCCTTTTGAGGGCTTCAGATCGTATAGCCAGCAGAAAATGGGAAATTATATTGGGTTGTCCACTTTTGGAGCTTCGTAAAGTTCTGCTGGTGGAAATTTGAGATTTATTTGTTTTTGTGCATTTATTATTATTATTATTTTATTACATTGTTAGTATTTTTCTTTTATAGTTGCCTGTCCATTTTTGGGGCGCTCCGAGTGTCGTCAAAGTAAAATCCAAATTTCTGCTGGCAGAAACAGGAAGGCGTGACTTAAAAAAATAAACATCTAAAATTCTGCCAGCAAAAAAACCGGGAAAATGTCCACTTTTGGGGTGTGCCAAAAGAGTCGTGGAGCTAAAATACAAATTTCTGCTAGCAGAAGATTAAAAATAACATGGGTGGCGAGACTTAACAAAAAACCCTAAAAACTCGCTTTAGCAGAAAATGGGAACATTATTGAGTTGCCTTCTTTTAGGTCTTCATACATGACATTCATGCTATTTTTTTCTAATGCAACAGTATTTTCTTATGTAAAGTTATAGTTTGGGTGAGTTTCCTTTCTTTATAATTTTAAACTAAGGACTTATCGAGGATATATCTCTAAATTTATGATTCCTTTAAAATCGTAATGTACCAAAAGTAGGATTAGTCCATGACTAACTGAATGTTTGTATTAATTATTGCTTGCATCACATGTCATAAGACCTAGACATAATGACGTCCGACACACTTTGTTTTGGCGCTTTTTTATATGTGAACCAGATGAGGACGACAGCCAATCCTACCTGGCTCCCATAGCAACACGTGCATGTAAACAAAGCGTGACGTCATTATGTCTTAGGTCTTTTCAAATTGGCAATTTAATGATTCTAAAAAATATTCAGAATAAATGTCGCATGGCAAAGTAACAATAATGCGGAGAAGCCTGGCATAGCTATTTGTTTTAAACTTGATCGTTGAGACCACTTATACAGTATTTATTTTATTTTTTTAAAACCGAGGTTTTTCTCGGCGATATTTTCTGTGCTAAGAATGTTTTGGAATTAGAAAATATGACGTAACAAGTTGAAAGGGGAGGGGATCGTCACTAGATGAGATCGTCACGAGGAGAAAAATCCCAATTGAAAAATCACGACCCCCCCCCCCAAAAAATGGCAATCGTTCAATCGTTTTGCACTGCATATTTCTTATATTTCTTCATCTTTTGGATTGTACAAAACAACTTTTAAGGGGATTTGAAAGAGAACAAATATCGTTTAGTGTCGACAATCTCGAGAACTGTGCGGGGGGATAGATATCGGGGTCCCCCTTCCCCAAGAAACCAGTACAATCAGTGTTGTATAGGTATTTTGTTGGTCTTTTGTTTCTATTTGCTTGCCTCGTTTCAGGTCCCTTCCGTAAATGAATCCCAGAGGCATTGTGTCCTGGGGGGACCGGGGACCGGGGACATCCCCCCTCCCCGTTTTGAAGGATGGGGGACACAACTTCAAATGCCCCCGGCCCCCAGATTTTTGAACTCGTACGTGTGTCTCATTATTTTACAGGGCCCTGTGTACTACTACAATGTATCTTTCATTTGCTGTCTCAGATCGCACCATGCCACATTTTCGGGGCCCTTAATATAAATGGGCCCGAACCCCACGCATATAGCTCAGAGTAGCTGATTCAATTACTCCAACCTCGATTAAATGATGTTTAAATGATTATCTTTTGCCAACAAAAATAGGTCATAGTGGTCAGAAATCGCCTCAGATCGCACCACCAAGAGCGCAGTTAGAATCACTTTTTTTCGGGGCCCCGAACCCACGCCGAAAGGGCTTCGCGCTAGCTTGGCGCTCGCATTGCTGGTGAAGGTATCCCCCCACTTTTGAGAAGCGGTTGACGCCCCTGCTCAGAGGCCATTCTATTCTGCGCATGCGGTGAGCAGTAAGTTCAATTGGGATGATCTCCCGTGGTTTCAGCTCAGCAGCTTTCATGTTTTGTTTTTCAACGGGAAAACTGATGACACGAACAAGTTCATTGGGATTTAGCATTTTAGTGCGCAGCGCAAGCTTCCGGATTAAAGGACGGAAGCATCCATCCCACCAAAGGGGGGGAGTCTAACAATTGATTTGGTTTACAATTTTGTATCTCACAATGATCGCACAGAAAAAATATATATTTCAGGTATTAAAATAGAATAAATGTAATCAATCATATTAGATAAAATATGCATGGGTTTTGATATTCGTAAAATCAATTCCGTCATTTATACTACAAACACCTACGTGAATAATCGTTCAGTCCTTGCAATTTAACCCACATGACCCAGATAGCGTCCTTAGCTCCGATCCGTTAGTAGTACATTGTGTACGTACGTACACACACATGCATGAAATACGCGTTACGTGCGGTACATTTGTTTACACGTAAATGCCAAAAATGATCGTGAAACTTTGCAAGCTGAATTAAACTACAACTTTAGGAATCATGAACCAAATTAATCACGACATTGTTCTCTAATCTGAGATGTCAATCTGCACTGATGTAGACGCGATGATGCTGTGAAGCAAGGGTTGAATTCCGTAAGTACAACAGGTGGAAATGTTGAATTGCTGAAGCGAAACGAAAATGTGATACTGATAGTAAAATGGAAACTCCATTCACTACCCCAAAACTGTGTAATAAACAGTTCAAGTTTACTTCTGTATGTATAATGTAGTGTTGCCCCATTTTTTAAGGCCGCGCCTACCATTTCAAATTAATCACAGCCATGTACTCAAATGCAATTAAACTAACTACAACTTGGAACGATCTACCAAGTTATGTTGTGAATGCCAAGACCACAAATTCTTTCAAACATGAGCTCGACGTAGCTCTACTGAGTGGAGCGTTGAATTACGGGTACCCCTCCATACCAACGCTCCACCGATTTGCCATACTTTGGTGACACCGTCACAGTAGCATAGTCACAAACCCACGCGAGGACAAAAAGACCCCAAAAAACGGTAAAGAGAATACAAATGAGAGAGACAGTTATCCTGGATTGATCTATACATTCTTGACATTCCATGAGACCCCTTATATTGTTCCCAAACAGCGAAAAATTTGAAAAAAAACAGCAAAATAGTCTGAAAACTTACAGCTCAATGTGTTTGCAGGGAGGCTCAGTTCTTGAATCGACTTGTCGAATGAGGGCGTCTGACGTGACGTCACCGTCGTTGCTCGATCGCGAAGAAAAACAAGTCGCGCTTTATCAACGACTGTTTCGTGTAATAATACGTGCTCCGATCCGCGCCGCGCCGTACGACAGTATGGGCTTTGAACACACCCAAGGAGCACGTATCATTACACAAAACAGTCGTTGATAAAGCGCGACTTGTTTTTCTTCAATCGAGCAACGACGGTGACGTCACGTCAGACGCCCTCATTCGACAAGTCGATTCAAGAACTGAGCCTCCCTGCAAACACATTGAGCTGTAAGTTTTCAGACTATTTTGCTGTTTTTTTCCAAATTTTTCGCTGTTTGGGAACAATATAAGGGGTCTCATGGAATGTCAAGAATGTATAGATCAATCCAGGATAACTGTCTCTCTCATTTGTATTCTCTTTACCGTTTTTTTGGGGTCTTTTTGTCCTCGCGTGGGTTTGTGACTATGCTACTGTGACGGTGTCACCAAAGTATGGCAAATCGGTGGAGCGTTGGTATGGAGGGGTACCCGTAATTCAACGCTCCACTCAGTAGAGCTAAGCTCGACGAGTACTGGAAGAGATATGGGGTCATAAAGGCTTATAAAGCCTAATACTTATTCCCATTAAATCGTAAGTGTAAGTACACTTACTTTCAAACATGAGCTCGACGTTGATTCATTTGGGAAATATGGGAAAGATTCCCAAATACTAGCTAGGCCATTCACTTGTCACTGTGCACAATCTGTATAGCTGCACAATCGCCTATGGTGGGGCTATCACGTGCAGGTAACGCTGTCATGGTGCTGGTTGATTACTAAATTTTGAAGTGCGCATGGGTGGAAAGTTGGCCGATATTTATCTTGTCTAGTTGTGTTTTAAGGCTTTCAGTGTGGGTTGGTTTTTCGTAGCGTCAGGTAGGAGGTTCCATTCGGGGATTGGGAAAGATTTCCATATATACGAAGTTCACTCAACACCCTGTGTACAAACCCTATGAGATTGTGTTTTCTAAGAAAATGCTTGTATTTTCTCACTGCTCAAATTGACTTTGATGACATGAAATTGCTATCTGGGGGCTTGTTAGTCAATACAGAGGAAAATAGTGAACTTCGTATATGGAAATCTTTCCGGGGATTGTCCATGGGTATAGCGAGTGGAGATAGTTGTTTTTGTTTGACTGGATGCGTTGCAGATTTAAAGTGCTATTGGTTTGTCTGGTAGTACGTCTGGTGGTTGGCTGGTCACTGGGTATATGAATTTGCAGGTGGGAGATATTACTCGGAATTATACCGTGAATTTCTTTGTAGATGGTGCATAGTCGAGCTCTGTTGCGTCTTTCTTCCAAAGGGTCCCAGCCTAGCTCTTTGAGCATTGCAGTGACGCTCGATGAGTAACTGTAGTCCCTCAGGACGAACCTGGCTGCTCGTCTCTGAACTTTTTCAAGCTGATGGTGTTCGATTGGTGGGGGTCCCATATGACTTGACAATATTCCAGAGGTGGTCGAACAAGTGCCCTATATGCTATTTCTTTGGTGTGTTTATCACAGCTGGATAATGTTCTTTTGAGTAGACCAAGGGTTCTGTTTGCTTTGACTGCAATTTGGTTTATGTGTCTATTCCAAGTCATATCAGAAGTAAGTTCAACTCCCAAGTATGTGTGATGATCGACTTCGCTAAGTAGGCCTATATCATCACCCATCGTGTACTGGTTGGAGTTTGGTTTCCGTTTATGTGTCACTCGCATGGAGAAGCATTTGGACCGATTAAAACCCATTTGCCAGATAGATTCCCAAGTACATAGGTGGTCGATGTCCATTTGCAGGATTTTAGAGTCCTCAGGAGACTTTATTTCCCGATACAGAATGCAGTCATCAGCAAAAAGTCTGACGCATGATGACAGATGATAGTTCGTTCGGCAGGTCGTTGATGTAGACCAAAAATAACAAGGGCCCTAGCACTGTTCCCTGTGGGACCCCCGACACAACTGGCGATGGTTGTGAAGATTCGCCATCAACGACCACCTTCTGGTGTCGTTTGGTGAGAAAGCAGTCAATCCAAGTATGAATGTTGTTCCGGATTCCTAAATGATTATGTTTGGCCAGAAGTCTGTGATGAGGAACAGTATCAAAGGCTTTGCTGAAATCCATGATGATGAGATCCATTTGACTGCGTTTATCTAAGGTTATTTGTAGATCGTTGACCAAAGCTGACAGTTGTGTTTCACAGGACCTGCCTTTTCTAAAACCATGTTGTTGGTCGGCTAGAATCCCATGCTGTTCAAAGTGACCCATGATATGGCCATGAATAATGTGTTCAAGGATCTTGCAGATAATCGATGTTAAAGAAACTGGGCGATAATTTGCAGGATCAGACCGGTCATTTTTTTGTGGATAGGCATGATATTTGCAGTCAACCAGTCGGAAGGCAAAGTTCCTGTCAAGAATATGAGACTGACTGGTCTGAAAATTTCTAAGTGTTTTCTCAGTAAATACTTCAATATTTCCCTGCTAATGTTGACTTTTCAGGACATATTTTCACTTTCTGATGGCTGATTGGTCACTGAAGGGAAAAAATAGTGATGGCCAGATATGGGAATATTTCCGTCTTATGGAGCCCTCTCCATAACCAACATCTGATTATGTGAGCAATGCAAATTTATGCAACTGACGAAAATTAAGACATGTCTGTCTGATGAACTATGAAATGATGTATTTTGTACAATGAATGCTACGGTGTGGTCAACCTGAAACAGATGGTATGAGTTGGATTGGTCCCTCCTAGTAGTGGTGGGAGAAATCAGTGATTTCAAAATCCGGTTATCCTAATGTTTGCAAACCGAATAAGGTTTGTCTGATTTCTCCGAAAGTTCCCATCCAGCTCACACAGTCATGCTGACAAAAAGTGACAAGTGAGGTGTCGCATGCCATATGCCCATTCCACGATGATTGTGTATAGTTTGCAGGATTCAACATGTTCAATGACCACTGGGCCTTTACAAAATCACTCCAGAACTGTAATGTTGAAAAAAATGGGTGGGAACTCTCTGATCAGACAAATGGGCAGGCTATTCATATACCAAGAAGACCACAAGCAAGCAGTGTTGTAGTCGAGACCGGATAGTCCGAGACCAAGACCTGAAGTTTCGAGACCGAGACCAGCCCCTTCAAGGCGGACCAAGACCGAGACCGATATGGTCCGCGACCGAGACCACGGATAATAAATAACAATAATCTCAATAAAAAACAAGACACATAATTACAGCTGAACAGTCTGTCCTTGAGATGATGATATTGATGGGGATGTGAAGGAAGTGATTGAAAGCTAGGAATCACTTGTACCTGCTTGTGTCATGCGAGTGATCTTCAAGTATATGCTTCATACCTTGAATTAAAACATGACAACAGAATTTTTATTGTCACAATCAATTTAAAAAAAAAATGAAAACCACTCCATATACCGTTGCCAGTTGCCACTTATTAAAAAATATTTTTTTAAAAATATTTTTCAACTACTATAAAGTATAAATCTGATTAAGAAATTGTAACTAGGAGTACGACAAGTTTTACTTATTTTTTTGCAGTATTGAAACTTGAGAAAAGCAAAAAGTTAAAGGTGGATGTTTCATGTGTTATAGGAACTTGGACCCTAAACTCCAGTCACCCCTTGGTTTCAGTTATGACTGCTAATGGATATTTAAATGCAACTTTAATTTTACATTGGGCCTCCTTGTAAACCTGATTTCCAAAAATTTGGAGCTACATGTAGCTAGAAAATATTGTTTTATTTTTTAAAATTTCCTTCATGGAATATGGACTTGTACATGTAGACCCAAAAGTTGCGAGGTAGTAGCCAGATATGATTTTGATTTTTTCTGACTGGGATTGTGCTTTTTGAGGAATAATGGGGTACTTCAAATGAGCAGCCAGAAAATGGAGCCTCATCATTCACTGGTAAGAGTGGTAACTGGTAAGAGTGTGTGAATTCATTGCTGGAAAATCAGGCAGGGAAAGTTACTCTCTCTCCAAAATACTATCCCAAATTAAAGAGGAGATAGGGGTTGAAAATGTCACTAATTTGAAGCACCTGATTTATTTAAACAATAAAAAAAATACTTAAGTTTATGCCCACAGGGGTGGGCTTAACTAAACAATCCCCGAAAATGGTTGGCCCTTATTGCACAAATTGGTACTTACTTTGCTTTATGTGCGCGACTCAAGTGTCAACATTTTGGCTGGTCTCGACTCGAGACCAGCCAAAATATTGGGACCAAAGGGGACCGAGACCGAGACCACAGCTCCCGAGACCAAGACCAGCAAATAGTGGTCTCGAGACCGAGACCAAGACCAGTCTCGAGACCTACAACACTGCTAGCAAGTGAACGCAGTTATAATTAGAGACCATGGAGCAAATTGGGGGATGTTCCAGTTGTTGTCCTTAGCTTGTGTCACAAACAAAATGGAAGGCCTGCTTTTCTTGCGAGCTGCGAATCAGATGCGAGCCTATGTAATACCAATTTCCGTCCGTCTGTCTGGGCGTCCGTCCGTCCGTCCGTCCGTCCGTCCGCGTTCAGATAAAAATGTTGAAGTTTTTGGTTCTAGTTAACTTGGGGAAAAAATTAAATGCAGTTGTCAAGTATCATCTCTATAACTTCAGTTAGGTTCATATCATTGCAGTTAATTTTATGATTTTATTGAGGAACTTTAATTCAAGAAAATGTTCAAGTTTTTTATTGTTACATACATGTACATGTATACTGGTATAACATGTACCGTACGTGTGTGTATACCGGTATAACATGTACACTATGCATTTTGGGGATGTGCATGAGCTTCTGGTTTGAGCTTTTGGTTTATGGGGTTGGAGTAGGGATGGGGTAGGCATGGTAGGGGAGGGTGGGGTGGGGTGGGTTGGGGGATAGGGTTGGAGTTAAGGTTTGTGTGAGTAGGATGATTAGGGGAGCTAGGATGGGTGGGGCGGGGTGGGGTGGGGAGAGGGGTTGGAATACTGGGTTTGGGTGGGGTGGGGATTTGTAGGGGTGGGGTGGGAACAGGTAGGGAGAGACAGGTAGGGAGAGGATGGGCATGGATGTAGGGGTTGGGTTAGGAGGGGGTTGGGCAGGGGGCGGGATATAGGATCGGAGTAGGGGTTGGGTTGGGGATGGGTAGGGATGGGTTTTAGGGGTTGGATAAGGGGAGGGGGCAGTATATAGGGATTTTATTGAGGAACTTTAATTCAAGAAAATGTTCAAGTTTTTAATTGTTACATACATGTACATGTATACTGGTATAACATGTACCGTACGTGTGTGTATACCGGTATAACATGTACATGTACACTATGCATTTTGGGGATGTGCATGAGCTTCTGGTTTGAGCTTTTGGTTTATGGGGTTGGAGTAGGGATGGGGTAGGGGAGGGTGGGGTGGGGTGGGTTGGGGGATAGGGTTGGAGTTAAGGTTTGTGTGAGTAGGATGAGTAGGGGAGCTAGGATGGGTGGGGCGGGGTGGGGTGGGGAGAGGGGTTGGAATACTGGGTTTGGGTGGGGTGGGGATTTGTAGGGGTGGGGTGGGAACAGGTAGGGAGAGACAGGTAGGGAGAGGATGGGCATGGATGTAGGGGTTGGGTTAGGAGGGGGTTGGGCAGGGGGCGGGATATAGGATCGGAGTAGGGGTTGGGTTGGGGATGGGTTGGGGATGGGTTGTAGGGGTTGGATAAGGGGAGGGGCAGTATATAGGGATCAGAGTAGGGGTTGCATGGGGTCAGGTGGGGATGTATGGGTGGGGGAATGCGGTGGGCGGGATATTGGAATTCGAGTAAGGGTTAGGATGGGGATGTGTAGGGTGGGTAAGGACAGATAGGGGAAGATAGGGTAGGTGGGTGTAGGGGGTTGGGGTATGGGAGGGTACGGGTCAGGGGAGGGGGAAGGAGATAGAGATTGGAGTTTGGGTGGGGTTGGGATGTGTAGGTGATTGGGTGGGGATGGTTAGGGGAGGATGGAATGGGTGTGGGTAGGGGGTTGGGTGGGGGAGGGTTGGGGATGGGGTAAGGTTTTGGCATGGGGTAAGGTTTGGGGGAGGTGGTGATGGTGCTGTGTCTACATGTACATGTATACCCATTCTTGTTCTGCATTTGTGGCGACTACACAACAGTTTTCCCATGGTAATACAAGTATGGTGAGCAGAAGACACTGTTGGGGCTGCAAAAATCCACAACTGGGTCCTAATTACCCTAACAATGGAAAACTCCCCCATAATACAGTGATGGCTAACCTATATACACATGTATTTATTAGGTAATCTGTTGACTTTTTATGTTGACATTTAAAAACTGACCCCTACACCTAGGCACATCAACAAGAATCCTGATCCCCTTCCATCATGCCCATCCCCAACCCTACCTTCAGCCTCCCTTCCTGCCTTGGACAGCGAGCCATGGCGGCTTCGCCGTTCTAGTTTAAGGTTGGTTTCAAATATCCGGTTTCCAAAATCCAAACCGAATATTTTAGTGGAATTCAAACCGAACTTTAAAATATCCCGATTTTAAAATCCCCACCACTTTCCCTCCCCTCCCATCCCACTGCCCCACCCCTGGCTTGTAAAACAAAACTAGCAAATCATTATGAAATACCTTACTTGACTGTAACTTTTGTAAGTGAATAATAGTCTCAAGCATCCTGTGAAATCATGGCACCTGGTGTGCTGTCATTTTCAAGAAAAGCTTCACCTTGGGTAATCATCAGCATTCTAGACTCCAACCAGTCTGAAACGTAGTGTTTAACACCTGCCGAGCACACATTTATTCCCTTAGCAATGATGTTGTGTTGTGTCTGTTCAAATTGTTTTCCTAGATCTGGGACGTTTTCCCTTTTAAGACGACATGCAGCGCACTAGCTCACCAGCGATACGCTACCGTAACCACGGTAACTCCTTGGGGCGAAGTTTCCACGAGGCAAGCTACCAGCCGGACTTGAGGCACTCTTCGCGTTACGCCAATGCTACCTCCCCACTGGCCTACGATGACGAAGATTCGTTGGTCACGGGCTCTGGGCTCGATACGAGCTTTGAGTTGATGTCGGCGACTCAACTGAGGGAACAACTCAGGGTAAGTTATACATGTAGTATGAGAAGTGGTAAGAAAGGCAGGGCTCAAAACTAGTCCTCACAAGTCATCTGCAGTCCTAATTCAAGTCGCAAAGCTATTTCAACGAACAGCGACAAATGCATTCCTTTGTTGTTGTTCTATGTTCATACCAGGTTTTAATTAATAATAATAATAATACCAGAGTCTAAATATTGGCGCACATATCTACCAACAATTACATGTAGGTACTCAAGGTGCTTGTAATCATGTCTATTTTTTTTAAAGACGGGTTGAAGTTTATGAGAATTATGAGACCCATTATGTAGCACCTTTATGAAGGCTATACAAGGTGCTGCGGCGCATATTGCAGCCACTGCCAAAAAACCCCGGGGCAAACCCTTTCTCTTGGCGATGAGTGTTACTGGGTTCTTTAACATGCATTACATAAGACACAGGACCAACAGCTTTACATCCCATCCGAAAGGACGGAGCAATAATGGTAAAGTGCCTTGCTTAAGAGCACAAGGACCATGTTCCCCGTCAGGATTCCAACCCGTGTACCATGGCACCCGAGTCGAACACCGCAACCATTGGACCACAGTCCCCCACATTTTATGGCTGGACAAGTCTTCTTAAATCGAGTCCACTTCACAAAAAGCTAAATTCGGTTCAGCCAAAGCTGGACACATATCTCCGCATCTTCAGTATACATTGCAAGGTCAGCAGCTGTGCAGGGATGTGGTAGTAGAGGGCATCTAAAAAGGTGTTCTAGAGTTTGTGGCTCAACGTCACGATCACACATGGTGTCGTTGGAGGAAATACTGGGGGGGGGGGGGGGGAGGGGGGGGCTAGGGGGGCTTTAGCCCCCCCCCCCAATTTTGTCTAGCCCCCCCCCCCAAAAATTCCATAAAAAAAATTCCATTAATTAGCAAAAAGAAGGAATGTGACGTACATGTGAATGGTCTCCCCCTAAAGAAATTGTCGCGACAAGGGTGCATTTGTAGTTAATGTAGGGAGTCCAAGTGCGCCCTCAGTTGTTGTTCGTCCAAAGTTTGGCAAGGTAATTTGCATAGTGTGACCTTTGTGCTTCCCGCGCAAAGGCAACTTGTAACAAGTTTTCTCCTGTGGGCTTCGAAGAGAGTAGCCTTTAGTCAAGTCCCACGCGCTTACCCGGACACGTGACGCACCCCGGATGCTGACACGTAAAAAGACTAGGACGAGCGGCGTAGCCGCGAGGGCCTTTACCATCTCAGGGAGAACGCTTATGTTTTTCTTTACATTTGTCTACCAATTTGGTAGACATGCATACATTACCCGTTGTGAATTGACCAATGAAAATGCAGAAATACTAACGTAAATCATGCAGCCGTCGTCTGGCGCCAGACAGCCATGGCGCGCTTACTGTTGCTGGTAACTGCAAACCACAGATGATTGGTTTATATTGCTTGATTTATATTACGTGAATAAATGAATTAGTGATTAGTTCCACGAGATAGTAAAGGCCCTCTCGGCTTTTATTTGCCGCTCGTGCAAGTCTTTTTTACGTGCCAGCATCCAGGGTGCGTTATGTGTCCGGATGGTCCGGGTATAGGCGCGTGGGACTAAAGGCTATGAACAGAGAAGACCAACGTATATTTTGTCTAGAAAATTCTCTCGTTTTTGTAGGGAGCATGGCAACTGCCATGCTCCTGAGATATATCACTGTGGTAGGTTAATTTCATAGAAGATTCCCTGTGAGTATTCCCTGTTTTATCAGCATTTTGTGAGGGAAATTGCGTATTTTCAGGATGAGAGTTGAGACATGATTCATTGCATTTTAGGTTTGTACTTTGATGTGTAGCGTATTTACCTATGTGTTGAACTTTGACACACACGTTGTATTTATTTTGACATTTTATTGTGCACACAGGCTTGAATGCTTGAAGTGTTGTAATGTAAGAATAAATGTATTGTAGTTAGGAAATCATAGTCGTCACATCATCATAATTGTATATTTTGTTTGAACACTCGTCCGCTTTAGTTAGAGGACCGTTCCTCCTTCCTTCCCCCTTAATTGACGTGGGAGCTGGTTCACTTCATCAATATAGTGTGCCTGATTGAAGGATTTTATTGGCGCTCCCAATTGAAAATATGGCACGAGCAACCCCCCCCCCCCCCCCCCCACCTTTTAATTTTCGGAGGCCTAAGTGTCTGGAGAATATAAACAGTCTACATTTCAGCATGCCTCCCTGAAAAAAATATCTGGATCCGCCCTGCTGGCCCCCCAAAAATATTGGCTCTAGAACCGCACCTGTCAGGTAGATGGAGTACCTGGCTCCAATGCACACCCCCTTTTTTTTGTAACCACCGTCAATGATTGTTTTCTTTCGATTGACACCATTTTTCACAGAATCATTTCAAAGGGCATTTGGAACCAGCCCTGCCTTGACCTTGAGCAGGGTGTTTCTCAGTAAATAAAATGGTACAATTTCTGGGCAGTCCTATGTGCCTTTGTGGGTGCAACCCTGCAAAAAAAATCCCATAGACACTAGTGCTCAATGCGCATACAGTCGGCTCCCGTTAGGCCTATAGCGAAAACCACGGGACCGACCAAAATGTTCGTTGTATCCGAATTTCGTAATATCCGATACAATGTTTCCCGTCCATTGTTCACCTTGAATTATATTGTGCACGCTTGTGAACGTACATAATGTACCCAATGACTTTTTCTGTTTGAAAACAATTAAGAACATGCTCTAGCTATGATGTGATTGGTCAAATAAAAAATAATGTTTAAAATGTATCATTGTGTAAAGTGAAAAAAAATGTTTAATGTACGAAACGAAAATAAAATCAACACTAGAGGTTCGCGTTTGTTGTTAGAGAGTGGTCAGGCAGAGCATTTAAAAAAAACACTGTCCATCCCAATAAATTATTTTGTTGAAAAATGCATCTTTAACGGTGTGCTAAATTTCCATAAACATTTTATGTACACATACAAGTTATATCTAGCTTGATGACGTCATTATTTAAAAAAACGGGAAGTGAATACTGATTTAGTTCGGAGTTGATAAATGTTTATTGTGAAGTTAAGTAACGTATGAAAATATGGAAAATATAACTGTATGTATTTATAACACCTAACATCCGGTTTCATGACGTCACTAGTATTTGGAAGCAAAAGGTTAACATAAATTGTTATGAAATTGTTATTTGGGCTACGAAGATATACGACATGGATCAAATGATAGAATTCAATTTAAAATATGATCATTTTCAAATTCTCATTGACGTAACTTCCGGTCTGATGACGTCATGAATTTGAAACCTTGCTAAGTTATCTGTGGCTAATCAAAGAATATCAAGGGGTGATTTGGTAAAATTGGAACCGATGTTCTTCAGGTAAAAGAAAACAAACACAATTTTATGTGCTGCTAGGGGGCGCCTTCTCGGATTATGACGTCATCACACTGTTTTTTGTGACTTGCATTTCTCACTAAACACTTGCATAATATATGTCTGTAGTAAAATGCTTCCGCTTTGGCGTTATATTCAGTTTTCATTGCACTTCCGGTAACACCGGTAGTAAAGGTCAAGCGGTTTTGTGTCTGGGAACAAGAAATGTTTCTCACAGCATAGTTTACAACCTCACGAAAAAACAAACACGATACTCTATTTAGTTCAAAAGATATAGCACAAACTGTTTTGTCAAATTTTGCCCTTAAACATGTTAAAGCGCTTGTAATTTGATACCTGATGACGTCATGATGACGTAACAAAATGTATAACATTTTCGTAACATGGTACAAGTTCACACAAGTTTTTGTGATTGTACCGTAAACCGTTCGGAAGAAATTTTGCTTTGTTTTTATTTCAGGCTCACGTCTTCATTTTGAATTCACCTAACTTTGACCTTCCGGTAGACCCAGAAGTAAAGGTCAAGCGAGTTTACGTACACGACAAAAAATGTAAAGCAATTATTGGTCCATCTCAATGCACAATACAAACATCATTGATTATTTAGTTACGAGATAGCTTAACGTATTTCGTGCTGGTGCTCAAATGAATAAGTTTTTTAATAAGACAATTTTGGCAAAGTTTTGATTATAAATATTTTTTTGGGAGGGGGGAGTAATTTACGGGAGGTTGTGAATAATTTTGAATGAAATTACGTTTTGGAGAATTTTGGGATAGTCTAAGATTGTTTATTATATTTTGGATTTGTAATGGGGTGCTTTGTAATTTTTGTTTAACCTTACATTTTTTTAAATGAGAGAGGGTAAATTATGTTTTTTTTAATTTCCAATTTTTTATAAGGGGTTCTATTTGGGGGAGGGGGATTAATTTTATTTGCTCCGGGTAATAGGGTGGGGGTTCATTATTTTTATTTGAGTCGGGATTCAAATCTCTTTTTTGAAAATGAGGTGGCTCTGAAAAGAGCCGTTTGGTTTGATTTATCTGGAAGGTGATATTACACCTTGAAGAAGTCCGTTATCTTCCGCTGCGACATCTTGTCTTGCTGCCTACTGGAGAGGTACTGCAGGATTGCAGCGGCGTGATCATAGACATCGTCGTCCATGTCGGGCCGGCTGCAGAGATAGTCTCGAACCTGGTGCATTAGGCTCAGGCAGTCGGTGACATTTCTTGGCCGTTGTTCCTCCGTTGGCGGCTCCTCCTCGTCTTCTAGTTCTTCTTCAACTGCACCAGCTCTCTCGGCCGTCACGCTCTCCGCTATCTGCTCTTCGGTGGGTTCTTCCGTACAGTCTATGACGGAATCGGACTGTACGTACTGGTTGAAGGACGCAGGAAGCTTGATGTGCTGGGCCAATCTGCTCCAGATGTTGTCTGGCCGATCTTGACTGGCTTGGGCTTGATCTTGCTCTGGCACTTGACCTTCGGGATCTTGATCTTGACCTTCGGGACCTTGACTTGCAGTGACGAACCCCGCCTTGGCAAAACAGCGGGCAATACCATCCGCCTTGACATTTCTCCATGCCAAGTCGGTCATGTCGATGGCCTCCTTCACGTTGACTGGTTTAGGAGTGATACCGGAATCATAGCTCTGAAGTAGATGTTGCAGAAGCTGACGGCGGTAGTTCACCTTAAAGTTCATGATGACACCCTGGTCCATGGGCTGTAGGTGTGACGTGGTGTTGGGAGGGAGGAACACGAGGGTGACGGCTTCAAGATTCTGGACATGCGGATGGGCCGCGCAGTTGTCGACGAACATCAAAACTTTGCGTTGCCGTCTAGCAAACCGACGGTCAAGACGACAGATCCACTCGGTGAACAGCTCCGAAACCATCCAGGCCTTGCGGTTCGTACGGTACGTCACCGGGAGGTAGTTGACGTTCTTGAAGCAACGTGGGCTATGAAATTTCCCGATGACGACCGGCTTCAGCTTCTCGGACCCGTCCATGTTAGCGCAAAGCAGGACGGTGACCCGGTCCTTGCTCTGCTTGCCGCCGTGACACTGTTCGCCCTTGAAAGCCATGGTCTTGTCAGGAGTCAGGCGGAAGAACAGGCCAGTTTCATCTGCATTGAAGATGTCCTTGGGCTCGAAACCACGAAGAAGACCAGGGAGGGTGACCTTCACCCAGTCGTCAACTACGCCACGGTCCACGCTCTTGCTCTCCCCGCATACCCGCTTGAACATGATGCCATGGCGCTCCTTGAACCGGGACAGCCAGCCAGCACTTGCGGAAAATGTGTTGTGGCCCAACAACTTCGCCAACTGGTCGGCCTTTTCACGGAGAAGGGGACCGCTGATAGGCAAATTCTTGGACCGGTTGCCTTTGAACCAACGAAGAAGGGCTTCCTCGACATCCTCAAACGTCGCATTCCGGAATCGCTGCCGTGAAGGTTCGAATTTCGAAAGTTCGAACTTTGCCTTGATGTCTTGCTTGTTCTTCAGGACTGTCGACAAGGTGCTTGGAACGATTCCAAACTCCCGTGCGATGTCTCCCTTCTTGCGTCCTGCTTCAGTAGCTTTGATGATTTCCATTTTTGTTGTGAGGGACAGCCCCTTACGCTTAACCTTGATCGAAGTCATGATGTATCAGTAGTCAGCTCAGAAGTATCAGTAGTCAGCTCAGAATCACTTGTCATATGATCACTTGTCATATTCTACACCCCTTATATCCAATATCTGCCGGCAGAATTAGGTACAAATTGGAAAAGCCCATTCACAAAGGTCACGTCTTGGATGAATGTCACAATGGGGATGTGCAAGTGGTGCGGATGAATGGCACTCGTCTTTGCAACACTGTGATAACAGGCCTAACCGCAGCGCAAGATTAATGACTGTGCGCCGGCAAACCGATCAGTACCTCCATCTGAATACATCTACGTCGGCAACATGAAACTACATTTGTACTCACACAAGAGACACCTACCCGGTACTGATGACTAATACTGCTTTCAAATTGAACGAAAAAAGCCGTGAGCCAGGATTACCTTTCATTATAAATGGGTCGCTAACAATGGATTTTTACGCAACCGGGTCGCAAAAACCTTTCGCTTTAACAGGAATTTCGTACTGTCCGTTTTCGTCTCAAAAAACGATCCCTCCACAACATGGCAAAATAGCGCCACTTTCGAGCCCAATAACATCCAAAATGCTCAGAATTGGAAGCCCCAAGTCCGGGCCAGAGGTTCATTACCATATCTCTTTAATTCCCCAATTTTATGGCTCTCAAAACTCTCTAATAATATAGAATATTTTGAGGGTATAACTTTTATTCATGAGCTCGGCGGACGGATTTTTGGCCTATTTACCGGCGTGCAACCTATAAGTACCACATGTTAAGGAACAGATATGGTAGTACAAAGGTCGCCGTCTTATCTTTCGATCAAGATTAACTCGCCCAGACTTCAGTCAAGTGCTGATAAACATCTTTAAGGCTTTTGCAATGTACACATGACCACATTCTCATTTGTACTTTGCGGGTACAAAGTTAAACATCTTTCTGGTGGGTCTCATCCATGTCTTTGTTTACTGACAAGTTTAATAGTGGCCTATTAACCAACTTCAACAGTTTGATAGTGCTTGTAGTACCAGTCATGCCAGTCATTGACATACTTTATTTTCAGGCAAGGTAACACAGTGTCTGTCCTTTTCATTAAACACCGGTAAATGGGTCATTCCACCAGGTTGGGACACGGTGCATGTTACATCCAAATATTTGGTTATATTATTAAAATTATCAATGCATTCTAAACAATTGCTCAACATAATATTTGTCTTAGGATGTTTCAATACTTGAGAAAGTTTGAAATCATTTGAAAGTACTTTGACAAAAATATGAGCAAAAATGTATTAATTCGGACGTAACATTGACACTGTGTGTCAATGTTACATCCAAATATTTTCTTTTTTTTGGCCATTTTTTACACGTACATATGACGTATGTAAAATATTACCCAAACTGACTTTGCATATTTACAACTGGATACCTAAGCACCAAGAAAAGCTTTTGTTATGGTATAGTCAGGGTTCAAATATAGCAGAAACAATAGGCCTACATGTACCTCAAGTGTGGATGTAACAGTGCAAAAATCACTCAATGGAAGTGTGACATTTGGGTCTTACACCATGTAAATGTTATGTCCACACAACCAAGCTATCATTTCTGCTCCATTTGATACCTGAGTACCATAACTAAAGCTTTTCTTATTGTGTTGCATGTATAGTAAGAAGTACGCAAAGTGAATTTGGGTAATGTTTCACACAATTTTATAAAAAGGTATAAATGTCATGTTTGGTCGTAACACTGACACGGTGTAAATGTTACATCCCAAATGAAATTTTTTGTCATATTTTTTGCAAAATACATTGAAGTGATTTCAAACTTTCTGCAGTGGTGAAACACCCAACAACAAATATAATGTAGGGCAACTTCTAGCAAGGCATTCATGCTTTTCTTAATATGGTCATATGTCACACATTGTTCCCCAACCCGGTGGAATGACCCAATTATAGGCTGAAACCCATCCGCCAAACTCATGAATAAAAGTTATACCCTCAAATTATATGAGAGAGTTCTGAGAGCCATAAAATTGGGGAATGGAAGAGATATGGCAATGAACCTCTGGCCCGGACTTGGGGCTTCCAATTCTGAGCATTTTGGATGCAAATGGGCTCAAAAGTGGCACTATTTAAAGACGAAGGGTTGGGGGGGGGTGGGGGATTCTGTGCCCCTCTCCCCCCCCCCCCCCCCCGGCCCTTTTAGGGTTAATACCTACAGTTTCAGATTTCATTCACAGAAATGTTGATTTTGATGTTGATGTTGTGTAATTTGAACTCCAAGGAAGTAATTATTATGCAAATACATCATATCTCCAAAATGGGAGGGATTATGAAGCTCTGTTATACATGTATTAATGAAAGCTTGCATAGTGGGCTTTCCAACCATGTATACATGTATAATAACTCAATTTCACTTTTTTGCGACATTATACCTTTTTTTGTGGAACCAGTCACAATTACAGCAAAAGCAAATGTTGCAGTCCCTTCAAGCTGTTTTTTTTTTTAATTTTGCTTTAGAGGGAACAACAGAGAAGACGAGACAAAGAGAAAGAGGTGGACAGTCTGAAGCGATCCACTAACAGCCTGATGGGCAAACAGACCCCACACAGCGCCGGCACGAAGACACAAGATAATCCCATTAATGGCCATGACTCAGACAGCGGCATCAGGTAGATATTATTAGATAGGATTGTCCTAGTCTATTTGATCAATTCGCACGGTTCTATCTGAACTTTTTTTCTCAATGGCCAGCCATGCAACTGAAATGGATTCTTTAATAACTAGCCCGCGGGCATTTTCACAAGCATGTATGTTATTTTCTTTTATGAGAGTGTCTCATAAACAACAATGTGCAAACATTGTAAGACGTGTATTCTGAGGCAATCTTGTCAGTGTTTTTAATAAACAGATCTAATAATTTAACCCTAAAACACTTTATAAAGTTAGACACAAATTGATACAGGTTTGCTTTATGAATTTAATGATATATTTCTTCCTGTATTCTCATCTTTGACGTAGCCAAATAATTGTTGACTCACCAGCGGGGCTACTTAACCCTGCGCAGTGTTTACAAAAAAACTTTGCAACAACTCGTCAACTGCTGCCCTTTGGGCAGCAGGTACTTTCCCGCACTACGCAAGACCCTATTCATAGCAATACAACAAAAAGCCACGTGCCAGACAGTGTCCAGACAGTTGCCAGACAGTGCGCTGGAAAGGTAATTGACTGGCGGCTGTGGTATGCAGTTATGAAGGGAGATGGCTGTGTCAAGTTACAGGTCTTTGTTGATGTTTCAATGGGACTTGGCAGGAGGCCTGGTCGAAAGTTTGTTGACACGGCCTGGGTGTAGCCCTGGCTGCAAAGTTTATTGAACCAGCTGATTTGGCAAGGGTTGAATGGGGATTAGATAGGAGGTGAACGTTATTGGCCCTAAACATTTTTTTTTATTCAACAAATTCGGTTACCTGGGGCCCAAAGGGCAGCAGGTCACTCTGTGCCAGGTTAAGGAATAGTTTGACTCTAGAGCCCACTGCTGTTTTGACTAGCATTTGGCTAGCGGACTACCGCAAAAATTGAACCCTAAACTTGACCCATATTGGTACAACTCTCGTTTTTCAGTTCTTAAGGTGTTTTTTTTTTGATTAAAATGTAACTTCTCCACCCTAAAGTGCTCTTCTTTTAATTCTAATGACTCTATCTTTTGTAATTTTGAAATAACTTTCGCTTACAGAAATGTGAATTTCTTACGTAGTTTTCAGTTGATGCCATGCGAATCAACGCGGCTTTGCGCATTCACGGTGCATTCCCATCCTGTATTTTTTGTGTTGTGTTTTGTTGTCTTCATCATCGTTTTACCAAAAATTGCCCTAAAAAACATCAACACCCTGCCCTCTATCTAGGACGCTCCTTGTTTGTTTATCATTGGTAACTTTAGTTAGTTGAGTTACGGACCCTGTTTTTTGTTGTTGAAACAGTGTCCATAACACACCCCCCCCCCCCCCCCTTTGCCAGCATCTCCAACGTAGCAAAAGTTGGGATTGTTCCCATGAGCGGAAAGCACCCCTCATTTTTGCCTCTATTTGCAACTTTAAAATTGACAAAATTCACTGTATAAAATGTATGTATAAATATATGTATCGTGCCCAACCTTCTTGTTTTAACCTCTGTTTTACACTAACTTCAAACATTCATTTCTATAATACCCGCAGTACTACTAGGAAAAATCATTGTGTTAATTATAGAACAACCTCATTGTCCAAAAATAGTGTTTTCCAACATGGAACTTTATATTGGGATAGTCTGGGTGACTCTTTTATTAAAATCATCACCCACTCTCTATTTTTGCTAGAAAACTAAAAACTCACTTTTTTAATTGCATACTTAAAAATGTAATAGGGATAATAACGGCCTTGATTACTGTCACACTGGTGTCTGTGCTCTGTCTTTCCATGTATGTCTGTCACTTGTCTGTCTGTCCATAGGCTGGGGAACAAAAGCTGATGCTTCACCCCAGACCTAGATGTTGCCATTTAGTCAAAGTTCACCATTATATCAATTGTAATTATATACATGTATGTATTGTCAATTTAAAGAAGTTGTGGAATGCTCGATGACATTTCCGTCATTTTTCGGGTATATGTAGCCTAAGGTGTGATGAAATAAAAACGACTATTGTGTCTGTCATGAAATGAGTACAAAAGGTACTTTTGAGAGCTGTTTTTCAGGTCCTGTTTCGACCCGAACATGCAATTTGTGTAAAAGTCGTCGTTGGGGGCAGCAAACAAAACATAGTAAATCGTGACATAATAAACAGGACTCGTTTGTACTACGCTGCATTGGACGCTACGCTACAAATTGCACGTTCGGGTCGAAACAGAACCTAACAGCTCTCAAAAGTACCTTTTGTACTCATTTCATGACAGACACAATAGTCGTTTTTATTTCATCACACCTTAGGCTACATATACCCAAAAAATTACGGAAATGTCTTTGAGCATTCCACAACCTCTTTAATTATGTAACATTATGTATCATACTTTATGGCAGCATTGAAATAATGTATTATTAAATTGTTCACAGCCACACCCTGTCCAACTCACAAGGCCAAGCCAAGACCTCCCCCCGCCCACTCCACTCCTCACCCCTCCTCCACATCGACGTGGATGCCAGCCCCTCCCGCCGCGGTGCCAGGACCCCCGCCCCTCACTCTGCCGAGGAACCCTGGAGTATGTCCTCCACCTCGGGGGCTCTCAAGAATCTTCAAGACGGGATGTATGAGAGCGAGCAGAGACGGCTGGCGTTGGTGGAGAAACTGCGAGAGGCTCATGAGACGCTTCAGGTGTGTTCCTTGTTTGACGTCGCAAAATGCAAAGCAATTGAGTGCAATAGACCATTATCATGTTGAGGCGATCTATATTCTTTCCCATATCAATGTCACCAAAGCAAGGCTGGAAGGAAAAATAGTCTGGTTCCATTTTGCACAAAACATTATCATTCAGTACTGTTTATTAGATACAGGGAACATGACTGAAATGGTAGCAGCAAGATAAAGGTCTATGCTGTATTTTGCTGATTTTCAAATGAACCACAAAAAGGGAAACTGATATGGTGCATAATGATACTTTCCAAAGTTGAACAAAGAAATTGACTGGAGCAGGGTTTGAACCTGCGACCTCCGGATTGCCGTTCCAGAGCTCTACCAACTGAACTATCCAGACACAAGTTTGCAGTTTTCCCAATTTAATTTGTCAATATCTTTGTTCAAGGGCGTATATGCCATGTAGCCAGGGATCCCGCCAAAATTTAAAAATGCTTGCAACAAAGCACAGATTATTTTTTTTATACAAACACTTGTTTTTGCTATACAAAATTTAACAATGCAAGGTATTTACTGTACAAAATCGGTCATTGTTTGTGGCTAGTCTGAACATTGTCTAAAAAAAAAACACACTTTTGATCCTAAATATCTCTGTTGTTTACATGTAAACAAGGCATGACAAATACCATGGAGCGAGTTTCTTCAGCTTTGTGCAAGAGGGTGAGATTTAAACGCCATACAAAAAAATATTCACTTTCAGAATCTGCCACTTTCGACTTGGCGTCATCCAATGTCGATACAGCGCTGGAGACGGTGGCGGAAGGCGCGAGCTGCAGCCGAAAGCTTCTGAAGGAATGCAGGATCACCCCTGATGTCATTGCACACCTCCTCGATCGTTTGGCGCAACACACGATCAAGGAGGTGTGCAATGACATCAGGGGTGATCCTGCATTCCTTCAGAAGCTTTCAGCCACAGCAGGTGCCTTCCGCCACCGTCTCCAGCGCTACATCAACATTCTGAAAGTGAGTATTTTTTTGTATGGTGTTTAAATCTCACCATCTTGTACAAAGCTGATGAAAGTCGCTCCATACAATTTGCCATGCCTTGTTTACATGATCTTCAATTTTGGTTTAATTCCATTGGTAAACAACAGAGTTATTTACATGTATTTACATCAAAAGTAGGACATGTTTTGTTTTGACACGTAGTATATTTCTAGTGAGTTAATTTTAGTGAAGTGCCGTACAACAACAAAAAGAACATCACACCAACGGTTTTTTTTCTAATTGGTGGATATTTTTTTGTTGTTCAGCGACAGACTGAAAGATTGTGTGATAGCGAAGCCAAGCTGAACGACAGCCACTACACCATTGAAAGTCTCTCCACAACGAATGAGGTACTTTTTACTTGAATTTAATAGAATTCTCCAATCTCCATTGGGAAACAGAATTCGGCTGGTGTTATATAAAAAAAAATACAAGGGTTTTGAATTTTTGAACTCCTTCTATTGATTGATTTTATTTAAATGATGTGGCAGTGGTAAAATTTGTTTAGTTTGTGTACCCCGGGCACTTAACACTTGCTTAGTGCCAAAACTCTGCCAAACTTATGAAATCAATTCACATTTTTAGCAACAAAAATGTTGAAAACCAACTGTTCAATCATGACTACCATTCAAAAAATTTGTCACTTGAAATTTTCATTCTATGGACGGATCCATTAATTTTTTAAAGGGGTGCTTCACCCTCTTTTTGGAGTCGATTTTCGAATAAATTCTTTAGAAAAAAAATTATTTTGTGAGTTTGTAATGACAAACTTTTTCTAAACAAGGAAATATTTCAGACTCCGTACAAAAAAATTATTTGTAATTTTGAAAAGATGGAAATACAGGTAAATTGTTTTCAAGGAAACACACCCTTGACAGCAAATGGTGTGGGCTATACATGTACACGTGGCATCAATGCGGCGTGCATTGCGTGCTAGTGCTTTGTTCTTTTCTTGTGAGATAATTTGCACATTTTTATTAAACATTTCAAGGTAAATTTTTTCAATATTTGAATGTGGAATTTGTTTTCTACTTATTATTGGCAAAGTAAATGAGACTAGTAGTCAAATAAAATTCTGTATCGTGAAATATCGTCATATCGAACAGGCTTATATGGTAGGTTTAAAATGTACCATTATCCGCATCCATCCCCCTAGCCAGTTAAAACGGCCGAGCACATATTTATTCCCTTAGTCATGATAACTTTGGGCATAAACAACTGTAGTCCGAGCGTGTCGTTTAAAGGAAAATTTGTCATCCATTTCTGAATTTAATGGAAACAGACTGCTTCTATGAGGGGTCTATTGACGGATGATAGTACAATTTTTGACTCTATTCCAGGACTTGCACAAGAAAGTTGCCGGGCTTCAGCGGGAGAAAGACAGGACAGTGGAAGGCCGACAAGAGATCATTCATCAGAACGACAAATTACAACAAAGGTTTGTATTATTTTGTTGCTATTGGCTGACTGCATGAAAAACCAAGGCCGCACTCGGGTTGATCTTTTGACGACATAGAACTATCGGAGACTGACTTTTCAGGATCAAGCTGCGTCTGAGCTTCGACCATCGGGAACATGTCAGTTGCCAATTTTTTTGCGACCTGAGTGTAATTGCGAAGATATTAACCCATTACTGCCAGGTTTTTACTCCTCACTGCACAGGTTTATACGCATCACTGCACAGGAGCCTCTGCACAGCAGTGGCAGTAGCAGTAATGGCACTGCACAGTAGCAGCTGCTTAGCAGCTTCCCACAGTATCAACACTAAAAATATCTACAGTTGCAAAAGTAGAAATATTTCAACTTCTGCGCCACGACGGAATGTGTTTCCGACAGGTGGGAATCAAATGCAGTGGACCTTTCTGAAGTTAAGACGTCATTGGCACATCGGAATCATCTTATTTCATGGTGTAGCCAATCAGCGTGCGGCAAAAATCATTGAATGAACAGACTTGGCCGTGGAAGATCGTTTGATTGTTATCAGCATGCGCACTGCCATTTTGAAGACGTTACATGATCTCGTCTATGCTGAGCTATCGTCGCCGCGTCGTGGGTGACGTGAGCATGGTTGAGATTATTTTGTATCGAGATGTAGCTTGTTCCACGGGAATCACATGATCTCTCAGTTTTGCGACTTGAGCATTACTTTTCTGCTTGCTGTTCTGTCGCGGTTCCGTCACGGCGCAAGCAAATCGCAGGTCGACCTGAGGCCGCCCTAAGACATGTCTCACAAAGAGTCATTTGTTTTAACATGATTTACAATTAAAGGCAGTTGTAATAAGTCTGTTTGAACCATAAAAGTGTGTAGGGAAAAATGTTTTTCCCACTGCATCACGCCTACAGTGTCACAGACGCTGATTGAAAACAAACCATCAAAGTTTTCCGTCAAACAGTTTTTCTGAAGAATGTAAATAAACACAATCCCCCAAGTTATAATTTTTTGAGTAGGAAAAAAGCCCAGAAACTTTTTATTTTTTGACCTTTTTTTTTCAATTCTGGGGACACATGTTGAGGGTTTAAAAAACGATTTTAAGAAGATTTTTTGTTTACACGTTTTGTGTTTTGTGTGATGTGGAAGAACAGGGGCCGTACTAAAGAAGTTACAAAGGAAGTTTTTTGTTCACGCTGTACTGGTTTTTTTTGTTAAGTGGAAAATCAGTGGCCCTAATCAAATAAATATTTTCTGTGCACATTTTAAACTTCAAAACCAACCATATTTCATCGTGAGTGGTATATTTTTGGGGGTCCTTTCAGGGTTGATGACCTGTACCAAGAATTGAAACGGACCAAGTTGTCTCAGGAAAGCCTGCAGGCCGAGCAGCGCAAGCGAGATCAGATCGTCGAGCAGACCTCCAAGGCCTTGGATATGATGGAAGAAGAGAACAAGAATTTCCAACAGGTAACCAAAAAAACATTAAAAATACACATGTATGGGCTCCGTGCGCCAACGAAAGGGGGCGCCCTTTTACCTTTTACAACGACGTCCCATGGGCGGGACATTTAGCTGGTTGACGCGCACCGTTCCTTGTGTGTGACGCACGTACACCAGGGGATTTGTACTATGTACACGCAGTGGTAGGGCCGACCTACGCGTCACGGCAAAATTGCAGTCAGGCAAGATGGCGTCGGTTGGTCACCCCCAACTGTACTTTCTTTGCCTGTGAGGGGGTACTTCCAACTGCGCATGCACATAATGATATGGGTCACAGGTCATTCGGGATAATCGAACGCCCATCGAAGGCGCGTGAACGCGCAGGGAGGCGGGTGCACGACGCTTGCGTGTTAATTACGAGCAGAACGGGTATTCGCGTAACATCGCGTAACATCACATCAGCGATTTTACTCTGAATGACATTTGACCTAGACTAATACCGAACTGGCTTATTCTGCAAATACAGCATTGTTAAAGTTGCGTTCCCCGTGCTATTTTTTTTAGTATCGTTCCGAAAAATAGATTCCTTTTCTAAATTGCTCTTTTTATGAAGCAATACAAAAGTTATTCATTTTTGAATGAGACATCGACCAAATCAAATCGGCCCTTGTGTATTTATTGAATTATTACTTTACAATTTTGAAGCAATACTTCTGACAATAATTCTGTTCTTGCGGGATACGCTCTTTGCTGCCCCATAATCAGTATTGATAGTGTACAGATTGGAGCTAGTCTGTTGGACTAGGGGCTAGACGTTGTTATGGTTTGATAAGCGATAACCCGTCACCGCGAAGGGGCATTATCACGACCAAATATCACTCATGAACCCTTTGGAACAACGTCTAGGGAAACTTGTATCGGTTGTGTAATGCGCGTGCACCTGTTTTGCCTAATATGTGCAGCGCGCATTCAGAACATTTCATTGTACAGTCGGCTCCCGTTATAGCGAAAACGGCTAGAACGAAATTCCGGTTATTACAAACAAATACCTTCGGTCCCGGCAAAATTGTGCACATGTCTATGGGGAAAATTTCGCTTAAGACGAAAACGGACAGTACAAAATTCCTGTTAAAGCGAAAGGTTTTGGCGACCCGGTTGCGTAAAAATGCATTGTCAGCGACCCATTTATAACGAAAGGTGAATCCTGGCACACGGCTTTTTTTCGTTCGACCGAAGGTATTTGAAAGCAGTACAATGTATTAGTAATCAGCAGGTGTCCGTCTTGCGTGAGTAGTTTCATGTTGCCGACGTAGATGTATTCAGATGGAGGTGCTAATCGGTTTGCCGGCGCACAGTCAAGTTAATCTCGCGCTGCGGTTAGGCCTGTCATCGCAGTGTTGCAAAGACGCGTGCCAGTCACCCAAGCCACTTGCACATCGCCATTGTGCCATTAATCAAAAACGTACTTCAACCTTTGTGAATGGGCTTTCCCTATTTGTACCTAATTCTGCCGGTTAACAACAAAGGCCCATCATCAAAGTGTTCCGATGACGAGTGCCAGTCACCCGCACCACTTGCACATCGCCATTGTGACATTCATCCAAGACGTGACCTTTGTGAATGGGCTTTTCCAATATGTACCTAATTCTGTCGGCTTGCATTAATGAAAGGGAAACAAAAGCTCAGATTGGTCCAGCGTAATTACGATGTCTTTTGTCATCGAGTCGGGCAGATATTGGATATAAGGGGTGTAGAATATGACAAGTGATCATTACGATTATCGTACTTCTGAGCTGACTACTGATACTTTTGAGCTGACTACTACAATCCTAGACAAACAATCCTAGACTATCCCAAAATTCTCCAAAACGTAATTTCATTCAAAATTATTCACGACCTCCCGTAAATTACTCCCCCCTCCCAAAAAAATAAATTTTCTTAAATTATTTATTTAAATTATAATCAAAACTTTGCCAAAATTGTCTTATTACAAAACGTATTCATTTGAGCACCAGCACAAAATACGTTAAGCTATTTTGTAACTTTTAAAAAAGCTGGGACGATAAGAAACTGATCACCATCAACGCTGGACATTATGCATACATATGCAAAGCTATGAATAAATGAACTGGTGCACGCCAATGAGCTCGTCCGCTTGCGTGACGTTGAAATCGTCTGACGTTAATATCCAATCCAATGTAAGATTATGAGATCATCACTCATTAGGACACTGACTCATGAGGGCGCTCTACCAATTTGTAAAATCTACTCAGATCACGGACGGACCGGAAAATCTGGAACGTAAATGACAAAGGTTTCTCGGCCATGTGCTTGAAAACGCTTATCACATTGTCACATTGAAATCTGCAAGACGAAAGGACAATACAATTTAAATGTCTCTCCATTACACAATTTGTGCTGGAGAGATTACTTACTTTGAACATCGAAGTGATCCAGGTCATCCGCCGTTGACTTCTTCCTCATCGATGATCAAGCAATGAAACGTCAGATCTTCGCTTCGTAATGTTTATTTTATTTTCGTTTCGTACATTAAACATTTTTTTTTCACTTGACACAATGAAACATTTTAAACATTATTTTTTATTTGACAAATCACATCACAGAGAGCATGTTCTTCATGGCTTTCAAACAGAAAAAGTCATTGGTTACATTACATACGTTCACAAGCGTGCACAATAGGGCCAATTCAAGGTGAACAATGGACGGGAAACATTGATCGGATATTACGAAATTCGGATACAACGAAGATTTTGGCCGGTCCCGTGGTTTTCGCTATAACGGGAGCCGACTGTAGTTCCCAACCAAACTCTTAAATTTCTTCCAGTAGTATAAAAGATGCACCAAGACTTTTGTGCAACTTCACTGATCAGCTCTTTTGTTGTGTTTAGCATGTGTGGGACTGAAAATGGACTGTAATTGCCTGCAGAAAAAGCGCATGCGCTCTAGTTTCCCCCATTGTTCGGGGAGAGATTTTACGACTTTCCCTAGACGTTGTTCCTAACAGATTCGTGGGTGATATTGGTTAGTCTGGATAATGCCCTCTCGCGGCGGTGGGTTATCGCGTACCAAACATATCAACATCTAGCCCCTAGACTAGGGTCACATATGTAACATGGGACAAACTATGACATGGGAATGCCTTTGTCAGGCTTCCAGAACTACGGCTACGACTTTTGAGCCGAGTATGAGCTAACCTTGACTCGGGTCGGATTTGAACCCACGACCTCCTGCTTACTAGTGCAGACGTCGTACCCACTGGACCACCGAGCCTGCTGGGGTATGTTGGTCGTTTCAAATCTGATGTAGCAGCCATGAGCAATCAATCTTTTTCGTGGCATTTTCAGATGAAAGAGAGCATGATCAAGGAGACCAAGGCCTTACGAGAGAGCCTACAGATGGCCAGAGCCAAGGCGGAGAAACTAGAACTGGACAACAAAGAGCTGGACAAGATTGCGGAGGTAACTGATGTCACTGTTTTAATTAGGCCTGTGTCAGGCCTCACCATGAAACCTTCAAAACATACAAAACCAATAAAAACCTAAAATTTAAATTGGGAACCTACATTTTTATTCTGCCATATATACATTTTAAAAAGAAAATAAAAGATATTTTTTTTAAACGAGTCTGAACAGAACTCGTAACAAAAATACTGGTAGAGGTGTCCTAAAGATAAGGATTACCCAATTTAATAGTAATCCTAACGTCAACATAACCACATTGCAAATATACCTCTCCAAGATTTTTTTGCAAATGTTTCCGAATTTGGCAGTTTGAGGTTAGCAGTTCCTTGTATTTCTGCTACCTCGTGCTGAAACATTTCACAGTTGTGCACCCCTCAAAACCTGTGAATGCCTACGTTTTGGCACTTAAAAGGGCCCATGCAATGTAGTTTTTAATGCTTTCCTTGAAAATGAACATTTGTGTCCCATATGCCCCCTTGAAACTTCCGGTTACACCTCTATGTTCCGACACCCCTATGTTCCAACTGCACATATTCGTATTCCTAACCCTAACCCTAACCGGGAGTAACACAATCTAGGTAGTCGGAACATAGGGGTGTCGGAACATAGAGCAGTCACCGAAACTTCCATTTAATCAATTATTCTAAGTTACTTTGGTGTCGCAAATCAATTTGCAGAAGCACGAGTTACTGGCTGCCCAGAATGCCGAGCTGAACAGCCAATTACTGGAGGAGAGAAGAGCGAACACTGACCTGGATCACCAGGTGGACCTCTTGAGGGCGGACTTCATGAAAGCCAGAGAGGTGAGAACGTTTTCTTCTTTAAAAAAAAAAAAAATCAGTTTTGATTTGAGCTACGAGGAACATACATGTAGTCTGAGTCCTAGTTGACCAGATAGGAATTTGTTTTACTTAGTGCAGCCAGTCGCTTGCTGCCACCGCAGTTGTAAATCGGGCTATCAAATCCGATTAATCAAATCTAGTCTTGGGAACTTTGGCACTGAGACCCGCGAAATTCTGAGCATGCCTAACAAGCTACATTCAGACCTACTTGTATGCTCGAACTCGAGGTCTGCTCAGAATTTCTCGAATTTTCAATAATTAACGAGTGCCGCATTATTTGCAGCCTGACAACAACTTGGTTCTCACAGGGTACTGGTTCCTGCCCTCCTCTCAGAATCAATGATGTGGGGACCGGAAACCAGTCTTACTCGTTTGTGGGAATAAAAGCAACCCAGAAAAGGAAGGCTTTTTTTCAGATGGAAATAAAATAGAAAAAAGTAGGTTTTTTGCTGTGGATGAGCAGCTCTACAAGTACTCATGTCTCTCTGTGAGTCCGTAGGTTAGTTAGTTAGTAACAAACATTGGAATGCGCACGTGTGCACTATAACTCACCTTAGCCAGCTCCTGCTTGAGGCCCTGTGTCAGTTTTATGCCGTCAAGGGAGGGCAGACAGACTTGCATTATCGAGGTCAAGTGTGACGTTCAACAAATGGGAAATCCTTAATTTCAATGCCAGAGACATGCAAGAGCTCATCTATATTATACAGACGGGGCAGAAGTGTTCACATGTATGAACCCAAACTGATTGGCCCGCAGCTTCTGAGATCATTTCAAGCTTGTTTTCTCTTTAAAAGAAAGACAAACAACCTGAAAAGTCATTTGGAGAAAGTATGATTGTTGAAGAGTACGATTAGTACATCTTTAAGGCACAAAAGGAAGACTTTCAATGTACAATGAAGTTACACTAGAACATTTTGCTATAAATATGGAAATGGTTTGGAAAAGTCTGATGTATGACAATAAGTCAAACTTCTACCTTCCTTTCAAATAAAACTCTTTCTTGAGAGAATTATTCAGATTTGGTCTTTTCCTGAATTCTCTCAACACCGTTTTAGGAGCGTGAGGTTTTCCAGAGTCGCGCCACCCAACTGGAAGAGAAGTGTGCCGACCTGAACGCCAAGTGTGTCAGTTCCTCCGCCTCCAAAGAGAGACTCTTGCAGGAGAAACTGGACCTGCAGCAACTCCTCAATCTTGCCACCCATGAAAAGGAACAAATGAACAAGGTAGTATAAGTAGTTTGGGCTATTTTTATATTTATTCCAAAAAATGCCCATGGCACTGTAGATTTGCAAGCCTGAAGATATCTGTGGAGAAAAGACAATCAAAAGATATTCAGTTTTAGAGGTGGTACGAAAGCCAAAGGCAAGTATCTTGAATCAGGCAGGGGCTGAAAACCCAATCCACATGTCGGCCTGGATGGAATTCAAACCTGGGACATTGGTGGTATGCTTGGAAAATCCCAGACTGGGACCTGGAGTGCTCTGAAACTTGCAAAACTAAATCAGGCCAACTTTACTCACTCTTTAGTCAGCAAATTTCTCCAAAAATGCCATTGGGCAACGAAAAGGTCCTCAGTATTTCACCAACCAAGTTTGCAGACTTAATTCAATTGTTAAAGGAGACATTTCTTCAATATTTTGCACATGAGAGAGAAGTCAGGTAATTTTTAAAATAAAGTAGAAAGATTGCGGGTAACGCCATGTGGAAAGTAATCTCTTCTTGGAAGTATGGTTCTGAAAAGAACCGGTTGGTTGAGTGTAGAACTCGACATTTCGGACAGTGTGCTCTGTCCGTCTTCAGGATTTCAAAATGAGGCTAAACACTAGATTGGTACATGTATAACCATGGTCCAAATATTTGAACAGACTGACCTCATTCAGTGTCATTAGTCTGGTGGCTGACTATGGAGAAATGTGTAGAAATAGAGACTAGTTCCTGGTTCATGCCACATGTTTCTTTTGGTACAGTTGATTGATGCAGTACTGAAGCGGTGTTGGACTGGTTGTTTCATGTGCCAGTCTATTTTCTTGCATTGCATGTTTTCAATACCTTAAGTTTTTTTGGACTCTCATACATGTATACAGTATTGAGAGTTCAACATTTTGGACTAGGGAAATCCATGTGCACTATTATCACCTATTTTATGTAAGACACATTGCAGTTGACACAAGTCAATCGCCAGTCAGTTTAAAGTGTCCATGCGATGAATTTTTCTTTGGAACACATTTTGTGCAACTTTCTACTCCTCTTAATAAATGTATGAAAAGTATTGGACGTCTCTTTCTGGTTAATGTTTACTGAAAAGTGCAATTCTTTAGATAACTTTAAAATGTCCCTGCTTTTCTGGACAGCTGAGGGCACTGTTGCTGTGATGTCATTCCAGGAAGACACTGTTCAGATCAGGAATTTTCTGTGTATATTGTGAACCCACAAGTTTGCTCATTGAAAACATTTGTGGAAAAAGTTTGCTTACTGGCTTACTGCCATATACTTACACACAGCAAAAAAATCACCAAAGAAAAAAATCTATGACAGGAAAATATCCAAAATGCTAGCAACTTTTGGTGCTGTAATAGCTGTAACATTGAGGTTTCTGCCTGGAATGACATCACAGTTTTGCTCATGAATATGTAAATTTGCATTAGCATTAAAATCAAAAAGGCACCAAAATACCCTTCAAAATGGCAAAACACACATTGAAAATATGGTTAAATGGGACACAAACGTGCATTTGTATTAAATAAATTACATTGTATGGGCCTTTTAAAATAGCAGAAACACTTCAAAGATTGCTGCTGAATCAAAATGGTCTGTAGCAGCTTCCATGGAAATAAAATTGCTGCAAACTTAAACTGACTGAATTGACCTGAAATTCGAATCATAAAGTTATTAAGAAGGCATGATCCTAGCTGATCTCAAAGACAAACAAAAATGAAACTTAAAACTGAAATGGATTTAGCTTCGGCATAATCATAGTCTTGAATTTCCTCTTTCTGGTGTTTTTGTTTTTTATCGTGTTCTCTTCAGACGAGACAAACCCTTGAGGGGAGATTGACGGAGCTCCAACTGGAAGTGACGCAGAGCAAACTGATGGTGGAGAAGAAAGAAGAAGAGATGGATAAAATGATGGAAGAACTCAACGCTGTCAAGAAGGTTTGATCGGCTTGATGTAAAGTTGTAGTTGAGACTTAAAACGGAATAAAACTTCTGGATTATGAAAAGTATTACATCTCTTCTTTATCCCTTTTAGTTTCACCACTTTATCCCTTTCTCACAAATGTTTTCAATGAGCAAGTTTTGGGTTCACAATTTGAACAGAAAACCCCTGAACTGAACAGTGTCTTTCTGAAATGACATTAACTCAACAGCTCCCTCAGTTGTCCGGAAAAGTATGGAAAATGTTAAATAAAGAAGTGCACCTTTCAATAAAATTAACCAAAAAGGGATGTCAAATAGTTTTCATACATTTAAAAGGAGTAGAAAGTTGCACAAAATGTGTTCCCAAGAAAAAGTCATTGCATGGACCCTTTAGTAAAATCAGTTTACCAGCCAAATTACAATGCAATGGCTATTACTCTTAGCTGGCGCTCAGCTGATTTCTTCTCAGCACATAAATTTGCTGAACAACACTTTCTGTTAATTTTGCAAATCGCCTCCTGGTTCACAACCTGCTTGTGTTCTCGTCATGTCTGCTGTTAGGTTAGCGAGGTGCTTTCCTTGGAGCTGGCAGCTGCTAGGACCAACCTCGAGAAGTCCCACGAAGACATCAAACAGTTGAGCGCTGACAAGCGGGCAGTGCAACAACAGCAGACGTACTGGGAGAACGAGGCTAAGAGACTGTCGACGGAGAAAGACGCACTGGACAAGGTAGGTCAGGGGGGAGGTAGGAAGCAGACCTAATAATCAGAAACCTCAATATCATTGTTCCGTCCACTAAGAAACATTCTGTGTTGCAGTGGAGGTTTGTGATGGATCACAAGTGCATCACAAGTCCAGTCACAAGTAAATGTCAAAAAATCCCAAGTCCAGTCACAAGTACTGGGGAATGAACAGTAACAACGGAATACCTTTGTCAGTTTCACTTGAATAGCTTGTGAGTTGACTTGGGACGGAATGACTTGTGATGACTTGTGATGATGACTTGCGATCCATCACAAGTACCTCGACTACAACACTGCATATTAAGAAAATAGAACGTTTAACCCTCCTATGTTAACATACATTCTGTGTCAAGCAGTCCTTTCAGTCAAAATCATTCAAGTGACTGTTTTCAACAGTTAAGAATTCCCAGCCTACATAAAGCAGGATTGACTGGCTGTGACTGTTTATGTAACTCGATACAGCTTATGGCTGTGGGTAACTGATAAGCCATGCAGCTGCGCCCACAACTAGCCAGCTTTGTCCGTTCTTGGTCTGTTGACTGAGTTTGACTAGTCACAGTGCTTGCTTGACATGTGTTCTGACTGCTGGTGACTAGCCTGTGTTAAAAGAATAGCAGGGGAAATGGTTGGAAATTTCGCCACATGACCAAATGGCACTCCGTACCTCAAATTGTGCCTGGATACTTCTGAAGCACTTTTCTCAAATTTTTGTAATGGTAACACTATGAATAAAGTGCACCATTAGAACGATCTGAAAACACTCTTTCAGCTGGTATATGGTTGATGTATGGGCAGCCAAACATACCAACATGCCAGCTTGCTGAAAAGCAGTGAATAAATCTGTGTTGAGGGTGTTGTGTGTGTGGTTTCCTGTTCGACGAAAGTCGCCAATGGTAAGCAGCAGGGGGTAGTTCCTTGTCGACAAAAGTCGGCCCAGTAAGGCAAGGGTTAATTGAAGATTTGTGATTCTCTGGTTCTCTGGTTGAATGACACAGGCTCTGGAACAGCACAAGCAGGAATTCATGAGGGAGCGAGAGCAGTTGGAGGAACAGCACCAGACAATGAAAGAGAACGTGAAGGAGATCCGAATGGAGAAGAACAAGATGGCCTCCAAGTGCCAAGAACTGGAGACTGTAAGTCACAAACAAACAAACATCCCAACAAACAGACTGATAGACAGACAAACAAAATGGCAGGCCCTGTCTGAAATACTCAATTAGTCGATTATTTCCAGCCAGCAGTAACACACATGTCTATGTGAAGCAGTGTTGTAGTCGAGTACTTTTTTCCGAGTACCTGTTTTTTTCCGAGTACCTTACCTGTTACCATGACGTGAACAGTCCTCTTAAGACCAACCTGACCGACCATATAGGCTACTCGGGTTGGGACACACCATTTTGGGGAGCCTGCCCTGGGGGATTAGGATATTCATAAGCACTTATCCTATAACTGGTTCCCATAAAGGAGCAAAGGTCACTCTGCCTGAGAGATTTCAAGCATAATACTTCGTTTCTAAATTCAATCTGTCCGCTGACAAAAGTATTATCATAATGATGTACCTGAAATGTTGACTTATTTTATATTTTGAACGGTGAAAATCGGTGAATAAACAGCCGAGAACAATCTTTTCACTGTGGCCGTTTGTGCTGACTCTCGACCGCAAACTTGCAGTTCCAGAAAGCAGTGTGGCTAATAACAGGTGGTAGTTCATTTAACCTTCAAGTGATTTATGTGCAACAGTGGACTGGGGATCAGAGTTTGTTTACTTAAGGACCCCCCACAGAGGTCCAAAATGGTGCGTAAAACAAGAAATTTCTTAAGAGGGCTGTTTTCATCATGCCCTGTAGCGCCCTAAACTTTTCTGCCTGTTACTCCCTGTTCCGCCCCGTACCGCCCCAAACTCTATGGTTTAATAGATTCATCACAGATTAAATACAATGTAAATACAATGTAATACAGTTATTAATTGGTAAACTATCGGTCATTGTTAGATGCTTCAACGTGCCAACGATGACCTGCGAGACAGCAGTCTCCAGCATCAGGACGAGATGGAGGAATGGAAAGCATCATCGGAGCGACTGACCGCCTCCTTGAACCGCAAGGACAGCGAGATCACAGCACTGTCGGAGAAACTTGAAGAAGCACAGGAAAAAGTAAATCTAGAATTCCTTTTTCTTAAAAAGAAGTTTTTAGTGCAGCAATTTTTCTAGATAGCTTGAAGAGTTCACGCAGCGCTTGTTTCATGCACAACTTGTCACTTGTGACTGATACCAGGCTACAGGGCGAGTCAAAAAAAGGAGAACCCAAACCCCAAAAATGATATTTCATATTTAAAAAAAATATGTAGCACCAAAAATAATAATGCCAATTTCTTAAGCTATTTTTCGATGAAAAAAAATTACTGAAATTGCTCAATCTGAATATCACCATTTAAACGCAATGTCCCTAAACCTGTTTCGTCAAAAAAAAAGCAATTTATTGTGTATTCTAACTGTTTGGAACAACAAAGAAAATGACACAGAATACTTGTTTCCACAACTGTCAACAACTGTAGTACACAATATCTCTATTAACAACCCTGGTTAGGCAAACACTATGATTTATAAAATCAACTTTTTTGAAAAGACAAACCTTCAAAAGGACTATGTTGAATATGTTTAACTTTTAAACTAAGGTTTTATCACTGGTAATGTTTGAAGACAATTGCGATGATGATCCTTGAAATTGCATTTTGAACAAAAGAGGTTTTAGGATCATTTTGTTTAAAGGGTGATATTCTTTGAAGGGATTGAGGAATTTCAGTAATTTTTCATCTAAAAGTAATATGAAATTGGCTTTCCAGTCATTGTTTTTGGTGCTACATACTTTTTTGAAATATGAAATATAATTTTGGGGGTTTGGGTTCCACTTTTTTAAAACTCGCCCTGTAGTTTATGCGCGTTGGGACCAGCTTCACTAGGCTTACGCGATCTTGTGGTTTTGTTTACAGTATGTACAACTGAAGTCGGAGCTACAGACAGCCAGGATCAAGCAGGAGCAGTATGCAGAGTACCGCGAGGAGGCGGATCGGCTGAGAGAGGAGAACAAACAGCTAGCTCAGGATCACGCAGAGGATCAGCAAGTCATACATCTCCTGGAGATGCAGAAGAATATCCTTTCAAAGGGACAGGTAGGCGAAAAAAAAGGAAGAAACACTATTTACCAAAACAAAAAGTAAGGACGCCAATGCTTAAACTCTCATTTGGAACACTTGATGATAGACTCTGCAAAAGTACCCCCTCAACGGTTACACAAGGGAGAGTTTGGGGAGACCATCATATTTGCTTCATCATAAACATGTATCCAAAAATGTTAGTGTTCACTTTGGTAGTCTCATTAAGTAGATTAATTTCTTTGTTTTCTTCAGAAACATGTAAACATTGGTACACACACATGCTGGAAATTGTATCCTCGTTGAGTCATTTCTTTGTTTTCGTGTACTAAAATTTTGGAATGTGAAAATCTAGTTTCAAACTGCTCCTATTTTACCAGAATTAATTCCTTGGCTGAAATTCGGACATAATATCCCTTACATAGAATACTTCAATTTGAAACGATCAACACACCTTGGAAATTCCTAGTATTTGAGTAACATCCATATATCTATTTCGTGAAAACCTTGTGGAGACGTATTCACCTATAGAAATTGCCCTGTGGAGACCTTTACAATCTTTTGTTCCCTGTTATACACATGTCTCCATGGAATCTCAAGATCTATTTGTTCCCAGCTTTGCATGAAAATTTGAGTGCACCATCACATGTTTGACCAGGGGCGAAAGCCCGTTGTGAATTACCATTGTACTTTGGCTTCAGGTTATTTTGTCAGCACCTTGCCTTTTTTTTTTAATCAAAAGAGGGCCTTCAAACAGTTTTTATTGAAATAAAGTTGATGTCTCTTTTTGCCATATTGAATTGTCTGGCACTAAGGCAGTCGGCTTACTTTTGGAAATGTAACTATTGCAGTAAATAGCCTAGTGACATAATTTGTTTGATGTTAACAATTGAAATTTTGCTTTAGAGTCCCGGAGGTCAGCGGATGACAGCAGAGCAGCTCCAAGCTCAGGTAGACCATCTCAGAGCTGAGCTGGGATTAGCAGAGTAAGTACAACTCATATAATAGAGGGGCTTAACCTTAATCCTTTCCTAATCTGATCAGGGGTTCTCCCCCATGTTCCTTTGCATTTAATTTTTGTTTTTCTTGTCCCAAGTCTCAGTGAGTTTCTGGCTGAAACACATGCCTGAACACCCATCTTTGTAAACACCGGCAATCGTGGACCCCCTATATATTGTCCCTTATCCTCATTCCTTTGTTTGTACTCTAACTTTTTAGCAACAGCTCTCATTGGTTTTGTACAAGAATTTCAATCGTGGACTATCGGTCAATCGTGGACCCTTTTTGCCCTAACCTTTTTGTCCCTAGTCCATGATTGCCGTTGTTTACATACTCACCCATACTTGTTCCATAGTTGTGGAGACTACACACGAGTTGTCCCATGGTACTATGGGGACCGAAGCGCTATTGGGACAGCAGAAAGTCCCCATAACTCGGTCCTAATTTTGCCTGACAATAAAAAACTTTCCCGGTGACGGCCCGCCCACACGCTTACTTACCATCTTTACCTACTGTGGGACATTCCTTTGTATTTGTGTAAAAAAAAGTCTTTTTACTAGCACTGTAAACACTCTTTCAACTCGAATTTTTCGATCATGATTTCTTTGACTGTTCCTCTTCATTTTGCGACGGATAACCCTGACCCCAAAATGACTCTAAAACTGTTTTTCAGAGAGGGGGAAACGTTGTGTGGACGTGGGCAAGTCCACAAAACGTTCACGCTTCCTGCACCCTGTGGACCTCTTTTGTTCACAGGCCCACGAAGAGTCTGCAAAGTTAGAGCATCAATTTCTTTGTGAGATGTCAAAAAAATGTATTAATTCATTAAACTTTTATTTATTTTGCGTTAGGGATAAAGTAAACGAGTTGAGAGAGGAGCTAGCCAGAGAGAGAGCCCAGGCCTCCCTGGGTCTAGACATGACGGACGGAGTCACCAGACGGTCTGCTAGGAGTACGCCCGTACCCTGCCACAATTGCCAAGAACTGGCTGATCAAATCCTGAAACTACAGGAACTCAATTCCTTGCTGTCAGAAAGGATCCAAAGAGTGAGTTACGTCCGTTTCAGTCCGAACTTTTCCAAATATTTCAATTATTTTGAAGTTTAAAACAGTTAGTAGCAACTGCACCGGAAAGATCGACTGTTGTAGACATTTGAAACGAGTGTCAACATTTACCAATAATGCACTGCAAATTTTAATCTCTTGGAGGCGCTCTCTATTTTGAATCAATTTTTCAGGGTGAAAATTGAAAGTAGGAAAGGTAGTGATCGTTACACAGCCAAAAAGAACAAAATCTTAGTAAAGTGCCAGGAAAAAAATTAGTTTATCAAAAAGAAATAGACATAAATTTGTGTTAATTTAAGATTGTTCTTTTGGAAAGGGATATGCAACATTTGCTTTTGCTGTAATTTTCAGAAATCGATGGATTTGGAGGGTTAGTATTTTATACCAAAGATTTGTTACACTGACTTGTTTGAAGTTTGATGTTCGTAGATGCTGGCAAAACCAAGAAAAACAGTCATGTTCCTGTAGTCTGGTTCAATTGACCCCACGTAAGATGAAACAGAGCAATTTATAGTTGTCGGGGAACTGTAAGGTCAGGGAAGCAGTCTATAGCTGGCTTGTACCTGTTCATACATGTAGGTGTTTAATCGATTGCAAACAAAATGCGGACTAACTAATATGGTAAATTAGGGGTTAGGGTTAAAAAAAACCCACAGTTTTTTCCAACGTCGGTCGGCCAACCAGCTTGGAAATTGATACAAAAATACCACTTTTCTTGAAAATGACAGCACACCATGCCATGATTTTACAGGATGCTTTAGACTGTCATTCACTAACAGTCCAGTAAAGTATTTCATAATAATTTGGTAGTTTTGTTTTTTGATGTTTGCAAATGTTGTATATTCCCTTTAAATCTCAATCTGATATAAATTATGTGTGTTGTCAGAAATCCCTTGACTGCTTTGACCCTAACTTCCTAGCATGATTTACTAGGAATCATACCCATTCGGCAGATTCCAACACCATATTGGAAACTGCACACACATATTTTTGACCTTGATTCTTGAGGTGTGCCAACCCAGTGTAAAAGACTGTTAGTTTAGGGGTACTGTACCCATCCTGACAGATTCCAACAAAACCTGCCGTTGGGGTTTGATGGGTTGAGTTCTGTTAGGGTGAACAACGTTTTCACACTGAAGCAACAATATGTTTTTGTTTTATGATATTCTTTTAATTTTGTTTATCCACACTCAGATGGAGAATGAAAGCCATCAGACTTCCCTGCGGTCCAAAGCCGTCTCCGATCTTCAAGACAAATGCCGACACCTTGGCGAGAAGTCGCAATCCCTGGAGGAAGGCAACCGGCAACTGTCGGCCAAAGTCACGCACCTGGAGACCGAGAGACGCAACCTGCAAAACCAGGCCATGGACTCTATGTCAAAAGTCGAATACGACCAGTAAGTATGAACGCAATGTTTCTTTAGGCTGATTTTCATTCAGCCGCCGAAAGCCGCTCTGGGGTCGACCTTGCGAAGACACAGAACAGCCAGTTACTGACTTTTCAGGAATCAAAATGCACCTGAGCTACGTCCCTCAGGAACATTGTTTGCAACCTGAGTGTAACTGCGATGATATTAATATGATTGGCATCAGAGTTGTAGTCGAGTACTTTCCGAGTACCAGCTTGATGGCTACCAGAGATTATGATGATTTGGTATGGAGAAAGCTGCATAATGCAGACACTGAACAGTAAATCCCCACCAACAGAAATTAAACACTTTAGACAATCAGAATCTTGTATGAACTAACCTTTTTAAGACAAAAGTATTCGGAAAGTACTAGCCAAGTACTTTTCAAGTACTTTTAGGTTACTTCTGACCCAAAAGGTTAATTCAAAAAGGGTTTTATGTAACCAAAGTCTCAAATTAATTTGTTCTCTAAAACTGACTTAATTTTGCTGTCTACTGTCAATGTTTCTCTTGCGTTGTTTGCAAGAAACAGCTCAATACTTGGTAATATAACAGAAGTACTCGGAAAGTACTCAGAAAGTACTCGGAAAGTACTCGGAAAGTACTCGACTACAACTCTTGTTTGGCATCAGTTGGTGCTCACGAAAATTAACAGTTGCAAGAGTAGAAAAATGTCAACTTCTGCATTGTGACAAAACGTGTTCCCGACAGGCGGGAATCAATCACAGTAGACCTGTGTGAAGTTTCGACGTAGTGCGAGCATCCGGAATCAGGCTAATTTTATTGTAAATCGTCATCGCGTCATGGGTGACGTGAGAATGGTTGTGAGTTTTCTGCGTCAAGAAACCACTTGTTCCACAATAATCACACAATTGCTCAGTTTTGTTACCTGAGCATGACTTTTTTGGTTGATACCAATGGTTTTGTCACGGTGTAAGAAAAACGCAGGTCGATTTGAGGGTGGCTTAAGCCGAAAAAATGTGGGAAAAAAAATATGTTAAGCATAATATGATATTTTGGCTAGTAACCTGTTTTTGTTAACAAGTCTTTATTTGGGAAAAAAAAACGAGTAACCTTAGCACCTTTTTAGCTTAACCTAAAGAAAATAATGTGAGAAATAAGAAATTCCACGAAAACTGTGACAATTTTTCTACGCTGCGCGCAGGATGGAGAGGGAACGAACACGGCTCAAGCTGGATTACGAACGGTTGAAGTCGGACTACAACGAGCTGGAAGGGCGCCACCAACGATTCGTCACAGATCACTTATCGAGGACGCTGGACAGCACGGGCCTTGGTGCGTCGCTGTCTGCACAGGATCACAGAGGTACATGTACAATAGATAGGATTGCCTGATTGTGCACCCTCAAAACAATATCAAGCAAGCTCGTCAAATTAAATTAAGTTTTTGCCCTTCACCGAAGTATAAGCACTGTATACTCAGTGTGTTACCTCCCGAGTGAAAGTTGGAAAAAATCACTCGGGTGGGACTCGACCACCAAGCTAACAAGATCGGTTGGCTGGTTCGAATCTGATGTACATAGCAGCGGGTACCGCATTAACTATTCACAAGATGGAATTTTTGCGTCGGGGTGATGTGAGTCAAATTAGGTTTTGCCCTTCACCGACGTATAAACACTGTATACTCAGTGTGTTACCTCCCGAGTAACAAATAAGCTGCAATATTTTGGGGGGAATGATTCATCCAATCAGGAAAGATATTTATTACACAACGACCAATTGAAACAAGTGCTGCTTTTTCATTATGTCTACAGTCTTAATTTGTCATTTATTAGGAGTGTAGTGAATTTGGGGTGAGGGTAGTTTTGCTTTCTTTGATGTTTTAGCTTTTCTTTATTTGGTTCCTTCTACGTTTTGCAACAATGGTCATTTCTCTTTTGGAAGAGGGAGTGGCTTGATATTGCTTCTTAGATATTTACTGTGCTGCTCTGTTCTCACCCCTTGTTCTCATTGCTACAGTCACTGTGGACAAAAATTTAAAAAACAGTGTCTTTGTTTTATGGAGTACTGAAGTGTGACGTCATTTAGAACCAGAAAGTGTAGGGCAAACGAATGGAGTACTCGGGCGTCTTGGTTCTCGGGCTGAATCACGCGCTAATGTGTTTTACACACATTTTGTGCGTGTGCACTTTGGTACTCCATTACTTTCAACTCAACAAGTCTTGAACCAATTAAAATTATGTTTGCGGTATATTAAAGCTATAAAATTAAGGTTTTTGGACAAATCAAAATATAATTTGACACGTGCTGTATAAAGCTGTAAAAAAAGAAAGAGGTGCTTCATAGGGTTCCGGTTTTGTTTTTTGTTTTTTGGGGTTTTTTTTTTGGACACCCTGTTTAATACTTCGGCATAAAATTTCCAACAGATCAACTGGAATCGGAAATCCGCAAGCTCCAGCTGGAGAATGAATCTCTGAAGCGACAGATAGACCATCTGAACAGCCAAGCGCTACTGGCTGACAACGCCAAGAAACGATCAGAAGATAAAATACGTAAGACCATTCGCTTTCAGCTCGCACCCATCACTTACACCTTATAGTCACTAGTTTGTCTACTTCATATTGAAAACTGATCTTTTCTGTGAACGTGAGTCACATATCACCAGAGGCCAAGTTCACGGAGTAGACTGGTTCCCGCTCCCATAATATGGGGACCGGTAGTGAGTTCCCATTTAAAGCCATTGATTGGATCGTCTGAGCGCGTGCGCATTATGATTTTTCCCCACAAATGGCATTCAAAACCTTTCTTTTTCATTGTCTGAGAAGTTACTTATAGTCATTTGTTAAATTGGTATTCTTGGTACTTGGTACTTGGTTGGTTCTTCTCCTAAGGACTTCCACAAGGGAGTATAACTAGGAGGCCAGAAACACCGGGGCAAACCGCTTCTCTTAGCGATAAGTGGTACTGGGTTCTTTTACTTGCGTTAGGCCTTATACAGCACAGGGGACCTCCGGCTTAAAGTCCCATCCGAAGGACGAAGCAATAATGGTTAAGTGCCTTGCTTAAGGGCACAAGTGTCCGGGCCTGGGCTCGAACCCACGCCACTGTTGCCTCTGAAACACCAGAGCATGAGTCCGGTGCTCTTAAAGGTATAGTCCATCATTTGTAATTTGTGCATTTTGTTCGTTTGAAGCAACAAATGTGCTTAAAATCTAAAGAAGGGTGCTGAACAACTAACCTGATGAAGTTTCAGCTTAGCTTCAATTGTATATTTCAAGAAAACCAACATTCTAGGACCTCGATTTCAAATCAAAAGTTGCTGAATCATGTTTTGAATTGGGCCTGAATTCAGCGTCCTAGACACGTTCTCACTGAGCTGATTGCAGCTACGCGATGTCGCGTACCGATCTGACGAATAATAGCAACCGCGCGCACGTGTGCATCGTGTCAACGCTTGCGCGCCCTTCGCCGAATAAAAAAACGAACTACTAACGGAAATTTCCAACGGTGCTTCTTAAGACGCACCGTTGGAAAGGCCTTCTTTCGTTGATTTCTGCAAAATGACAGCTTGCCAGAAAGAATAATTTTACAGGGAGTTTAATCCCCTTACTATCTTTCAACCAAGTACGTTTTTAAACAATAATTGTGCCAGTTACTTTTTGGATAGTTGCAAATGATGGACTATCAGGCCTTGAATTTGGGAATTTTTAGGGCAAGGCCACTTTGGCCTTGAATGAAACAAAATTATAGAGGGCACCAAGGCCAGTAGGGAGGGCACCAATGCCAAACTAAATATCTGCAGAAGGGGCACAGAGGCCGACAAAAAAAAATGCGAATTTATATCGGCGATTATGTAGTTTAGGGCCCCTCTTTAGTTTCGATCAAATTTGAGTCAAAGGTGTTGTTATCATTCAAAAAATTACTTTTCAACCTAAAGCAGACTTCTCTCAGCTTAAATGACACCTATTTTGTAATTTTGAACAATTTTGGGGGGATAGAAATTACGTTTTTTGGAAGCGGTTTTGTGGTTGGTGACATGCGATCGCCATCTCTGAAGTATTTTCATGTTGCGTTTTGTCGTTGTCATGACCTACCTGCATGTTCTTAATGTGGATTAAAAGTTGATTTTGTTCTCTTAGGGAATCGGGCCCATAATTAATACACGATTGCCATTTCCCCGTTTGACAATCGAAACCATGTGCACGCGTGTTTTGACTATGCCCCGAGCTCGTTTGCCTCGTACACGAACATCAATGCGTTCTGTACTGCGCATGCAAGCACTGAGAAAAAGAAAGTCGGTTGACTGCACGTAAGATCTGCCGTACGTACTCCTGCTGGTATGTGTGTGTACGAATACAGACATATATTTTTGCAGCGGGAGTGTCGCTACTTGAAGTATCGGCGCATACAGGAACTGGAGATTCATGCAGTTGTGTACGTGTGTGTACATCGTACAAATGTACATGAATGCAGTGGGGATCGGAATCGCAGGTGTTTGGCCACGGCCGTACTGTGATTGATTCAGCGAGATTTTGAGACAACTGATCGGGCTGGCATGGCATCGAAATACATTGTCAATGTGTGGAAAACAACTGAAATCAAGGATTGTAGTGGTTTTAATAGGCTGATAGATGTTTTTGCAGAAAGGGCACGACGGCCAAGGTAAATATGGGGCAAGGCAAAACTGGCCGTGAAGAAGGGGATTTTTTGTGGGGCACCTCGGCCAGTAAGAAGGCAACGACGGCACTGGCCGTCGTGGCCGTCGTTCAATTCAAGCCCTGGACTATGGCTTTAACCGCTAGGCCATGACACTCCACTAAATATATACTGTATACCCGATGCCATATTCTGGAACCCGTTACTGACATCAGCGGTCGGGTACTATGGTACCCAGTTTCGGTGCACAGCAATAGTTCCATCTTTGCTGTACATCAAGTTTGTTTGAAAAAAAAGTTAAGTCTGAATATTTAACCTCCCTCAGATAAATTTTAAAGGTTGATTTGACTGAAAGAGTGAATTTGACTGAAAGAGTGATTTTTTTTATACTAAATTTTGTAGCCGTAATAAAACAAACTGTTATGAGTCTCATGTTGATGTGTTTGTGCCATATTCTCGTCGTTTATTTCAATCACTCATGTTCCTTTTAATTTCTCTCTTTAACTTTGCCAAACTGTGTAGTATTAGGTAAGTTTCTGTTAGCTCAATTTCCATTTTCCTTTCTTGAATGTTTCTTGATGTGTGTTGTGAGAATTGTTCATACCATGGATTGTTTTTAATTTCTAGTAAATGCATCAGAGTAATGCATAGGCCTACAGTGGGTTTAAAAGTAGGTTTGTTAATAACTTCAAGAATGACAAACCAAATGTACAAAAATAAAATGTGGAAAAGCAAATTTGGGGGCTATTTTTTTATGCATATTATTCAAAAACTCATTGTGGGCCTTATTATTTCATCTCAAATTGAATCCATCGTAATGTTGTCTGTTGTTTAATCACCTCTCTGCTATTTCGTGTGCTTTGTGTGGCTCTTTTGCTTTTGTTTTTATCTTTTAACTGTCAAAAGTTAGAAGTTGAAATAATGAATGGTATGATCTTGTTTTTTGGTCATGTGTTATGTACAAGGTGGTGTGAGTAGCACGTTTTCAATAAAATTTGTCAAAACTTGACATGTTTATCATTTCCTCTTTCTTACTGGTTTTTTTTTCCAATCGAACACAACCAGCTGAAAATTTCAGTTGGAGCGAGTTCAACTGGTTTCCATTGGTTTCAACTGGTACACGTTTATATAAACTGAAACTGGATGACTGGTTTTGAAGTGGTTTAACTGTTTTTGAACTGGTTTTGAAATGGTATAACTGGTTTTGAGCCAGTTAAACCAGTTCAAACTCTGTTAAACCAGTTCAAAACTTGTCACCAATTTCCACTTGAACTGGTTTCAACGGGAATTTTCACCTGGGCATAACGGGATCAGCGGTTGTTGGCTATTTCAACTACCTGCCGCCTCTTTGCAAAAGAGGGGATCAGGTTTGAAATAGTCAGCACCCGGGTACCAGAAGTTGAATATTGCACTACTGTCCCTGAAACCATGCTGGAAGCGGTGTACTGGACTTTCCGTCTTTATCATGAGGTTAACAACATGTTTTTTTTGGTATTATTTCATCTGGAATTGCAGGAATTTTGGAGAAGGAAGCACATGAGATGCAGGCAGAGCTGACCAAGCAGAAGTGAGTTTATTCATTGGAATGGAATGCAATTAAGACTTGAGTAATTTTTATTATTAAGGGAATAAATGTGTGTTTGGGAGATATTAAGACCGGTTGGAGTCTGGATGGGTGATAATTACCCGAGGCGAAGCCGAGGGTAATTATCAGCACTCCAGACTCCAACCGGTCTTAAACAGAGTGTTTAATACCGACCAAGCACATATTTATTCGCATTCAGAAATACCTTTTTGGGACAAAAAATAATCTTTTCGGTCCAAAAACCAAAACAAGTCAAAACCTAGACGTTGCCAACCATTTTGTTTAACAATTTTACTGCATGTTTTATGAAACACCCCTCTGACTCTAGTATGGAATGTCCCTCTACAACTCCTTACCTTATAAGGAGATTAACGCGCAAGTCGCGCGTACTGCGCAATGTCGCGCAGAATGCACCTTGGGCATTGCATTGTGAATTTAGGACCATAAAATACTGACTCACTCGTAGTATTGCGCATTCCTACGTGAGGATTGTGAACGTTTAACCAATAAAACGGATAGAGGCACTGGATTTTTAGGAGTCCAAATTTCATGTGACACTGGAAAAGTGTTTAAGACCAGCTAGCCATGTCTTTATCATTGGCTTAAGACCAGCCACGTGACGGGCTCTCGACCAATAGGAATGCGTAAACGGTCTTACGTATTTATGAATTATTATTCATCACTTGGCATTTGTGACTCGTCTGGATTCTGCAGAACAAGAGCTTTCTAATGGTATATACATATAAGGGTGCTGAGTTGAGTAACAGAAATATAAATTGCCAACTAAATTGACATTGCACAAGTTATTTAAAAAATAATACCATTTCAAATATCATGCTGTTGTATTCCAGTATAAATGAACAGTCAGCTAGTAAAATGGGATGAAAAGAGGTTTTAAAGACGTTTGATTGATCAAATACAACGGGGAAAAGTTGAACAGGACTTAAAAATGGAGGTTCACCAGAAAACGAAAGTTGACCGTCCCTTCAATTTTGGCTTTGCCCCACTGTACCGCAAATGGCAATTTCTGACTTTGTGCTCATTTTGGAGTGACATAACTTGTTTGGTTGGGTATGCCCATGGAAGTCTTCCAAATTTTTTCCTGGGATTCCTTGGCAGAAGATGGAAGAAGGAAATTACAGTTTATTCCAGATGGGAGGAAAACCCCCAGAATGACATTCTAGAAAAACCCATGGAATCAGGTAGGGACCGAAAACCCAGTCCACATGTCATCCTGGGCAGCACTTTACTAAAGGAACCACCCAGATCTTCTTTGAGGCTCTCTTAAACAAAGAATCTCTGGCGCATCTTTCAGGCGCAGGCAGTCCCCGACTCCAGATGGAGAGTCCACCCTGAGGTCCCAGCTCTTGGAGCGCAGCCACACTATCAACCAGCTCCAGGCCGAGATAGCCACCAAGAACATCGCCCTGGAGTCCATGAGGCAGGGACTGGATGCTCGGGTGGACAGCAAGAACCAGGAGATCAGTGAGCTGATGAGAGAGAAGGAGGAGCTGAATGAGACAAGGAGGAGACTGGAGCAGGAGAAACTAGTCCTGGAGATCAAGGTGAGTTGGGTCTTAACAGACTATTCGTCTTAGATATCGGGAAGCATTGGGTCAAACTAGGATGAGACTGGAACAGGAGAAACTAGCCCTTGAGAGAAGAAACTCTTAACTAGTTAAAACCAGTTTTGTAACCAGCCCTCGCTGTTTATACCAGTTGGGGCCAATTTCACGGCGCTGCTAAGCACAAAAATTTGCTTAGCACAAAAAAAGTCTGGCTTATAAAAGCAGGTTACCAGCCAAAACTCCATGTGATGTATATTGCTCTTGAGTAGTATTGAGCTGTTGTTTGCTATAGCATGAAAATCACATGGAGTTTTGGATGGTTAACTGCTTTTATAAGCCAGACTTTTTTGTGCTAAGCAATTTTATTTTGCTTAGCAGTGCCGTGAAATTGGGCCCTGGTTGATAAGCAGAGGTCAGTGATAACCCTTGAGAAAAGAAACTCTTTACTAGTTTAAACCATTTTTGTATCCAGCCCTCTTTTACTTATTAGGTTGATAAGCAGAGGTCAGTGAAAGATAAGCCTTGAGAGAAGAAACTCTTAACTAGTTTAAACCAGTTTTGTAACCTGCCCTCTTTTACTTACCAGGTTGATGAGCAATGGTCAGTGATACATACACCTTGAGAGAAGAAACTCTTAACTAGTTTAAACCAGTTTTGTAACCAGCCCTCTTGTCCTTACCAGGTTTATAAGCAGGAGTCAGTGATAGATCAGCTTCGAGAGAAGAAACTCTTAACTAGTTAAACTAGTTTTGTAACTAGCCCTCACTGTTCTTACCAGGTTGATGAGCATGAGTCAGTGATAGATCAGCTTCGAGAGAAGAAACTCTTAACTACATTAAACCAGTTTTGTCTTTGACCCTACCAGGTTGATGAGCAGAAGTCAGTGATAAACCTGTTGCGAGAGGAGAAGCCTCGTATAATGGAAGACAAGGATACCAAGATTGCGGAGCTTCACGCTGAGTTCATCCAAGCCGATCGAAATGCAAAGAAACTGGAAAATGACCTTATGAACATGCAGGTAATATTTTAAGATCAAGGTCAATATATTTAAGTTTACTCCCAGGCAGTTATTGAAAGTCCAATATGTTTTCAATGTGGTCTCATCTTTGTAAAGATGTTACATTTAAGGCATAGAAGAGAAGTTGGTAGTTCCACATATAAATGTTGAGTCCGATATAACTTTTATTCTTTAGGAAAAATTGTTTGAGAAAGATAGCGAGCTGGTTTGTCTCCGTCTCCAACAAACCACCGAGCTTGAGAGTGCCCAAGAGGGCACCCTCAAACAGGTGAAGGACCTTCAGAGTCTCATCCTGAAGAAGGAGAGCGAGCTGGCCGACCTCCGGCAAGAGCTCCAGGCCAAGAGTAAAGACTTCCGGGAGCTCCTCCAAGCCAAGACCCGACAGGACTTAGAGCTGGAGCACATCCGGGATGAGCACGCCCACCGAGTGGAGCAGCTGACCAACGCGAACAAGCGCCAGGAGGAGGAGATCGTAGCTCTGCGGGAGGAGCTCAACAACCTCAGGGATCAGCTCCGGAGGTTGCGGGAGAGCCAGGACTCGGACGCCGAGAACCTGAAGGAGAAACTCAGCGAGACGGCCAGGGAGACGGCTCGGCTGAAGGAGAGCCGGGAACGTGAGGTGACGGACCTCCAGGCAGAGCTGACGAGGAAGGAGTCTGAGATTCAGAAGCTCCTGTCGCAGAAGGGGTCAGAAGTGGAGGGCTTGGAGGAGCAACTTGGAGACATGTCCAAGGAGCTGTCTCGCTACCGAGACAACAAGGAGAAAGAGGTGATGGACTTGAGGAATGAGCTGACCAGGAGGGAGGCGGAGCTTGTCAAACAGATTGAGAAGAAGGAAGGCATCATCATGGCATTAGAGGAGGAACTGGATGATGAAAAACACAGGAAGCCAAGACTCATGAAGGTAGGGCATCTTGATCTATATTCCCAGAAATTCAGGCCCAGATTATTCAGACAATGTCTTGCCAAAGAGCAACTGCTCTAATGAGGCTTTAAACTCCCAAATGCAAGACTCCCAGTTCCATCATGTTTTCTGATCTTAGAAAGATTAACCTCTAGGTGGTCAGGCTAGATGTGAGGCTTGAGGAAGGCCTGATGGCAAAACACATGTGAAGTCTTGTTTATATTCCATTAAAGGCACATACAGGACCATGTACATTTATCCCAAAAGTGACCTACCAAATTATTATCAAAAAGTTACTTGGATTATAGATGAAATACTGGTACAAAACACCGTGTGGAATTATTCTGTCTGGCTTGCTGTCATTTAGAAGAAATCAAGAAATGTAGGTGATTTTAATACAGAAACTTACAGAAAAACTATAATGAAATGATGTTTTGGAAATTTTTCAGCAATCTATGAACGCAGTGGAGGAAGAGCTAGCCTCAGTCAAGGGTGAGCTGCAACGGGTCAATGGAATGATCGACATCAAACAGACGCAGATTGACGAGCAGAACAGCCGAGTCAGGGATCTGGAAGCAAAGGTCAGCCAAGACAAAAAAATGTACCATTGTTGCTTGAGTGTTGAAACATTTGATCACCTTATTGCATGTGTGCACAAGTTCTGTCAATTTTGATGACTATAATAATCGACCAAAGGATTTGGAGGAAAAAAAATGAAAATTTTGTTCAGTTATTTTCTGTTTAATACTTACATTGTACCCATTCTGTCTTTCCCGTGTTCACAACATTTAATGCCTTGTTTAAAGGGAATATACATCATTTGCTTTTGCTGTAATTTTCAGAAATGGATGGAATTGGGGGGTTGGAAATATGTAGCAAATATAGTTACACTGACTTTTTTGAGGTTTTGGGTTCGAAAATGCTATAAAAACCAAAAAAAACAATCATTTTCCTGTAGTCTGGTTCCCTGACTCCATATAAGAAGAAACAGAGCAGTTTACATACATTGGGGAATTGTAAGGTCAGGGAACCAGTCTAGCTGGCTCGTACGCGTTCATAGGTTTGTAATCGATTGAAAACAAGTGCGATGGTCAATTGGGGCCAGTATTTGAAAAAAAGCCAGTTTTTTCCAACGCTGATCGGCCGATCAGCGTTGGAAATTGATACAAAAATACAACTTTTCTTGAAAATGACAGTATACCAGGTGCCATGATTTCACAGGATGCTTTACACTGTCATTCACTAACAGTCCAGCAAGGTATTTCAAAATGATTTGGTAGTTTTATTTTTTGATGTTTGCAAATGTTGTATTTTCCCTTTAATGCTAATAGTGGGGCATATAGGGGAAATATTTGTGGGAATTGTGCCTTTGATGATACAAGCATGACATTTGGCACACAGAGTATGTCATGAGAAAGGGCCATCGCAGATTTGTCCTTTGAAAAAATATAGGTAATGAATGAAAGGTTTGCGGAAACACCATGTGGGAATAATTTCTCAAACTAAGAGAATGGTTCTTGAAAGAACCAGAGGTATAAACTCTGGGAGTTATTTCCACATTGTGTTTCTGCAAACCTTTCATTCATTAGTATCTCCACCATGCAAAGAATCAAATCTTACTTAAAATATAGGTAGAATTACAAGCAATTTTCAAATTGTTCAAAATAGCTTCCATTGCTTGTTATTCCACCTGTATTTCTTCAAAGGACAAATCTGCAATGGCCCCATAGCCAAATATCTTTCTCATGACATACTGTGTGCCAAATTCCATACTTGTTTCATCAAAGGCCCAATCCCATCACCTATATGCCGTAACATGCGCACTTAACATACGCTGTAAAGATTTCTTTATTTTTAATTTTTTTTTTAATCTGTTTATCTCTTGATTTACTTTAAACCCATGCACATCATCTGCAACTTGCACTTTTTAAAAGACACATTTTTCTTCACTAAAACACTCCACAAGAAGCCAGTGTTCTCTAAGGTTTGACAACCGAACATCACTTAACCCAAACAGTGCTGAATCCTCAAATTTTAAAATGATTTTTTTTCCACATATTCTAGGGAGTGTGAGAGAATATATCTTTATCATGCTGCCACCATTTCAGTCATGTTCCCTGTGTCCAAAAACAGTACTGAACAACGTTTTTTTTTTTTTTTGCAAAAAGGAACCAGACTATTTTTCCTTCCAGCTTTGCTTTGGTTATGTTGATTTGAATGGAAAAAATCAAGATGGCCGCAACATGATAATGGTCTATGGGGCTCAAAGTCTGCTTTATTCATTGGTATTAAAATCTCAAGGCTTGATTTTGAGGCTTTATTCTCATTGATCAATCCTGCTTTGTCTTTCTGTTTCGTAGAAAGAGGAACTTCAAAGAGACAAGACAGATATGAGACGAAAACTTGAGGCTGAACTTGATGAAAAGTGAGTCTTTTACACATATGTATAGTCATTTCAATCCCTTTCCTTACGGGAGAATATGAAATTAAAGGTAGCGTCCATCATTTGTAATTTGTGCATTATGATCGTTTGAAGCATCAAAAGTGCTCAAAATCTAAGAAGGGTACTGAACTACTAACCTGATGAAGCTTCAGCTCAGTGAATGCTGTATATTCCGAGAAAACAACATTCTAGGATCTCTATTTCAAATCAAAAGTTGCCGAGTCATGTTTTGAATTGGGCCAGAGTTCAATGTCTGAGACATGTTCTCACTCAGCCGATTGCAGCTACGTGATGTTGCGTACTGAACCGCCGAATTATAGCAACCGCGTGCATGTATGCGTTATGTCAACGCTTGCGCGCTTCGCCAAATAAAAAAAACGAACTACTAATGGACATTTCCAATGATACGTTTAAACCAAGTAATCTTTTCAACAATAATTACGTCAGTTACTTTTTGGATAGCTGCAAATGATAGACTTTACCTTTAACTAGGTAATTCAAAGTTAAGGGTGAGTGTGGCCAAGTGGTAAAAGGACTCATGATCAGAGGGTCAGGGGTTGGAGTCCAGCTACTGGCCATGCGTTGTGTCCTTGGGCAAGCCACTTCATCCTCACTTGCCTCTCTCCACCCAGGAGTATAAATGGGTACCGGCATTAGCTGGGGAGTAGCCTGCGATGGACTGGTATCCCATCCAGGGGGAATAGAGATATTCTGAGTCATTTCATGCTAGGGAAACTGGAGATAAATGCCGGCCTGATGGGCCATGTTGGCTCGTGACAGAGTTTACTTTACTCAAGGTTTACCTTGTTGTTTTATAAAGTTCTACGGGATTTGACGGAGTACCTCAAGGTTCCACCTTGAGGTACCGCTTGTTTAACCCTAACCTTCCCAAGTCCTCCAAAATCCTCTTTGCAAAATGGAGGATTTTGCAGGATTGAGGCTATATATGGCAAAAATGTGTGGCTGAGTTTTGGAGGATGCACTGTGTCGAGGTCTTGGGCCGGACTTTGTGTTGTTTATGCTCAGCCGTACATACATTTAGGCCTAGATTATACTTGAAATCCTACGCACTGCTCCAGGATGTCACTGGCTCTGTCTCGACATATTGACAGTGATTGCTGGAGGAGTTTGCAGGATGGAGCCAGTGGTCACCCGTCCAAGGACCACTTTCAAGAAATAACAGAGCATTTTGCAGGATTGAGGCTATATGCAATTTTTACATGGAGGCAGTTGGAGGATTTTGCAGGACAGAGATTTTATCATAGCAAAAATGCTTAGGGAGTTAGGGTTAATGTCTCATTCTTCTCTTTAGATATAGAGAAATAAGTAAGATCAATTCTTAAAAAATGCAGTCATTGAGTGAGTGTTATACTAAATGTTTAGAATGATCTTCTTTTACCTTCCGCAGTAAATGTAGAGACCTATGGACGCCGTGCACAAATAGAATGGTGCTTTCTGACCATTTGTAAAAAAATTTCCTTTTCCTGTACTTTGCTTTTATTCCTCTTCTAGCATGGACACCATCAGAGACTTGAACCGGAGAATCGATCAACATAAAACGGAAGTGGAACTCATGAAAGAGAAGTGTAAAGCCCTGGAAGGCCAGGTAGGTTGGCCAGCATTGTCCCGTTCATTTTATCACCGATGATCGTCTGTGTTTCAAGATCACTGCGCGACCTGCTGCTCGCAAATGAGATCGCCTCTAGCAAACGCTGATGTTTCTAAGCATGTTCTTAGAACATGCTCTAGATTTCAGACAACTTCAGAGACAAATTCAGGTTTTGTAAAAAAAAAATTCCAAAGCATTTCACCCAATGGATACTCTGCATTGCTCCATGCTAAGTTATGGAATAATTACGTCACACAGTTTGAATTATTTAAAACATAAAAGCCTTTTGTAGAAGGTTGCAGATGTCCAAAATTGGGGGAAGTTTATTTTGTTGGGGGGGGGGGGCTTGTTAAAATGAAACATAAAATTTGGAAATTTATCAGAATAAAACAATTGAAAATATTGAAAGCATGAAATATCTTTAGAGAGAGTCCCATCTTATTAACTAGTTTGCGCCAGATGACATGTACCGTATATACGCAACGTTTTTTTGCTGTATTCGGAACGGATGACGGATAAACGCTCAGGGAGCGAGGCCGGAAATATCTGTCAGCGACCCGCTCGCTGCGAGCGAGGCCGGAAATATGACTTTGCTACCCGAGGGTGATGGCTTCAACCCACCTGGCTTGAGGTCGAGTGAAAAGTAATCCTGCACCTTGTTCCGTTCTTGCAAAATAATCCCGGCGCAAACTGGTTAAAAGAGTTATTGGCAAACAGAATTTGGCAAATTTTGTCTCATCTTGTGGAGCAGGTCGCACATTATAGTTTAGCATCATTTGCATGTCGTTCAGATATCGTTTGCACCCATGGTTTGATTTTGTGTGTGTTTATCAAAGTTAGTCAGAATAGCACATTTTCATGTACATGTAGGTAGTAGAGTGCTTTAGAAGCGATTAGCTCCACTTTTCACATTGTAAATGCACTTTTTGGTTTCATCCTCAAAACCATTTGAATGGTCAAGCGTTAAGACATGTACATAGGTTGTTCTATAAATTTAGGGTCCACTTTTTTTCTTTCCCCTATTACATCTGACATCTATGATTGTATAATTCTGATGCACTCCTTAATGCAGTCATCTTCCAAAAGTGATTATGAACTACCTACCCAACAAAAACAATAATTTGAAGTCATGCTTGAATGGCAAATTACAAAGTACCAAGGTAACATCATGGACAGAAAAAATGTCATGCAAAATTTATGGAATGACACTGATATAATAGCTGTGTCTGCTTCAAAATTGTTGAAAAGGAAAACACTGCAGATCTTAACTCATACACTTATTAATATTTCAACCATAGAAAATTTATTCTCCTGATTTGTAAACACTTCAATTTGTGCTTCCACACGTGACTCCTTAATTGCCTTTTTGTCGAATATGGTCACGCTGTTTTGATGTTAACAGTCCAAAAGTTTCGTTTACTCAAACTCCCTTCTTAGTTTGACTATTAGTAGAAGACCATATCCGTCAAAATCCATCAATCTGCTTCACATAAAGCTTCAGGACCAAATCCATCGAAATCCACCACTGGTGCTGGTGGATTTTGATGGACTTGGTACGGTACACATGGCTTATCTGCTAAAATCCCCCAAAGTGGGGGGATGGATTTTGATGGAGTTGGTAAGGTTAGGGTTAAAGAATATTTTATAACAGCAAAACCAAACTCCCCTGCCCCTCTCCCCCCCCCCCCCCATTTATAAGCAAGTTTCTCAACTTGATGCCAAAAACTTAAACAATAAACAAACAAAAACCTGTATTAGAATAAAAACCAGCATGCCATGTTTACTTTTACCAAGATGGCTGCCTGCAGTGGTTGCTATGGTAAACCATCTGTAAAAAACAGATAACATACATGTATAAGCATTTCTGAAAGAAACTACCTCTAAAATATTTGTTATTTTTTGCTGTACGTGTGTTGCACTTCCATTTGCATGTTTAACAACCAGGTAATGTGATCCCACAAAATGAGTCTTAAGGACGTTTGTCATTATGTGCCATGTGCATAGGAAAGAGCATACCCTAGCTCTCCATTTTGATTTATCACTCAGTTTGTCATTTGGATGCATATGGACAAAAGTGTGAACGATTTTGCAAATGCCTATAACTCAAAATGGGTTTTTGCCTCTATTTTATCGGGCATGGTCACATAATGTGACCCAATGCAACAAAATTGTTGTGGAAAAAAAATTGTCTTTACGACTCATTTCTTGGGATTTTATTGCTCTTAATTTTTTACATTTTGAAATGATTGTGCGTGTGTAATTATTTCCGATTGTTGTGTGTTTTTTGCATGTTTCATCATGTAACCATCAACATCATCATTTGCATCATACCCATCCTTAATACATCTCTGTACTCCGTAGTCTACTGACAACAGTGCGGTAGGTATTTTAAAAAAAGATAAATTGCATACATTTTTTTAAAAGTTTATAAATTTTTTTTTTAATATTGTGCTGTTTTGTGCTGTATACTTGATCCTATACTTTGTTGTAATTTTATGCTTCTACTCCTTTTAACTGCTATTTAACCATTTTTAATTCCTGTAAAGTGTAAACGTGGTTATATCAGCGACTCTTTTGTGGCTGCCTACCTCGTGTGTTTATATGAATAAACCAGAATAATAATAATAATAATGAAAAAAAATAAATTAGCGCCGAAATCTATGTTGGCAATGACTGGAAGACAAAGAGTTCTCGTTGTCCTTTAACCTTAACTCCCCAGCCTAATTTACTAGGAACCACACCCATTCTGGCAAATTCCAACATCCACATGGGAAATCGTGCACACACAATGTTGGACTTAGTTTCTGGAGGTATGCCAACCCCAGTGTAAAAGACCATCAGTTTAGGGGTACTGTACCTATCCCAACAGATTTAAACAAAACCTGCTGTTGAACTTTGATGGGTTGAGTTCAGTTAGGGTTAATGGTTGAGATAAATATGAAATTCATCTGAATGTACTTTATTGATTTCTTTTGGAAGTTTTTGGTAAATTCTTTTTGTTTCAACGTTTAAGTAGTTAGCAAAAATCATTCTCAACAACAAATTGCCAAATTTTTGTAAGGGGCAGTATGTTTGTTCTGTGTTTAAACACTGGTTCTTACCTAAAAAGTCATCTTCTATGTTTTTTCTTTCTTTATGTTTTACAGCATGGGGATCGTGATGAATTTTCCAAAAGGTGAGCTAGATTGTAAACTACCTTTTTTTTTATTTCCAGTTGAGAAATCTACTAACAGACATCCATTGGTTTTGATGTGAAATGTACTTTTGGGGGGAAGGCTTATGTCAAGTTGGAACAAAAACCTAGAATCTAGCTGGGAAATTGTCTTTTCATGTGAGGCGTTCTGGCAAAATGAGACAGAACTGGGCATAGGTCCAAATGAGGGTTGTTGCACTTCAATCAGACATTCAGTTGAGAAGTTATGGCTGTTTTAAAGGGAAAATACAACATTTGCAAACATCAAAAAATAAAACTACCAAATCATTTTGAAATACCTTGCTGGACTGTTAGTGAATGACAGTGTAAAGCATCCTGTGAAATCATGGCACCTGGTATACTGTCATTTTCAAGAAAAGTGGTATTTTTGTATCAATTTCCAACGCTGGTCGGCCGACCAGCGTTGGAAAAAACTGGCTTTTTTTCAAATACTGGCCCCAATTGACCATCGCACTTGTTTGCAATCGATTACACACCTATGAACGGGTACAAGCCAGGTAGACTGGTTCCCTGACCTTACAATTCCCCAATGTATGTAAACTGCTCTGTTTCTTCTTATATGGAGTCAGGGAACCAGACTACAGGAAAATGATTGTTTTTCTTGGTTTTTATAGCATTTTCGAACCCAAAACCTCAAAAAAGTCAGTGTAACTATATTTGCTATATATTTCCAACCCCCCAATTCCATCCATTTCTGAAAATTACAGCAAAAGCAAATGATGTATATTCCCTTTAAAGTTTGCATTTATCGACATGTTGAACAAGCAAAATACCGAGAAACAGGCCTATTTAAAGTTTCAAGTTTTGCAATGGTTTTTTCCTTTAAAACACTTGTATTTTTATACTATTTCTTTAACCCTAACCCCCTTGAGTGATTTCCTAGGAACCTTCCTCACACTTGCAAAATCCAACACCACATGGTAACTCAACATCCAAACGGGCTCGATATGCCTTTTCTGTGTCCACCTGGATTTGACTATGACGTGTGAAGCAAGATCATGAATATTTATGAGATAAACCTCTTGCTTGTGTTTTCCCTCGTGGTAAAAGGTTAGAGGTCAAGATCCAGACCCAGGAGGAGGAGTTACATATGCCCTGATCCGATTGGTCAGTGGTCATGAATATAAAAGATCCTATTGCTTGTGTTTTTCCTCTGGGTCAAAGGTTAGAGGTCAAGTTCCAGAGCCAAGACTTACATGCCCACAACTGATTGGTCCATGATCATGAATATATGTATAAGGCAATGAATATGTATAAGGTGAACCCTTTGCTTGTGTTTTCCCTCTGGTTCAAAGGTTAGAGGTCAAGATCCAGACCCAGGAGGAGGAGCTACACGCCCTGAACCGACTGGTCACCGATCTTCAAAACCGCAACAAGAAGCTTGAGCAGACTCGAGACACACTGCAGGAGAACGTGGAGACGTATCGGGGGCGGAATAAGAAACTTGAAGATGTGGAGAAAGCGCAGAAGAAAGAGATGGAGACGCTGAAGGAAACGGGTAAGAAATATAGGAGAGAATTGACTGGAATGGGATTACAACCTGCCAGCTTTGAACAATTAAAATAAGGGAATAAATGTGCGCTTGGCGGGTTTTAAACACTCTGTTTAAGACCAGTTGGAGTCTGAAAGCTGATAATTACCTGAGCTGAAGGCGAGGGTGATTATCAGCATCCAGACTCTAACCTGTCTTAAACAGATTGTTTAATACTGGCCAGGTACCTTTTTGGTTAAATAATCAAAACTTTTCGGTCTAAAAGTCCAAACAAGTCCAAAATTATAAATTTCCAACGTTTTTTGTTCAACAAATTTACCTCATGTTTTTCAGAACACCCCTCTAGCTATATTATGGACTGTCCAATCTCGCGAGTGCAGTGTCATAAGCAACTCCTTATATTGAGATTGGCGTGCGCGGCACATGTACTTCGTGATGTGGCGCACAACGCATCTGTGCCGGTGTATTGTGAATTTAGGACTATCAAATTCTGACTGGTAGTATTGCGCATGCTGTGGGTGAGATTTGTGAACGTTCAACCAATAAAACGGTAAAGGCACCGGATTTCATAGGAGTCCAAATTTCATGTGGCACTGGAAAAGTGTTTAAGATCAGCCAGCCGGTCTTTATCAACTGTTTAAGACCGGCCACGTGACGGGCTTTTGACCAGTATGAATGGGTAAACTGTCTTAGGTATTTATGAATGACAGCTTAAGTACGAGTTCAACCAGACTCCTTCACAAATCATTCACAAATCAATCACAAGTCCATTAATTATTCGTCTTTTATATAACTGACATGCAGATCCTTGTCATTTGATTGGTGGAACTCACATCTAGTGACATTCGTTATTGCTCCCATTCACGCCGGGGCTCAAAAAGTCCAATTCGTCCATGGGGAATGGGAAATACCATTCAACAGTTAAAATCATTCTTGTTCCATGACGCGGTATTTTTTGTGCAAATGCATGCTGGTGTGCGTGTTCAGCGTTGCGTGTATTGCTCCAAAGAGCCAGCGCTACAGAGTTGGGTTCAAACATTTTTCTTGAAGGGGTGGTTTGGAAGAGAGAAATACATTTTCCCCCAATTTTGTATTGAAATCAAAGTTCAAATATATCAAATGACAATGATCTGTATGTCAGTTATATAAAACAAATACTGAGTGGCTTTAAATTGTGGAATGGGAGGAATATTACCGCTCGGTAAAATCTGGACTTTTCAAGTTCACTCGGCTTCGCCTCGTGAAATGGAAAAGTCCCAATTTTCCTTTGCTATAATATTCCTCCCATCTCACTCTGAGCCACTCAATATTTGTATACTAATACAGCGCTTCTTCGTTCTGGTTGCATGCTTCTGTGTATTATTTCAACTGTTTGCCGTAGCCGGAGCCAAGTGCACAAAGTGCAGGCGTCTAGAGGCTCAGTACGAGGAGGTGTTGGGAGAGAAAGAAAGCCTCGAAGAAGAGAACGAGGAACTGCATCAAGAAGTAGAAAACTTGGAAGGGCTGCTGAATATCCAGACACAAGATGCCAAGAAAAGGTGAGAATATGCTGGGGCGGTGTTGGGTTGGGTTCGTTCAGTGTACTTGAATTGTCTCTCATTTCTGGACAGTTTTGAAGTTGAGTTGATCACTGTCCCTTTAAAATGAGATTTGAAGGTTTGCATGGTGGAAAGATACTAAGACAAGATAAGTTTGCGGTAGCACCATGTGAATAAATCTCTTTTGTGAGTATGTGTGGTTCTGAAAAGAACCGGAGGGACTCAATGTTTCAAACAGTACGCTCTGCCCGTAGTCAGGAGAAATGGGCAGAGCATACTGTTCGAAACGTTGAGTCCCTCCGGTTCTTTTCAGAACCACACATACTCACAAAAGAGATTTATTCACGTGGTGCTACGACAAACTTATCTTGTCTTGTCCCTTTAAAGTCGGTCACAAGTCAATCATTCAGTCCCAACTTAAAGGTCATACACAACTTTGCTTTTGCTGGGTTTTTTTCAGAAATGGATGGATTTGGGGGTTACTATTTTAAAGCAAATATTGTTACACTGATCTGTTTAAAGTTTTGTGCTCATAGATGCTGGAAAAAACCTGTTCTTGTAGTCTGGTTTCCTGATCCTACTTCAGACGAAACGGAGCAATATATAGACGTCAGGGAATTGTCGGGTCAGGAAACCAGACTAGCTGGCTTGCGCCCGTTCACGGATGTGTAACTGATTGCAAACAGAATATGGACTAAATTTGGTAAATTAGGGGCAGTATTTGGAAAAAGTCCATTTTTTCCAACGATTGTCAGCTGATCATCGTTGGAAATCGATACATAAATTCCACTTTTATTGAAATGACAGCACACCAGGTGCCATGATTTCACAGGATGCTTCGACTATTATTCACTTACGGTCTAGTAAGATATTCCGTAATAATTTGGTAGTTTTGTTTTTTGATGTTGTAAATGTTGTATATTACCAAAATACACATTATTCAAATGAATCATGACAAAAGGCATTCTTCTGTATGTTGTTATTCTATCACAAATTTGTTATTTTATCACATCTTGTTTTATTGGGAGTCTGCTGAAAAGATAAGAAATTTGATTTTGTGGCAGCACATTGTGGTCCCTGAAATTAAACACCCATGCTTGACTTTATTTGGAGACTGACTTTTGAGAGCTTTTCTCAACTATGTTTAAAAAGAATTTAGCATTTCCTTTTCTGCAACCCCTAGTCAAATGAAACCCAAGGAGCCAGTCAAGAAATCCCCGGTGAAAGAGGAGATCAGCATCACCCAACAAACCCCAACCGAATCTAAGAGACCCGGATCAGGGTCTGGCTCCCCGTCCCCCCGCGGTGCGTCCCCAGTGCCCAAGAAGGTCGCCAATCCCTTGGAGCTGGCCGCCGCGTTGAAGAGACTGTCCAACAAGACGGCTGCCGACGCGGCCAAACGTCGGGGTTCGGGCGATTCCCCGGACTCCAAGAGAGGCTCGCAGGATCTGGGAGCCTCCTTCGAGGCCAGCGGGGCGTCCATTCGCGGGATCCCAGAGGCAGGGCGTTACGACCAGAACAAGCGCGCCTCGCTGAACTCCATGGAGGCACGTCTGCAGGCTTTGAGGAGCTCTAGCCAGGTCAAGCCGGTCAAGGGAATCCTGGAGAAGAAGGATCTTGGTGCGTCCGGGGAGCAGCCCAAGAAGCAGGCACGCTTTGTCCTGCCGTCCAGCCGGAAGTTTGATAAACCACAGGTGGTCGGGACGAGAGATGACATGTAAGGGAATTTGAATACAAATCTACCGTAAGTGTGTAAAAAAAAATAATAGTCGACATGGTTTCGTATCGGTCCCAAAACACCTGGTAAAACTGATGACAAATGTATCTTTCCTTTGCCTTTAATAAAAGTTGTGTGCGAATCCTTCGAAAATAACATTGTTTCTCATGAAGGAGAAAAAAATGTCCTACCTTTCTCGCCTTTTCCTTCCAAATGCCTTGGAATTGAAGGGTGCAATTTCTTATTATCTGAAGTTTGAATTTTTGTTCTATTAACGGACTTCCTAAATTCAATTTTTCTCCATCCAATACCTAAAGAGTACAATCTGTTGTCACACTTTGATAAAAGATACATCATGACTTAGAAATTCAAAAAGTTGATCTTCAGTCCTTTTGTTTTTAGGTTTATAATCTGGCTAAACTCGCTCATATTTTGGATAAAACTAGCGTACAGTGATTATTAGTATGAACAGGTTTTGAATCAAAATTGTGTTCATGAAATATTTCCTTTTATATGACTGAAATGCAGATCCTTATCATTTGATTGGTGGAACTCGCATCATGTGACATTTATTATTGCTGCCATTCACGCCAGGGCTCAAAAAGTCCCATTCACCCACGGGAAATATGGGAAATGCTATTGAACAGTTAGGATCATTCTTGTTTCATGACGCGGTATTTGTGTTCAAATGCATGCTGGTGTGCGTGTTGCGCACACCACGTATTGTTATACAAATATTGAGTGGATCAGCGTTAAATGGGAGGAATATTATCGCAAGGTAAAATCTGGACTTTTCCATTTCACGAGGCGAAGCCGAGTGAACTGGAAAAGTCCAGATTTTACCTCGCGATAATATTCCTCCCATTTCACAATTTAAAGCCACTCAATATTTGTTTTATATAACCGACATATAGATCCTTGTCATTTGATATGTTTGAACTTTTATTTCAATACAAAATTGGTGAAAAATGTATTTCTCTCTTCCAAACAACCCCTTCACGAAAATGTTTGAACCCAACGCTGTAGCGCTGGCTCTTTGGAACAATAGGCGCTACGCACAACGCTGAACGCACACACCAGCATGCCTTTGCACACAAATACCGTGTCATGGAACAAGAATGATCCTTACTGTTGAATAGTATTTACCATTCCCCATGGGCGGATAGTACTTTTAGAGCCCCGGCGTGAATGGCAGTAATAACGAATGACACGTGATGTGAGTTCCACCAATCAAATGACAAGGATCTGTATGTCGGTTATATAATCCCAACTATTGTTTAGAACCAAAGGGCTTTGCCTCATGACATTTATAACAAAAAGTCCAGATTTTACCTTGCGGTAATGTTCCTCTCATTCCATATTTTTATAACTATCTTTTAAAAATGGTTCTTTATTTCTCATTTGTTTTCTTTTGCAGTCCATCTGATCAGGCGCATGCTGTGTAAATGCAGATCTCATGATGCAAGAACAGCCGATGGATCATCATTTACCAGATCAGCAGGTGATATAGTACGCTGTATGTAAGTTGCTGTATTTATGGTGTGCTCTTAAAGACTATGCACAGCTTAAAGGGAATGTACATCATTGGTTTTTGCTGTAATTTTCAGAATTGAACTATTTGAGAGGTTAGTATAATAGATCAAATATTGTTACACTGACATTTTTGAAGTTTTGTGTTCGAAAAGGTTGGAAAAACCAAGAAAAACAAAAATGTTCAAGTAGTCTGGTTCCCTGACTCCACAAACGATAAAATGGATCAATTTATAGATGATGGAAAATTGTAAGGCAAGGGAACCAGTCTAGCTGGCCTGCACCCGTTTATGAACATGTAACCAATAGCAAACAAAATTTGGACTGAAAAAATGGTAAACTCGGAGCAGTAGTTGAAAAATAGTTACGTTTTTCCAACGCTGGTCGGCCGACCACCGTTGGAAATATTTACAAATATACCATTGTCTTGAAAATGACTTCACACCAGGTGCCATATTTTTACAAGATGCTTGAGACTGTCATTTACCAACATCCTAGTAAGGTATTTCGTAAAAACTTGGTAGTTTTATTTTTCGATGTTTGCAAATGTTGTATATTCCCTTTAATATGCCATAGAGGCAATTCCAGCGTTATGAAAGAAGTGTTATGTCCATGACAGAGTCAATTAACCATGAGATTGTAATGAAAATAGCCCCTCGTCATTACCTTCCTCCCAGCCTTCTACTTTTTGGTTTAGCCTGCCCCTCTCATCCATCACACCCCTGAGCTGAGTGTGTATCAGTCCAGCCAGGCATGCATTTGCATAAAAGCTTTTGTTAGCCCAATGTGCATGGAATTTAAAAATAGTCAAGTGTGCTTCAGTCTGCTGGGTGCTGTGCTAGAAATAGGGTGTCTGTGGAAGTCTGATGATTATTGAATGACAGGCAACAGCCATGGATGCACTTTAGCAAACTTGACGCATGTTTGACTGAAAGCCAGAGTATCATGACCTATGACCTTAAGCAGATCACATGGAATATGGACCCCATCGTGTTTGTTTCTGCGCAAAAGCCGTCCCCATTTTGCCCGAAATTACAGGATAACTACATGTCTGAAGGTACGGAATTCAATTTTTTGTGTGTGCTAATAACAGATTATTAAGTGACAAAACAGTCCCGATCTCGATTTTATTTTCTGCTGCCCAAGCAAACAGACCTTTTCTCCGAAATAGTGTATATTGCTTTGTGGCTCTACATACGGAGGAAGTTCAGCATTTGAGCCACATTTATGTGGCTACCGTGGGTTTAGCCCCATAAATATGGCCAATTTACTGGACTACTTCAGTAAATAAAGGCCACACTTTAGGAATTAACTCAGAACGTGAGGACTTGTTACCAAATTTAAGTTAACATTCAGACTGCGTGCATCGTTGATTTATGCTTTCAAAACACACTCACCCTGTTAATAACAAATTCAGAATTTGCCGCATTTGTCAGTTGTCCAGCTTTTGCGTAATTTCCAGCCAAATGTGGATGTTTCTTGGCATCTGTTTGTTTGTAACTCAATTGCAACCGTGTTCCAACTGAACAATGCCCTCGCGCAATACATGATGGGATACGTGGATCGTTCACCTGTCAATCACGCGGCGCGTCGCAGGCCCGGTGGCTGTTGCCTGCCTTCAGTGAATCCTTCCTGTATAGTGCGCCCTCATGCGTGTACCATCGGCCAGCTAGCCGTACGACGTACGCGCGTGATCCCATTTGCCTGCGGTATATCGTGTGCAGCCTTTTTTACTTCCTCACAATTAACTGCTTTCCTTGCATTTGTTTCTACAACAAATTCCTTGATTAATTACCTTAATTACTTAACTGAAATTTTAGCCCTAAGGTGCCCCTAAACTTGGAAGTAATTAGAATATTAAAGTACATGTAGATGGACCCACTTTTTTAATAAATTAATTGGAAAAATTCCCATATCTGGCCATCAGTAATGTTTCCCTTTTTTAACCTATCAACCATCAGAAAGTGATAATATGTCATAAAAAGTCAAAGTTAGCAGGAACAAATTTTGAATTTTTACTGAGAAAACACAGAAATTTTCAGACCAGTCCCATAGGGTTTGTGCACAGGGTGACAAGTGATGGCCAGATATGGGATCTCTCCAAGTAATGTACTTGCAATTGGAGCCTGTAAAAATATTCTCTCTGAGTAGCGTTAGTGTCTCGCTGCGGCCACTGACCATTCTACAATTGGTGGCAGCAGTGGGATGGTTGAGAGGGCCAGGTCTAAACCAAAAAGTAGAAGGCGGGGAGGAAGGTAATAATGAGGGGCTATTTTCATTAAACAATCAAATTGACGATTCAGAGAAAAGATGCAAAAAATCCTAGTCTGTAATCTCCTTGACCATTACTAGATGATGGATGTATAAGATTTGAAAAGTACATTTGCAGGTTTAGGCAAAAAAAAAAATAAGTCGGTCTCTGGTCAGCGCGCACGTCGATTTTAATCATGCGCGTCGATCTTTTTTTTTCCAAAATGTTCCGCGGTAGATCCAACAGCGCCCTCTATTTCCCTACCTCCTCAATTTTTTTTTACCAAAGAGCACCAAGGAATGGGAAATTGCACCAAGGCAAACGATCGAAAGCACCAAGGCAAATTATGGAGGACACCAATGTACATGAGGACACCAAAAAAGCAAAATAGTACCCCACCTTGTCTGTACAATCCAAGCTTGAAGAAGAAAAAAAAAAAAAAAAAAAAAAAAAGACGCGTGGCCGCGTCAATTCCGGAACTTTGGTCTGACCAGAGACCGAATTTTTTTAATTTTTTGGCCTTATTCACTGAGCTCTTAAAAGCTCAGTCACGGACATACATATTTCTGGAATTGCCCATATTGGTATTTTAAGCAAAAGAATCCCTCCAACTTTCAATAATTAATGGTGCGTTTAGCTTCAGTAATCAGCTTTCTAAAGTAAAGGTGCTCTTGTGATTCAAATTTTGCTACCATTTTCAATATTGTATGAAAAAAAAATTGTTTGAATTTGAATACGTGTAGAGGAGTTTTGTAAATATATTATTTGAAATAAACAAGCATTATTTTTGGAAATTTCTCCGTCCAATTTTTCTAAATTTTTTATTAATAATGATTTACATGATTGAAGTTCCAAGAAATTGACGTTAAGACCTTTTGCATAGTGTTGGATTTGGGTAAATTTTAGTGTCAGAAAATTTGAATCATGTTATTTTCATGATCAGATTTGCCGTCCATTTTTAACTGTGATCAGGGAAGTGTGATTTTAAACAAATGTTTCAAAACTAATTTTTCATCATTCCAGTGGTGAACAGTTTATTCTTATATAAATCCACGTTTCCCGAGCCTGTAGTTTATTTACCTTTGCATCTTTGAGAAATTTCTGCCAATTTTATCTTTGTATGACGTTATTGAATAACAAATTGCCGTGTAAATCTCTTAAACTATATATACAATTGTAAATTTTATTTTCAATTTGCATTAGACATTAGAATCAATTCGTGTGTTGTTTTGAAATATTTTCAGCCGAGTGATTTCCATACAAAATTATGATGATACTTGTATTGTTGAGTAGCAAAAATATAACAAGTTTTAGGTGAGTAAACAAAGCATTAATCATGCAAAATAACAAGAACATCACTTTAGAAAATTAGCTTCAGACATGTCAGAGATGTACAGATAAAATATAAAGTGTTCAGTCATTTTCGTTCAATTTCAGACTCATTTTCTATTCAAGACATACTATGCATTGTACGAAAAAGAAAAGTAGTAAAACTCGTATTCAGTATTTTTAGTTCTTTCATATTTTTATACTTAAACTTTTATACTTTTTTACAGAGGTTATCCTTAAGACTCCACTTTTGTAATATTCATGGTGTGTGGACCACAGTAAAATGTTTAAGACTTTTCTTACATCATCTTGAAGTTTGTACACCGTTCAAACTTCTATGCATAAGACATGAAAACTTTAAATACATTGTAGATCAAAAAGATATTTATTTCACTGATATTCCAGTTAAAGAACGTATTCACTATTATGTATATTCATAAATACCCAAGACAGTTTGCCCATTCCTATTGGTCAAGAGCCTGTCACATGGCTAGTTTTAAACCGACATTTATAAATACCTAAGACAGTTCACGCATTCTTATTGGTCGAGAGCCAGTCACGTGGCCGGTCTTAAACGAATGATAAAGACATAACTGGCTGGTCTTAAACACCTTTCCAGTGTCACATGAAATTTTGACTCTCATGAAATCTGGTGCCTTTTAACGTGTCATTGGTTGAACGTTCACATTCCTCTCGTATGCATGCGCAATACTTCCAGTGAATCATGGCGCAGTACGCGCGACGCGCACGCCAATGTCCTTATAAGGTAACGAGTTGTGGAGGGGCATTTCATATTATAGTCAGAGGGGTGTTTTGTAAAACCTGAAGTAAAATTGTTGAACAAAATGGTTGGCAACGTCTAGTTTTTGGCTTGTTTTGATTTTTGGACCGAAACGATTTTGTTTTTTGACCGAAAAGGTATTTATGAATGGGAATAAATATGTGTTCGGTCGGTATTAAACACTCTGTTTAAGACCGGTGGGAGTCTGGATGGGTGATAATTACCCGATGCGAATATCACCCATCCAGACTCCCACCGGTCTTAAACAGAGAGTTATAATACCTCCCGAACACACATTTATTCCCTTAGTAATATATGACTGGGCTCTGTGCCACATCACGCAGTACACGCGCGCCAATATCCATATATAAGGAGATTTGTAGCACAACGCGTGCGAGGCACATACATGTACATGTACCATAGACATGGCCAGAGGAGTGTTTCACAAAACTTGAAGTAAAATTGTTAAACAAAATTGTTGGAAATGCATAATTCTTGACTTGTTCTCCATCTTTGAGCAAAAGGTATTTATGAATGGGAATAAATATGTGCTTGGCAGGTATTAAACAAGAATATTTTTAAAACGGGCTAGGGGCCTGGACACAGAAAATGGTCCGAGTCGAATCTACGTCCAGGTCCCTAGCTGGTTTTAAAACGTACTTGTATAAAACCCGCCAAGCACATATTTATTCCCTTATTTATATATGAGACTAGCAATCACACCGTCCAATTTTGAAATAAAAATATGCTTCTCATTTAGACAAACAATGACCTCTTCGTTCTTTAAATTCTGTTTAGTTTTCATTCCTGTGTGTGGGTTTTTTTAACTGGAAAACTAGGAGAGTTCTGGGTTTTGTAAATACAATGTATTATTAATTATAAAAGGCACTGTTATCATCCGTCATGAAAAGTGACACCGCTAACCTTCCCCCCCCCCCCCCCCCTCCAAGGAAAACAAGTGCGAGTGTACAATAAGCTCTGGCGAAACATGCAACGCCGATGGAACATACGGAACACAATACTTTTAGTCAATTTTTGGGACAGACTGACCAACCACCAAGTGACATGTAAAAGCTCTTCCCAGAGCTAAAAAAATTGCACCGGGCCCACATTTTGAGGACATTTCCTCCTGGATACCGTCCAACCACTTCACAAAATGGCGTCCACCTTGTTCGAGGAAGATATTGTACAGCGCAAGTGCGAGTGCACAGTAAGCTCTGGCCGTGTTGCAAGTAGTCGTGCATGAAATCAATCAAAATGATCCCTGCCAGAGCTTAAAAATGCCACGCCGATGGCACATATGCAACACTTTCTTCTGGTCAAGTTTTGCCGACAGACAGACCACCAAGTGGCAGTGTTGTAGTCGAGTCACCAATGTCGAGTCCGAGTCGCGAGTCTCGAGTCTCGAGTCCGAGTCCAAGTCTCGAGTCACAAGCCTCGAGTCTGAGTCCGAGTCACGAGCCACTTGTTCTTAGTTGTTCACCAAATTAATCTATTTGTGTGGTTTTTTTTATTCCCAACCCTAAAAACCCTCCTTTTTGACATGACACCGGGCCCTGCATGGTGCTCATTGTGCAGGCGCTAGGCGTGCACGCACTGCCCCTAAATGTTTTGTCTATGGAGTAAAAAAGGAATGCTACGTTCGTCGCACAAATACGTAACGTTATGTTTTTTCTTTTGATGAATATACATGACTCGAGTCACGAGTCACCCAAGCTCGAGTCCGAGTCATCATGGTCGAGTTCGAGTCCGAGTCATTTTCCAATGTGACTCGACTCGAGTCGAGTCCCGAGTCACGAAAAATGTGACTCGAGTCTGACTCGAGTCCAAGTCCTGGACTCGAGTCCTACAACACTGCCAAGTGGCATGTAGCAGCTCCTGCCAGGGCTTAAAAAAGGGGGACAAAAATATATAAATAAATCTAGACTTGCTACCTGGTACAAATGTGTCATGAAACATGCAATACAAGTTTTCTCTTACAATTTCCTTTGGAATTTTTTAATTTCAACTTTCCTTACAAATTGTCATCATTTTTCCAATGATTCATTCATATTTTTTGCACATCTTTATTTTGCTTTAATGCAACAATACAGTGGAACGTCGCTATACCGAACACCGCTATACCGAACATTTGGCTACACCGAACACCGTCCGTGGCTCTTGATTTTTGTGTACAAAATGTACCGAATATTGCTGTTGAAAAATGTCAACAGAAGAGTGAAAAGTGGCTATTATTTCCCCACGGAATAGAAGGCGAAAGCCACCCATTGCTGTAGGTACCGGTAGTAAGCTCATAAACTGTGTAATTACATTATTCAATAGTCGGCATGTGTTCAAAGTCATCTTTCAGTAGCTAGAAGTACCAGGGCGTGCAGGGTGAAGTTCTGAAGGGCGCTGTTTATTGAAAAGTGAGTACCGGAGCACCGGCAGCTTAAAATCGCTATACCGAACGATCGCTATTACTAACAATTTCTGTGGATCCCGCGATGTTCGTTATAGCTGCGTTCCACTGTACAAGCAAAGTTTGTACTGTTTACACTTGATTTTAACTTGTCGAATGCGTTCCTTTACAAGGTTTAAATCAAGAAGTATTGCTTTTCTTAACTGCAAAGCTACTTTCTAAACTAAATTTCAAGTTGTGGCGCTTTCAAAATGCAATTTATAAAATTGGTTGCACAGAAAGATATAGGGTTTGTAATTAATGAAGATTGCACTTCATATTTGATTTCTCTTAAAGACTTCTTCACCTTTTGTGTTAATCCATTGTATGATTAGGAATTGTCTAGGACAAAGGGGCTTCTACATGTACCACCTTTCAAAAGTAAAATGTCTAAAAGTGAGCACACGTCAAATTTTGGATCAAAGTAAGTTTGATCAAAATACAAGCGAGTCAAAAAAAAGAAGAAACCCAAATGTTGGGACCATTGTTTTAGGGAAGTTCAGCATGTAGCATCGTCAAAATCTAGGATATGAAAGCCCAATTCATTTAGCTTTCTTTTAGGCCAAAAAAAAAAAAGTCTCCGGTTTCTGGTATGGAGCTTGCCCAAAAAGTGGTGCAGTGACGCGTTTTTTTTTTTTTTTAACCTGATTTTTTTGCCTCAAATATCGGCTGATGACTGCAAATGGTGCCCGACTAAACTTAGTGTAAATATATGGGAGTCCATAGAGGCCACCTAAATCTTATTCTCGATCATAACCCCTTCCAAAAACACATTAAAATTGTGCAGCAGCAGGATTCCAGTCAAACCAGTGAGTTTGGCGGTTTTGAGACATCATCTTTCATTGAAAAAAACAATTTTCATTTTGCCGACGCGCATGGCTACGGCGACGCGCGCGCATACCAGAAACCAGAGACTTTTTTTTTTGGCCTTAGTACAATAATCATTCAAATAACTCATGTACCTTTCAAGTTACGGAATTTTAAACACAACCACCGTTTTACGGTTCTGTCCACGGATCACAAAAAAGTTCAGTGTTCTTTCAGCAAAACGAAAACAAATCACACAGGGATGTGTGTGAATTGTTTTCGTTTTGCTGAAAGAACGCACACCTTTTGAAAATGCTACATGCAGAACTTCCCTAAAACAATGGTCCCAACATTTGGGTTTCGTTTTGTTTTTTTCTGACTCACCCTGTACATCAATTAAATAAATTACAGTTGCATATCTTATTAAATCACTGAAAATACCACTACACTGTATCTTTTACAAATTCATGGGAAAAGATGTACGTGCTCCAAGTATTAGATGATAGTAAACTGTTTCAGCAGCTTTTACTAAAAAATATACAGTAATTTTGATCACATAGTGATTTGATTTATATTTCAGTAGAAGAAAGTTGCAAAGAAAAAGACTACACTGCAAGTATCACAAACTCTTGCTTCTTAATTTTTTTATCAAAACTTGGGGTCCTTGACCCACTGCAAAGACACGAATATCTCAGATCTTCACTATTTTGTTAACAACTGTTAAAACATTCCGATTAAAGAAAAGTAAATGTAGTTACTCTACCTTATGTCCTTATTTGGGTGTTGCAACACTGTCTAAATAAATACAGCATCACAGCCCTGTCTCGCATTGTTATTACACTGAAATAACTCTGTCTCGCATCTCCTTAACACGCTCACATCCTCATGATTGTCAACTCAATTTTTACGTCCTCGTTTCAGTATCAAGTCCTGTGAAAACCCTGTCTCGTATCCTTCATACATTCAAATGTAATTAGTGTCATATTTCTAATGTCCTCATTACACTGTGAGGTCCTCATTAGTGTTATAACTCTAAACGTCTTCTTACACTGTAAGGCGGGTCCTCGACCATTTGTGTTGTAACTCTAATGTCCACATTTCACAGTGAGATCCTCATTAGTGTTGTAACTCTTAACGTCCTCATTACACTGCAAGGTCCTTATTAGTGTAACTCTAATGTCGTTATACTGTGAGGTTGTCATCAATATTTGTCTAACGTCCTCATTACACTGAGGTCCTCATTAGTGTAACTCCGTCTTCATTACACTGTGAGGTCCTCCTTAGTGTTGTAACTGTAACATCATTACATGGTGAGGTCCTCAGTAATCCAGTATCATTACTCTGTCGTGCCCTCGATACATTTTACATTCTCAGTAACTCCTAACGTCCTCGTTACATTAACAGTGTTACTCTAACGTCCTCATTAGTATCATTACTCCATCTCATGTCCAATACATTCTCTTCAATTGTGTTAGAAATCTAATGTCCTCTTTACACTGCGATGTCCTCATTAGGGTCATACTTCTGTCTCGCGTCCTCCTATTTCCGTCTCTTGCCCGCCAGTCTCCGGTGGCTGCAACGGCTGTGTCTCAGCATTCCGAGCCCCTGATGCCTCCTCACTTTCAACGTCCTCTTGTCCCGGACCGTCCTCTGTACTCATGGAATCTCCTGCTGGTTCCGATGCCTCGGATGCAACAGGGTCCTCAACTTCTGGGCGCTTCACTTCTTCCTCTTTGGTACTCAGAAAGTGAAAGATAGAGTGGAAGCTGTACCACGAGGTTTCTTCATGTCTCGTTGTACCTGTCGGAACAAACCAGCCATGTGAAATAGACAATTTTTAAAGAAATCTTCCAAAAGCAACTTTGTGGCTCATTTCCCTTACCTTTTCAGCTTTTTGTTTCAAATTCACAATTGAGACAATTTTCACTTCCTTTTGCTAAAGTCAATTTCCAAATTCAAACTAAAGCAGTAATGGCATTTCAAGTATACGTTTCTTTTACTAAGGGGCCATTCAGAATTTTCAGTGTTTTAAAATTTCGATCTTTTTTCCAAATTGTGGGTGGGTGGGTCAAGCTAAATAATTGAAAATCGAAATTCACTTTCCATGGGAAAAAAAGATAAAAAACAAAGAAAGATAGATCTTTTGACTTGCCTGAACTACGCGCAAACGTTCCGATATCGCGATGCGTGTTTCTTTTCCAACTTCGTCCCCTGTATGTACTGTCAGTGGCATAGCCAGGAATTTTTCAGTGTGTGTGGGGGGGGGGGGGGGGGGGGGGGGGGGGGGGGGGGGGGGGGGGGGGGGGGGGGGGGGGCGTCAATGATAATTTTTTTCGAAACTCAAAATCTCAGTGGGGGAGGCGACTGGGGGTGGGCGACAAGGTTTCATGGGGGGGGACTGTCGCCCCCCCCCCCCCCCCCCCCCCGCTACGCCACTGCAGGTCATACAGTTAAAGTTTATGTAAACGTAACTCTCATGATCTATTTGACACCAAGTTTGTGTTAACTTGCCGGTAATGCCCATGTACGTAATGCAAGTGCATGTACATGTACAGTCATGTTCAGTTTTTTATTAATCGAAATTAGGGGGGGGGGGGGGTGGGTGGGTCAAAATAATTTGGAAAAAAAGTCGAAATTTTAAAACATTGAAAATTCTGAATGGCCCCTAATACATCAGCACCAATAGTTGCCAGAATCTGGGTTTTTTTTAGCACTGTATATTGTGTCTGTATTTCAATGTTGATTTGGAAGATAGCAGCTAGTAATAGCAAACTAACCTGTTGCAATGAGCAACATGTCATTTTCATTATCAGTACAGAAGATCAAGGTACTGTGAAGTGATTACCATAATATGATAAGATCATCTTGTCATAAGTGTTGTGGCCCTCTGTTATTGTTCATCCTCTGTTACACCTCGTTCCCACTTGAATTGGAAAAAGGTGGATCAAGATCCGGCATTTTGGTGTGATTGTTATCTTACCCGCAACGAAACCGCAAGTCGCGTTCCCACTTATGCTTGATCCACCTTTTCATACGGAAGTGTCGAGTCCAAAAGGTCACCGAGTTCGGAATTACGCGAGCTCTGTGGGAGTGCCGGTGTTGCATGCTAGGCCAGGACGGGTCAGTTTTCAAACAGCACTATCAGTATCAGAATTCACCGACAAAAATTACGCACATTCACCGACATAAATCACAGATCCGTAGAGGATCCGTGCGTGCATAAATTAACTGGTAAAATCGAACAGCACCGCTCATTGTGTGACATCACGGCAGAAACCAATGCATCGATAAGGGATTCCCTGGTTCTGGAGCTTCTCATTGGTTAGAAATGGTCACATGATATACTACCACATCATTTTCCAATTTTTTATAATCAATACTACAGATTTGTCACCTCCGTACATACTGCGTTATCGGCACTATTCTCATCTCATACTCGTAAGCTTTACAGTGATTCTGTGCCAAAGTGAAGTGTTTTGGTGAGTGCGGACTCAGAGTCATTTATGGATGGAAAAATAAGTAAAATTTCACGAATAAAAAAGGTTTAGAAAATGGACGAATACGCAACGAAAATGGTAAAAGGCCTAGTGTAGTTTTAGGATATACCACGTGCGCTGCATGCATGCGATATGCATGCATCGTGCATGCGCGGTGATTTACTTTAATGATAGACTTGCGATGGACCTCGCTATAACACTTGATCATACCTGCTGATACCCTTGTACAGTCATAACCTCTATCATCCACAACAGTCCCTAGCGGCTTGTGAGATGACACCCAGTTGACTGCATTCTAAAGGGATATTCAAATTACATATATATATACTCATTATCCAGACAACAGTGCAATAGTTATGTACTCATTTACAGTGCAATATAATCACTACGGCAATACTGCAATATGCTCAGTGCAACAGTGCAATATACTCAGGGCAATATTGCAATGCACTCATGAGGGCAACAGTGTGATATATTCATGAGGACAAAAGTGCAATACACTCATTAGGGCAATAGTACAATACAGATATTAGGATAATAGTGCAATGCATGTATAGTCATAATTAGGGCAACTATGTAATATACTCCAGGCAATAACTGAGTGCAATATAGTCATTAGGGCAATTGTGCAATATACTCGGGGCAAAACTCAGTGCAAAATATAATGAATGCAGTATAGCGCAGTGTATACTAGTGTAAACAGTGTATACTAGTGTATACTCATAAGGGCAATAATGCAATATAGTCATCAGGTCAACGTTGTAATATACTCATTAGGACAACAGTGCCATGTAGTCGGGGCAATAGCGCAATATACTCATTAGGTTAATAGTAAAAAATACTCCTAAGAGAAATACAGTAAAACACCGCTATAAAAAAACACTTCTATAACAACCTTTTGGCTATAACAAACATCCTCTTTGGCTCCCAAAATAGTAAATATAGTAAATGAACTTTGTTATGGACCCAATCATGTTCGTTATGGCGATCTGCTGTAAGTGCAATATATTCATTAAGGCAACAGAGCAATATACTTATTAGGGCAACAGTTCAATATATTCATTAGGGCAATAGTGTAATAAACTCATTAGGGCACAGTGAAATATACTCTTTAGGGCAATTATGCAATATAGTCATTTGGGCAACAGTGCAATATACTCGGGGAAATAGTGCGACACAAATTGGGTGTTAGATTTTGGACTATTTTGGATGGCGAGGGCTACAATTTAAGAGAAACTTACTTGAGTAAACAAGGCGTGAAGAGCATCGTCCATGTCATAGTGAAGGGAATGGACTGAATCCGTGAACGCCACAGCAAAAACCTTCTTCATAAAACTCTCCGTTCTCTTCACAGCCTGTAGAAAGGATCATAGAAGTGGGGAAGTATAAAGTGAGATATTGTGATTTAAGAAAAATGAGCAGTGTTCATTGATTTGTAAGTCATAAATACCTCAGACAGTTTAGCCATTCCTATTGGTCGAGAGCCCGTCACGTGGCCGGTCTTAAACGGATGATAAAGACATGGCTAGCTGGTCTTAAACACTTTTCCAGTGTCACATAAAATGTGGCCTCCTAAAAATCCAGTGCCTCTTGCCGTTTTATTGGTTGAACGTTCACAGTCCTCACGTAGGCATGCGCAACACTACCAGTGAGTCAGAATTTTATAGTTCTAAATTCAAAACGCAACGCCCCAGGTGCGTTCTGCGCGACATCGCACAGAACGTACCACGCACGCGTCATTCTCCACAAAAGGTTGTTTACATCTTAATCGCCAGCTGAACACTCCATTATTTAGCTAGAGGGATGTTTCAAAAAGCATGAAGTGAACTCGTTGAACAAAATCGGATTTTTTGACCGAAATATTATATTTTTTCGACCGAAAAGGTATTTATGAATGGGAATAAATGTGTGCTCGGTCGGTATTAATCACTCTGTTTAAGACCGCTTAGAGTCTGGGTGCTGATAATTACCCTCGCCTCCGGCTCGGGTAATTATCAGCACCCAGACTCTAAGCGGTCTTACATGTAAACAGAGTGATTAAACCTCTCGAGCGCACATTTATTCCCTTAATAAAGACGGGCCGGAAACACATTGATGATGGGTTTCTTATTCTGATAAAACCAATGTAGAAGGAACTTACCAAATCGATTGTTACCACCCCTCCGTAGCTGTGCGCCACTATGGCCACATGTTTCGCTGGAGTTTCGGCGACAAATTTGTCCCAAACGTTGAGACCATGCTCACTCGGACTTGAACTGCCCTGCATGCAGACAAAATTGCCCAGAGATTGTGAGAATGTAGTTCGGTGCCATTCACTCATGGCAGTGAATTGCGAAAAACAAAGATTCCAGAATGGATTCATCAATGATTGAATACAATGTACATGAAGTATCCGCTCCGTTCACAAGTACCCCCACACCCAGCAAAGGAAGTACAGTTGGGGGTGACCAACCGACGCCATCTTGCCTGACTGCAATTCATTTGCCGCGAAGCGCGGCCACTGCATGTACATAGTACAAATCCCCTGGTGTACGTGCGTCACACACAAGGTACAGTGCGCGTCAACCAGCGAAATGTCCCGCCCATGGGACGTCGTTGCTAGGTAAAAGGGCCCCCTCTTTTGTCTGCGCACGGAGTCCATAGGTGCTAATGGTAAAATACTTAGGTTGCTGAGCTAGTACATGTACAAATAATGCCAGTGAAGCCCTTTTTTCAACCAAAAACTTGTACATGATTCAAATATCAAGCCAAATTACACTAACAAAATGCACGAAGTCTCTCCGCACTATGTGAAAGGTATAGTCGAAGACGTATACATTTACATGTGCTTTTCATCCAATGATGGTGGGTGCAAACAGACACCCCCACCCCCCCCCCCCCCCCCCCCCCACTCCCCAGCAGATTGACAATCTTATAAATGGATGGATAGCTCAAATTCCCCGGCAACATCCATCTGTATTCTAAGTACGTCATGTCACTATTTACGCCGCCATGTTTGTTAGCATTGTTTGCCTCGCTTTGATTTTCAAGATGGCGTACATTGTACCTTGAGAAAGGTCTATTGTCCTGTACTATGCAAGGTCCACTATTATATTGAATGCGGATACATGTACACACACTCACACCGAAGTCCAAAAGTGTACCAAGTTTGTCTTTTGGGGTGGGATCTGAAGTGCCTCTAATTTGAGCTGGCTCATACCAGTTCTTCTTTTTGAGTTTGATATCCTACCTTGATGGAAACTCTGCGCCCATCTGCCAGTGTAGAAAAATTCTCATTGGTGTTCATCACAAGGACTTCATAGCCTTCCTACAGCCGAGACAAAATAACAACAAACATGGGACTAAAATATTCATATAATAAATAACAGTGCTGAAACTGATCCTCCAGGTTTGTTTCGGTTTGGTTCAGTTGTGGTTCAGATTTTTTCCCCGAACATCGGTTCGGTTCAGGTTCAGAAGTACATATACAATGTACAGCAAAAAGCATATATATACATACATACATGTACTTTTGCCGGATCACGCCATAAGTTGGCTTTTATAATAAGTCACCATTTCGCTCAAGTCGGCATGTTAATCTCACTCCCCTGCAAAAAGCACAACGAAATCCTTTGTGTAGATCGGCATTTAGAAGATCACACATTGGCATCGACTTCCTGCGCTGCGGTTGTGGTAACAAAATACATGAACATACACGTGCCACCACAGTGCACGCAATCAAAAAGGGGTTTCCCCAGTACACCCAATACTGCATCGTGCGTGAGCAATACCAGTAACCCCTCTAGCCTGCATGCATGCGCTCTGTCTAATTTGGAGGTCGTCTTGTTGAATGATGCAGTAAATTTTACTTACCAAGCGCGCATTTAATTCGTAAAGTTCTGTAAACGTACATATATGCATTACATGTACGTACACGTGGTCTCCACTATAGCAATGCTACGTTGTACGGATTATGACCAATTTTTTTGCAGCAGCTCGAGATTAGCGCATTCTGATCTCTACCTTCACAGGTACCCATTTATACTCCTGGGTGGAGAGAAGCAATTGCAGTAAAGTGTCTTGCCCAAAAACACAAGCACCATGTTCCCCGTACCAAATGGTCTGTCGGTATTTCTGGCAAACCTCTATCTGGCTTTATTCCCCAACAGTTACAACGTAGCATTGATTCTTATGCTTTATAAGATTCCAACTAACACATTTTACATGTAGATTTCAGTGGACATGAACTTCAACTTGAAAAAAAGACAAAAGGCATAGGGTCTTTGGGCCAAATTTATTTTTAGCAAATGTTGGCACTGAAACGACCCCCTTTCCAGGTACATTAAGTAGAAATATCTCTTGTTTTTTTAAAAGCAGTTTTAATTTAACTTTATCAAAAAGTCAAGACTGTAAAATTGTGGTATTATTAAAACCAATGCTACCGGGTACATGTTATTTCTCAAAAGTGGATTCCTCAAAAGCGCCCAAGGCACTGTAGCTCGCAAGCCTGAAGAAACCTGTAGACAGGAGACAATGAGAAGCAATTACAGTTTTAGAGGTGGGGGAAAACCCAAGAAGAATATTCTGGGAAACCCACGGACTCAAGCAGGGACTGCAAACCCAATCCACATGTTGGCCCAGGCGGGATTCGAACCCGGGTCACAGCGGTAGAAGGCGGGGAAAGTACCGCTAAGCCAGCCGGACTCCCAAATGTAAACAGACGGATTCCCGTCTGTTTACACCCCCAAAATAGTGTTGTTTAAATTATCCTCAATCTCTCAAACGTATCACCAATTAGATATATATTCTACCTCCATTGCTCTCTTGATGTAGGGTAGCTGCGTCCCGCTGTCGAGGCAGTCATTGATGATGAGGCGCCGCGCCCACTGCCCAGCCCTCACCACTCCGCTACCGTGAATTAATATCAAGAGCTTATCTGTAGTCTCCAGGGCGTTCTCGCTCATGAAGACGAAGCCTCTGAGTTCATTTTCAGAGTCTCCAAGCTGTAGACAGGCAATTTAATTAATTTATTATTTATTATTGTTATTAATTGCATGTAAAGGAGAGCATACCCAAAGTGGGTTGATTTGTCGCAAGTGGAAGAGTTTTAGAAAAGGAACATTAAGTCCGAATTTCAGCCAAGGAAATTAATTCTGGTTAAAATAACAGCATTTTGAAACAACACTTTCAATATATGATGTCCATAATCAAGTGGTGACTGTCATGTATTTAACTTAGGCGTGTTCGTTTTTGTTTGTTGCTTCTTATATATTGTGTGTTTTATTTAATTCAATTTTTGAGGTCTCTTATGTTTTACTGATTGCACCTTCGAGATCATATCTCATGTAATTTTTTATGGGACAAAAAAAAACGAATCTTGAATCTTAATTCCGTATATTACATTCTGGAAAAGTTCCCTCAACTCTGTGGAGAAAAAGTCGTAATAACATATCTAAACATGTGGGTCTAAGGCTAAAACAGAAAAAAAACAATAAATAAATAAAATTACATGTATATTGAAGTGGGGTTAACAAATGGTGGTACAGTCGAATCTCGTTAGTACAAACTCTGTTAATACAAAATTCTGGTTATAACAAACATAAAGCCTTAGTCCCGACTGTGCATTTATGTGCACAATGAATGGGACTGATGTTCCTCTTAATACAAAATTCTGATATAAGTTATATATTATAACAAACAATTTGGCTAGGTCTGAAGGAGTTTGTATTAACGAGACTCGACTGTACTTTCAAATTGTTAGAAATTTGGGGCACATGGAAGGGGCACATGGGAGTTAGGTGGGGTCCTAGTATCACTTTTGACATGAAGGCAATTTTAAAGCTTGTCATTTTTACGGCCCTTCGAAGGACAAAGTTTCTGGCATAACATAACTGAATTTTCAGAAGGGGGGGGGCATCAAAGGCTAACTGTAATTGTAAAAAGTTGCATTTATATGTTCCTTCATAATGGGACGTAAAGCCGAAGGTCCCGTGTGTTGTGTAATGCACGTTAAAGAACCCTGTAACACTTATCGCTATTAAAGAGAAGGGGTTTGCCCCGGTGTTTCTGGCAGTGGCTGCAATATGCGCCGCAGCACCTTGTAAACCCTTATAAAGGTGCTACATAATGGGTCTCATATTTCTCATAAACTTCATTTACCTGTCTTTCAAAACGGACATAATTACCAGTGCCTTGAGTACCTAATTGTTGGTAGATACGTGCGCAATATAAGACTCCGGTATTATTATTATTATGAAATTAATCTTGTGGCAGTGTGTAATTATGTCTTTCGAAAATCGATAAGACAATGATTATTTAGTCCATGTTGGGTTGGAAAGATGCTTGCAAATACAGAAATTGATAAGGGAATCAAGAATGAGAAAATTCATTCATTATGAAATGTGCTGCACAAATTCCATAAAAAAGACCCCCTCCCCACTTTAATGACCCAAACTTTTCCAAACCTATTCTATAGGGGTTGCCCATACATACATCTTACACAAAATAACATTAGCAGAAGAATACACCCTCAAATGCGACTGAAAACTGCACATTAATTAGCACTACTTTGTTTTTAAACAAATTCTTTCCCCTTTGACGTCTTTGTCTGTCACTCACGTAAACTCTCTTGAGATTAGTCTCCGACTCCAGAAGTTTGTAGACGTGTTGCGTGATGACCTCCCCGAGTGCCTCATAGTGCAGCTGATTGTAACGCATGTCGCCTTTCTTGACTTCAAACAAGAACGGTTCGCCAGTTTCTGTATGCCTCAACTGACCGCCTGAAGAACAAAAAGTAGATTACGCTAGTGTATTCAAGTAAGATACAATAACGTACGCCATTTAAGTTAACAAGTTTGCGCCGAATGATTTGTATACACGCAAAGGTTTTGCGGTATTCGGAACCGATGATGGATAAACACGCAGCGAGCGAGGCCGGAAATATCTGTCAGCGACCTGCTCGCAGCGAGCGAGGCAAAAAATATGAGTGTGCTGCCCGATCGGGTGATGGCTTCAACCCGCCTGGCAATGAGGTCGAGTGAAAAGTAATCCCGCGCCTCGTTCCGTTCTTGTCAAAATCTTCCCGGCGTGAACTGGTTAAAGACAAGTACATGTAGGAACCTTGGTAACTACATGGAAACGAACCTACTTCTTTAACCCCAACTCCCTAGCATGATTTACTAGGAACCATACCCATCCTGGCAAATTCCAGCACCATATGGGAAACTGCAAACATATTTCTGACTTTGTTTCTGGAGGTGTGCCAACCCAATGTAAAAGACTGTCAGTTTAGGGGTACTGTACCCATCCTGACAGATTCCAACAAAACATGCTGTTAGGGTTTAAAAGGTTGAGTTCTGTGAGGGTTAATGAATTTGTATTGTTCCAAAGGAAAGAGTCGTTGAAGTTGGTTTTAAAGGTGTGTCTGCGGGCACATGAAATTTGTTTCTTTCTTCTTTCAGATACAAAGTACATGTAGGAAACAGCCCTTAAAAAAAAACCTTGCATGAGACCCATTTGTGTACAACTTTTCTTTTTTTTCTTTTTTCATTTTTGTCCATCAAGATCAAGATCAAAGATCTGTTTCAAAAGATCAAGTTTCTGTTGCTACTTACCTTCATTGAATGCATACTTGAATCCTTCCAGCGTGTCCGGAAACGCAACCGTGTCCGGAAACACAAACGAGTCCTCTTCATCCTTGTCAACATCCTCCACGACTGCCTCCTTGGCCGTTGACTTCTCCACGACTGCCTCCTTGGCCGTTGACTTCTCCACGACTTCCTCCTTGGCCGTTGACTTCTCCGTCTCCTTCTTTGTCTCTTCTTGGTCCTGCCCATCACCATTCTCGCCCACCGCTTCGTCGGGTTCCGTTGTCTGTTCTGCTGTGGATGCTGGTGATACCAGGTCGTCAGGGTCATCGCCGTGGTCAAGTTTGGGCTGTTTTGGGACGGTGGCGTCGCACTCCGGTTTAGAATCGGTGGCGTCGCACTCCGGTTTAGAATCGGTGCCGTCACCCTCCGGTTTGTAATCGGTGGCGTCGCATTCTGGTTTGAAATCTGTGCCGTCACCCTCCGGTTTGTAATCGGTGGCGTCGCATTCTGGTTTGTAATCGGTGGTGTCACCACCTGGTTTCAAATCGGTGGCGTCGCATTCCGGTTTGAAATTGGTGGCGTCACCCTCCGGTTTGAAATCGGTGGCGTCGCGTTCCTGTTTCAAATCGGTGGCGTCACATTCCAGTTTCATCTCCTCATCCGGTAATTGCTGGGACACCTCCATCTGCGACTGGGACTCTGTATTCAAGAGACGCGTTTTAAAGATTGTCCAAAGATTGCCTTAAACTTTCTGTGGGAACCCTGTGAAAAATGTGATGCGATCAAGCTAAATGAGTCGTTTGTCGACCCTGGTCAATTTTTTTTTTTTTTACAGATTTTAAGAGTGCACAATCTCAGCATTACCGATGTGAAAACCGCATGCTGGTACCATCTTCAGTTGAACAATTATGGTCGGAACACCAAGAGATGTGATAAAGTGATGTGATGAAGTGGCCCTATTTTGGCCTGAATCTCCAAATAAAAGTTCCTGACAAACGACTCATTTAGCTTGATCGCATCACATATTTCACAGGGTTCCCACAGAAATCTTAAAAATGAAATTCCATGACTTTTCCATGACTTTCTGTGACAGTTTGAAATTCCAGGGATTTTTCACTCCTGTGGAAACCCTGATTTCAAATATCTGGGTCCAATATTATTTTTTTTTTGGCACAAAACATGTTACACTTTTGTGATGTGATGGACGTGTGGGGAAATGTAATGGATTTGTGAGGACTTGTGATGGACTTGTGAGGACATGTCAGGACTTGTAGTGGACTTGTGAGGACGTGTGTTGGACTTGTTGGGAATTGTAGTGGACTTTTGGGGACATGTGCTGGACTTGTGGGGACTTGTGATGGATGTGTGAGGACTTGTGCTGGATATGTGGGGAAATGTGATGGACTTATGAGAACTTGTACTGGACTTGTAGTGGACTCGGAAAATGCGATGGACGTGTGAGGACTTGTGAGGACTTGTGAGGACTTGTGATGGACTTGTGAGGACTTGTGATGAATTTTTCTCCCGGCTTATGAGCTATAGTGCCAGATTGGAATCCAAGGATTCAGAACCAGAATAAAGTCAAACATCTTCGTTGTTTTATACCTGGGACTTCTTGTTCTATGGACATCTGAGACTCTGTCCCTGTCTGTTGAGACTCTGTCCCTGTCTGTTGGGACTCCACGTCCATCATACTCTGTTGAGAAGATTCCTCCATCTTCAGCTGTCGAACCACCAAAATTAGCTGTTGACAAAAAAATAAGCATAAACATGATTATTTGGCAGTTACAATTTTTTTTTCCAATCAGTGCAAATTTCTTCCAGGAGTCAGTGTTACAGCCCCTACTATATAACAATGGCCCCTACAGTCGGGACACCCTTACCCCCTAACTAAAGTTCAGACGATGCTTTGGTTGTGGCAGCCTTAAAGCTACAGTTCATCATTTGCAGCTATCCAAAAAGTAACTGACGTAATTATTGTTGAAAAACATACTTGGTTGAAATATAGTAATGGGGACTAAACTTCCTGTGAAATTATTCTTTCTGCCAAGCTGTCATTTTGAAGACATCTACAAAAGAAGGCATTTCCAACGGTGTGTCTTAAGACGCACAGTTGGAAATTTAAAATAGTAGTGGGGTTTTTTTTATTCGGCGAAGCGCACGCAAGCGTTGGCACGAGGCACACGCGCGGGCGGTTGCTATAATTCGTCGGATCAGTGCGCGACATCGTGTAGCTGCATTCGGCTCAGTGAGAACGCATCTGGGACGCTGAATTCGGGCCCAATTCAAAACATGATTCAGCAACTTTTGATTTGAAATTGAGATCCTAGAATGCTGTTTTTTTCGGAATATACAGCTGACCCTGAGCTGAAACTTCATCAGGTTAGTTGTTCAGCAGACTTCTTTAGATTTTGAGCACGTTTGTTGCACTTCAAATGAACAAAAAGCACAAATTACAAATGATGGACTAGGGCCTACACCTTTAACTATAGGTCCGTCCCAAGTATGCATGTTGCAACCACCACAAATATAGTTGGGACCATCCCAACTATGGTTTTGGGGGGGGGGGGAGCCTGCGGGTAATACCATAGCTGGTGCGAAACATCATCTCTCTGTTCATTTCTACATTTCTGTTCTCAGTTTCAAGGATTTAAAGTACGTACCACCCGCCCCCCCCCCCCCCCCCCCCTCGCTGCACTTTTAAGAATAAACTTCAAGCCTCACTGACATACAAGAACCGGTACCAACCTGAAAGATCAGTATTGTCCCAGCCACAAACACACAGAAGCTAGTCTTCAGGTCCAGTGCTGATAATTGCTTAGAAGCTGATGAGATAAAAGGGAAAAAAAGAGTCAAAAAGAAAAAAAAAGTGGCGAGTACAAAGTTCACGAAAAGCTTAAGACTGAATTGCATCTGTTAAATATGGCTCCATGCACAAACAAAAGGGGCGCTTAATTTACCCCGTCACCTGACCGCATATAGCTCGCTTTGCTTTTTAGAGACCCCCATCCACATTATTGTGATTTTATGATTTTCTTGGCATATTGTTCTGTATCGTTATGTGGTAAATAAAGTAAGATTGATTGATTGATTGATATAGTCCAACACCCGTATGCTTAATAACAGTTAACAAGATCCTTAGGGACTTCGTCCAACCATAGAGCAAGGAACAGTCCAACCTGGGCTACAAACGTGGCAAACAAGTGGTCTGAATTAATGCGTGAGGCTCATGCACACTCAATGTGTGAGAGTTGGCAGGCCTGCACTGCTGCAGCGGGTTTTTATTTTATCTGTAATATTTGGTCGTGTGTAGTAAAGCCATGGCCCTGTTGGGCGCTTTCTTGCAAAAATCTGCGGGCGCGATGTATGTGGGTACCACACCGCTTTCAGGCGCCGCAAGTGAGTTCAATTTTCGTCTGGTGCATTGTCGCGGAAAGAAAGACAACGAGAATGCTCTCCACGGTAACGCACCAGACGAAAATTGAACTCACTTGAGGCGCCTGAAAGCGGTGTGGTACCCACATACATCGCGCGCGCAGATTTTTTTTGATGTAATCACGTGATGCATACATTTACATAATTAGCAAATCAAAATGGAAGACAGCCGTTGGAACTGGCGTATTTTTACGGACAAGCCAACGAAATCATCAAGATTTTTCACTTTTTTTGTGTGGTCTGTTTCAAGTCGATTATTAGGCTTCGTAAATGACTGCTGAATGTATGAGGTATGTAAATGAACTCTGGGGTGGGATATTAGAGGTGAAAATGAACAATTTTTGAGAGGCCATCTTTTTAGGGTCTCTTGCTAACACTAACACTAACAGTACCACATTCTAACGAACAGGTTTTGCCTCCAGCGTTGCATGTGAATGAATTAGCTGGAGTTACCCAGCCCTGAGTTTTATCATTGGGTTGTCTATTAGGGCTGGAGCGCATTTTTCTCAAAACTTGTAGTATTTGCAAAAAAAAATTGGAAAATGTTCAATTTTGTCCCCGTTACACACTAATTGCAACTGCAACTCACCCCAAACTTGCCTGGAATAACCATTACACAGGTCCTTGAAGTAAAAAACGATCCACGATGAAGATTCAGCCTACAATTGCAGTGAAAACAGGAGGAATAACCGCTAACTTGACAACCTTGCTGGATTGGCCAGGACCGCTATTGGTTTGTGCACACAAAAAATTGTGTACAATGAATGGCGGTCGATTAACAGGCACAGAGAGCGTTCGCTGTCAACTACTCGTTGACACTACTCGTTGTTGGCGCGTGACGTCACGCGGAAGCGTAACACCCGATGACTGTTTCATGCACTATTGGTTGCGGTTCCAGTACCAAAGCTGTGATGCGAGTGGTAAACCTTATACTAGTGCATAAAACAGTCATCGGGTGTTACGCTTCCGCGTGACGTCACGCGCCAACAGCCAGCGCAGCCGGCAAAAACGAGTAGTTGACAGCGATCGCTCTCTGTGCCTGTTAATCGACCGCCATTCATTGTACACAATTTTTTTTGTGCACAAACCAATAGCGGTCCTGGCCAATCCAGCAAGGTTGTCAAGTTGGCGGTTATTCCTCCTGTTTTCACTGCAATTGTAGGCTGAATCTTCATCGTGGATCGTTTTTTACTTCAAGGACCTGTGTAATGGTTATTCCAGGCAAGTTTGGGGTGGGGTGAGTTGCAGTTGCAATTAGTGTGTAACGGGGACAAAATTGAACATTTTCCAAATTTTTTTTGCAAATACTACAAGTTTTGAGAAAAATGCGCTCCAGCCCTAATAGACAACCCAATGATAAAACTCAGGGCTGGGTAACTCCAGCTATGAATGAATATGGAGCATGTCAGCTGGAGTTACTCAAGCTAGGTTACAACTTAGATTTTCGCCTATTCGTCCATGATTATGATGATGATTCACGCTTACCTTCAATATTTTGTCTCCTTTTTCAGGCAACTGTTTAAACCACTGATCCAGCACTAAGTCTACTTCAGAAGTTCAGTTACTTGACAGCAATTATGTTCGTGTCGATGTGCAATGTCAATGATCATGGGGGTTTCCCAGTACACCTGCCGACGATGTCGTCCCCAGAGACTATTTCGACTTTCGTTTTAACCACATCAGATGGTATATCTGAAATCGTACTGCTTGAGCTGTGGGGACGGTTCGGTAGCGCGGACTGCGCCTCCTGAGCTTTTGAACAGCGCCACCATTTGTTGAGTTGGCAGCATCCGATTCAACTGTGGTCTTGGTCCACGCCCATTGAAAATACACGGGGCCGGGCCGGGGACGCGCTGACAATAGACGTAGCCGTAGCTCTGGAAGCCCGTTTCTGACACGGCAACACATTCAAACATGTATGTCAATTTCTAGCGCCGTCGCTAGACCATTTTTTGAAAGGGGCAAGGGGTGCCATCTAAAATTTGCCGACGGACAATCAAAAATGATTCCATTACGAGTGGTACGTTAATTTATGTGTTGATTCCTTTGAATGGATTTCATTTTTTTAGTGGGATAAGTTTAACTTCAAAAGTAAATCGTCAAAAATGTTACCCTATAATAATTGAATCCTATTCCTATTGCATCTTATTCATCTATTTTGCTCTTCGCAAAACTGCGCTGTGTGATGTGCTCGATCAGTACGTGTGCGCATGATCCGGGCGGGGGGTCTTGTTTTTTGCAAGTATATGTTTCCCGAGTCTTGTTTTTTGCAAGTATAAATTTGGCAAATCTTGTTTTTTGCAAGTATGTTTCGCGAGTCTTGTTTTCGTGATGTCTATTTTTAGTAACAGTCTTGTTTTTTGCAAGTATATGTTTCCTGAGTCTTGTTTTTTGCAAGTATGTTTCCCAAGTCTTGTTTTTGTGAAGTCTATTTTTAGTAACAGTCTTGTTTTTTGCAAGTATATGTTTCCCGAGTCTTGTTTTTTGTAAGTATATATTTCCCGAGTCTTGTTTTTTGCAAGTATATGTTTCCCGAGTCTTTTTTTTGCAAGTATAAATTTGGCAAATCTTGTTTTTTGCAAGTATGTTTCGCGAGTCTTGTTTTTGTGAAGTCTATTTTTAGTAACAGTCTTTTTTTTTGCAAGTATATGTTTCCCGAGTCTTGTTTTTTGCAAGTATATGTTTCCCGAGTCTTGTTTTTTTTGCATGTATATGTTTCCCAAGTCTTGTGTTTTGCAAGTATATGTTTGGCTAGTCTTGTTTTTTGGAAGTATATGTTTGGCAAATCTTGGTTTTGTATGCCCCGCGGCGAAGCCGAAGGGGCATACTGTTTCCGCCTTGTCCTTCCGTATGTGGGTGTGTGGGTGTGTGGTGTGGGGGGGGGGGGTGTGTCCGGACAAATCTTGTCATCGCGATAACTTGAGAAATCCTTAACATATGAACTTCAAAAATCTTGTATTTATTCTGAGATCATAGGGATTAGGGATTAATTCATAGAAAACCTACAGAAGACACTAATGCTGTCAATGAACGTTCCATGTGACCAAGGTACATGTAAGTTGATGTTAAAAGAGTGCTGTTATGTCATGGAAATAGTCACGGTGGGGCATTTGTGTTTGTAAACACACCTGACTTGTTTTAAGTCTGTTATAGCTGCGGTGTTCATCATGAGGGCGCTGTTGTTTGTGATGAAAGTATAGCCATGCCACCAATTAATTCGTTATTACTTCAATTTAGGCCTTAATTACGACGAAATAATTGCATCACTTCTCGCAAACACACTAATATTATCATCAGCAAACGGCATCTTAACCGGAAACTGCGAGTTTTAGGTCTTTTTCGGCGAAAAAGTCACACCGATATTGTAGACGTCGCCACCTTTATTGAAGGAGAGTTGCAAACATCCGGGCAACTGCATGGCTAGGGCCTATAGGGTGCACTGAACTAATTCAAGCGAGAATTTCTACGCCAGCTGATTAGCATAAAAAGTGCCCCCCCCCCCACAATTTCTTTTGAAAACGGAGACCGTTCGGCTTTAAAAACAGTGGAATTGTTTAAAAATACCCAAGGTATCATGAGATGGAGATTGACGGAGGATTTCTGACCAGCCTGGAACCGGCTGACAACTATTAATATTGTCAAGGGCAGGCTTGATAAAATCACGGATGAAAAAATGGGTCCTATCTGCCTGTGAAAGTGGAAGGGTGCCACTTGTAAAATGGCTACATGCAGGCTCGGGAACTATCACTTTTCGGGAGGTGATTTTATTTGGGTGTGAATATTTAAAAATGTAATTGGCTAATGTATGTAAAATTGAAAGGAAATGAAAAGATGAAAGACAAGACAATAATTTATTTTTTGTTTCAGAAACCCCAGTGATGTTGGCTTGCATGTTACTTGGCCCTGAACTTTGTTGATTTTACACTGTTTTCAATGGTGCTTGAATTAGTACAGTGGACCCCTATAGATGAATGCACTTGCGATGCGTTCAGAGTGGTATCAATATTGATAGAGAAACTATTAATATTGTCAAACTCGGTTTTTAACAAAAAGTAAGTCGAAAATCGGTTAAAACGGTCGCCATGAGTACTAGCTAGAAGGACTATTCCAAAAATAAAAATAGGGGTGCAACAATTTTGTGTGGGGAGGAGCAGATCGGGTCCCTACATATATACTTCCTAAAAACAAGACTCGCCAAAAAACAAGACTCGGGAAACATATACTTGCAAAAAAACAAGACTCGGGAAACATATACTTGCAAAAACAAGACTCGGGAAACATATACTTGCAAAAAACAAGACTGTTACTAAAAATAGACTTCACAAAAACAAGACTCGCGAAACATACTTGCAAAAAAACAAGATTTGCCAAATTTATACTTGCAAAAAACAAGACTCGGGAAACATATACTTGCAAAAAACAAGACTCGCGAAACATACTTGCAAAAAACAAGATTTGCCAAATTTATACTTGCAAAAAACAAGACTCGGGAAACATATACTTGCAAAAAACAAGATTCGCCAAACATATACATCAAAAAAACAAGACTTGCTAAACATATACATCCAAAAAACAAGATTTGCTAAACATATACATCCGAAAAACAAGATTCCACAAACATATACATCCGAAAAACAAGATTCACCAAACAAATATTTGCAAAAGATCAATATATACATTCGATGGCACTAACGGGCTTTCGTATGTTGCAACTATAGGTTCGACGTATATTTTGTTTAATGCCTGAAGCCAAACCAGAGATCGGAATCAAAGTTTCGCTGCTTGTTCATGCTGCGTAGATCTTTGATAGAAAGTCCAGCAGACTGCCATGTATAGGCCTAGCTATTTTATGTCTTTGGATCGTCATAATATACTGGTGGCTAATTGTGTTCCTTCTTCCATTCTGTAAGTTATTAGATGGTGTTGAAAATTAAATCAGTGACTCGAATTGACTTGAGCATAAATTTAACTCGACTCGACTCGACCACACACTGTAACTCAACTCGACTCGACCTTCAATACCTATAATGACTCGACTCGCGCGACTCGAGTCCCTTTCTTAAAATGACTCGACTCGACCCGACTCACAAAATAGTGAGTCGTGTATCTCTGGTGTTTGATTGTGGTTTCTGTTTATGCTTTTGTATATTTAGCTGAGCTTCATCCACACTGTACTAAAACAAAACAAGGCAAAGCTAGTAAATCTGGACCCAGAGCGCAAAAGCTGCTTTTGGTAACTTTTTTTTTTGAAAGCAAAATAGTCGGATGATGTAATAAATGTCACAGCTTTATCAAAACGCCAAAGTCATTTTCTAGGATATATGCCTTCAGTTATTTCGATCCCTAACCATCCAAACTCCAACACAAGGGTTTGGTGGAGTGCAGCTGTTTAGTGCACAGTTTAATACCACAGGGTGTTGGAATTTGAAAGGATGAGGAAGGTTCCAGCTAAATCATCCTAGGGAGTGAGAGTTAAATTTAAATACACGTTTCCGTCTACACAAATCTAAACAAGTTTTTATTGAGTCAATTTTTTTTGCAGAGAACTCAAATTTGAACAATGACAACAAACTCTCTTTGTGAGCCTGTTGTGAGCATAACCCGATGGTGTAAACATAAAGTTTATGTATCCATCAACATGATCACGGTACACCGCGTAAATAAACCCCATGTGGTTTACTCGGAGAGGTTAACCAATGACAATTCTAAACGTGGAAAACTATAACAATAACTTAGTTGGGGATTAAGTATACAGAGAGCGCCAATTTAGGCTACGAAATTTCCCGGGAATTTCCCAGATTTCTTTGGTCAAAAGACGCCATTGTTAAAAAGTAGCTTTAGAAAGACTAGTGTACACCATAATGATGAGCGTAACTTTTGCACCGACCTTTTCGGCTGGAACAAACGTGACCTGCGAAGTTGTGTGTAGAAAAGACTATCGATCAATATAGGACCACCACTGTTGTACAGCCTACAGTGGCGATGACTGATCGGATAGTTTTGTTTTTTCTTTTCACATTTGGTCAATCGATTAAAAGGAAAAACTAGAGATTTGCGATTGTTAGAGTTACGAACGCAAAATTACCGGGTATACGACATTTGTTTTATAGGTTATTGCTCGATTCATTGTTAGGCAAAAAAGTTGAAATATCACTTTCAACACCTAAGGCTGCTCATAGTTTTACCACTCATTAAAAAAAAAGAAAAAATTTGGTAAACGTTCCACGCAAACCCCTCTTGATTCTAACAAAATTTCGAAGCCTTTACGTCCTCGTGAAATAGAAATTCCTGCACTTTGCGACTTTTATTATACAAACAATGAATGTTTATGAGTGCAATGGTAAGAATAATTTCATGAGGTGACAGATGAAATGCTCCATTCCACGAGGCGAAGCCGAGTTGGACGAACAGGCAAACATTCATTATTTGTTTTATATAACACTGAAATAAATGAAGGGGATTTATTCAAGTATAAAGCAATATATGTCACAGTTGCATTTTCCAATTATTTTTCTGACTTTTCTATATTCGAGATTCGAGGTTTATACGAAGTAAAACAATTCACACACGGTCCAGAATGCAATGGCTTAAAGGGGACTCCGTGATAAAAGTCTACTCCAAATTTTACCCTTACGAAAACCTTCCATATGTAATTATAAGGTGAACTGGTAGTCTGGTTCCCAGACCAAAAGATTCTGACTACACCTGATGAATCTTAGTCGGGGGAAATTGTCAGGTCAGGGAACCAGACTACTAGGTGAATTGGCAACCATGCAGCATGGTATTTTTCCCATGGGACTTTTTTCCCCCATGAACGCTTTCAGAATCCCCTATCATTTCCCAAAGGATTCCAAATTCATGGTACTTTTCCCAAGCAATTTTCCTATAAGATTTTCACACTTACGTTGTTATGTCATGTGATTTGTATTGAGCACCTCAGGATTGTCCCATGTACGCTATGGGAGTGTTATGCTCACCATGGCCAGTGCCTACATCATTGCTCATATACCAATTATCAGGTTGTACTGTGTGAAAATATTTGGAAACAAACGATATGCATTAAAAGCAAAAGATCCTATGCCTTAAGGATTCTGCAGACAAACCCATCAAGAGTGAGATGTACGTCCCAGCAATAGGCTTCATTCACGAGTCGGCCAATGCGAGGTATTCTCTTCATTTTTGGAACTTTTATGAAATAAAAGTTCATTACAAAATAATACCACCCTGCTATGCTGAATGATTAAAAACATTGCGATCAAACATATCCTAATGTTTTAATCTACATGAAAGTGAGGCTTGGAACGCATTCCAATTATAAAATAGTCTGGCACCATCCCATGCAACAGATTACAATTTATAAAATAGATTCAGGGAACACGATCGAATTTGGCTTCCTCGTGACTTGAATATTATTTTTTTGCGGGTCCCAGAGAGGACCAGCGTATAGTACTTCCACCTTGTGCCTGACTCACTGACTCACCGATCGACATGGTGACCGTTTTAGCCGATTTTCGGCTAACTTTGACAGATTTTTTGTTAAAAAACGAGTTTGACAGAAAATTTGACAGAATGGATTTTTTGGGCAGATTTCTGGCAGAATTCTGCAAAATGGTTATTTGACAGAAAAACATAGCAAATTGGGGGGAAAATGGTAATTTGTTTTAAAAAAAACTTCAATAATTTCAAACAAACCCTTGCATAATGTGACAGGTTGGCTGGTCTATGTGCTGAGGTTCACTGCGAACAAGGTTTCGTCGTGGCGGAACCGCGTTTTGCTTGAAACTTACGCGATTTCATAAAATTGCGAGTAATTCTGGTTAATTTGGCAGATTTTTTGAAGCGCATTTAGCAGAATTTAGACATGACCTTACGGTCACCCTGCCGATCGACTGCCACATATAAAGTGACTCCACTCATGTGCCGTGGTACGTGAGTTCACACCCTGCTGGCGGGGAACATCATGGTTCTTGTGTTCTTGGGCGAGGCGCTTTACATGTATTACAATTGGTAGAGACCAGATTGCGCTGATCTCGAGCTGCTGCAAGAAAATGGTCTCGTGGCCTGATGAATAGGGGTCGTAATTGTGAAGCGCTTTGAGCCCTTTGGTATAAAGCGCTATAAAAACACTATAAACATAGGTTTTACACATGTACAGTATAATATTATCACCTATCTCACTGACTGACTGCCACTTGTGCATGACAAACATTTGTCTAATAAAGGAGTGGCTTAATACGACTTTTTTTTACGAGGCTTAAGTGCCTATTCACGCATGTCAAGTAGCATACATGTATATTTAAACATCTGAATTATAGTTTGGCGCCACTTGTTTCATGTACTTTCATGATTCACATGTTACTTTAGGTGATAAGTCAAGTCTCCGTGCATGCAAGCGGCAAAAGTGGATTTTTCATTTCCACCACGTTATCACTATACAGCTTATATTCTACTACGATGTTTTTGGGGGGAGAGGGGGTGTTCATATTTTGCATGAATCAACTGAATTTAATTCTGTGCATTCCGGGGCCAGCTTACTAGGTTTTTATTTTTTTTTTATTTCCCAACTGGCTCCCATAATAAATCACACAGACGGACATGTACGTGTGTGACAACAAAACGCGTCGTCATTCCGTGACACAAAGACTTCTCGTATGAGTGAATCATCATTTTACGAGGAATTGCAGGGTACGTGATTGCGAAAACAAAATTCCCCGGGAAATCCCCAAACTGTTTTACTGTGGTGGGGCCGGGCCAGTGAGAAAGGGGCGTGTACTGTTCAAGGCCTTGCTACAATTTGAATAAAAAAGCGTCTTTAGTATGAATACTGGTTTCCAGGCGACTTTTGTGTCCAAACCACTCGCGTGGAACGGAGGCCGGTCAGCATGCGTACATTGTACAAGCGCATACGCTGACATCGTTTGATATATATATTTAATATGCCTGTAATGGCGGGGGATATATAGTCGGGATGAGTTATTTTATATATATAGCCTGTGATCTCACAGTAATTTAAAGGAATGCACGAAGTCCGAAGTATATTCAGTCGTCATTTTGTTGGCAGCGTGTACACATGTGAAGATGGCACAACTACATTTTCCCACCCAGGCCATGGCGGAGCTGGAGTTGAATGGTAATCCTCATCAGGAGCCGACGGACGAGGGATTCTTCGCAACTTCGGACATCGCCGAAAGGCCGCTGAAGGACATGATACGGACGGGAGAGTGGGACGACATATTAAAGGAACAGGTATGTGCAGTACAATCGTTGCGTGGGTTCTATGGGTCAAGACATTCACATTTCACACATGCATGACAGTGTCTTAGTACTGACTTACTGTTGCGCCTAACAGGCAGCATGGAGCTGTATACTCCCCAGGGAGCTGAGATGGTATTTGGAATGTTTCATTAGCCCAATGATCGGGGTAATAACGTAGCGCCTTGAGCACCAGTTCTTGTGGATACGTGTGCTTTAAAAATATCCACTATTATTATTATTATTATTAGTGTTAACGGACCGGGCCGAATGAATACATTACATTCTCACTAAAAAAAATAAGATTGTGTTAAGATAATATTCGAAAGCTCATCATATCAACGACCTGTTGGTCCCACATGTAAGTTTTGTTTTGTTAGAACACCATTATGTATACAATTCCAGTGGGTTTTTCGGTAGTAATATTGAAGATGTTCTGCCCAAACGTTTCGATTATTTTCTGAATGGTTATTTCTAGCAACAGGCCAACATAAGTATTCACTTTCGATTAGTAGATCGAAGAGAAACATGTAGACCCGCATTAATTATGTTGTGGATGATGGGTACTCTATATATTTCGCATTACATTGTAATTCAGTTCTCGCAGCGTAGACTGGTTCCGGGCCTGCATATCAGGATCGATTCAGTGAGGGATCGAGAGCGGCGGATCTTTTTTTCGTGCGCAAAAGTAACCCTAAATAAATTCCTCACCAACGCCCGAAAAGCCAACAAACCAATGTAGTTTTGGGTTAAATAAAATCACCTAAATAAAACGAAAGAGTTAGAAAACAAGCCGATTTGTTTTCTTTAGAACAGCAAGTAAAGCGTAGTGTCGTGGTCTCTAAATCCCGATACTGCGTCAATTTTGTGAAATCCATCCTACAGTCGTTGCGCAACTTTAATACGCGATTAGATGTGGCGCAAGTAGATTTACGCCATAAACTAGAGCTTCGTGAAATCGGCTGCTGCAGCATTGAATTCATGGTCTGCGGGTATTTCTGCAGGCCGGTTCCGCCTGCGGGTATGGGTGTGTGTGGGGGTGAGCTTGTCTTACATACGCAGTGTGGACTTCCGAACAAAAGACGTCCACATAATGTAGGTAGCACCGACGAAGTGTGGACTTGCCCACGTCCACACAGTGTTTCCCCATTTCTGGAAAACAGGTTTAGAGGCATTTTTGGGTTAGGTTTATTTGTAGCAGAATGAAGAGAAACACTAAAGGGAATCATTGAAAAAAAATTGGGTTGTAAGAGTTTTCACAGTTTGAGAAAAATGAGTTTTTCCACTGGTGTTCCTTAACTACACGAAAAGAAAGGAAAGTCCACACTAGGTATGTGAAACAAGTCTGGGTGTGTGTGTGTGTGCCCTTGGGCAAGGAGCTATATGTCACTCATTGCTTCACCCAACACAGGAGTAAATGACTAGAGATGGTTGTGGTGATTGATTTTAGCTGATTTGCGCCGAAATGGCAGCATTGAGCTGTATATTCCCCAGGGAGGTGAGATTGTCTTCGGAATGTTTCATTGGCTCAAATGCACATGGTAATATAAAGTAGGCCTACGTTTTTAACAAACGTAACGATGGCGCAGTGTTCTTTAAAAAAAAAAAAAAAAACAAGTTCTAGTTAATGAAATATTTCTTACAATTACGGAGACAATGCTGAAAACTGATTGTCTACATCTATTACGCAACGCGACACACATTTTTGACAAATCAGCGCATTGGTATTTACGATGTCATGGAACTGACCATGACTTACATAGCCTTATACTCCGTTCGTCCGTCACTGTTTATTCACGCGAGATATATACGCCGCTTTTCGTTTCCGCTTTGCGCTGCCACGCTTGCGCATGCCGACATAGAGCGCGCCGGGGGCAACCTACAGACAGTCGAAGCATCTGTTGTATGCTATTTGGCCCACATTAACCAGTACCGTGTAAACACTTTTAACCCTAAAAGGGCCGGGGGCGGAATCCGCCCCCCCCCCCGACTTTTTTTCCGCTATAGCTTTGAATTTTTTTTCGCGACCCGAGCTGTTATGACTTTTCAGCCTCGAGCCTTGCGCATCTTTTGATACCAAAAATAAAAAAATCAGACCACGGGTTGCCGCACAGTGAAATTTTTTCCGCCGCTGCGCGCCGTGAAAACTGAATTTTCCCATATACGTCGTGTACACAGAGCAGAATTACCATTCGTATTATATGAATAATTAATTAGCCATAATTCCAAAACCCTTTGACCTTTAGTCATGAAATTTCTTGGGCATGTTCATGATGAGTTGCTCTATGCATGTACCGAGTTTCAAAAATTTTCGTCACTCGATGGCCGAGATCTTTGGGGGGGGGCGGAATCCGCCCCCCCCCCGAGATGGTAAAAATAACCCGGCCCTTTTAGGGTTAAACCATTCATATTTCAAGAGATGTATGCCGTGCAGAATTAGAGAACTGTTCGCTAGAAGTTGGTACCACGTGACCACAACATCCAATTTTGCACGCAGAAAAAATGCCTTGATGAAAACGTCACTTCATGTGCGTTGATACATCACCACGTGCAGCAGAAAGCGCGCGAAAATGTATACTTCACTCAGACAGCATCTGCTTTGAAGTCTTGTGGCAAAATGGGGAATCGTAGTTCAATCACACCTAAAGCGAACAGGGAATTACTGATCTTTGTCCTCTATAGGCCATTTTCAAGGATCACAAGTTCGAACAATTCGCGCGAAAATCATAAAACTCATTTTCTGTGCGCAAGTTTAAATTTTATTTGTTAACTATCTTACAAACTGTCATCATTTCGCAAAAGAAGTGTTTTATTAGAGTCCAAACCTCATAAAAAGGTTCTTTTAAGTGCTTTACGCAATGTCGGTTAATATAAAAAAAATATCTAATTCTAGTGTCAAAATACCACTACAACACTCAGACGATCCGTTCCCGTATACATGTAATGATGCATATTGAAACGTCGACCGAGTCCTGGGTCCTTACACACGACACAGTAGAAATCACAGAAGCAATTCTCAGGTTCTCGAGGCTCTAGGCCGTTTATTTAAGCACACTTTTTACAAAACTCGGCTCTCTCCCTTTTTTTTTTAGCTCACAACACAAACTCATTTTTTCTAAGAAATTCTACTGAGTCGGCGCCGCCCGGCAACGGGTCTCCCAGGCCGACCAACAGGGGCTCCAACAGGGTGCCGTGCTGGCGCCCTCTGCCCCCGACCGGCACCGACGCACTCCAGTCCGGGAAGCGCCCACAGGTCTATACATACAGAAAGTGAGAAAAGAAATGAAAACAACAACAAAAACAATCAAACCACAAACCAAGAATGTTCGTAGATGGTTAGGGCCTTGTGGTAGGCGGTGGTCCTCACTGCACTTCCGTCTGCTCCCAAAGTTGCTCCCAGAAGGCCTGAGGGACATTAAGCAGGGTAGCGTGGAGGCGGTGGTGCTCCTGGTGGGAGTATCTTCCAATTGTGGGCGGACACGAATGGGTCCACTGTAATACTCGGCGTACTGCTGTCCCTGGTATGTCTGAAGAAGACGCCCAGGGACCTCGTACATGTGGTTCACCTGCATCTGTCACGACCGATGGCTGTCGGTGTCCACACCGTGAGCTGTCCTTTCCAGCCGCCACTCTATGGTGCTCACAGAGGGGGACCTCCATGTGTGTGTTGGCCACTCTGGTGGCGCTTGGTTGCCTGATTGTGCTGGCCGTATCCAACTGAAGCCTGGTCCCGTCCGGGAAACTCACGTGAGACCCGGCAGGCGAAACTCGGGTCCGCCCATTCAACAGTGGTATGGGGGTCTCGAGGGATGCGGGGGACTCGGTCTGTGTTCCCTCCTTTGGTAGCATCGGTTGGGACTGGGTTCCTAGGCTTCCACCTGCGGCCTGGCCAAATTGGTGCCTCCTATACTGGTTCCGGTTCCACGGTCCTCACGGGGTCACGGCCGCTTGCGATGGTGGCATCGGGGGCCGCTCCGTTGGGACACGACCCTCCAGTCTAGACGACTGACGTCTGTGGGAGGGACGATCTGGAGGACCACTCCGAGTGGCTGCAGCCCTCCAACCTACTCAACTTCGGACTCCGCTGTATTTTCAGTGGGGTGATGACGGGGACTGTCCTGCAGTTCCTTGGTCAGAAAAAGGAGGGTCCCCTGCCGAGAGAGGTGAGGTGAAGAAGACCGCTTTAAAGGGTTGGGATCATCCTCCGGCTCCCCGGTACTTGCGTGGACGTCCAACTTATCTGCTTCTGCAACCACCATGCAGATATATCGCGTCTGTAGAACCCGATGCCGCTTCCCTTGGCACATAGGTAGGGATGGTCTGGGCGCAACACCTCGCAGGCCGGCCGCAGGTGCCTTTGCAAATTGCTTTTTCTGCTGATGAAGGTCTTTCCGCAGTTAGGGCAAACCACCTGTAAGAAGAAGGAGTAAGTGGAGAATCAGTTAGTTGGAGGCAATAACAGCTCGATCGAACAATTTTTCACCCAGCCCGGGTGACTGTACTAGGAACTGGCTCTGATGGTGGGGAAGGTTCCTGCTCATTCCTTCCCTCCCTAGTCTCGCTGGCTACTGCCTGGGATCCTGTTCCTTTTCCACTTCGCTCACCAGGGGAAGCAGCCATCGTCACGTCTAGCAGTGGTGTCTCCCGCCTCCTCCGAGCCGGAGGCAGGCCCTCTTCAGTTCGCTGGTCACCAACGTCGGCCGGTGGGCCGTCCGTGTTAGCAGTTGTTGGATCTGGCAGCATAAAACCTTCCCTTAGAGTAGCGTTGTCGGTAGTCCTGCCTCCGAGGCTTGATCATTCTCCTTCGAGGTCTCTGAGCAGTGCGTCTCCACCAATCCACCTTGGCGTCGCCCAGGTATGGCTTTAGTCGGTTGTAGTGGACTATTTTCGGTTCGGCATGAGAAGACCTCTAGTAGGTCCACCACCAAATCCAGCTGAAGTCCCACCTCCCGGCCGAGCATGAACATATTCAGTGTGAGCTTGGTGTAGTCATGCTGAGAGGAACGGTACGGTACACCATCATAGTGAACGAGAGATGTTCCTCCCAGTTATCCTGATTCTCGTCCACGTATACTCCGCATGCAAGGTCTTCACCATGCGGTTGAAACACTCCACCATGCCATCTGACTGAGGGTGAAACGGCGTGGTGCGGGTCTTTTGGATGTCGAGCAACTTACAGACCTCTTGTAGCAGGCCAGCCTCGAATTCCCTCCCCTGATCCATGTGGATCTCTGGGGGGGGGGGGATTCCGAACCGTGTGAATACCTGTTTGACGAGCGTCTTTGCAACCATCTCTGCTGTCTGCTCTGGAATCAGGAACGTCTCTACCTACCTGGTGAAGTAGTCGGCTACCACCATGATGCTCGTATATTCTTGGCCCTTGTCCTCAGAAGCCTGAGGTCGATCGCAAAGAGGAGCCCCCACCACGTGCTGCTGGAGTGGGGCTCTTAGAGGACGTGGCAGTAGCTTCTTGGATCCACATTTATGGCACTTCATGTACAAGTCTCTGCCTGACGTTGCATTCCCCTCCATTACACGGGAGCCCGCCGCAACTGCGCAAACGTCCCGGTGATCCCCATGTGGCCCAAAGTCATATTGTCATGGGCCAGTCTCAGGACATCTTCCATCTTCGCCCGTGGGACCACGACCTTCCACACCGTTGGGACAGTCGCAATGTTTCCCACTTGGCCCACCAATACTTCGTGCCCTCATCCAACACCGAGACGTATACGTCCATCCAGCTATAGGCCTGCGGATATGGGGACTCCATCTTCTAGCCAATACATGATCCTTCCCAGCTCAGGGTCACTGTGTTGTTCTTGTTTCAGTTTTTCGTGGTCCCAGGCTTCCAAGGATCTGTGGTCTTGTCTTGTCTAGTACTATCGACAGCTCCCACCAGCAGTTCCTTCAACTGTTTGTGACACCCATCACACTCAACTTGGGGGCGGAAACTTGGTGTGCTCCAAGCCCCAACAGCTGGTGCGCTTCCTTCAGCTTGGTTTCGGGGAGGCTGTTCTACTGTCTGAACGTTTTTAGCTCCCGGCTTCCCTTTTCTAAGTTGAGCCTGTTGACCTTAGTCAACGTCGTTGCTCTCCTTGAGAAAATGTGGCGCAAAAGGCCTCCACCGCTAAATCTTCGCGGAACTGTGTGGGAAGCTTCGCTTCAGGGCTCTTGGCTACCAAATAACGTCAAATCGATTGTCCGGGGCCACTGAGTGACTCATCACGTCCTTGTGTGCACATCGACATTGAGTCGGATGTAGTGGAATCTGTGATGTCACCCCAAACCATTGTTCAAAATTGTCCATGATGGAAGGGCATTCCTTCCGCGCCTCTATGGTGCCATATTGGCCAGTGCCTCTTGGCCGTACCCATTAGACGGGATGCATTGAACATTGCCTTTTTCGGCCTATCTCCAATGATTGGCTGCCACTACACTCTCAAAATGGCACAAGTAGTCAGACCACGAGGCTTCCGTCAAACTTATCAGGGAGGATCACCGGTGTCCGACCCCATTGATAATAATTATGATGGTTTGTGGCTTCCTGCTTTGCCCCATTGAGTTGTGTGCTGAGTTGCATCGGCTCCACTCCTGCATTGACTCGTGTGCCGAGCAACTGGCCTCCGTTCCATAGACTCCCTTGCTGAGCAACTCCACCGGCTCCGCTCCATTGACTCCTGTGCAGAGCAACTCCACTGGCTCCGCTCCGTTGACTTGTCTGCGGAGCAACTGCGCCAGCTCCGCTCCTCTAGACTCCTGTGTCGAGCAACTCTGCCGCCTCTGCTCCATTGATCCGTGTGCGAATTAGCTGCGTCAGCTTCGCTCCATAGACTCCCGATCCCGTGCGGAGCAACTGCGCCAGCTATGCTCCATAGACTCCCATGCAGAGCAACTTCCCTGGCTCCACTCCATTGACTTGTATGCGGAGTAACTGCATCGGCTCCGCTCCACTGCAACTGCATGGCATGTGACTTATGCGCCCGCTTTGGCCTACTATACCCGCTGTATTACCCTCCACATTTCCTCCCACAAGAGATTCGGACACCAGAGACCCAGCAAGCGCCCCCTTTCCCCTGTAAAACTCCCTTGACTATCACTGTAAAAGGACTCTAGTTCGTCCACCGCGATGAACGTTTTTGCTTGACATCTCGCCAGGCTGGCCTACACTCTGCGAGACCCTCCCCGCCGTGTGGCGAGTCGGACGCCAAACTAACTCATCCTGGTGTATTCATGGCGAAAAATCCTCGAAGTTTTACATGTTTTTTCTCCGCCACTGCCACCAATGTAACGTCGACCAAGTCCCATGCACACGAGACAGAAGGATTCACAGAAGCAATTCTCAGGTTCTCGAGACAGAAGGAATCACAGAAGCAATTCTCAGGTTCTCGAGGCTGCAGGCTGTTTGTTTTATCACACTTTTTCAACTAGGCTCTCTTCTTTCAGCTCACAACACAACAACGTGCTTATACTGAGTCCCCGGCCGACCAGCACGGGCTCCACTGCACGGCTCCACCGCAGTACCGAGCTGGCGCCCTCTGCCGGCTGACCGGCACCGACGCCACAATATGCTGGTCAATATCAATGCAATATCTCATTGGTTGGTTGACCGACCGACCGACCGACCGACCGGCCGACCAACCGACCAACCGACCGACCATGCATGGAAAGAAAATCTTTACTGAAAAGCCTTTCTGAGCCAATTCAATAGAATTGTGTGCTGAGAGACTGAGCTTTGCTAGGGTTTATTTCTCGTCTCGTCTTTCAGGCATCCACCACCAACACGGTGTCTCTGTCCCGATGCGAGCTCAGTAATCTTCCGAGCGCCCTGCCGTCTCTGGTACAGCTGACTAGACTCTACCTCACCTACAACAACCTTAGGGACCTACCCGACGAGTTCGAGCGGTTGAGGAACTTGACGATCCTGAATATTGGCTTCAACGAGTTCGAATCCATCCCGTCCGCCATATTCCGACTGGACAATCTCCAGGTGCTGTTCGTGAAGAGCAATCAGCTGACGTCAATCGGTAGGTGTTCTTGTATGGACCTGAAAATAAGAACCCACTTGTAACACGTCTATTTGAATCGCAATAACTGTCTAAAAAAGAAATACATTTCCAATTTCTGCTGGCCCATATTAAATCCGTACCTTTAATGTTCATACATTTAGAGTGAACTTATTAAAGTTAATGTACGTTTAAAACTAGCTAAGGGCCGGCCCTGGACGCAGATAATGGCGTCCAGGCCCCTTATTTAATACCAGCCAAGCACATATTTTAGGGTGTGTTATTTACGAATGCCCGTCTAAGCTTTTCGTAGAGAGCGCGACGTCGTCATCAGGTCGTTAACATTTTACTGAATAATGCATTTTTACTAGGTGATGGAATTCGACATTTGACCAACCTGGAAGAGTTGTATCTGAACAACAACAAAATTGGCGTGTTCCCCGAGTCTCTCTGCAGGATGGCCAACCTACGGCTGTTGACAATGGCCAATAATGCTATCCAGACCATTCCCACCAATATAAAAGGCATGAAGGTGAGACAACTTAAAGGACCCATGTAACAAGATCTGGTTGTTGTTTTTTGCGGAAATCGCAAAAAAAACGACTTCCCTCCATATTTTTATGTTGATTAAAAATGTAAACGAGTATTAGACCCACTCTTAAGAGTTGTCCGCCGGTGAAAGATCTCTCTTATAAGTTGTGCTAATTGCAAGTCAATCACAAGCTTCTGTTGGATGAAAAGTCCTCTTTCTGACAGCTGTTGAACATAATCATGTACCATTCCCCTCCTTAGGGCTTAAAAGTGTTGAAGATGCGCTCGAACCAGCTGACAAAAATTCCGGATGAATTCGGCGAGCTGAAGGCTCTGGATATTGCCTGCTTCGCTCAGAACATGATCGACATCTTCCCATTCGACAAAGTACGTTGATATGCTATTCTATAAAACGATGCCTGAATTGGTGTTGCACGAGTCACTTGGAGAGAGAGTATACATTGTCTTTCCTTTGATACCTAATGATGGTACCGTTTTATAGTTTCGTCAGTATTAGGCGCATACACCTGTTGCTGGTCCCAGAGGGCCAAACCTACCGCGCTGTGTAATCACACCGACTCTTTCACTGACCGTCACTTGTGGATCAGACTTGCACTCTAAGAACTCCTGGGTCAGATTGACCCCGATATGAGTCTATAATCTGCACAGTCCTTTTCAGGGTAAAAAAAAATGCTGGGTCAAAATGATCCAGAAAAATGTCATATTTGACCCGGAAAAGGTTTCCTTTGACCACAGAAGGGTAATTTTGGGCCCAGAAAAGAACTGTGCATGCAGATATAGACTCGGATTCTGGGTCCATTCTTAACCAGGTGTTTTTAGAGTGTGCTTCAGCCGCACCTTTAATAATTGGTCCAAACATTCGACTTGAATTGACTACCTTATGGACCCAATTGGTATACAAGGCTGGGACCAGCTTTACTATCAGCTTGCCTAGTATTTTTGTTTCCGAGAAAATCGGCTATCCGTTCATCCTCCTTGCAGGTTGACGACATGCGCAATTTGCGCGACCTGTGCTTGTACGCTAACCGGCTGAGAGATAAGAACCTGCTGGAGAGATGCATGTATCAGATGGAGGAGCGTGGAGGGCTGTTCCGCGCGGAAGAGAACCGGGTGATGCTGCCGCGGATGGGAGGTAAATCGCCAGACTCAAACGCCAAAGGAGGCACTATTGCCTTATCGATTTTAAAGTTTTAAGTTTTACCTTAAAGTCTAAGCACCATTTTCACAGTGAAGGCTTAAAACCGAATACCCGAGCGAAAATCTATGCAATGAGAAGGCAAACATCAGAGGTCGCCAGCGACCAATGGAAAGGGCGATAGGTCGTGCAACTTTTTACAAAAGCACTGTAACTGACGTGTTTTTTGTTTTGTTTTTCAATTTCACTTGACGTCGTCGATTAAGGAGTGTGCGACAGTCCGCTCCGCATTTGGAAGTATGACATCGTTTGGTTGCACGATGGGGAAAAGTCGGTTCAATCCTGGATCAACACAATGTCCGAAAAGCTGCGAAATAAGAAACTGACACCACAGGTAATAGCCCAACCCCAAGGGCGGATCCAGGGGGGGGGGGGCCAAAGGGGGCCATGCCCCCCCCAAAAAAAAAAACGAGACCAATTTTTTTTTTTTTGATGTGACATCGCAATAAAGGCAGGCAATGAGTACACCACCATCTTTTCCTCAAAAAAACATTGGTTAAAGTGGTCAGAAATTGCCTCAGATCGCACCACAGAGCATCTAGAATCCAACAATTTTTCGGGGCCCTTAAGCGGGCCCCGAACCCCACGCCGTAATTTTTTTGACCCACTTTTTGGGGGGTCCAAAAAAATTTTTTGCCCCCCCCCCCAAAATTGTGTTCTGGATCCGCCCTTGCCCAACCCACGATGATATCATAAACCAGAGCTGTGTTCGTTTGTTTCTTGGGTGGTCAATTTGTTTGTGGGGCTGTTGGGGTGTTTGGTTGTCTGGTTTATTCTAATTCAGATCTAATGTAATATGCACCTATTCGCGTTGCCACCAGAAATACAGCTCCGAATCTTTCAATTAAATTCAACGACGAGAGATTTTCGTATCATTCTTTTCGTCATGATGATCAGATGTGCAGTCAGAAGATAACTGCAAGAGCAAAAAGTCTATAAATTTTAGGCACAAATTACAGGCACAAAACTAGAGGCAAACCGCACTGGGAAATTCCTCTACAAACGCATACAACACACGCACAATTACTCTTGAAAGAGGAAGAGGAAACGAACAGGACAGGCTTTGCATGCAGAGTAGTGAGAAAAAAGTAAACAATTTGCGGCAAACACTTAAGGACGAATGAACTTAATGAAATCAAAGATCATTAATTAAAAGAATTGAGAGGCTAAGTTATAGTACATCTTCCCCCAAATCATTGTTTGGCAGGACTACAGCCCCAATGACAAGCTGAAGACCAACAACTTGAAGCGAAGCCGCATCGTGGCTGTGTACTGCACCGTCGGAATGTGCGAACTGCTCCGCGAAACTTGCCCAGGCGGAGCGGCGCTGCAAGCGACCTTAGCGGAGACTTTCCGCCTCACTCCCGTCGGCAACAAGGAGCCAGCGGTTTGGGTCATCTTGGACACCAACGCCGACGTAAGCCAGTTCTTCTACCGTCACAACCGAAGCCAGAACGTGCTCTTGAGACAGGCGGACGACGGAAGGCTTGTTGAACAGTTGGTCAATATCATTTACACTGGCAACCCCTCACCCCCGGAATCGGCTGCTAACCACAGGTTTTAAATACCAGTGGGCATGCAGGCCCGTTCCCTGATCCCAGAAGGGGGGGGGGGGGGGTTCTTAAATTCCCAAAGTGGAATTGTTTATATGCGAGCGCGGAGCGCAAAGCCCTTACATCGTGGGGTGCGGGACCCGCTCTACGGCCCCGGAAAATGTTGGAATCCAGATGCTCTGTAGTCCAATCTAAGGCATTTCCTGGCCACTTTCCCCTGACTCTTTGAATCATTTTTGCTCGTGTTTACAACTTGAAGGCGAGATTTTTAGGGGATGGAGGGGGGGGGGGAAGGGGTCATCAAAAGATGTTTCTTTTTTGTTGTTGGGTGGTGGGACAATTTTTTTAAATTTCTTTATTTTATTTCTGAGGGGAACTCGTCATACCGAGGGGGGGGGGGGGTCCCCTAAGGACCAAATCTGCTTTTCTGCATGGTAGCAAAAAACAACCAAAAAAAACCCAAAAAACAAAAACATTCTGCGCTCTGCTGCTCTGACAAAAGAAAAGCAGATGTCCACTTTTCGGCATCCAGCAAAAGGAAGAAAGGTATAATCTGCTTATTAGGTATAAATGAGCAGAACAACATAAAAGAAGATTAAACTAAAACGTTCAATCTGCTTCTCTTTTACGACCACAAGAAAACTCAGGAAAGCTGGATGCTAGTATTCCTTAAAGGGAAAATACAACATTTGCAAACATCAAAAAATAAAGTTACTAAATTATTTTGAAATACCTTGCTAAACTGTTAGTGAATGACCGTCTAAATCATCCTGTAAAAGCATGGCACCTGGTATACTGTCATTTTCAAGAAAAGTGGTATTTTCGTATCAATTTCCAACGCTGGTCGGCCGACCAGCGTTGGAAAAAAACGTGCTTTTTTAATACTGGCTCCAATTGACCATATTTAGTTAGTCCGGTTTTGTTTGCAATCGATTACACACCTATGAACGGGTACAAGCAAGCTAGACTGGTTCCCTGACCTTACAATTCCCCAACGTCTATAAATTGCTCCGTTTCATTTTAAATGGAGTCAGGGAACCAGACAACAGGAAAATGACTGTTTTTCTTCGTTTTTATAGCATCTACGAACCTAAAACGTCAAAAAAGTCGGTGTAACAATATTTACCATATACAGGCAACCCCCAAATCCATCCATTTCTGAAAATTACAGCAAAAGCAAATGATGTGTATTCCCTTTAACATAAACAAAATGTTTTATATAACCAGTGTGTGTTCAACCGTTAACGGGAAATCAAATGCATTGACATAGTACATTTGTATTTTTGGTGTGAACTTGAATTTTGTATTTTTGAATATTTTACCTATACCGGGGAGAAGGATGACTGCTCTATGTGCCGACACCCCTATGTTCTGACAACCCGCACGTAGGATTGTGTTACTCCCGGTTATAGGTTAGGGTTAGGGGCATAGGAGTGTCGGAGCATAATAGAGGTGTAACCGGGGAGAAAGTTTAATAATACATTTTATGTGGTGTTCAAACCTCGAATTGAATGGTTGAATTTTATTGATGTTGTGAATGATATATTTTTTTTAAACAGTTTGCTTTTGGAAGTTTGCTATTTGAAAGTTTGGATTTTGATGTGAAATAATAGCTTTTGGATCGGTTTGTTGATTTGTTATTTTTGTAACATTTGTAAGCTTTTTTTACCCAGAAAAGTTTAAAAAAAATAAAATGTGTACACAACAAATGTTGACCTAAAAGAGTGTCAGCTAAAATCACACACATCACGCTGGGTAAGGACAGACATCACACCTTGTTAGTGACCTTTATAGTACACCATAGGGTCGAGTCTGAAACTGTTAACAGTGAACATTTAAAGTTTTTTTTTTTTTTCCATTTCTTCATATGCCATCATAATTGTACGTTTTGACTACCTGCCTACAGTAACTTTCATTTATTTTTGTAGAAACTATTTGCATGTATATTTTGGCTGTTTTTGTTTTGCAGTTAAGCATTTGCAATTTGTGTTTGCTCATTTTTGAAAGTCTTTATATTTTTATACTGTACATAATGAGGATTATTAAATAAAATGCTTACCCCGTGTTCTTAGAAAAAAATGATTTTTCTCCTTAGGAATTTTCAATTTTTTTTCAACGGAAAAAATCACCCTACTTTATTCCGTGTTTGGGCTAAGTTACCGACTGCAGAAGGCAAGTACAAGCATTCCTAGCCTCCTTGGTACAAGTACATGCATGCCTCGGCATATAATCGATTCTTGCATTTTTAAAATGAAATATACATTTTATATATAGCGGAGATTAAATTGTGTTGTCATTTTATAAAAATTCTTTTGGGATGGTGAGAAAGAGAACAAGCAAAGCAAATGAACGGCCTCACACACTTGATCGAGTAGCGAAACCGTCCACTCGCCCGCATTGATAAGCTAAACAGCGCCCTCTCTAATTCTGCATTGCGCTAAACGCGAGATTTTTCAAGAGCTTAGGGGCAGCTCAAGTTGACGGAAACGAATCCCGCAATATAGTTCTCGGGAGCAGTGGCGTCACCAGACTTTTCAGTCTGGGGGGGGGGGGGGGGGGGGGGGGGGGGGGGGGGGGGGGGGGGGGGGGGGGGGGGGCATTTGATGGGGGCACTTAGGTGGATACGGATCGCCGTCCTGGGGGAGGGGTCTAAGGGGAGGGGGTGCCCCCCTCCCCTTTGGAAAATTTTCGCATACGGAGGATGGGCTAGATGCAAAATGGTGCCACATTTGATGCTAAATTCGATCTGAAGATATCTCCAGAAATTGCTATTTAACCAACTCAGATGATGGGAGTTGAATATAACAAAATATATATATATTTTTTACCAACCCAAATCTCAGATGGGGGGGCACTCGGGGGGGCACTAGGTTTTCCAGGGGGGGGGCACGTGCCCCCCCCTGGCCCCCCCCCCCCCCCCCCCCCTTGGCGACGCCACTGCTTGGGAGAGAATAAAGGTGGACATCACTATCTTCCCGTGGGTGTTTGTGATGGAAGTAGGCCTATATAAGTGCCTATGAGAAAATCCAATAGGATTAGATTGGTTTCTTAAAGTTTTTCGTCACTTGTCCCGTATCCTGAAGTGGTCGACTCGGTCCTACCATGGAGCTATAGCTCCATGGTCCTACCATGGTCCTACTCACTCATTATGACTGTCAGCAGTGCAGTGTAGGCCATAATCAATAGGTATCTATACAGGACACCGGTCCCATTAATGTACATGTTCGTAAAGCATAGTTTCCAGCTCCGACCCTCAACGCATGATGACACCTCGTACGAACCTCAATTAAGAAAAACAGTTAAATTGCAATTCTGTACTCCTGAGAGTTTTACAGGCGGAGTACAGAATTGCAATTAAAAGACGAATTTAAAAAGTAGGAGTTATTTACCCTTGACCATCCCGGCCAGGGAGACCACTGACTATAAAAAAAAAACATCTCCAATTTTCAAAACAGATTCGCAAAAATACAAAAATTTCTCAGGAACTTTCGGTCAAAATTCCTCTTTACGTAGCGTCAGTACATGGATTGTACTCATCTTCTCGTTTTGCTTATTTTTCTGGAAATCGCCTGAAGAAAAACCTAAAGCAAAGTAGGCCTGAGAAATTTTTCATCCAAGGCAATAACATAATACGATCGCAGTTTTTCGCACATAAAAAAATGGATCGGTCCGTCCACGTTTGTCACGCGCGCCAGGAAAAAATATCACTGGTGTCCCCTATCCGCGTGCACTAAATCTATGATTGACTGACGAAGGGACCAGTGCCCGTATCGCGTAACACGTAAAAAAAATGTACACACGTCAACAACATGATGAACCGACCGTACTAGAGCGTTATATCATGGTCGAAGACGGTGAGAATTTTACGCAAAACCGAGCAAGTGTCGCTTAGAACTGTCCAGATTTACAAATTAGTTGCGGCTGAAAACTGCTCCAGACAGGCTGTAGTGACTATACCCAGGATTCTATGCTCTCGGGACTGTGAACGCACGGGGATTTTTCTTCATCAGAGCAGAGGAGAGCAGTTTTTACGGTCTTTCGCCGTGTACGTACGGCCGGCTGTCTGTGCTAGCTGGCTGACCGTGCATTCGTGGGGTCAATGAGCGTCATAACAACACCGCTAGACGTGCTTGTCGTAGGCCTAGTTGTACATCCCTACAATTAACTGCCATTGCGACGAGGGATTTTACACGTACGTACGATTAATGTATTCCCCAGCCATGCCAGCTTTATAGTTGTCTTAAAAAGTGGGAGATAACTTAGGCCTACTTTATGACATGACATCCTTTGCACAAACACGTGTAACATAAATTTTAAACATCAAACGTCTGGTCAAGATTTTTTTGGACCATGTTGACTGTCTGACTGTGGGCAAGATTACCATATGCGAAGTTCACTAATTTTCTTCTGTATTGACTAACAAGCCCCCAGATAGCAATTTCATGTCATCAAAGTCAATTTGAGCAGTGAGAAAATACAAGCATTTTCTTAAAAAACACTTAGAATTTTTCAGTCCACTCTTATAGTCATAGGTTTGTACACAGGGTGTTGAGTGAACTTCTGTCTTATATGGAAATCTTTCCGAATCATAATGTTGCAACCTGACGCTGCTTTTTTCTTCATATATCATCTCAATGAAGATCTGTCATTATAGAAATGATGATAAATTGATAAGACATGTAGGCCTATCCGGGACTGAGAAGCATTTCCAATATCGTTAGAAAATACTTAAAAGAAAACTTTGTTGGCTTTGAACAGGTAATTTTCCTACAAAGAATGAAACTGAGATGGGGTCGTACTTGTATGAGAGAGATACATGTACAGAATGTGCTGATGCCTGATGCGTTTTGGACTTATCATTCGGCTTTGGAAAAAAACCACACACCTGGCCTTTAATTGTAAGACATCTTTCGCACAAACTTTGTAACCTTTTTAATATGGAATTTTGTAACATTGAAAATAATGATGTTTTAAATTCCTACAATCACTGATTAGAGGGCGCCCAACTTCAAAATTGTGAGTGTTCCAATAAACCCATAATTAATAAACAGATCAAGAATAGCTTTTAAATTTTGTGACAATCTGATCTGTCAAAATTTGATTTTTTTTTTCAGGATGAGGAAGGCTTGTGCGTGAATGCGTTGGTGTTTGTTTACGGAGCCGCTCACCAATTTACCACCATGTTGGATGTCGTCTCAAGAGTTGTGCCCGCCGGGTGCCTGCTTACAACAGTGCTACTGGTGCTTTCTGCTGCTTACAGCGCAAATGGTGCTGATGAGAGTAAGTAGATCTGTTGGTGGGAACGGGAGGGGGGTAGGGGAAGTGGGGGTAGGGGGAGGAGGAGGGGGGGGGGGGGGAGAGAGGATTGGGGACAGCTCCCAAAATGCCATTTTCCCCCTAATAATTTCAGGAGTGAAAATGACAGTTCAAATGTAATCAATGCATTTGTTTACTCATTACCTTTTCCTACACGGATCCATGAAATAAGGCTCGCTCAACGACGGCCATTTCTGTAGGAGAACTGCAACTGCGTATTTTACGCAATCAAGCACGCATTGCACAGTGTTGAAAATGTTCCAAATATGCGCGCTTGTTGCTCGAAATGTGTAAATAAACGTTGTGTAAATTGACGCTCAAAGTGCCGATGCAGGTGGATGGTCTGTAGGAAATGATGTCATTTAAACGAGACCTACATGTATAGTAACCTTAACCCTAACCCCCTAGGCCCTTGTTGCTTACAACCATCCTCAATCCTCCAAAATCCTCCAAAATTTTCCAAAATTTTGCAACTCCGCCTAAATTTTTCAAAATTGTCAGACAGTCCTGCCTCAAATGCATTCATCCTCAATCCTCCAAAATCCTCCTCATCCCAAAACTTTGCTTAAATGAAGGATAACCAACGCCAAATCCTTCAAAATCATCAGACAGTCCTGCCTCAAAATGCATTCATCCTCAATCCTCCAAAATCCTCTTGTGCTTCAATCACCATTCATCCTCAATCCTCCAAAATCCTCATGTGCTTCAATCACCATTCATCCTCAATCCTCCAGAATCCTCATTTGATTCAATCACCATTCATCCTCAATCCTCTAGAATCCTCCAAAACCGCCAGGAGGATTTTGGAGGAGTGAGGTGGGTTAGGGTTAACCTTCCTCAATCCTCCGAAATCCTCCAGGCGGCTTTGGAGTATGTTGGAGGATTGAGGCTGAATGACAAAAAGTTGTCAGTTGATTTTGGAAAATGAATTGCGTCGAGTCCAGAAGGCCGTACTCAGCATGTTGTTTATATTCAGTTGTGCATTTATGAGCCCTGCGTTATGCAGATGCTGGGTATCATCCGCACTGCTTCTGAATGTCATCGACATGCCTCAACTCATTAACAGTGATGGTTGGAGGGTTTTGAAGGATTGAGGCAATGGTCACCCCTCCGCTGAAGAAAATTCAAGAAATTGTGGAAAATTTTGGAGGACGAAGGTTGAATCTGATTGTTACATGGTGACAATTGGAGGATTTTGCAGGATTGAGGATGTATCCTAGCGAAAAGGGCATAGGGGTTTAGGGTTTTAATAAAACAAAAGTGTTTTGCTGTGAAACTGCAACTGCAAGTTTACCTTGCAGTGTCCTTCTTATTTGTCTGTACTGAATGCTTTACATTTTGTGCCTAACGCCCAGGCTGTTGCGCAGTCTGTTTTTTATCGATCATGCAAATGGTTCAATGTTGGTTTCAAACTGTAGTCGAGCCCAGGACACGGTTCGGCAGTGTTTACTTTCTGGACTATTTATGTCAACACGCATTCAGAGAACAGGACTTTGGAATTCAATTTTTTTTTTTTTATTATTATTTTTGTTTGTAAAGAAGATAGGTAGGCTTTGCGGTGACCTCGATTTGACCATTTCGCGATCAATACCGTGTTATTGATTGCAGAATTTAAAAGGGCCCTAGAAACCGTGTTTTGCCGTTGTTGCGTTCGTGGACTTTAGTCTGAAGCAAATTATGAAATATATTTGTATGCTAGGGAAAGACTGACAATAATAGTGAGTGGTTCAGAAAGTGTCTGCTTTAAAAATAAAATTGTCTCGAAATTACTAGTGGGTACAGTATACAATGGTTTGGCCAATAGGAACCGTAGTCCATTTCAAAGAAACAGTAAGCAGTAAGCACAAGTCGAAATCGACAGAAACAGTATTTTCTTCTAAGTAGTTATGAAACTGAGTACCGTAGTTAGCATTTGACCACATCTCTGAAAAAAATTTGGGTTCCGCTTTGTGGTTTGGGGTGCTTACGCTCATTTGAGCGCATACATGTATCCTTTACTCAAAAGTCAAGAAAGCCAGTAAATATTGAGACTTTGAAAGTATAATAGGGAAAGTGGTAGGGCCTTCATGTAAACACTTAGACATACCGTATGCATTATTCATGTACCTAGTAGGTCTGTTTGTTTGTACTGATGTGGGAATATATGTACAGTACACGTGCAGTGCATATGAAGAGTTCATTTTGCAAAACGTGATTATCCATTTGAAAAACATGTACATGAAAACGTTGCTCGATATTGAAAACTTATAGAACATGTATCAGATGAACATCTGTTTATGGTCTAAATTACATTTTTGCCTTATTGTATTCTTATTTCTTAAAGGGATTACAACATTCTTGCAAACATCAATAAAACTACCAAATTATCACGAAATAAATATTCAACTGTTAGTGGATGACAGTCAAAAGCATCCTGCAAAATCATGGCACCTGGGGTGCTGTCATTTTCAAGAAAAGTTATCGTTCTGTATCGATTTCCAACGCTGGTCAGCCGACCAGTGTTGAAAAAAACTTTTTTTTTTCCAAATGCTGCTCCCAATTTATCATATATAAATTTACAAATGTAGTTAGTCTGCGTTTTCTTTGCAGTCGATTACGCAACATCTGTGAACAGGTACAAGCCAGCTACATGTACATAGTATATATGTACAGTGATTCACTAATCTGACAATTCCCCGATGTCTATAAATAATTGCTCCGTTTCATATTAAGTGGGGTCAGGGAACCAGACTACAAGAATACATGATTGTTTTTCTAGCATCTACGAACCCAAAACTTCAAACAAGTCAGTGTATTAAAGGCCTTTTCACACTAGAGTCTCTCAACCCAATGAATTGAAAGGCAAGGTTTAAATAGCTGCCACATCATTTTAATGCATTTCGATTAAAAAAAAATCAAATCACAATAATATATTTATATATATTTTTTTATTGAAATTGCTATTCCAAAATAGAAATGTCTGTATTTACAACATTTGTAAGATTGGATAAAAATAAGCACATGTGTTTACCTGAAATAGAAATTGTGTTTATTGATTCAAAATATATCAAACTACGGTACAAGAATGTAAATTATCTGTTTAAATACAGAGAACAAAGGGGACAATTGAAGCATCTTTTCGGAATTTGTAGATTTATTATCACAATTGTTAGTGACATTGATTTTACAAGCAGTAAACCTAGCCCTCAAGGCTTCATTTGAATGCCCTGCAGACTCTTGTTGAATTGCCTAGGGTTTGATGAAAGTACCCACCATGTATGCATGTGACCCATTCCAAGGGCGGTTCTAGACCTCAATTTTTTTTTGGGGGGGGGGGCCAAAATAATTTTGATCCCCAAAAAGTGTGTGCCAAAAAATTACGGCGTGGGGTTCGGGGCCCACTTAAGGGCCCTGAAATTTTTTGGGATTCTAGATGCTCTGTGGTGCGATCCGAGGCAATTTCTAACTTTAACCAATGCTTTTTTTAGGAAAAGATGGTGGTGTACTGAATACCGGTACATGCACTCATTGCATGCCTTTATTGCGAAGTCACTAAAAAAACCCCAAACATTGGCTTTGATTTGGGGGGAGGGGGGTGGGGCCGTTGCCCCCTTTGGCCCCCCCCCCCCTTTGGATCCGCTCTTCACCCTCCACCAAAAAGGGTATACATGTATGTCGCAAAAAAAAGTGAAATTGAGTTACATACTGAACATGGTTGGAAAGCCCACAACATGTACGAGATCCATAGCCCCTCCCGTTCTGGAGAGATGACTAATTGCATACTAATTACTTCCTTGGAGTTGGAATTACACAACTGAGAAAACAGGCTTTGACAAAGCAGGCTCTGTTGTAGATTTGGACACGATGCACTTAAAATAGTTTCTCCCCCCCACTTTACAATGTATAAAATCAACATTTCTGTGAATGAACCCCAAAAATGAAGGTACCGGTAATAAAAGATGTCATTCATGACAAAAAATGAAAATCAAATTTCAGTGGAATTTTCACCCTCTCAAATGATTATCGGGCCATTACACGATAATGCACAGCACGACGTAATGTACCCATTTTTTTTGTGTGGAGCGGGTCGCGTGTTATGTATACTGTCGTCCATTATTTCGCAATAAAATCAGAAACAACAAATTTTGGGAGTGAGAGTTGAAGCAATCTTTGCAGGCAGAAACCTGTCTGTGATTACCGGTAATCATCCATAGTATTTGTAAGGAACATTGATTTTTTTCTTTTTAATATATTCAGCAGTTAGGCGAAACAAACCATCCTATTCAGATGGCATGGTGATACCTACCGCTATCTCTATCTGTAGTGTGTTAGGGCCTACATGTAAGTGTTGACGGCATTCATAATATGTTTACCACTACCCTGCCGGCTGTTATCCATTTAGGATCGTCTGGCCCGATGTGTTTACCAGTAACTGGGCAATGTTCACACCCAAAACCCTTCTACTTTCTAGGATAGAGCTTCAAGTCGAGTTGCATTTGGCATTATAATAATAAGAAAATTTGATCTATCCGCCCTGTAGCTATTAATGGAACGATCTCATCCCTGCGTCCATCTAATGTCTGCGTATGCTTAATAGAAGTATGTCATTCCTTTGAAAACAACATGTCCTGTGTCTTTATGTCTCTGCTTTAGGAATATGTACGCACCGGTAACCGGACTGTGGTATGTGCGGCTTCTAAGCTGTGTAGTATACATGTGTTATTATTGCTCGCGAGCTGAACATAATACGCACGCCGAGCCCTGACGCAGCAGCGCCGAAGCCAGACCATCGTCGAGATATTCTCGTCACAAACAACTCGGGCCTGGAAGGCCTCCTGACCCATTTTTGTGCCGTTCGGCGCTGTTGACACAATCAGTGTTTACTGTTTCCATTGGCAATGGCAGATCTTACGTGTTTACCGTTTCAGATTTTTTTTTTTTTATAAACGCTGCAATATTCTACGAGGAACACAAGGGGAAAGATC